GTGAGTCGACTCAAGAAGAGCGCACAAGGGCTCACAATGTGTGTGAGTCGACTCAAGAAGAGCGCACAAGGGCTCACAATGTGTGTGAGTCGACTCAAGAAGAGCGCACAAGGGCTCACAATGTGTGTGAGTCGACTCAAGAAGAGCGCACAAGGGCTCACAATGTGTGTGAGTCGACTCAAGAAGAGTGCACGTGGGTGTGAGAAGTGTTGGTGTGTGACATGACGTCCCTGCTGCCCTTGGGCTCCTTCCCTAACATAGCACTGACTGACCGGAGGTGTACAAGCTCGTATCCCGGCGCCACTCTCTTGACAAACTTGGACTCCAGCATGTGAAATGGCGGCACCGAGAACTGCGGCCACCTGCGGGCGAGGGGCGAAGGGAGGGGCGTGGTGGGATGGAGAGACGTGGCGTGAGGGAGGGAGGGGCGTGGTGTAAGGGAGGGAGGGAGGGAGGGAGGGAGGGAGGGAGGGAGGGAGGGAGGGAGGGAGGGAGGGAGGGAGGGAGGGAGGGAGGGAGGGAGGGAGGGAGGGAGGGAGGGAGGGAGGAAGGGAGGGAGTGAGTGAGGGAGGGAGGGAGGGAGGGAGGGAGGGAGGTAGGGAGGGAGGGAAGGACAAGGGAGTTGGAGACAAGGGAGGAAAATGACGACAGGGAAGAAAGATCAGAGAGGGGAGATGGTGGGGATCTGCAGGCCGAAATGAGATTGTACAACAAACACCTTTCATGCGAAAACGGGCGGGTGGACGAGGGCTAAGTGGAAGACGGCAGGGTGCAAAAACACCTTTCATGCAACCTCCCTTGTCGTATATTCTTTTGTTGCCGGTTTCAAATCTTGCAGGTAGCACCACAATACCCGACGAAATGGGAAAAGGTGGGGATAGCATAAAGGGTAGGCTACCATGAAATCCCGTGCTTGTAGTCATGTATGTACCCAATGAAACATTTGTTTGTACGCATGAGGGCACGTGTTCGTACCCGTGATGACACACGGAAGGCACACCTACCAGTCAATGAAGAATGGAGCCTCCCATGCCACTGCGAGCACTGCAGAATGTGGACGGAGGAGAAAGAAAGAGAACGAGGGGATGTGAAACGACAAAAAAATGAAGATGAAGCGCGGGCGTGAATGTGAGATTAATGCGCCCTGTGAGATGTCTTAAAAATATGAAGCGATGGGCGTGGATGTGAGATTCATGCGCTAGGGAGGGTAAACAATGGGGGCAGAGGCGGAGAGGATGCAGCAAACATCACGAGCACAGACAGCACCATACCAAACGAACAGCCCACCGAAATTGATCTCCCAGAGACAAAAGAACAACCCACCACCAATACCTACAAAGCCCTTGGGCACAGAAAACACCACTCGGCCATACAAAGTAAATCCGGCTAACCAAAAAAGAGCCTACCAGTGTTGAGGGAGCCTTTGAGCATGCCTTCCAAGCAGAGCTCGTGTAAGGCCTTTTATTAAGACGACTCAACAATAAGACAGGGAAAAATAGAAGAGAGCCCACCAGTGTCGAGGGAGCCTTTGAGCACGCCTTCCAAGCACAGCTCGTGAAAGGCCGTTCCCTCTGGCCCTGGGCGGTACATCACCCTGTGGCTCTTGCTCTGCTCCTTCAGCTGCACACGGGGCGAGGGAGGAGAAGGTATGAAGAAGGGGAGGATTGTCTAGGGGAGGTGAGGGGGGAGGGGAAGATGGAGGTATGAACACCCCCTCCGCCCCTGGGCGGTACATCACCCTGTGGCTCTTGCTTTGCTCCTTCAGCTGCACCCAGGGAAGTGAAGGCACGAGGAAGGGCAGGAAATTCCAGGGGGTGTGACGGACCAGGAGTGGGTGTGGGGTGAACACCCTTTATCATGGGCGGTACATCACCCTGTGGCTCTTGCTCTGCTCCTTCAGCTGCACACCGAGCAAGGGACGAGAGACACAAGAAAGGGGAGGAGTGCCCAGGGAAGAGTTTGTTCGTTTGGTGGGTAGGGAGGGAAGCGGGAGACTTATAAACTGCCTCCGACCCTCGTTTGCTGATCCTTCAGCTAGCAGCAGAGGATAGGGGAAGAATGGAGAGGTGCGCGGGAAAGCATGTGGGGTGTTGAGGGGAGGATTGGGAACTCCTCCACGGAGGCACTTCAATGTGCGGCTCTTGAAATATAATCATGATAATACGCTGCTCACAGTGAACGCAATTTGAGGCGACTCAAGATTCTTGCTATGCTGCACGCAAAAAAAACCTTCTCCCTCGCACAGGTGACTCTACTTGTGCCCTCAGAAACCGTTTCTCTCCAAACGCTATCAGGGTGCGGTGTGCTCATGACTCCTTCTTGTTACCACGCGCATCCGTCTCCTCCTCTCACGCGCCTCTTCCCCCCTCACGCCCCCAGACACCCATTCTACCCGAATGTCACTCCAGCCCACCAACCACTCCCACTCACCCCTCTCTCCCTCTCACCCGCTTCTCCCTCTCACCTGCCGCTCCCACTCACCCGCCTCTCCCACTTGCCACTCCCTTTCTCCCGCTCACCCGCCAGTCGCGCTGCCCAAAGGCCTCGGGGTGGGCGCGGGACTCCTCGCGGTGCAGCGCCATGTCCTCGAAGCTGCTGCCCGCCGCACTGCGCAGCGCCTCCAGCATGCCCTCCGTGTCCCTCACCCGTGCGGCTACCACCTTCTCCATATCCGCGCCTTCCGCCAGACCTGAGTACTGCTCGTGCGTCAGCCGGGGCTCGGGCTGGGACTGGGACTGGGACTGGGACTCGGGCTGGGACTGGGGCTGGGATTCAGGTCCTTTGGCTGGTGGAGGTCCTTTGGCTGGTGGAGGTCCTTTGGCTGGTGGTGCGGCTGATGGGGGGAGGGCTTCGGTGGGTGGAGGGTCGGCTGCAGAGGCTGAGTTGCTGTTATTCGTGGCGCCATCTGATGGAAGGGAATGGGCCGCACATGCACACAGTGACGCATATTGGAAATATTGGACGTTTATGGGAAATATTGGACGCACATGGGAAAAATTGGACGCACATAGGAAATATTGGACGCACGTGGGAAACATTGGACACACAAAGGAAACATCGCACACATGAAGCAAGGATTCTGGAGGTGGTGGCACGAGTGAAGGGAAAGCGCACAGAGAATCATGGAGGTGACCAAAACCTGACACGATATGTTGTTGCCTTACGCCTGGGAATGTGAAATCTGATTGTTTGGTTGTTTGGTGAAAACAGTACAGCATCTATCTACGCAACTACCTTCGCTTGGAAAGCGTGACAATTGCAACTGGATGAACAAACCAAAAGCATTTTCGCAACCACATGCTGGTATAGTTGTGAGACGTCTCAAAACTGGATGAACAGACAGCATTCACGCAACCACATGCCATGCTGACAGGTAAAAGATAACGAAGAAGGAATTTCTCAACGACTCAAAGAAACACTTTCGCGACGCACCTGGGGAGTTGTGATATGCCGTCTGGACCGTTTGGCTGCGAAGGGGCCATCCGCTGACTTCCCCGTCGCTAGATTCTACGCCCGCTCCGTTAGTAGCCTCTCCGCTTCCGTCTTGAGCTGCTCGGGTCGCTCCGTTACTAGCTGTTGCTTCAGATCCACCAGCAGCTATTTGCTCTAACATTTCTGCCGCATTCTCTATTTCTCCCGGCGTTCCATTAATAGAAGGTGCACTCGCAGCTATTTGCTCCAACATTTCTGCCGCATTCTCTATGTCTCCCTGCGTTCCGTTTTCCTCAAAAGAAGGTGCACCAGCAGCTATTTCCTCTAGCATTTCTGCCGCATTTTCTATTTCTCCCTGCGTTCTGTTTCCCCCAACAAAAACTGCGTCGCAGCTTCCTCTAGCCGACACAAAAGCTGTTTCTGCAGGCTCAAGTAGTCCTAACCGCCTCTTAACCGCTCTCGTGACTATAGCGGGGTCTGTCCAGGTGTCTGACGCCAGCGCACGGTCGAACGAGCGGCGAGCTTCGAAGAAAGCCATCCTAACGCACCAAAATCCCAGTCACGCGCCTAACAGATACTAACAGTCACGCGCCTAACAAATACCAAAATACCGAATGACAGCGCGTTCTTGTTCTATCTTTACGCAACAACGCTCAACTCCGCACTCGGGTCTGTAGAAGTGACAATGTCTGGAAAATGAAAATGTCGAAAATGTCAAGCTTGTAACCTGGAAACAGACAGCAGCATCCAGAGTGCTTATCTACAATCTGGACGCAGCCACGTAGTTATCGACGACACGGAGCGTCGCGATCGCGAAAATACTCAAAGAAGGCTACGAAGCCGCGGAAACGGGAATCCTCCCAAGTTAACGCCATTTTAGGGCTCTCATATTTCCACCTATTTTCTTCTTCATATATTTCCGGCTTCTAGCAAATTCGGTCTTGTTCCGCTCGGCAGCCCTGCAGGGCTGTGCCTTGGAATGGAAGATGCTTCAGCCTTGACTCGCACGGAGATGTCCAAACCAATCCCGAGGGAATTTGGCGGGAACTGACAGACGGGTCTGACGGATGGGTGCATCACTGTTGATAACGGAACTCTACACACTTCTATATTATAAGGTTCATTAATTTAATTATGATAGGAAAATAAATGAAATTAGAAAACTTATACATGAAAGGCAACACAAAACAGAAAGCTTATGTACCATCTATGTTCGTGAGCAAGCTGCCAAGGCTGTGAAAAAAGTCAACACAACCCGACAAAGTTGCTCTTCCTCTATGGGTTTGGTCATGTACCCATCCATCCCATTCTTCAAGCACTTCTCCCTTGTGCCAGCACCCACATCAGCTGTAAGTGCAATCACTAATAACCGGTCTGCTGTCCGGCCTTTTTGTGTGTTTCCACCATTCACACCAGCTTCATACTTGCGTATGAGGCCCGTGGCTTCTAGCCCATCCATCTCCGGCATCTGCAAAAAAAAATGTAGGAAAGCAAGATCAATCCACCAACCAACAAAACACAAAAAGGACTCGACAAAACGAATTCCCAATACACCTAAAGACCTTGGATCAACCCCTCCCCCCAAACACAGTCCAGTAACGACCAAAAACAGCCGCCCAGGCACACAGCTGCCGCACCTGCACGTCCATGAAGACGCAATCAAATCTGGTTGTTGCCTGCTGCACGGCCTTAACAGCCTTGGCACCACCATCCACCGTCTCCACCTCCACTCCGTACCGCTGCAGCATGCGCGCCATCACCTTGCGATTCACCATGTTGTCATCCACCTGGTGGAAGGAGGGAAGAGAGGGGAGGAAGGGGAGGGAGGGGCAGGAGAAATGGTGAGCTCAGGAGCATATTGAGGACCCTCATCAGTGCCGTACCGCTGCAGCATGCGCGCCATCACCTTGCGATTCACCATGTTGTCATCCACCTGGGGGGAGATGGGAAGGAGTTGGGGGAAAAGACAGGGGCACAAATTAATATATTTATGTATTGCAAAATATACACGTATAAATACTCGTATTTAAATATATCTGAAAATATACGTGTGTGTATTTAACACTGTTGACGGACAACTTCTGAGCTGTTTGGAAAGGAGAGAAGGGGCAGTTCAGGGTGACTCACCACGAGAATCTTCTTGCCCTTGAGCGCCTGGCACAGCAGCCTGGCTCCATCACTCTCCTTGCGCATCGACGGGCCCGACGGCAGAGCGGGCGGCAGGGCGGAAGGGCTACCAGCCGCCGCCTGGGCGGCACGGATCTTGGGCCGGGCGGCAATGGTCGGATTATCCCCTTCCGGCATAGAGCCTGTGGATTTGCGAGCTTTAGACCCTGTGGTTGACCGAGTTGACCGCGTTGACTGTGTTGGCCCCGCCTCATCTAGACTCATTCTCACTCGCCGTATTTGCCGTCCCGCCCCCGTGTCAAGACCATCACTCTCAGGAGGAGGAGCAGGGGCAGCAGAAGCAACAGGTGCAGAAGCAGCAGCATGTGCGGCAGAACCACCAGCAGCAGCATAGGCAACAGAAGCAGCAGGAGCAGCTGGAGCAGAAGGAGCAGCCGGGACAACAGCAGCTTCATCAGCTTTCAGGTCGGTGCTGCTGGACTTAAGGATGCCTGCTCGTTGGGGACTCTTGCCGGCGCTCTTGCCAGAGCTGGTGCTTCTTGTGGTGGCGCCAGGCCAGTAAATCCCCCTATCCCCGTGGCAACGGGACAGTGGGCCGCTGTGAGCAGTTCTGTCGGAATCGTCATCATCGTCATCAGCAGGGAGCAGCCATCGCACCACGGGACCAGGCGAGCTCTGGTCTGATGCGCTTTTTGGCATCGAGCATTGCTGCTGTGGCGGCCGCTGCAGCTGCAGCTGCTGTTGCTCCTGACGCTCACCTCCTGTTCGGACCACTCCTGTGCCTCTGCCTACCTGCCTCCCTTCCCCTCCTTTACACACCTCTTCCTCCCCTTCCTCCTCATCCTCATCCTCATCATACTCCCTCTCATCGTCGCCATCATCACCCCCCTCCTCCTCCCTCCCACCCACCCTTTCGCGCTCCTCCTCCTCCTCCTCCTCCTCAGCCCCATCCTCTGTCCCTAGCGGCCCATCCGCCCCAAGGAGCAACAGAGAGAGGTTTGTAGAGAGAGCAGTCTGCCTCACAGGCTTCGATATAGTCACATCAAAAGCCTTACATGCTGCTGCCGCTGCTGCTGCGCCCTCCCTCTTACTGCCCGCGTGCCCTGAAGAAAGCATCACCGCGGCAAACCAGGGCCAATCATCCATGCTATCGTTTCCATCCATCATCCCTTGCCCGCTGCTCCCACAGCAGCAGAAGCCACACCCTAGGTTGCTGCCATTGCTGCTGCCACTGCTGTTGCCGCTGCTGTCGCTGGTCCCGCTGCTGCTGCAGAAGCTGCTTCTACAGGCACTGGTACGGATAGTGGCATCTGTCCCTGCTCCAATACTGCTGCCACTGCTACCGCTGCTCCCGTTGCTGGTGCTGCTGGTGGTGCTACAGAAGCTGCCTCTGCCCATTCGAGGCAGCTGGCATGTGTGGCATTTGTCTCCTCTACAGCCGGGCTCGCTTTCCTTGCTATGGTTACATCCACTGTTGCTGCTGGATTGGCTGTTTTCAGGGCTGCTACCGCTGCTGCTCCCATGCGTCTGGTTACCACCACCTTGGTTACCGGGTGCTTTTGCCGAGCCTGTCTGGTTAAGCAGGCTTGGCCAAACCTCGTAGCCTGCTTCGGCCATGGCACTCACAGCAAGCCATTGCCATGTGCAGCTGCTGCTGCTGATACACCTCTCACCCTCCTTCCGTGCCCTCTTCTTCTCCCCTTCCTGCCCTTCCTGCACCTCCTCTTCAGGGACTGTTCCCTGTCCCTCCTGTCCCTGCTGCCCCTCCCCCTCGCACTGCTTCTTCTTCTGTTGAAGCACTGCCTTGTTGTGCCGCCCCAGCCACTCCTCATCCAGCACCACAATCACCGGCCGCTTACCGACTCCTGCGCCCACCGCAGCTGGAGCAGTGACGAGGGAATTGTGGTTCGGAATGTGCACCACAGGTTCGGCGACGGCTTCGGGGGTGTTCAGCACCGGGATGCCGAGCCTGTTGAGAAGGCTCTCCATCACGCCGAACCTCACGGCGCGGTCGTCGAGGAGAATGGCGGAGAATTGAGATAAGCTCGCTTCGGTCTGCTGGAGGATGTGGAGAGGCGAGGCTGGCAGCACGTGTGGCGGAGATGCTCTTAGTGGGGATGACCTAAAGGGGGATAGTGCTGTAAGCGCTGCTGGTGGTTGAAGTGAAGGAGGTTTCGCTATAGGTGATCCGGCTGCTGCTGGTGCCGAAGCTGGAATGCCCCATGGCAGCAACGGTGACTCCGAACCTAGAGTTGGTTCGGCGAGGAGGGGGAAGCAGCACCCGTCGTCGTCCTTCAGAACAACCCCGTGTTTTGAATCTCTGATCTCTACAATCACAGAATCTGCTGGCCCCACCAATGAAGCTGTCCTCGCCAGTGCCGCTGCCCCTGCTCCTGCTCCTGCTCCTGGTTCTGCTCCTGCAGGCTTTGCAACACCAGCAGAACGAGCAGCAGCGGCAGCAGCAGCTAATTTAGCCACATCAGCAGCAGCAGCAGCCACGGGCTCACCGTCGCGGCTATCACAGGGCATAACCACATCAAAGAAGAAGGTGGTGCCGACGCCAGGGCGAGAGGTGAAGGAGAGCTTGCCGCCCATGAGATCCACGAGGTGCCGCGAGATGGACAGCCCGATGCCCGTGCCGCCGTGCGTGCGCGTCGTGCTTGCGTCTGCTTGCATGAAGGGCTTTAAGATGGTGCGCTGCGCGGGGTACGGGATGCCCTCGCCTGTGTCCTGAGGTTGGGAGTTGGGAGGGCGGAGGGTGGAAGGGGGGAGGGGGGTTGGGGGTTGGGGGGGGGCAGCAGTGTGGAAAGGAGGGGAGGAGAAGGGAAGGGAGTGAGTAGAAGCAGCACCCTACGACCCTCCACATGAGAAGCAGAAGCAGCATAGGGTCGTGGGCACGAGAACAAGAAGAAGGAGAGTCTCTCCTGTGACCTGTGGTTCGGTCCGTACCTCAACAGAGATGACAAGTCGCACGGTCGGGCCATTCAGCAGAGGACTCCCCCCCCCTCCTCTTCCCTTTCCACCACCCTCCGCTTCCTCTCCTCCCTCCCCTTCCATTCCCTCATCAACCCCCTTTCCCTCTCCTCGTGTCATCCCATCCTCGCGCCACTTCTCCCTGCGTGCTCCCAGCACAGCCCAGCTGTTGCAGCTGTCCACCGCCTCTTGCCCGCTCAGAGTCAGCCTGTCAGGCGCCGTGCCGTTCACACCACTGCCGCCGCCAAAGCTGCTGCTTCTGCTTCGCCTGCCTGTGATGCTGGTTCGCCCTGTGGTGCCCACAGGCCTTAAAGGGGGCGGAGGAACGCGGGGTGACGGCGGGAGAGGCGAGGGGCTGCTGTTGTGAGACGTGGTGGTGGTCGTGCCGGCAGTGTTTGCAACACCAGCAGCACCAGGAGCAGCAGCGGCAGCAGCAGTACCAGCATCAATGGCAGAGTCACCGTCATCAGCAGCGAGCATGAGTGCGCTTAAACGAGCCGACTGTCGTTCAGGTCGGAAGGCAACATCCTTGGATGGACTCTCCTCCGTGTCCTCCTTTGCCGCATCCTCCTCACCGGCAGCAGTGGCAGCAGCAGCGGCAGCAACAGCAGTGTAGCTCGCGGCACCAGTGCTGCCGATAACCCTTTGATTCTCGCCAGTCTTCATCTCAGTTGCTGCAACAGACGGCTTATCGCCTACCACAGCAGCTGCAGAAGGCTTATCAGCTGCCACGGCAGGGGCTGACAGCTGATCAGCTATCATGGCAGGAGCGTGTGAGCGGAGGGAGCGGTGGTGGTGGTGGTGCTTGCGAGCTGACTTGCGCAGATCCTCGTCTGGTTCTGCTGTGCGGATGGCGATGAAGATGTGTCCACGTTCAGTGAACTTGCAGGCGTTGGAGAGCAGGTTGATGAGCACCTGGTGGGGTGAGGGGAGCAGGCAGGGTGTGGGAGAGGGAGGATGGCGATGAAGATGTGTCCACGTTCAGTGAACTTGCAGGCATTGGAGAGCAGGTTGATGAGCACCCGGTTGGATGGAGGGGAAGGCACGGGAGGAAAAGAATCAATATAGGGGTTTCTAGCAAATCAAGTAACTTCTAGACATCTGGCAAGCTGGCAGCAACACATGGAGACTCATGGAATAAGCATCGGAAAACCCACCTGGAGTAGGCGCAAAGAGTCCCTGAGAACAGCAGCGGGCATGCGTAGGTGCCTAAAGGGAGGACACAACACAGCCTTACAGAGTCCCTGGTGGCACAACTGACCTGCCGCAGGCGCAGGGAGTCTCCAAGCACAGCAGCGGGCACGAGGGGGTCGACGTATGCCGCCACCTGCAGCAGCGGCTGGAAGGAGGTCACAACCTTAGCTGTCACCACTGACCTGCCGTAAGCGCAGGGAGTCTCCCAGAACAGCAGCGGGCACGAGCGGGTCGACGTAGGCGGCCACCTGCAGCAGCGGCTTGTCTCGGAAGCGCTCGATGAACATTGTGAGCACCGTGTCCACCTCGCCCCGCACGTCCATGGGTACGCGCTCCAGCTGCATCTTCTGCGCCTGGTGGGTGGAGAAGTGGGGGGGAATGGGGGAAAGGGGGGGGGCAGGGGGGAAGGGGTGGAGTAAGAGAAGCGATCGATGAACATTGTGAGCACCGTGTCGACCTCGCCCCTCACGTCCATTGGCACACGCTCCAACTGCATCTTCTGTGCCTGATAGGGGGAGAAACGGGTGGGGAAACGGGGGAGAGGTCGGTCGAGAATGACGTTGATGAGCTCTAGCAGCGGCATGCGCCGCCCAGTGCTGGCTCAAACCTGCTCAGCAGCACACATCGGCTTCTAGCATCTCGCACCCTCACCTCGAGCAGCACACCTCCTCCCTACCTTGACGTTGGAGAGGTCGAGGATGTCATCGATGAGATGAGCTCCGGCAGCCCTCGCCCGCTGGCTTGCGCATGCACACTCTCAACTCACCGCTCTCCACCGCTCTCCACCTCTTTTGTCAGCACCGTACCTCGATCTTGGAGAGGTCGAGGATGTGGTTGATGAGCTCCAGCAGCGCCCGCCCGCCCACTGGTGCTCGCACTGAGTGCACACTCCTAGCGTATCTCTCTACGTGCACCGCTCTCCACCGCTCTCCACCGCTCTCCACCGCTCTCCACCGCTCTCCACCTGTCACCACATCTGCAACGCACCTCAATCTTCGAGAGGTCGAGGATGTCGTTGATGAGCTCCAGCAGCGCCCGCCCACTGGTGCGCGCCGTCTCCACGTAGTCCAGCTGGGTGATGGTGAGCGGCGTCTCCAGCAGCAGGTTCAGCATGCCTGGGCGGGGATGGGAGCGGGACATGCATGAACACATGTGTGCGTGCATGACTGAACGACTGTGCACCATGCACGCCCCCACCGTCTCCACGTAGCCCAGCTGGGTGATGGTGAGGGGCGTCTCCAGCAGCAGGTTCAGCATGCCTGGCACGGGGTGGGATGGGAGGGGGGAGTGGGGGGGTGGGATACGTGAGCATGTGTGCATGAATGTGCGCCCATGCAGCTGATGCGAGCCGTCTCGACGGGGCATGATGGTGAGCGGCGTCTCCAGCAGCAGGTTCAGCATGCCTGGGCAGATGGGATGGGGAAGAGAGTGGGGGGACGCATGAACTCATGTGGCGGAAAGGGAGGGTACATGTACACACGAACGAATACATGTGCCTGACTGTGAACCCTGACTGTGAACCCTGACTGTGAACCCTGACCATTCATCCCAGCAACCCACCTATGACGCCGTTCATGGGCGTGCGCAGCTCGTGCGACATGGTCGCGAGGAACGTCCCTTTCGCCTTGCTGGCGCGCTGTTGCAGCAACTCAACAACCACTCACCCCCACCCACCCACCCACCCACCCACCCACCCACCCACCCACCCACCCACCCACCCACCCACCCACCCACCCACCCACCCACCCACCCACCCACCCACCCACCCACCCACCCACCCACCCACCCCAACCGAACGCACCTATGACGCCGTTCATGGGCGTGCGCAGCTCGTGGGACATGGTAGCCAGGAACGTGCCCTTGGCCACTCACCCCATCCCCCCACCCCATCCCCCAACCCAACCACGCACCTATGACGCCGTTCATGGGCGTGCGCAGCTCGTGGGACATGGTGGCGAGGAACGTCCCCTTCGCCTTGCTGGCGCGCTCCGCCACGTTGCGGGCGGCCTTCATTTTGTCCTTTAGCAGCTCCATGCGGTGGAAGTCGTGCTCCAATTGGTGCACGTGCGAGCTCGCCACCCACCACACGTAGCCCAGAAGGGACATGACCGTGACTATAACGAGCGCCCAGCCCAGCGAGGAGTAGGGGAATACGTAGTAGTCTAGATATCTGGGGGGACGAGGGGAGAGGAATGGGGGGAGTGTGGTGTGGGGAGACGAATGGGGGGCGGCGGGGAGAGAAATGGAAGGATGCGGGGAGGGGAATGAGGAGAGGCGGGGAGAGGAATGAGGAGAGGTGGGAAGAGGAATGGGGGGAGGCGGGGAGAGGAGAGTGGGTACGAGAGGTGAGAAATAGGGAAAGGAAGTGGCACGACGAGGACGTGCATGTGTCTATCGCCCTCCCAACCACTCACACGCCAGTCACATCCCCAGTCCACTACCCAAGGCACCCATACCTGCAGCGGATCTCGTAGAGCCGGTAGGGGTCCCCCAGGTCCATGGTCGTGACATGCCGCTTCCTACCTATCCCCCTTCCCTTCCACTCACACGCCAATCCACACCCAGGCCACGCCCACTTCACAACCCACCTGCAGCGGATCTCGTAGAGCCGGTACGGGTCCCCCAGGTCCATGGTGGTGACGTAGTTGTAGCGGTCGCTCTGCCCCTTGGCCAGCCGGTGCTCCTGCGGTTCATACATCAGCCGCTCCACACTGCCCCGCCCCAACACCTCCCCCGGCACTGCCATCGTCTCGCCAAACCCAACCGCCTGGCCGGTGCCATTGCTGCTGCTGCTGCTGCTGCTGCTGCTGCTGCTGCTGCTGCTGCTGCAGCCATCGGTTCTTTGGACCGCCGTGGTGTTACCACCACCGCTCGCTGACGTCATGCTGCTGGTCGTGCCGCTGGTGCTGCCACCGCTGCTGCTGCCGCTGCCGCTGCCGTTGCTGCTGCTGCCGTTTCCCCGGGCAGCAGCGTTGGCTCCGTTATAGTACCCCGTCTGAGCCTCACTGCTCCCATTGGTGACATCGTACACTCTCACGAACATCGGCATGTGCTCCCGATGCAGGGACTTGATCAACGGCTCAAAATCAATCACAGCCGACATGAACCCTCGGCACTTGGATCGGAATTCGGCCACACCCGCCCCTGCATCTGGGGGGATGCGCTCCTGATACACCGGGTACACGCGTAGCATGAGGGTGTTTAGGTCGCGGTTACCGCTCGCCTCCGATGCTACAGTGCTGCCGGACGCACCCGTGCTGCTGCTGCTGCCGACGTTGATGCCTCCCAGGGAATCGACTGCCATCTGCAGCGGCGGGGTGAGTGCTCCCATAATGCCCTGGTCCCGTGCTCTAATCACTGCCTCCCTGTTGGCTGGGAAGGCGTCTGGAGGGAGAAGGGGAAAAGAAGAAGGGGGAAGGGAGAGTTGAGGGTGCAGCGTGCATGTCGGTAGGTAATACTGCCGCTCCGTGAGTCGACTGCCATCTGCAGTGGCGGGGTGAGTGCTCCCATAATGCCCTGATCCCGCGCTCGAATCACTGCCGCCCTGTTGGCTGGGAAGGCATCTGGAAGGAAGTGAGAGGGGGGTAGGAGGACGAAGGAGAGGGAAGAGCTTATGTCAACGCAACCCACATTCACCCCCCAGCTTGACCTCATACGGACACGTGGTGTGGAGAGAGGGTGTATACTCTGGGCACTCAGAGTGCCCGCACAGTGTCGTGGTATTTATACTCAGAGTGTCTCACCCCACTCACTCACCCCAAACCCACCGCAGACTCACCCCCCACTCACTCACTTCAAACTCACCCCAGAGCATGTCTTGTCCGATGAGTTGCTGCGCTGACGTGGTGTAGAGGATGGGCGCATAGTCCGACTGCTGCCCCGCACATGCCATGTCGTGCCTGGGCGCACGGGGATGGGGAGTGGGGGGGAAGAGGAGAGGGGGAAGGGAGAAGCAATGGTGCGTGGTGTAGAGGATGGGCGCATAGTCCGACTGCTGCCCCGCACATGCCATGTCGTGCCTGAGGACGCATTGCAGAGGGAAGGGGGAAGATGCGGAGGCGGGGTGCGAGGAGGGTGGAATACGGGAGAAGAACAGGGGGAGATGAGGACGAGGGATGGAGGACCAAACAAGGAGCGTACCAGACACATGCCAGACCACACATGCAGAGAAGCACACACAGGCAGAGCCGCACACACAGGCAGAAAGCACCAGACGCAGAGAAAGGCTCACTTGATGCAGAAGCCGCCCCCCTGCGCCCTCTCGTACGCCCCCCTCTCTGCCTGCGGCACACTAGCGGCAAACGAGACGTCCCTCAAACGCGGACGCGCGTACGCCGTGTCGTTGAGAAACCCCATGAACGTGGACTGTTGGAGGGGAGACGGGGGTGGGGAAGGGAGGAGGGGAGGGCAAACGGGAAAAAGGTGCCGCATTGTGAGAAACGCGGACGCGCGTACGCCGTGTCGTTGAGAAACCCCATGAACGTGACCTGTTGGAGGGGGGAGAAGGTGGGGAGGGGGCGGAGAGATGGGGGAGAGGACGGGGGAGAGGACAGGGGAGGGGTCGCACGGGAAAAAGGTGCCGCATTGTGAGGAATGAGGACACACGTACTGCGTGTCGTTGAGGAACCCCATGAACGTGACCTGTTCAAAGGTGGCGATGGGAAGAGGGGGACGAGGGAGTGGAAGGGGGTTGGGAGGTGTGTGCGCTGGTGATGGGGGATTGGGGGGAGAGGAGAAGAGACAGCAAACGGCCGGGAGGAAGGGGGGGGCGATCTGCTTGCGTTAGAACAGGCCTTTGAACTTTGAAGGTAGACCGTGGGAGGGAGGAAGGAGGGAGGAGGAGGGGGAGGATGCAATCGCTTCAACACACTCCACCGTTTCAACTCACTCCACCGTCTCAACTCAACCCACACCACCGTGTCAACTCACTCTGTCCAGGGTGCCTGGGGGCTTGTTGTAGTGAAACGTGGTCATCAGGTTGGCAAGCAGCCGAATCTACACAGCAGGCAGCGGACAAGGGAGAGAAGGTACAGGTAATGAGCCGACGTCAGAGGCGATTCTCAAGTCGACTGTTGAGGCGCCTCAGAATGTGCCTCAAGAGGCGCCTCAAAAGAAAGTACAGGAAATGAACCGACGTTAGAGGCGCTTCGCAAATCTTCTCGTCACAAGTGGCCGGACCAAAGGGAGAGAGCAAGAGGGCAGGAGACGGAAGGTGTGGCGGAACGTGGAAAGAGAGAGAAGGGGAGACGAAAGAAATGATCGGAGTTGAACTGGACCCGCACGGTCGATGGTGTCTACAAAGCGGTCCTGCCTGGTTGGTAGTATGTACAGAGCGGTGGTACCTGGTTGGAGGTGTCGGTGAAATGGTCCTGCAGCAGCTTCTTGTACGACTCGCACTCCACCTCCAGAGCCACCTGTTGCACGCAAGGGGAGACCACGGGGACATCAGGCAACGTGCGATGCACTCTGAGGTGCCTCGAGCAGCCCCTTGTACGCCTCGCATCGCACTCCATCCGCCTCCACAGCCACCGGCTCACGACACGACAAGGGTGTTATCGTGGGTGGGTGGGAGGCAGGCTCGACACGACGTGCAAATGCATGTTTGAGGCGGTTTTTGCGGCGCCGCGCGCCCAGCAGTGATCTCTCACGAGCCTCGAAAGCGAATGCGCTCCGCGCGACGAGACGCCGCTGTACATGACGCTCGTGTAGGAAGCCTCAAACATCGCGCTGAACCGCATTTTGAATCGACTAGAAAATTGAGTCGACTAGACAATTGAGTCGACTAGAAAATTAAGTCGACTTAGATGTTGAGTCGCCTTTAAAATCAACTCCAGAATTGAGTCAATTCGAAAGACGCCGTACCTGGCGCTCGTCTTGGAAGCTCTTATACGTCGCGCTGAACACGGCCGCAGCAGCCGCTACAGTCACCAGCACCCACATCGCTATGCACACGTGGCGCCACATCATACTCATCCGCAAATACCGCTGCACGCTAAACACGTCGCCCACGTGCTGCCACGTGGATCCATCCGGGCCTTCCCCGCGCCGGTGGCGGATGTAGCGGTTGTTCCGCCGGTAGCGCCTCCGCCAGGGAATCAGCGGCTCATTTTCCGCTCCGCCTCTCCCCGCGGCGGGCGCAAGCAGGCTTCTTCTGCCGCTTCCGACGGACCTGGGGCTGTGCTCTCCGCCGTCGGCGGAAGGAGAGAGAATGTCTAAAACTACCGTCGCGATTCCGTTTTTTCGAGCCAATTCTCCCTCTCCGCATTTTCCGGAGGCCTTTTCCCCTTTTCCTCTCCATCGGCTTTGCAAGTATCCCATCATGGGGCTCGTCCAATCACGATCCGCCACGTTCCACATTCCGCGGTTCCCCCCGAAGCAAAGGAACGACGGAGGTTCTCCATCGTTGGCTTCGTCCGACGAGTCATCCAGACCGTCCGTTCCATCCGTGCCGTCCGTCCCGCATCCGTCGCTACTGGCACTTGTGGTTCCATTCGTGCCAGTACCGCTACCACCCCAAGCGCTTGACCTACTTTGACTCGCTTGACTGCCATTGTACGGCGACGCAGGAGGTACTATCAGGAGCGGAAGGGGTGTTGGGTTATTAGCGGTCCCAGCAGTATCTGTTGCTGATGATGTTGCTGCTTCCGCGGACAATGATGCTGTAGTGTTTCGACCAAAAATCCTCATCTTTATCTCCCCAAATTCGCTTAAAAAATTGCACGGAGACGACAATAGGCACAAAGAGGTAACAAAATCTCCTATAAATTGAGCTGCTTTTGTTACCTACGAATCCGCTTTCCAAGCAACAAAACGACTCCAATTGCTGGATTATCCAAGAGAATGATCACTAACAGCTTAGCGAACTGCTAGAAAAAAAGTGCTCAGCTCAGAATCTTGATAAACCTTCATGGAGGGGAACGCGCAAGCCACGTTTCGCTTTGGACTTGAGATGAGAATCACATCACCATCTGTTGATCAACCAACCGAACACCTATGGAACTCCATATGTGCGAGCGAGGGCCTGCTCGTTGGCGACGACGAATATTTTGTCGAATGTCGTCTGCGTGATGTCGTCGCATTTTGGATGGAATTAACTGTACGTACAGTTGCTGAGTCGACGAAGTTGGGAATTTCCTGACAAAGTACACGTAAGGAGTTCGCTCGCTAGCCAATCCACCCCGGTTCCCTGCTCACACCGTAAGTGTATGAACTTACTGTACTGTGCTGCTGTACCAACTCCAACTTCTACCCCAACTGTTCAGCCAGAGTCGCTCAAACACCAACGATGACCCTTGTTGTTGCAAAGTGTCAGCTCGAGTTGTGGAATTAACTTTGCACACCTGTGGGTGGAGTGACTTCAGCGCAACTGCGGATTTCTTCGAAGTTTGTCCCATGGGTGGTTCTTCTACAATTTCTGGTTTTTATGGGCGACCTTGCTGCTGGACACATTCTCCGACCAAAAGCACAAGTGGGACAAACCCATACACCAGTCAGCAGCCACAAGTTACAGCACCCTCTAAGTTCTGTGGCTCCAGGTGACAGATCACTTTTCACTACAGTGACCAATTGGATAAGACATTGTCCAATCATGATGATGAACAGTCTTTGGAAAAAGCCCCAATGTCTGAGGTGGCTGAATCCATGGACAGGGACCACAGCTGTGGACCTACTGTGACGTGTGGATCCTGTCAATCGATTGAATATCTTGCGCGTGAGTTTTGTGGACATTTTTTCTCAACCAATTGCGGTGGCTTATCGATGCTGACATCAGGTCGGTGAGAATCTTCCATCCAGCTTTCACATCTCGAGCTATACCAAAAGATTTGCCTGACAAGAAACCGTTAGAGACTGAATGTTACTATGTTAGATATCCACATTCAAATATTAACATGCAATGCGTGGTTACCAGTTGATTGGTGGGGAATGGAGAATGGAGATCTTGTTTGCTGGCAATGTTTTACTCGGGAATATTTGTATGGAGGAAAACAATTATTCTTATATGATAACATCTTATGCTCTGTTTCATTTTTGTAGGTCTAGTTGTTCCATGGGTAGATTCACATATGAACATCTTTATAGCAACATGTGTTACCGAGTTAACTAACAGCCCCGTTAACATGTGCATAAGTACCTATGTCGAGTTATTTCCAAAACCATTCCCCTCCAAATGCATCATACCCACTAATTGCCGAAGCCACGTCAAGCAAGCTGTTCGCCCCACCGATGCGCGACACGTTCTGCGCGGCGCACCATCGTAACAGCTCCCGTGATGCAAACGGCATGCGCGCGTTTCTAGAATTCAAGGAGCCCTCCGGCAATGAATCACTACGGCATCGAAGTGAAGTGCGCAGCATGCACGGGTCAACCAGCCTCAACCTTATATCCTCCATCCCTCGATTCGATAATCCAACCATCACCACGCGACTCCGCGTCACCATGACCTTTTTTCACTCTCCCTCACCCTGCCTCACATGCTAACAATCCATCCGTCGCCATCATCCGTCGAGCGCCATGGTTAAACCCGGTCCGGGCTGCTTCGCGGCGCCGCCATCGCGGCATTGGCGTCGCGCCGATGTCCTCCCGACAGCCCAAGCTGGCAATCTCTCTCCTCCCATCCCCACCCCCCTTCCACCTCTTCCCCCGCGCTCTCTTTCCCCTTTCCATGGGTCCACTCACCCACTTCTCGGGGTGGGAATCTTCGCCGGGGTTCTCCCCTTAGTGGCCTGACAAATCTGGAGTCTCCGCAACCCCGGATCCCTCGCCCGACTGCGGTCAGTGAGAGGGGGAAACGGAGACAATCAGACGGACAGACAGACGGACGGACAGGCTCACGCGCAGTCCGACAGAGAGTCGCAAATCCCGGCACCTTTCATAACAGCCGTCTTTGCCGTCATCTCCTTCTCTCGCTTTCTGCTCGTCGTTGCAGCAGACTCTTTCCTCGCGTCGTGCTTTCTTACGCTTACTGCGCGGCTACTAACAGGCTAGTTTCCCTACGCATAAGGGTATTACGAGGCTAGTTCCCCTTCCATGGAGCGCGGGAAAGGCGTCAGGGAGGAGCTCGGCCCGACATCCGAAACCCGCCTCCCCACGAGCTTCCCCCGCCACGGAGAAATCGCGGAGGCGCCTCCCCCCGCGCCCTTCGCCAGCGGCGCGCGCCCTCCGCCGCACCCCTCTGCTGAGGCTCCACGCGCTGGCGCAGGCGGAGGCGGAGGCCCCCAGAGGCAGCCCACTCCGCCTCTGGGCATGGGTCCGCGGGAGAGGCAGCCGTCCCCGCCCATCCCCGCTCCCCACCTGCAGCCCCCCGGGCTGGGGCAGCCCGTGCACCCCACTCCGCCCAAGGAGCGCCAGGTGCAGCCCCCGCCCCCGCAACCCCAGCAGCCCCAGCAGCCGCAGATGCACCCTCAGGGGCAGCCCCAGCTGTATCAACCGCCCCAGCAGCCGCAGCACCCTCCACAGCCGCAGCTGCAGCCACTGCCACCCCACCTAGCGGCAGTGCGTACCCATCCCATCCACCTGCCTCTTTCCTCCACAGAGGAGCAGCAGCGGCAGGGCGCATGGGGCCGCGAGGCCGGGCAGGGCGCTGCTCTCTCTGCTGGCGCTGGCCCTGGCGCTGGTGCTGGTGCTGGCGGTGGTGGGATGGGTGGTCCTGCGGCAGAGGGAGCGGTGACGGTGTCGATATCGCGGGCGGGCATGATGGTGAAGCCTGACAGTGTGTTCCGCCTGCGCGTGGGCGTGCGCCCTCTTTCAGGGGAGCTGGACCATGAAGCCCTCTCTCGCCTTCACTCCTCCAACCAGTGCTATGGCATGGGTAAGGCGGGAACCTGGGGGTAGTACTCCTTCTAGGGCATGAGAGCATGAGGGCATGATGGTGAAGCTTGACAGTGTGTTCCGCCTGCGCGTGGGCGTGCGCCCTCTCTCATCTCAGGCGAGCTCGACCACGAGGCGCTTAGTCGACTCCACTCCTCCAACCAGTGCTACGGGCTGGGTGAGGCCAGAGGTGAATGCAGTGGCATGGGTATGTATGGCCAGAATCGACTGCTTGCTTACTTGACAGTATGTAGGATGATGGGGTGTGGGCGGAAATGTCTAAATAGGTATGGCTTAGCTAGTCCTGGAACTATCAGTGCTCAGAACTAAATCTTCTCAATCCCATCAAGTCCATCATTCCCATTACTTCCATCCCTCCCACCCCTCCCGCCCGTACCAAGGGCAGCGGTGCTGCTGGCAGGGCTGGCCCTCATAGCCCTCTCCGTGGTGCCTTCAGTCTCCCTGCAGCCCCTGCTAGGTGCGTGCATCACCCTACCCAGTCGTAGCTAGGTGCGTGCATGTGCCTTCCCAGTCGTAGCTAGGTGCGTCCATCACCCTACCCAGTCGTAGCTAGGTGCGTGCATGTGCCTTCCCAGTCGTAGCTAGGTGCGTCCATCACCCTACCCAGTCGTAGCTAGGTGCGTGCATGTGCCTTCCCAGTCGTAGCTAGGTGCGTCCATCACCCTACCCAGTCGTAGCTAGGTGCGTCCATCACCGTACCCAGTCGTAGCTAGGTGCGTCCATCACCCTACCCAGTCGTGACTAAGTGCGTCACTGCAGCCCCTGCTGCTGGGTGCGTTTGCTTGCTTCCTGTCCTGTTGCTTACCGAGTGGTGACCCCTCCTAGGTGCAGGTTTGGTGATTGTGTCGCCCACATGGTGCATCAGAGCTGACTTCTGAGTCGACTCAAAAGTCAGGTGTGGTGATTGTGTGGCCCACATGGCGCATCGGCATGAAACCACTACCACTACTCTCTCCTGCCATCCTCTGCCCCCCACCAGGCGGGCTGCTGATCGCCATGGGGCTGGTAACCGGGTTACACGCGCTCGTGCTCTTCACAGCACCAGGAGCCATCGCCCTCGTGATGCTAGCAGCTGTGCCCGCAGCCTTCGGCGTCTGGCTGTTCCAAGCTCCCTCAAAACACTTCCTTCTCGTCCTCTCCCTCTGGCTCGCCACCCAGGCGCCTCTTCCAAGCTGATCCTTTCCCCCTGCCCACCTATCCCCCCTGCCAACCGCTGCCCCCCACCAGCCGGGCTGCTCATTGCCATGGGGCTGTTAACCGGGTTACACGCGCTAGTGCTCTTCACAGCACCAGGAGCCATCGCCCTCGTGCTGCTAGCAGCCGTGCACGCAGCCTTCGGTGCCTGGCTGCTTAAAGCCCCTGCAGAAAACTTCCTCCTCATCGTCTCCCTCTGGCTCGCCGCCCAGGCGCTCTCGAAGCTGGCCCTCGCCGCCCTTTGGAGCCTCGTTTCGTCTTATGTGACGCTGGTGGTGACGGCGGTGGTGGGGATTGGGCTGGCTGGGGTGGCGTATTTTGGCTTTGATGACAGCACCCCGAAGTGGGCGCAGGGGGTGCTGGTGGGGGGATACCTCGTGCTCTGTGGGGTGTCCTTCCTGCTGATCGCATGCATGGCGTATGCTGGTGAGTTGTGGGACATGGTATGTGCCGTGCAGGCACACAGAGCGGATACATAGTGGGTGCTGGCATGGGCGCGGGGGGTGCTGGTGGGGGGGTACCTCGTGCTGTACGGCATTGCCTTCCTGTTCATTGCATGCATGGCGTATGCTGGTGAGGTCTAGGACATGCATCGCAGAATGAGTGGATGGGTAGTGTATGCGGTGTGGGCGCAGGGCGTGCTGGTGGGGTGGGGGGGTACCTCGTGCTGTACGGCATTGCCTTCCTGTTCATTGCATGCATGGCGTATGCTGGTGAGGTCTAGGACATGCATCGCAGAATGAGTGGATGGGTAGTGTATGCGGTGTGGGCGCAGGGCGTGCTGGTGGGGTGGGGGGGTACCTTGTGCTGTACGGCGTTGCCTTCCTGTTCATTGCATGCATGGCGTATGCTGGTGAGTTCTGAGCCAACTTAACATCTGCCCTAGAGTTGCTGCTTCTGGGACTGTTGTTGGGTGCGCTGTTGCGGTTCCCTCTGGGCTGCTGTTGGGTCTGCCTGGATTGCACATTCTGTGAAGCTTCCCCCTTTGTCCGTCCACCACCCATCCATATCCACATCCTAAACCCTGCACCTCTCTCTCAGGTCGGCGTCTGCTGGAGGAGCATGAGGAGGAGCGTCAGCCACTGCACCTGATAGTCGACCCATTCCACTGAGTTGATTTTTGAGGGTACACCCCATGACTACTGAGTTGACTTTATTGAAATCACCTCTTCCCAATGTGCCACTCCCTACCGCACTGCATCTCTTTCAGGTCGGCGTCTGCTGGAGGATGAGGAGGAGGAGCGTCAGCCACTGCACCTGGTGGTCGACCCGTTCCACTAGGAACATAAAACCCGGTGACGCACAGTGGTGCCATGGGCCCATGGGACTCGCTTTGCAAGGCTTGTGGCATGCCGTGGGAGCACTCATGGGGATGTTGATAGGATGAGAAGATGTTGATATGGGAAGAAAGCCGCCTCTAGGAACGCTGGTTGAGAAGAGTGAGAAGCAGCGGGTTTCCCTCAGGCCATGAAGATCTCTAAAAGATATCATTTCTGGGTTGATGGCTTGGCATCGATTTGTGGCCAGAAGAGCTGCTTGTTAGCAGCTCTTCTTCTTTCCCCGCTAGCATTGGCCTCTGCTTGCTAGATTGTTTGGTACGTAGTTGCCTTGCATTTGGATCATTCTCTAGTTTCTTTGCAGGTCGAATAAATGAAGCCCAGCTCATGCCAGTTCGAAAAAACTTTATCACCACCACAGGGCCCGACCCTATAGCAGGATAATTGGTCACAAAATGGTATGTACCTGACCGAATATAAATGTTGATTTGATACAAAGTACAGCTGTGAAGGAAACTCCGCTGCACAGCGAATAAGTGCACATAAGCATCTAGTAGCACCATAGCTTGCACAATTCAATTCCTAGTCCAAATTCTTCAACTTCCCCCGAGGAGCATCCTACACTCAATCCTCTCCACTTGCAGAGCTACGGTGGGTGGACGATTTATGCACGAGTCCTCCCTCCGACACAAGAGCTGCCCTACCTGCCAGGTGCTACCTGACAAACGATTCGACAGTGTGTGTAAGGACGGATGCAACACATCATCCACCCTCCGAGCCATCCAGCAGCACATACTACCGTACATGCATGCTTCAACTCTTCTCTCTAGCGACTCGCAAGACAATTTCTACGGTGCCTAGAAAATCGCATCCGCCCTACAAACAAGCCATCTGGCAGCTCATGCATGCTCCAACTCATCTTTATGGCCTGCCCTCCTTTGTTGAGGCGCGCTCCTCAAACGCTGACAGTGTGTGAGGGATGCACGGCACGCAGCACAGATCTGCCCTACAAGCCATCCGGAAACTCATGCATGCTCGAACTCTTTTTCAGAGATTTCCCTCCCACTCCACCTTCCCCTCCTCCCCCTCCTCCTTCCCCACCAGCTCTGGCATCTAAACTCATCCGCACACTCCCTCCCATCATGCCTCCTCCCCCTCGCAACGGCCCATGCAATGGGCTTGACGAGATGGGGGTGGCAGCAACCGAGTTAGCAAGAGACGCCCCTCTAGACCAGCTCCTCCCTTCCAACTCCACAACATCTCCTCGCCCTCCTATCGAACCCCCTACGCCCCCCACCCCCGTGCTCCTCCTCCCCCCTTTCACGCCGCCTCCCCATCCCGCTCCAGACGAAACTCCCCGCCCGGGAGTGCTCGTGGCACTGTAGCTGCCAGTTGGCCGCGCGACAGTGGTCGGCGACTCCGCAGCGCGCGACGTGGCGGGGCCGGTGCTGCTGGGCGCGCCACGTAGGACCGGCACGCGGGCGGCGAGGGTGGAGTGGATCCGGCCGTACCGCGCCCGCGTGGCGTTGGCTGACTTGGCGACGATGACGTGGACGATAGGAGCAGGGAGAAGCGGCGAAAGAACCGACCGGATCCGGTCCAGAGAAAGCCCAGAGAGGGAGGATGGGTCGGGGAGAACGGAAAGAGTGTCCGGTTCGAGAGACCCTGATGTGGTCTTAGCTGCAAACGCAGCAGCACCGCCGGCAGCATCGGCAGCAGCGGAGGAGTATTTGATAGCGAGTTGGAGGTGGTGCGTGGCGCCGCACTTGATGACAAGCGGCCCCTCTGCACTGTTCAGCTGCACTGCCGTCCACTTCCTCACCCCCTCCTGCTCCGCCCTCCTCCGCACCTCCTCCTGCCTTGCTGCCACACTGCCTGCTGCCACTGCCCCTACTCCTCCTGCTGCTGGCCCTACTCCTCCTGCTGCTGCCCCTACTCCTCCTGCTCCTGCTGCTGTGGCTGGCATACTGTCCCCCTCCCCTCCCATAGACAGGCCAGCAGCAGCACTCTCTCCTCCCCCTTCCCGTCCTACTCCCCCTCCCACTGCTCCGTCTGCTCCCTCTCCTGTACCTCGCCCCAGCCCATCCACCAGCCCTGTCACCTGACTCCACAGAGAGCTTCCCCCTGCTGCTGCTGCTGCTGCCCCCCCTGCTGCTACCCCCCCTGCTGCTGCCCCCCCTGCTGCTGCTGCTGCCCCCCCTGCTACTGCTGCTGCCCCCCCTGCTGCTGCTGCTCCCCCCCCTGCTGCTGCTGCTGCCCCCCCTGCGCCTGCCCTCTCTTGCAGTGTCTGACCACCTTGGGACGGTGCGAGGTGGGAGAGGGAAGAGCGGGAGGGAGAGGAGGGGCGGCGCGACGGGGAAGACAGGCGGCGGGAGGGGGAACCAGTGGCACTGTGTCGCGAGGGGGAGGATGGGTGGTGTGCTGCAGCAGCAGCAGCACCAGCAGCAGCAGAAGAGGTGGAGTTTCGTGCAGGAGAGGAGGCGGCACCAGCATGGGAAGCAGGAGGGGCGCCTGCCTGCTCACCGTCGTGAAAGAGACGCCTGGAGAGACCACCACCCTCCTGCTGCTCTTGGTTGCCGTTGTGCTGCTGCTGTTGGTGCTGGTGGTGGTGATGGTGGTGAGGATGGTGGGTGCTGGCATGGGATGGGTGCGTGTGGGGAGCTTGCTGTTGCTGGTGTTGGTGGTGGTCCGTGTGTTGGTGCGAGTGTGCAGAGCCTGGCGTGCCTGGGAGGGAATTTGCCGCGCTGACAGCACCACTGGTTTCCGAAACCGGCTGGAGACAGACAGACAGACAGGGGACACGAGGGAGCAAGGGTTGGGAAGAGAGAAGGGGTCAGCGTAGGGAACGGAGTTTGAGGGGAAGGAGGGGTAGGAGAGACAGAAGCGAGAAGGCGAAAGAGTTTGATGCTGCAACACAAGAGGTGAACAAAGAAGGGAAGAGGTGGCATGAAGAGCAGCGCACCAAGCTGTGTGCTGAATTGCCCTGAACTGTAAATTCTACAGTCCAGCCAAGACTGAAATGATCTGCCCCAGCTGCAGCACTCACGGGAGAGAACTGCAAGGTATATGAACTCATCTGCTCGCCCCGCCAGCACCGGCAGCTAATCCTGCTGCTGCCTTGACAAAACCATTCCAGTCAGCCCGAAACCCTGAACCCCCAACCGCGAGACTCACTGGGAAGAGCTGCAATGCGCTCACAATGCTCTGCCCTCCACAATCTTGCCAGTGCAGACCGGGATCCCTGAAACCCCACCCCCGGCACTCACGGGGAAGAACTGCAGGGCATACGCGATGGTCTGCTCGCCCACCATCTTGTCCGGCCCCGCCAGCACCGACTGGGCAGCCCCTCTCCCACTGCCGCCTCGCCAGTGCCCCTTCAGTCAGCCAGGAACCCTAATTTCCCCAACCCCGGCACTTACAGGGAAGAACTGCAGGGCATAGGCGATGATCTGTTCGCCCACCATCTTGTCCGGCCCTGCCAGCACCGGCAGCTCCTCCCCCTGCTGCCTCGCCAGTGCCATTCCAGTACAGCCGTGAAGCCCCGACCCCGTCACTCATTGAAAAAGATTGCAGCGCGTTCACAATCCTCCGATCTTCCACCGTCTTGCCAGCACAGGCCAGGAACCCTGAACCCCCAACCCAGGACTCGCTAAAAGAAGACCCAGCACTTACCGGGAAGAACTGCAGGGCATACGCGATGATCTGCTCGCCCACCATCTTGTCTGGCCCCGCCAGCACTGGCAGCTCCTCCCGCTGCTGCCTCGCCAGCCCCTCCCGCATGCCGTTCACCGCCTCCTCTGGCGGCATGCGCGACGCTGACAGCGCTTCCATGGCATCCTGATGGGAGAGAAGGGGGGGGAGCGGAGTGGAGGGCAGAGCAATCGCATTTGCTTCTTGAGAGTTGTAAAAAGTCAAGGTGGTGTGGCGGCATGCGCGACGCTGACAGCGCTTCCATGGCATCCTGATTCGGGGGGAGAAGGGGAAAGAGGGGGAGGGGGAGGGAGGGGGGAGCGGAGGGCAGAGCAGAGGGCGGAAAATTCTCAAGAGTCAAGCCGCTGTGCTGCGAGCAGCCTCATCTGGCGGCATGCATGCATGAAGCAGACAACGCTTCCATCAGGAGCTCTTTCACCCATCATTGCTTTATCTCACCCATCGTTACTTTATCTCACCCATCGTTACTTTATCTCACCCGTCGTTACTTTATCTCACCCGTCGTTACTTTATCTCACCCGTCGTTACTTTATCTCACCCGTCACTACTTTATCTCACCCGTCGTTACTTTATCTCACCCGTCGTTACTTTATCTCACCCATCGTTACTTTATCTCACCCGTCGTTACTTTATCTCACCCGTCGTTACTTTATCTCACCCGTCACTACTTTATCTCACCCGTCGTTACTTTATCTCACCCATCGTTACTTTATCCCACCCATCATTACGTTATCTCACCCACCGTTACTTTATCCCACCCATCATTACGTTATCTCACCCACCGTTACTTTATCCCACCCATCATTACGTTATCTCACCCACCGTTACTTTATCCCACCCATCATTACGTTATCTCACCCACCGTTACTTTATCCCACCCATCATTACGTTATCTCACCCACCGTTACTTTATCCCACCCATCATTACGTTATCTCACCCACCGTTACTTTATCCCACCCATCATTACGTTATCTCACCCACCGTTACTTTATCCCACCCATCATTACGTTATCTCACCCACCGTTACTTTATCCCACCCATCATTACGTTATCTCACCCACCGTTACTTTATCCCACCCATCATTACGTTATCTCACCCACCGTTACTTTATCCCACCCATCATTACGTTATCTCACCCACCGTTACTTTATCCCACCCATCATTACTTTATCTCACCCACCTGGCATGCGCGAAAGATCTTCTCAAGAGCAGCAAGCGAACCAATCCGGCTCTCCTCCTTCACCCCCCCCTCCGCCTCCCACCGCTTCTGCCCCTCCAGCAGCTCCTCCCTGTGCGCCCCCAGTGACGCGTCTGCCGCCACGTCCCTCAGCAGCTTGGCGCGCTTGTGCCTCACCGCCTCCAGCCCCAGGCGCAGCTTGATCACATGCTCCATGTCGTCCGCTTCCTCCACTAGCAAGGAGGAGCCCACGTCCTGTACAATGAGGGAAAAAGGTGAAACAAGGGAAAGATTTGAAACAGGAGGGAAGGAAAGCTTGTGCCTGACTGCCTCCAGGCCCAGGCGCAGCTTGACCACATGCTCCATGTCGTCCGCTTCCTCCACCAGTAGGGACGACCCCACGTCCTGTGCACGTCAAATCAAAGAACAGATTAGAACAACGGGGGAAGAAAAGCTTACGCGTCACCGCCTCGAGGCCCAGCCTCCAAAACCAAGACCTAGTGCACTAGGTACTCAAGGTACTCCCTTGAGGTTCCCCAGTTGAGATCGGTACTGTCGGAAGCTCCAGTCCGCCAGCACCTGCCCCAGCGCATCCTCGCTGTACCGCATGAACGTGCCCAACCCGTCCCTCCCACTCACCTGCCAAGCCAAGACCTAGTGCACTCTATTGATGCACCTTCAGGTTGCCCGGCGCACCTTGAGGTTGCCCGGCGCACCTTGAGGTTGCCCAGCTGCGACCAGTGTTGTCTGAAGCTCCAATCCGCCAGCACCTGTCCCTGCGCGTCCTCGTCCCACTCACTGTACCGCATGAACATGCCCACCTCGTCCCACTCACTGTACCGCATGAACATGCCCACCTCGTCCCACTCACTGTACCGCATCAACATGCCCACCTCGTCCCACTCACTGTACCGCATCAACATGCCCACCTCGTCCCACTCACTGTACCGCATCAACATGCCCACCTCGTTCCACTCACTGTACCGCATGAACATGCCCACCTCGTCCCACTCACTGTACCGCATGAACATGCCCACCTCGTCCCACTCACTGTACCGCATCAACATGCCCACCTCGTCCCACTCACTGTACCGCATCAACATGCCCACCTCGTCCCACTCACTGTACCGCATCAACATGCCCACCTCGTTCCACTCACTGTACCGCATGAACATGCCCACCTCGTCCCACTCACTGTACCGCATGAACATGCCCACCTCGTCCCACTCACTGTACCGCATCAACATGCCCACCTCGTCCCACTCACTGTACCGCATGAACATGCCCACCTCGTCCCACTCACTGTACCGCATGAACATGCCCACCTCGTCCCACTCACTGTACCGCATGAACATGCCCACCTCGTCCCACTCACTGTACCGCATCAACATGCCCACCTCGTTCCACTCACCTCACATATTCCGACCTAGTGCACTCTACTCACGCACCTTGAGGTTCCCCAGCTGCGACCGGTACTGCCGGAAGCTCCAATCCGCCAGCACCTGTCCCAGGGCATCCTCGCTGTACCGCATGAACGTGCCCAGCCCCTCCCGCCACCCCTCCACCACCGCCGCCGCCACCGCCACCACGTCCTCCTGCGCGTCCCTGGGCGGCTCGCTCGCCGCCCAGAATCCAAACTGCGATCCGGTCCACTGCAGCACTCGCTGCTCCAGGCTGGTGACGTCAGCGACACGGGCGATGAGGTCAGCGGGGAGCGAGGAGGGGTGGGAGAGCGGGGCGGTGGCGGCGGCGGCGGTGGTGGTGGTGGCGGTGGGTTTGGCGGTGGCGAAGTGAGCGAAGACTAGGGCGAGCTCCTTCTGGCCCTTGGCGTGATCTGCTGCCTCCTGCCGAATCTCCTTGATCCGTGCCTCTGACACCTGGTGTGATGAGGTGTGTGCGATGCAGCGTTGCATGGGGTGTGGTTCAGGGAGTGTGATTCAGAGCTCTTTGTGGCCCTTGGCATGGCGAGGCGTGCGTGGAAGTGATAGCAATGGGGGAGCATCCTCAACGGTGTACCGTGTAGGAGTGAGTCATTACATCAGCCGAAACGTGCGCATGATGCCAGGAGGGGAAAATGCAATAATAATAATAATAAAAACCGGGAATGTGCATAGCAGTCCGCTCAACCGCACTAACAACCGCCCGCACCTTAACAGCAGACCCTCCTGCTGCGCCCGCGGCCTTCTTCCCACCCGCTCGGAACGACGGCAGACGGAACGACGCACTGCCCCGCCGGTCCGCGATGCTCGCACTCCCACCACCCCCTGCGCCCGCGCCCGCTGCCCCCTTGTCCCCCCCCGGCAGCTTGAGGTCGAGGCGGAACGTGCGGAGGGTGGAGCCGGGCGCGGGGGTGGCGGTGGTGGGGAGCGCAAACGTGGAGCTCTTCTGCAGAGCTGGCTTGGCCGGCTGTGGAAGGGCTTTCTCCAAAAACCGCTCGATGGCCGGGACCTGGTGGGGGAGATGGGTGCAGGGGAGGAGGGGCAAGGGAGATTGATGCTTTCCTTGGGCCGCTCTTGTAGACTCCCTTGTTTCCCCCCGGCAGCTTGAGGTCGAGGCGGAACGTGCGGAGGGTGGAGCCGGGCGCAGGAGTGGCGGTGGTGGGGAGAGGTTTGGAGGGGGGGGGAGGTGAGAGAGATTGATGTTTCATTCGAGTCCCCTTTGTTTCCCCTGTCCGCTGCCCCTTTGTCCCCCACTCACTATACTGGACTGCACATCGGCTGACTTAGAGCGCAGCACACGCAGCAGCAGCAGCCGGCTTATTGAGGCGCCTCATACCCTCGATCCCTTCCTCCTCCCCCCCTCACTCACTTTACTCGACTGCACGTCGGCTGACTTGGAGCGCAGCACACGCAGCAGCAGCAGGCGGGCGCACGACACAACTGGCCAATCAAGCGACAGCGCCTTGGAGTGCGCCCACGCCAGCAGCGCCACCACCGCCGCCCGCACCTCCTCCGCCGCCCGCCCCTCCTCCTCGCTGCCAGCTGGCAGACCAGCGACAGCTGTCAGCATCTGATTGGGCCACGAAGGGAGAAAAGCGGCGCCGATGGTTGGGTGAAGGAGGGGTTAGGAGGGATTGGGGGGAAGTGGTATCAGATTTGGTGCAGCCTGCAGGCATGTTGTTGCTCACGCGCTCACATGGGATGCAATGCAATTTCTCGCACACTCACCTCTGCTCCCCACCACCCAGCACTGCCCTCCACCACGCACCTCTCTCAAGCATGCGTTGCTCTCCTCAGCCAGAGCAGCGGCATCGCTCTGCGCGTCCACCATCACCCTATTCATCCGCCCCACCACCTCATCCCTCCGCCTCTCCCACTCCCCACCACTTCCCGCCTGCTGCTGCTGCTGCGGCTGCAACCCCCCTGCACCCACTCTCACAGCAGCAGCAGCAGCAGCAGCAGCAGTAGCAGCAGCAGCAGCACGAGCAGCAGGACCCGCCTGCTTCCCTTCAGTCCCCTGCCCCTGCTGCTGAGCGCCCTGGCCTTCGCCTGCCCCTGCTCCTCCATCCCCGTGTCCCGCTGTGCCATTTGCAGTGATTGCCTGTCCCTCTCCGGCCTGCACCTGTGCCTGCGCCTGGGCCTGGGCCTGCACATGGGCATCCACCTTCATGAGGGCAGAATTCTCGAGAGCAGCCTGGGGAGGAGGAGGGGGGAATATGCAGGGCGAAGGAGGGGAAGAGAGGGGTGAAGGGAAAGGGGGGGGAGAGGATTCATTGCTGCTACTGCTTGCCTGGGCCTGCACATGGGCATCCACCTTCATGAGGGCAGAGTTCTACTGAGCAGCCTGGTGAGGAGGAGGGTGGGAAGAGGAGGAACGGAGGGGGCAATGGATGTGGAATGGATATTGTGGGAGTCAAGGAGCTGGGTTGAGATGCTGTGGGCATGGTGCGCGTGCAGTGGAAATGGTGGGGGTGGAGCGGGCATTGTAGAGTCACATACCCTTCTTGAAACAGTCAACCTCCATTCTGAGAATTGATCACCAGTTACGTTGGAATCCCTTTTGAGAACTCTCACAAGCGATTCTACTCGGCCAGCTTCAGTCAACCACAGTCAACCTCCTGTGTGGGCAAAAGCTCACCAGCGCGCTGTTGGTGGCCTCCAGGCGAGACAGCAGACTGGCATTCTCTGAGTTCAGCTCCTGGTGATTGGGGGAAGACGGGGAGGGAGGGAGAAGAGGGGAGGGAGAGGGAGGGGAGAGAGGGGATGAGAGGGGTTCGACTGGGGGGAACTGGAAAGAAACGTTCAGTGTTGTTGGTGGCTTCTAGGTGAGACAGCAGACAGCCAAGCTGTCGTCTCACCCTGTTCCACGCGTCACTGTTGCTCCACTCCACTTCACCTTCACAAAACCATGACCTAATCTCCTCCTGCCCCATACCACCCACCCACGCCACCTATGCCACCCATGCCACCCATACCACCCACGCTACCCATACCACCCATACCACCCAGACCACCATACCATTCATACCACCCATACCACCCATGCGAGAAGCAACTTACCCGGGTGAGCGCTTCGCTCTTCTCCAGCTCGTTCTTATACGCTGTCATCTTCTGCACTGCCGCCTCAACAGCCATTCCTGACCGATACATAGCCTTGTGAGCCATACATACCCCAGTGACCCATACTCACCCGGGTGAGCGCTTCGCTCTTCTCCAGCTCGTTCTTATACGCTGTCATCTTCTGCACTGCCGCCTCAACAGCCATTCCTGACCGATACATAGCCTTGTGAGCCATACATACCCCAGTGACCCATACTCACCCGGGTGAGCGCTTCGCTCTTCTCCAGCTCGTTCTTATACGCTGTCATCTTCTGCACTGCCGCCTCAACAGCCATTCCTGACCGATACATAGCCTTGTGAACCATACATACCCCAGTGACCCATACTCACCCGGGTGAGCGCTTCGCTCTTCTCCAGCTCGTTCTTATACGCTGTCATCTTCTGCACTGCCGCCTCAACAGCCATTCCTGACCGATACAAAGCCTTGTGAACCATACATACCCCAGTGACCCATACTCACCCGGGTGAGCGCTTCGCTCTTCTCCAGCTCGTTCTTATACGCTGTCATCTTCTGCACTGCCGCCTCAACAGCCATTCCTGACCGATACATAGCCTTGTGAGCCATACATACCCCAGTGACCCATACTCACCCAGGTGAGCGCTTCGCTCTTCTCCAGCTCGTTCTTAGACGCTGTCATCTTCTGCACTGCCGCCTCAACAGCCATTCCTGACCGATACATAGCCTTGTGAGCCATACATACCCCAGTGACCCATACTCACCCGCGTGAGCGCTTCGCTCTTCTCCAGCTCGTTCTTATACGCTATCATCTTCTGCACCGCCGCCTCGTATCGTTGCCTCAGCTCCGCCACCTCTGCTGAGTCCTCCTGCGGGCGGCGCAGTGCCGCCACCGTCGCCGCCATTTCGGCTGCTTCTGCCAGCCGCCCGTGCAGCTGCTCCACTTGGACCTACAGAGGCAAGGGTGGAGGGGGAGGGACAAATTAGAGGCGCAACAGGAAGAGAGTTGCAGGAGAATGAGTTGCCTTCCATTCTTGCTGACATTTTGGCTGCCACTTCCCATATCACCTCTCTATATCACCTCGTATGCCTCGTGTCGTACCCTTCCATATCACCTCACTCTACATCACTTTGCAACCCTCTGCATCACCTTGTACGCCTCCATATCGCCTTGCACCCCTCTATCTCACCTTGTACCCCTCTATCTCACCTTGTACCCCTCTATCTCACCTTGTACCCCTCTATCTCACCTTGTACGCCTCTATCTCACCTTGTACGCCTCTATCTCACCTTGTACGCCTCTATCTCCGCAATGTGTTGCTGCTGCACGCGCTCCATCTCCTCCTCATGCTCCCTCACGGTCTTTGCCCCTTCCAACACTGCTCGAGTCTCCCACTCCTCCTCCATCCGCCGCTGTGCCTCCACCCCTGCAGCCACCTCAGCCTACAAGCACGGAGAGGGAAACAGAGAGATTTGAGCGCAAGAAATTAGCGGCAGCTCGAAAGAAGGCACGGAGAAATGAGTACAAGGCATAGAAAGAGGATTTCAGAAGGCCGTTGCCCCGCTGCGCCTCCACCCCCGCGGCCACCTCAGCCTGCGAGCATGAGCCTCTCCACTTCAGAGTGGTGTTGCGCCTCCGCCAGTGCAGCCTGAACCATACCCAACACTCACACACGAGTGCTTACCCACCACTCTCTCGCTCAAACCCTATCCCTATTCCGCTTCTCACCATGAGCCGTTCCACTTCAGCGTGGTGTTGAGCCTCCACCAGGCCAGCCTGGGCCCAGGCGCTACAACATAGCCTCACGCCTGTCTGTCCCACACTCTCACCCATCCACACCTCTCTTCCCTTCCTCCTCCCCTCTCACCAGGAGTCTTTCCACTTCAGCGTGGTGCTGCGCCTCCACCAGGCCAGCCTGCGCCCAGGCGCGTTGCAGCTCGGTGAGCAGCACACACCCCGTCTGCTCGCTCGCCCTCACAGCGTCCTTCAGCCGCAGCACCTCCTGCTGCGCCTCTGCCGTCTGCCTCTCACTCTCAAACACCTCCCGCCTTGCATCATTCGCCTGGAAGGTGGGTGGGGGGGAGGAGGGGGAAAGGGGACTCAAGAAGGTGACTCTTTAACGCGTTGCAGCACCTCCTGCTGCGTCTCTGCTGTCTGCCTCTCGCTCTCAAACGCCTCCCTCCGTGCGTCATTCGCCTGGCGAGAGGGGAGGAGGGGAATCCAAAGATGACATTTGAACAAGTTGCAACACCTCCTGCTGTGCTTCTGCCTTCTGCTTCTCGCTCTCAAACACCTCCAGACTCCAGTCATTCGTCTGGAAGGTGAGGAGAACGGGAGGATTCAAGAAGGCGACTCTTGGACACATAGCAGCACCTGCTGCTGCGCCTCTGCCGTCTGCCTCTCGTTCTCAAACACCTCCCTCCTGGCATCATTCGCCTGGGAGAAAAGAGGAAAACGGGGGAAGAGGGGGAGGGAGTCAAGGTGACACTCAACACATAATGCAGCACCTGCTGCTGCGCCTCTGCCGTCTGCCTCTCGTTCTCAAACACCTCCCTCCTGGCATCATTCGCCTGGGAGAAAAGAGGAAAACGGGGGAAGAGGGGGAGGGAGTCAAGGTGACACTCAACACATAATGCAGCACCTGCTGCTGTGCCTCTGCCGTCTGCCTCTCGTTCTCAAACACCTCCCGCCTTGCATCATTCCCCTGGGGGAGAAAAAGAGGGAGGGAGAGAGGGGGAGGAAATCATGGTGAAGCTCAACACATATAGCAGTGCCTCCTGCTGCGCCTCTGCTGTCTGCCTCTCGCTCTCAAACAACTCCCTCCTTGCGTCATTTGCCTAAAAAGACAGGGAGAAAGGGAGGATACAAGCAGGTGACTCTTCAACGCGTTACAGCACTTCCTGCTGTACTTGTGCCATCCGCCTTTCACTCTCAAACACCTCCCTCAGGTCACATCTCAAAGGTGCCACGCGCGCCCAGGCTGAACCGTCCGGCAATTCACCCACCCACACACACGATGCCCAACCCCAACGGACCCACAACCCCCAACGGACACACCATGTCGCGCCACTTCTTGATGGTATCCCGCGTGCCCAGGCTGAGCTCAGAGTTGCGCGAGCGAGCGGCAAAGGCCAGCGAGAGAGCTGATTCTGCCACGTCCCGCACGGACGGGCTGCATGTGACCACCACCACCGTCTTGGCCTCGCCGCCTGGTGGTGCAAGGAAGAAAATGAGAGGGAAGGATAGCGAGGGGAGAGGGAAAGTGAGGGCGAGGACAAGCATAGGCACGGATTTTACGCGCCCCTCGCGGACGGGCTGCATGTGACCACCACCACCGTCTTAGCCTCGCCTCCTGGTGGCGGGGGAGGGACCAGGAGAAAGAGGAAGGGGAAAAGTAAGGAGGAGGGCAGGCATAGGCACCGACTCCGCCACGTCCCTCACAGATGGGCTGCACGTCACCACCACTACCGTCTTGGCCTCGCCTCCTGGTGGTAAAAGAGCGAGGAGAGAGAGCGATGCTTGTTCCCTGTATTGGGGGTCTTGTGGAGCGTACTAGGCCACACACAAACGCATTTTCCCACACACCGAGGCAGTCAGGGAGCAACATGGTGAGGTTGCATTGCAGTTGGCGTTTGGCACCTGACACAATTGCACCATACAAGAATGGATTCTCATAAGAAGAATCAGAGCACGCAGCAAGCCAATCCTCCACGTACCAAGGCAGTCGGAGAGCAGAGTGGTGAGCTTGGAGTTGCCGTACGGCACGGTGGGGCGCTTGCCCGTGAGAGCAGACAGACAGTCGCCCAGGCTGCACGGGGGGGTGGACAGAAGGCGGGAAAGAAGAAGCAGACCGGAAACATAACAATATGGTATCCGTTTGCATGTGGCTTGTGGCTTGTGGCTTTGGAAGGGGACCAAACAGAAACAAGGTATTATAGACAGAGAGTAAGGACTTGTGCACGTGCATCAAGCCAGTGCGGGGTTGCTTTCCGAGGCAGAGAACGTTTGGAAACCACAGAGCACATGCCACTTACACATGCATGACAAAACAAATGATAAGCATGCCATGCACAACGTGGGTGGGTGACATGACATGCATCATGCATGACTTGAATGACACGCAACACACATATGGCAAGCCAAGAATGCACCGTACGCTGACAATGGACTTTTGCACGTGCAGCGAGGCGGCGAGCTTGACCCTCCAGGCAAAGGAGGAGCTTTGAACAGCACAGACAGAACATACCAGATCGCACTTCACACCCCATCAACCAACCCATCAACCAACCCATCGACCAGCCCATCAACCAGCAGCGCCGTACGCACGCTGAGAAAGACTTCTGCACGTGCAGCGAGGCGGTGAGGCGGTCGCCCGAGGCGGAGGAGGAGCCTTGGAAAGCACAGAACATACCAGAGAGCTCTACGCCCCACCCCAGAAACAGCATCTTACGCTGAGAATGACTTCTGCACGTGCAGCGAGGCGGTGAGCCTGTCGCCCGAGGCGGAGCGGAGAAGAAGGTTAAAGCAACACAGAAGATATTATAAGTTTTACACCCCACCCCACCCCACCCCACCCCACCCACCACCAGCAGCACCGTACGTACGCTGAGAAAGACTTCTGCACGTGCAGCGAGGCGGTGAGCCTGTCCCCCGAGGCGGAGGAGGAGGCGAGGAGGCGCTCGCTGGAGGCGAGATCCGCCAGCAGCAGCTTGCTGCCCTGCTGCTCTCCTGTCACTGGGTCGTCGTGATGCACTCTCACTATCACCACCCTGGGGAGCAGTCACGTGGCGGAACACAGAGCGGGGAGGAGTGGGGGGAAAAGAGGAGGGGGGTTCTGCCATTTGCTGCCCTGCTGCTCTCCTGTCACCGGGTCGTCGTGATGCACTCACTCGCACTATCACCACCCTGAGGTTCGGGGCATGGGAGGGGCAGAGGAGGACGATGGGGTGTGAAGCTTGCCTGTTATCGTGTTCCCATACAAGAGCTCATCTATGAATGCATAGGAACAGGCAAACATAAGGGGGGAGATGGGAGAGGGGTAGGGGGGAGGGGAAGGAGGGAGGGAGAGAGGGGGGGGAGGGGCAAACGATCATATAAGCACAGCAAGAGGAGCGTAGAGTTTACTGGTGCAGGCGAGAGAAGAAGCTCACAAGTGGGAGAGCTTGTTGCGCTCCTTGCTGTCACCAACAAGCCCACCTCCCCCAGATGCACCTCCCCCTGCCGCGCGGTGCTGCAGAGCTGTCTTGACCACCTTGGCATACTCCATCGGGTTGCTCACCGCCTCCTCCCTCACCCCCCGCACCTCCACCTCCCCCCACCCCCCCACACCCCCTCCTACTCCTCCTGCTGCTGCGCCTGCTCCGCCTCCCCCTGCTGCTGCTCCGCCGCCTCCTCCCGCCCCCCCATGCACGAGTTCGACCTTCCCCACGGACCCATGGCCGGCCTGCAAGGGGTTCACCAGCAGGTCGCTCAGCTGTGGGGCAAGGGAAGACACGGGAGAAACGGGAGAAACGGGAGAAACGGGAGAAACGGGAGAAACGGGAGAAACGGGAAAAATGGGGAAAACGGGAGAAACAGGGAAAACGAGAAAAAGTTCCAAGATGGAACAAGGGTTGAAAAGGAGGTGAGGTGAACCGATGAATCCCCCCTCCGCTGTCCGTCCCCTTCCTCTACTTTCCCCCTTCAGCCGTTCCCTCAGTCAGCCCCTAAACCCAGCCCACCCACACCTCTGCTCGTTTCACATCTAAATTGCCTGCCTCACAGCTCTCCTCACTCCACCAACCCACACCACCCCCCTCCCCTCCACACCTGCTCGTTGCACATCTGCACCGCTCTCCGCCCCCCTTCCCCCGAGCCCCCATGCACCCACCCTTCACCTCCCCTCCCCCCTTACCTGCTCGTTGAAAATCTCGAGCACGCTGACGTGGAAGGTGTAGCTGTCAGCAGGGGCATATGTTGAGTTGGCAAGGTCGTAGATCTCATCAAACGCTCGGTAGAAGATGCCGCGGTCGTGGGACGGGCCCTCCTGGAATGCCGAGATGGGGGAAATGGGGGAGGATGTGGAGAGAAATTGGGGTCGTATGTGCCATGCATCTCATTGTCAGCCAGTCCAGGTTCATACATCCCCTCTCATTAGACAACCGCCTCCCCTGGCCAACCACGCAGGCAAGGGGCGGGAAACAGCAAAGGGGCAGGAATGCATAATCTCCTTCCACCCCCGTCCCCCTGTGTATCTACTTCCGAAAATTCTCAACTGCCTATCCGACGCGCATACGAATCAGGGAATCTGCTTTCTTTTCCTATCAGCCTTTGCATGTCCATACCATGGTGTGTGATTTCCCCGATCCGCTCTGGCCGTATGCGATGATGGAGGCGTTGAACCCGTCCATCACAGCCTGCACCATGGGCTGCACCGCGTCCACGAATAGATCACCTGCACAACAACAAGGTGGAGGTAGTAGGTACAAAGCGGTTCAGTGCGGTGACAGGCGTTGAACCCGTCCATCACAGCCTGCACCATGGGCTGCACCGCGTCCACGAATAGATCGCCTGCACAACAACAAGGTGGAGGTACAGAGCGGCTCAGTGCGGTGACAGGCGTTGAACACGTCCATCACAGCACTCCCTGCACCATGGGTTGTACGGCGTCCAGGAATAGATGGCCTGCAGAACCCCTCGCTCACATCACATCACATTGCACTGCGATTCAGTGCGGTTCAATTCAACTGGCTCACCTTGCCCCACATGCGGCCCATAGATGTGATCCAGCTCATAGTCCCTCTTTGCCAGCCCGCTGCTGCCACCAAGCTGACTTTTGAGCCGACTCAAAAGTCACCTCATTACACTGCGATTCAGAGTGGTGCAGCCCTCACCTTGCCCCACATGCGGCCCATAGATGTGGTCCAGCTCATAGTCCCTCTTCGCCAGCCCACTGCTGCCACCCCCACCACCCAAGGATCCAGGAGACCCTGCACTGCCCGCACCGCCAGCACCAGCCGCACCGGCCGCACCGGCCGCACCGCCAGCACCAGCCGCACCGGCCGCACCGGCCGCACCGGCAGCAGCAGTGCCCGTGGAGGAGGGGTTGATGCGGATGGTGGTTTCGTCTTGGAAGGAGAGTGCGAGTGAGTCCTCGTGCTCGAATGTTGGGCGCACCCGACAAACCACTCGTATGTTGCCTGGTGGGTTGGGGGGGGGTGAGGGGAGGAGAGGAGAGGAGGGTAGAGATGTGAGGAAACGGTGAGCGTCGTGTTGCCACACGAGAGATGGAGAGAAAAGAGCCTCAGGTGGGAGATTACCTTTGGACTTGTAGGGAAGGCATCAGCAGCATTATAAGGAAGGAACTGGTAGCATTTAAAGCCAGGGTCTCACGTAAGCTAAGGAGCCGTCAACTGCAAAGCAGTTGAAGCTAGGTTACCTAGTTATTGCAGACGAAGTTCTCTCTGGTTGGGTTGAAAAATCAGCTTGCGACACACCCCGTCATTGCCCCAGAAGCAATTGCACAACACTTTTGGGTACTTGAGACTATCGATGACTTGGGGGCATTTTAGGTTTGGCTCCAATCACAGCCAATCACAGCCAATCACAGCCAAACTTTCACCATCAACTGCAAAACACTTGTCGTACTTGAGTCCCTGGCTTTAAAGGAAGGGATCGGCTGGCTGGGAGGGTCACCTTTGGACTGGATGAGGCTGTTGAAGAGCCGCCGGCGCTCCTTCTTCAGAGGCGCCACCTTTGACTCTGCCTCCTGTGCCACCTGGTCTGCACGCTCCCACACACATGGCGCACAGGCGGCAGGACAGATGTGAAAACACTGTCTGATTTAAAAGGGAGCCTTAAAATAGCCACCTTTGACTCCGCCTCCTGTGCCACCTGGTCTGCACGCTCCCACACCACACAGGAACAGACGGTGGCACGGTTGTGAAAACACGGTCAATAAAGTTCTAAGGCACCTCGAAAAAGGCCACCTTTGACTCCGCCTCCTGTGCCACCTGGTCTGCACGCTCCCACACATGAACGGACAGGCGGTGAACCATGAAAACGCTTGGGGGACGGGACTTCCTCCCAGTCAAGTGTGTGTGGCATGCAGTGCGTCAGCTTCAGGTGCAGGTGAGTCTGAATGCGCAGCAGCTTGGGGGGAGAGAGCAGTAGCTTCAGTCTCAAACAAGATGCCTAAGCACGAAAGCCATGCAAGGCACACACGTACCGAGTCCGTGCGCCTTCTTGGCGAGAAGCTGTAGGTAGGTCTGCGCGCGCATGAGCTTGGCGGAGGCGTACTCCTGCAGGTCGCACGCGTCCTGTCGCAGCTCCAACACCTCCTCCCTCGCTTGCTGCGCGCACGTTGCCCCGGAGAAGGGGGAAGAAGGGGAGGCGGGGAAGGGGAATGGTGCGTGTGTGTGAAGAGTGGAGGCCCAGCGGGGAGGGAAGGGTTTGAGGTGTAGGTTTGGATATTGGGGCCGACTCAACGGACGTTGCACCAGACGTCAACGGACGGCTGGAGAAGGGTGGAAAGGGGGAATTGGAAAGTGGAGAGCGAAGAGAGGATTCGAGGGAAGGGGGGTGGGGAGGAGAGGGATTGGAGAATTGGGACGGGAGGGATGACGGGGAACAGGAGGGTTAGAGATGAAGGTGCTGGGGAGTGATTCTGTTGAGGCACGCTGCTGCAGGTCGCACGCTGCTGCAGGTCGCACGCTGCTGCAGGTCGCACGCTGCTGCACGTCGCACGCTGCTGCAGGTCGTACGCTGCTGCACGTCGCACGCTGCTGCACGTCGCACGCTCCTGCAGGTCGTACGCTGCTGCACGTCGCACGCTGCTGGCGCACCACAGCGCACCCGTGCTGGATAACACGGGGGAGTGGCGGGAAGTGACGCGCGGGTTCGCCGCAGCGCTCTACGATGGAGAGAGGTGCTCCACTGCGTGCAGAGCGAGGAGAATGGGTTCCATTGGTTGGAAGGCGATGAAGTCCATTCTCCTCCCTCCACAAAGAAGTAAGCTAAACAAAGCTCCCACAACCTCCGACAAGCTCTTATAAACTCCCATAAACGCTATGCGCTCCGCTCCGCTGAATAAGTTACTCACTGGAGGTGAACCTTCTACACGCGCATTGGGACTCACCCGTAGTCGATCCTTCAGCCCGACCGCCTTTTCCGTTACCGCGGCCATTCGTTTCTTCCCGGCCGTCATTCCGCCTGACGCTCCTTTTGACGGAGTGCCAGAACCGGCACCTTTGACGGTCCGGCGAGTGCCAGCCGACATTCGGCCGGTTTGCGGAGGAGGAGCGCCCGTGCTTGACGCCGCTGATGGCGGGTCTGACGACGGCCGACCGATGTCTGACAGTGAGGCACCATGGAACCACTGATCGTCCGCCATGGCTGCTAAGTGACCGTTTTACCGAGGACAATAAATCAAGCGATGGACGCCAAACAGTCGCAATGCTGATGCTACGCTTTCGAGCAGCGTGCTACCATTTAGCCTGATAAGCTAGGGGGGTGGCACGATGCCGTTTTCACTAAACTCCTACAACCGGCACGAAGGAAAGTCCCAGTGGACTTGAACAAGCTACGCTACGAAATTCGGTGTGCATAGGGAGCTAATAACAGAAACGCCACTGTTTATATCGAAGCGCTACAAGCATAGTGCGAGTTCTAGCGTTTACTTAATGGCTGCACAAATGCATGTATTGAAGCAGCGGTTCCAATCAGCCATTGTGATGCTGTTTCCGAGCATGACTTCCGACCTACAAAGCAATATATGAGGAGGCAGGCATGATGATATGCCTCACAGACTGATCTGACAGCAGCCTCTGACACACTGTTGGAAAAATCGAGGGAGAAAACGAGGGAGAAAACGAGGGAGAAATCGAGGGAAGCGAATCAAAAGGCAAGACAGCCGACAGGAGGAATGGAGGAGGTACCCAAGAACATGACGACCAGCAAGGGCGCGGAATGGCGCGATTGGTTGGATTCTGCAAGAGCCGACAATCGGATGACGAGAGTTACCTTTTCGTTTACAGGCTACACCTCGTTCGCACACAAACAAAAATAGGCTCAACAGTACTACATTTTTCTGGGATTGCTCCAGATTCACACAGATCGACACCTATAGGAATTCTTCTGAAACAGAAGAACTCGTTACAAGCTCAGGTCGAATCATAGCCAGCTTCGTGGCAGCTTTAGAAGCATCCAGCTGTTGTGCCACGCTGGAACACTTACTCCGAACGAAACATCTCCAGGCACTTCCACCAACCTATGCCCAAGGCCGTGGGCAGTCCTAAAATTCTGTTTTTGAGAAGTGGGAGGAGTTAAAAGCAAGGAAAGCATACCTATTGAAAGATAGAAATAACATTTGTCCTCCTTTTTCGTACCCTTGAAACCTTCTTCTCTCTGCTCCATAGTCTCCACACCTGGACCTGAAGACGGCCAATCTCGAGGTCCCGCGACCCTGCCTGCATCCCGTGACCCGCCATCACCCTACAAATTCTCCCCTCACTGCTTTCTGTTTAGGCTGCCTCTTCTCTTTCTTTCACCTCCATTCCGTCTGTCATTCCTCCAAGCACAGCACGACTTGTCCGGACAGCCTTAGCTCCCAACACATACACGTCACAATGGCGGCTACCGCCCTTCATAAAGCTCCCTCCGTGGCGTCTCCGTGCCTATCTTACAAGGTCCGTTCGCCATACCTTCCTCCCAATGTCAGAACTTTCGTGTTTCCTGTGTGTCGCACGACTGCCGCAGTTATCGCACGCCCATTACCGAAGGTCGCCAAGGAGACTCAGCAATTCTAGGAAACTCAGCAATGTTAGGAAACTCAGCTTTTTCTATCTGCTACGGTGGTTCCTGTGCAGGCGGGGTCAACGTCACAAGCAGCGCGATCAGCAGTACCAGGTAGGCACGTTCACGAGTTAAGCCTGATGTATGATCGCATTTGTGATGTAATCCGTGTCTGCATCGCCGTGTCTCAACTTCCTTTTCTCGTCTTCATAACAGCTAGCACTATTTTCCCCTTCAACGAACCATGCTTTGATTCGACTCACAACATAACAGCTAGCACTTGTTCTCCCTCGCCTCCCCTCCACTTCTCCCTTCCCGCGCCCTTTTTCAAAATTATCTTCCGCTGACCCTTTACCACCTCCCACCCACCACCATCGCATTACCTCCAGCTCTCCCTCTCAGGAGCCTGTCTTCCCTCTCCCAGTCCTCCGCCTTCCGCCAAGCCTGCGCGCGAGTCTCGGCCTCCCGAGCCAGCAGCCTCGGCGCGAGCCGCAGGGGAGGCGTGGCGGTGCGCGCCATGTCGTCTGATGGCGGGGCCGGCGGCGGCGGAGGCGGAGTGGACATCTGGGTTGGGCGGCTGGCGATGATGGGCTTCGTGGGGGCTCTGGTGACGGAGGTGGCCACTGGCAAGGGGCTGCTCGAGGTGAGTTAGGGTCTGTTTGGTGTGCGTTGTGCGACTGGAGTTCAGTGTCTCGAGGCGACGAGGCTCCAAACGTCGTGGCCGGCGATGATGGGCTTCGGTGGGGCTCTGGTGATGGAGGTGGCCAGGCCACTGGCAAGGGGCTGCTTGAGGTGAGTGAATTGCTGGTCGACGACTAGCTTGAGGGGAGTGATGGGCTGCTCGAGTTACGTTATGTGAATGAATTCTGTGAAGGTGGTGCTCGAGGCGAATGGGCAATAAGAATGTGTGTTGTTGTTGTGTTGAAGGGGAGGATCATAACAGCAAGGCACACTCACAGTGAAAATAGATGGAGGAACAGTTCATCCAGTAATGGATGTGGGTGACACAAGGCAAGCACAGCATCTGCGCCTTATGTGAAAGCACGGTCCAAACCAGGTCATGGGTGTTTGTACCAGTGGAGTGGGAAAGATTCGGAGGTGTGTGTGGGAATTGTACATGTCGAAGTCACGTGCGCAGTCTTGAGATATTTTTGTCTACACCACACCGCGGTTCTCATGCCCCTTATTGCATCTCTCCTGCCCTCGTCTTCCCATTCTGGTGCACATCCCCTTCCCTCTCTACCTCTTTGTCCCATTCATAACTCACCCATTTCTCACCGCTGCCTGTCCCTGCGCTGGTGATTGTGGCTGCCACGGGGACATTCACTGCTGCTGGTGTCTTTTGCCCTCCTTTTTCACCTCTCTCCAATTGTGAAAGCTTGCTTTCTGCAACTTGTGGGGGCATCGTGCTTCATTTCATATGGGTATGAGTACATCAATCTCGTCCAATGATAACTACGATTACAGCAAGAATCTTAGAGACAATTACTACATGGGTGGGAGGGTGGGAAACTCGAACTTTGAAATTGAAAAGAAGAACGTGGGTGAGGCCAAATGGCCTCAACCCCCTCTTTTGTAGCCAAAAGAGGGCGAGTAGCGATGCGACGCTGCCTTTGCTGCGTTGGCAATCGCTACACTTTCACAATACACAATTTTTGAAAAGTGTTACACACTTTTAAAAATTTACATATCTCACTTCTCTCCCATTCCCCCTCCCAGCTGATTGGAGTGCCCACACCGCTTCCTGCCCTGGCGCTGGTGATTGTGGCTGCAACGGGTGCATTGACTGCCTTCGGTGTCTTCCGCTCCTCCCAAGACTAGAACCCTCAATTCAAGCCACTGTTTCGCATTTACTGCTCCTCCCAAAATCAATACCCAGAATCAATTTGACGTGAAATATGTGATGTCATGTCATGCCTTTTTGTAAATCTGCCACTTGCAGCATGTAAAACATGCTTTATTCAGGAATGTGTTCCTACCATGCGTATGAACAACTGACGAAGACCTGGAAGATGTTTTCATGACTTTTTTACCACACAAAATGCTCGCTGAGTCCCAACGCAATAGTAGCACCAGTCATTTACACCATATTACAGGCATTTAACAAAGACAAACCAAATAAAAATATTATCGATTACACAGAACCTACATTGCGCATGCCTCGGCTGGTGAGTTGCCAGCCGGGCGCCTCACACCATGGGGAAATGGTGTGCAGCTCGGGTATTAAATTCTTACCGCAACAGGTAAGAAAATGGATTGGAACGGAGGGGTGGTGTTCTGTGCAGTGTTGGTCGTACAGTGCGCGTTGGTGATGCTGCGAGTGAAGTGTAGTGTTACACCACAAAGTTGTCAATCACATGCTGTATCACACTGGCTCCATGCGCCTTGAGTGTCGGGATGTTCACCTGCAGGGCATTGGGTTCAGGGAGACAAAGGATGCATGTTAGCTTGCTGTCACATGCTGTGCTGCACTCACCCCATGGCCTTGAGCGTTGTCAACTCTGGGCAAACAGAACACAAAATAAAAGCGAACATGATGCAAGCCGAATGCACTCATATGGCAAACAAAAGCCCATCATGCGCGCTAAACAAACTCCGATATATTCAATCCCACGTAATGAGGCGCAGTCGGATGGGGATGGTGAGGGCGGGGAAGGGTATACCTGAATGAGGATGTGAGCGAGGAAGGCGAGTGGTGACGATGCAAAGTTGACATCAATGCGAGCCCATGGGACACGGTTGAGATTGTCCACCATGGCGTCTGAGGGGCAGGTGAGGGTTGAGACACGTGAAAGGAACTCATGAGTTGTATGGAAATCGGAGCATGAATCACCTCTGAAATCGTTGAGCCCATGGGACCCGGTTGAGATTGTCCACCATGGCGTCTGGAGGGTTGGGGGAGCAGGGATATGTGTGAGATGGATGCTTGGATGGGAAAAGCTGACAGCAATTATGCGAGCCCATGTGATGCGGTTGAGATTGTCCACCATGGTGTCTACAGGGCAGGAGGAGCATGAGGGGCGTGAGAGACAGGAGAGGGACTCATGAGTTGCATGCACGAAGGAAGCATGGGTGATGATTTTGGAATCGACAATGAAATCATTGAGGGCACGCAACTCATGAGCCCCTCTCACGGTTGAGATTGTTTACCATGGCTTCTGGAGGGTTGAGATTGCGGGAGAGAGGCACAAGGAGGTGAATACAAAGGAACTAGGAAGAATCAGAGCCGCTGATACGTATGAGATGGATGATTGGAGCAGGAAAGCTGACAGCACTTGTGTGGGTCCGTGGGATGCGACGGAGATGGTCCATGATGCCATGATAGCACCCCAGGCAACGACATGGATGGCAGGGAACAACAAGGATGGCAGGGAATAACAAGGATGGCAGGGAACAACAAGGATGGCAGGGAAACGCCAAGGATTTTCCGTTTGGTAGAGGACACTCAAATGCTAGAGAACACTTGGTAGGAAGTGGTTCATCAAACAGTGCAGCAAAGCGAAACAGTAACACAGGCGGGTGGTTACCAGCACGACGCCCTAAATCAGAAGAGCAAGTCATGACAACGGAGGCATAGAGAAAATCCCACCTTCCCACTGCATGTGAATGCTGTGCTTCTTCGGGGCTATCGCTGCAGCACGTGGCAGCAAGGCACCACCACCACCAGCGCCAGCAGCAGCAGTAGGACCACCAATAGATGCTCTCCTCGCCTTACTCTCGTCCCCACGCCAGCCCTCATGACCACCATGCCCCTCGTCATTCTTGGTCGCCCCCTGCGCTCTTCTGTTGTCGCCTTTGCCACTCCCCTCCTCACTGCTGGCGCCACTCCCACCACCACCGCTGCCCCTGCCACTCGCGCCCCTAGGAACCATACCCTCACTCATGCTACGCACCAGCTGCAACCTTTCCTCCTGTCCCTCCTCAGGTGAACAGTCAGGTGGATCGTCAGGTGTTTCTTTAAGGTTCTCAAACGCCTGCCCTCCTCCCTCACCCTGCTCGGTATGACCCTTGTCTTTCAGCTTCAGTGGCTGCTGCTGGCATGGCAGGAACTGCTGCTGAGGAGAACCGAATCCAAAGTTCAGGCCAAAGCCGCCAGTTGATGCTGTCCGTCCCCCCATTTTCCACCTTACCTTCAGGCGCGCAAAGAAATTAGCGTGTTCTTTTGTTTCTGGAGGGCAGGCTGCAGATCCACCTGACGGACCACCTGAAGCACCACCTGAGGGACCACCTGAAAGACCACCCGTGGCATTCCCTGCCACGAAATCAGAAGCTTCAGCTGCTAAAGCGCCTGTGGTGTCCGTTCGTGCAAAATCAACAACAGAGGAAGCAGCAGCGGCAGCCGCAGCAGCACTAGCATGCAAAGAAGCATCACAGGCAGCCAAGTGCAGAGACGATGTGTCAGCATGGCATCCTTTCTCCTCGCATCGCATGGGTTGCACTGGGACCTCTGATTGGCACTGCATGGGCTGTACTCTCACGATGAAGCGATAGTCTGGCAGCTCGTGTAGCTCGTCTGGCTGATGAGTGGGTGGACGGGCGGAGAAAGAGAGAGAAAGGATGATGAAAAGAAGCAGCGGTCTTGGAATTTTACTTAAAGCCAAGACGCAGATGCTGCACTCTCACGATGAAGCGATAGTCTGGCAGCTCGTGTAGCTCGTCTGGCTGATGAGTGGGTGGACGGGCGGAGAGGGGGGGAGCAGGGGGAACTGAAAGAAGCATTGGCCTTGAAATCTGATTCAAAGGCATAGGCTGCACATGGGAGTTTGATTGGCACTGCATGGGCAGTACTCTCACGATGAAGCGATCATCTGGCAGCTTGTGGAGTTCGTCTGGCTGATGGGTGGGTGGACGGGCAGAGAAACGGGGAAGAAGGGAGAATTGCAAGGAACTGGGGGCTCTGAGGATTCGCTTTAAGGTAGGAAGGAGGTGTTATGCAGGTGGCACGACGCAAGGGGTTACAGAGGTTTCAAATCGAGACGACGATTCTAGGAAAAAGAGGCTGGGTATAGGGGAGGTGGAACACCAAGGGAAGAGCAGGTGGCTGGAGCTAAAAAACAGGAACGATATTGATTTGTGGAGAGCGCAGTCGCATAAATATGGAATTACAGAGAAGGGGAGAAGAACCCACAGACGGCTTATGAGTCAACTCAACAGACAGGCTAAGGCAGCAAGAGAAAGGAGGAGATATGAACCCACCGATGGCATCTCCCACTGGTGCCGGATCGAGGCTGTTCGCCAGCCAACCATTTCTGCATGCGAGAATGCACGCAAGGGGGAGGAATGAAGAGCGGTTAAGGGAAGACGAAAGTGGGCGGAGACGAGAGGTGGTACGGTGTAAACGACGGGAAATGTGAACAACAAATGGGCCAATGCAATTAAAGGGATGCAGTGAGTGCTTACGATCTCCTGAGACATTGGCATATGCAGCTCTGTACTTGAATGAAGCGAGCGCAGACCTGTGGTGGGGGGAGGGGGGTGGGGGTGGGATTCAAGAGCACAAGGTATTACAAAATAGGGAAGGCTCAGGAACATTCTCACGGTCTCCTTGAAATCTGCTTTAGTAAATACAAGATGAGGTAGTAGTTAAGCCAATGGTTACCAAGATGAGGTATACCAGGGATTCTTCCAGGGTGGATGAAGGTAGGACAACACAAAGATTACTGGCCCAGCCAGGTGTGAGAGGGGAACCGGGAAGAAGCTGAGATTTGATCAATGGCATATTGGCATTACCTTTCGTGACAAGCTATCACACCTGGATGGAAAGATATTCACTACGAGAATGGGTTGAGCAACAAAGACCTACCGTCTGCCACATGTGTTAAGAAAAAAACAGAACAAGACAGCCCTTCTTGACAGAGACCACGTGATAAAAGTAAAATTTTGAGACGTCTCAATATGTTTCTTTTATCACGTAACAGAACAAGACAGCCCTTCTTGACAGAGCAAACGAACTGACAGCCTAACGTACAAGAAGGGGCCTTCCTCGTTGTCTGTAGTCATGCGAAGCAGCAGCGGCAGCTGGTGCTTCACCTTGTGACTCCCGACCCCTTTTTCTGTTGTCTCCTCTGACCGGCCTTCTGCTGCTGCCACCCTTGTCACGTCAATCATGCTGCTTCCCAGCCGATGCAACCGAAACATCCCGTGCTGCTGCTGCTTCTGGTCCTGCTGCTGCTGCTGCTGTTGTTGCTGTTGTTGCTCCTTCGGGGTTGCCTGCTGCTGCTTTACAGCCCCTCCTTTCCCACTGCTTCTGGTTCCTGCCTGGCCCAAATTGGCCTCAGCACCCACAGCAAGAGTTTCGGCAGCTGGATTGGCAGAAAGGTCAGCAAGGGGACGACCAGTGTCAACGGAGGAGGAGAGAGTCGTGTCGGTACCGAGAGGGGGTTCGGCACCAGACGCGGCATTCAAAAGGTCGACACAACCCGTAGAATGGTTACCATACGCACCGTCTGCTTGAGTTGTGCCAGCCACAGCATCACCCATAGCATCAACATCAGCCGTGCCTGGTTGATGATCGGCACCACCGGTGGTGGTGGTGTCAATCCGAGTGTTGGCTGCACCCGCGGTTTCAATCTGAGGTTCTGCGCCAGTGGAGCCAATGTGAGGGTTGGCATCAGCGGTGTCAATGTCGATTGTGTCAACGTCAAGGGCGGAGTCGGGTGTTTCGACTGGAGGGTCGACGTCTGTGAGGAAGAGGTGGCGCGCAGAGCGGCCGAGGAAGAGAGGTGCGAGCGGGACAGACGCCCTCTCGAAGAGACTCACTCTTAGCAGAAAGGGCAGCTGGACAGGCGATGATGGGGGGATGGTGGATGGGTGGATGGACGGGCACAATGGAGGATGGGATGAGGGGTTAGAACAGAGCGGCCGAGGAAAAGCGGGGCGAGCGGCACGGACGCCCTCTCGAAGAGGCTCACCTTGAGCAGAAAAGGTAGCTGGACACGTGGGATGGAAAAATGGGTGGATGGGTAGGTGGAAGGGCAGAAGGGAGGATGGGACGATGGTTTAGAACACGGGGGGGAGGGGGGGGGGGGGGGGGGGGGGGGGGGGGGGAAGAGCGGGGGGAGTAAGGATGAAGAGAGGGGCGTGCACGATGGATGCCCTCTCAAAATAAAAAAGAACCAACTTCTACCAGTTTATGTTTTCAATCCCACTCCCACCCATGGCATGCACCTCCCCTGGGACAAACTAGCCTATCTAATCGATCCTGCCAGCCAGCCATGTCCCGTCATGTCCCGTCTCTCCCACACAGACTTCCACCTTCCTATTCTCAAGCCTACTACCAGCTGCCTAACGCCCTGACATGCGGAAACGCCATACAGAGGTCCGATTCTCTCACATGACCCTTTCCACGAGAGCCTAGGTGCGGCGAAGCGAGTGTGACAAAGTTCATTGGCTCCAGCCCTGCTATACGCGGCCCTCGGTATTGCTCTCCGGTTTTCCCGTCCTCATCCACCTCCTCCTCATCCTCCGCATCATTTCCTTCTTCCTCCTCCTCTACATCCTCCTCCTCTTCCCCCTGCACGTTGCAGCCTCCATCGACACTTGTGCTTGTTGGCTCTGTTGCTCGTTCGCCTTCGCTCTCTCCTGCTGCAAGCTCCCACTCCTCTTCCTGTGTGCTGCCACCAGCGTCATCCTCCGCATCTAGACACAGCATGGGAGGGAACCCCGAATCCCCCACCTGCAACTGCTCCTCCTGCCTCCGCAGAACATCCAGAACTGACACACTTGGTGATTTCGGCATGAGATGGCGCGGCAGGGATGGTGCGTCGGATGGTAGTGAGGAGGTGGAGGCGCATGTGGGGAAGGTGGTATCTGGTGAGTGCTCCTCTGGTGGAGGTGTACGTGAGAAGCTCGAGAAATAGTCGTCCTCTGGTTGTGTATGTTGGCTCGTTTGCCTGTGCAAGTGGTCGGCTGAAAGGTCGCAATTGCAAGGATCGAATTTAGAAGGGCCGCTCGTACTGTCGCGTGAGGGCGGTTCATGTGAGGGAGGTTCACGTGAGGGAGGGTCATGTGCGGATTGCTCATGCGAGGACGGTTCATGTGAGGCAGGTGGGCAGGTGGGGTGGTACATTTGAGCGATGGCGTATCGGGAGAGGACACCGCCCAGTGAGTGAGCGATGAAGGAGATCCGCCGCAGCTGAGGGTTCCTGTGAATCACTTGGCGCACCTGGGAGAGACCGAAATGGGAGAGGGAGGGTGCGGGTGGGGACGAGCGGGCAAGTGGGGAGAGTAAGAAGCTACATTATGAAGAGTTGCAAGAAAGAACCTTGAATGAAAGGATGGCTCAAACTGGTGAAGAAACAGTCACTGCTGAGAAGAGCAAACAGCAGATGACAATGCAGAATAATATATTCTGTAGAATCATCCATCTGAAAGCCCTGATAAAAAAAAAAAAAAAAAAAACCGTGTAGTTTGCGGATTCAGGCTATTTCAGAGCCTGACCTCGTCTGCAAGGCGGTTGCCGACGACATCGACCCCGTCAACTGTTCGCCTCAGCGACTCGCAGCCTGACATGGCATTCAATGGCACCGCATGGATAGATGGTGTGGTTGAATGGCAAGGTCACAAGGACTGGTGAAATGGCATGGATGGATATGGCTGGTTAGATGGCATGGCTAAACGCCATGGCATGAAACGGTATGGCACAGCATGAGATTGTGTAGCCTAACCGTGATGGGACATGGCATGGCATGTGATAGCATGACATGGCACGACACAGTGACACAGCCAAGAATGTTTACTGTTCTTTTATGCAGCGTAAAGGGGAAAAACACGACAAACAAGAAAGAAGGAACGAAACAAAAAAACAAATTAATAAAGCTTTCTGGTATCGTCACAACCTATCTATCCGTCCACCATTTAGCCTGGCCACGAACCGGAACGTACTGTGCACGAGCAGGTGCGGATCCCCATACGCCTCCAGTTGTGCCTTGGTGTACGTCCAATTCATGGGACTGCGCAAATGACAGTCCACGGCAGGCAAAAGGGGTGGGGGGTCGCGAGACTGATGAGTCTGAACAAAGTGCCTTGGTGTAGGTCCAATCTTTTTCACGGGATTGCGCAAATGACAGTCCGCGGCAGGCAGGGATTTAACGTGGTCAGACTGATGAATCGGCACAACGAGGTACGATGTCATTTCGACTTCAAAGGTCGTCGTGATGAGGACTGGTGAGAGATACGAGCGAACTCGAACAGAGAAGTAGCCGGACCTTCAAACTCCTCGATCCCGGACAACACGCGAACCACAACAGCTTTTTCAACAGCAAGCGAACCACTTTTCCTCGAAAAAAAAAATCATCCAGCCAGCTGTCTTTCAGTCTTTCATACCTTCTGGTGCTTCCGTGCCTTCCGGTTCCTGACCTTCTATGCATTTCGGAATTCCGTAACTTCCGGCCACGCCGTTAACGAGAACGATCAGGTGGTCCTTTCACTCCAGTCTTCCTATCGTCCACTTCAAGTCAATAAGTTTGTTATAATACGTCTCAAATCTTATCTATTATAAATTTTCATGCATTCCGGACCTTTCATACCTTCCGGCCACGCCGTTAACGAGAACCACCAGGTGGTCCTTCACCGCACTCCTCCTATCGACCGCTTCTTGCTTTCTCTCGCTCTCTTTCCTTCCTTTGGCTGCCTTGGTTCCCTCCGTTCTTTTCGACGCTTTCGCCGTGCGATGGGCCCACGCGAAAGCCGTGTTGCTACTTCCTTTCGTCTCGGATCCATCATTCTGTGGCGGCGAGACGATCCTCGCTTCAGCTCGTGTTCCAGGCAGTGCAGCAGTCATGGCTGCCATTGAATCAAAGACTCTCGTCGCTATCCGTTCGCTAATAGCAAAGAAATCAAGCCAGCTGGTACATGAGATGCATCTTTCCTGCTCGTGGATGCTTGTCACTCAAGGGAGAACACATTCTGGAGTAACATTTGGGACCTGCAGGTCTCTCCCCTCTAGGAATCTCCTCCCCAGCTCCCACCCTTGGACATCTCCCACCTGGCTACCGAACAGGGCCCGAGAATGCGGCAGCAAGCAGCAGCAGCGGTGGCGGGACGGTGCCCCGTCCTGTCCAGGAACGAACTTGGGTGTTTCGCCATGTGATGACGCCGCAGCAACAGTGGCGGTGCCTCGATAACTTCACTTTGCAAATGTGGGTGTACGAGAGACAAAACTGGAATGCAAACACAATAAAAATATGTCCTTTCAAGAAATGACAAAAACTCTACCTAGATTTACCTTTTCCGTAACTGAATCCTCTGCGTCTATTCCATGCTGCCATTCATTAAAATTTTCTCGTCTGCATGTACCACGGTCGTTTGATTTGAACCAGGGGTTTACAAACCCACCACCAATTTCTGTAAGGGCGCGTGTCTTTTGGTATAGATTGTCCAAGTTCGAGCCTAGTACCGCTTTGTACCGTGGCGACACGTTTCTCAACTGTATCCTACCGTGTAAAACCTTTATAGAAGTTCGAACTTTGGCAAAAGTTCGACCTCAAGGACACGCGCCCTAACTCCCATATACAGTACCTGCTTTCACAGGCAGCCTAGTTCCGTTATATTGGCTATATTTCGCCAACTTGATACAACCTTTGTGAAGCTTACACGCATTGCATACAACTGCAAATCTGTGTGCCTGTAGTTAGCATTGATGCTACATAGTCCATCCTAGCTGCCCCGTCATAACACATCATGTGTGAGGTACTGTATTACATATGTACAATGCATGTACAACGTAACCAAAAGGTGCATGCTTCTATGTGAGAAGGACCACATGGTCGGAAAATGGCAGGTTCTTCAAGAGACTGCTCTTGCACTCTTGTATCCTTGTCCGCATCAAAGCCACACTAATCTGCAGTATTTTCACTGCTGGGATCACAAAAAGCAGTGGTCACTGGAATGGCCTTGACTATGACCAAGAAGGGCACCACTGCTTGTGACACATTCAGTGCCGTATCTGGAGTGTTGCTTCCATTCACTGACTGCTTCTGGATATGTGCACTGTCCCAGGGCTCTTTTTATCATCGTGCTCTGCCAAATACGATTGATACGGGTCACTAAGATTTACACAGTTCAATCTGATGGTGAATTGGGCAAGTAGCATGACAGCAGAAGATCTGAAAGAGGCGACAAACCCTTTTTGTTTGACTTTGAGCAATATCAGGAACCTTGCATGCTGTCCACTCTAAGAGGTTGATCTCACGGTTGTTGTGATCTCGTGCTTGCTGCGATCTCTGTTGCTGCGACCTCTCTCTTGCTGAAATCGTTCGATTGCTGCAGTCAATCACGTGCTGTGATCTCTCTCTTGCTGTGATATTTCGCTTGCTGCGATTCCTCGCTTACTGTGTCTCTCGCTTGTCCTCTCGAGTCCTTGGTGTCTCAGTATGTTGGCCATTAGAAGAGGATAGTAGAAATTCAATGGCCTACCTCTGCTCGCCGTTGGTCGTCGTTCCTCGCCATTCGTTCAGAACGCAATCATGCTGGTATTAGCTGCGTTCGGGTAGCCACCAAAATCGTCTCCATGGGTCGTCGGAGACGTATGCAAGGACCCTTGGCGACTCGGATCATCACCCAAGTGGAAAAATTGAACGCAGTAGTCGCGGTGGTGAAAAGGGCTACTTTTATGCGACTTCTGGGCTCCTTTCTTTATCGCACAACTATCACAACTCCGGTCGTGGTTTTGGACCACGAGTGAGACGCGTGCGCGGCAGTCTTCCTAGCATGTTCTTTCTGACGCGAGAAGCTGCAACACGTGTCGACGCGCCACATGCTGGTAGCTTCCTCATGCTAGAATGGTGGTGAAATGTTCACGCAGCGTGATAGCACGACCGAGGCATCAGGACCAGAGGTAGAGTCGGTCGACGCTGCAGCGGCGGCCTGGCGGCTTCACATAATTTTGCCGCTTTAGCGGCAATTTTGGCACCTAGAGAACAGCAAAAGCGATTCGCCATCAGCTAATACCCACTTCAGCGACGCATGCTTGCGGGTCTCCGTTCGAATCCCCATTGCCGGGAATGTCCTGCTGTTGGGGATTTGATATCCTTGCAACGCGGAAGCGTGAATACCGCTTGAACAGTTAGGTTTGACTGCGAGGAAAATAGAGTATGCTTACCAAATGTGAAGAGTAGAAGCCTAACGGATTCCGGCCAGCACGAATAATTTCAGGAGATACACTAAAACATGAGCAAGATTCTCTACGAAAAATGTAATGTTGCAAGAGAAACCGACGGCCGTTCGCCAACCGAGAGGCCCGTTAAAGCACTGCGTGCTACGAGCACTACGAGAAACTACTCACCCGTACTGCAAGTGTCCGCTCGACTCTAGCTCTTAGCGGAAGACGACCCATAGCTGTTAAAACTTACGAACGGAGCATGCTTGGAATGTAGAGCACGCCTGCAAAATCTTGGTCTGGATGATCAAATTACAAAGCAAAGCAAACTTTGGCATCGGCTTGTTGAGCTGAGAAAGAGAAGGAAATTTGGGGTGTGGGCAGGCAGAGATGCATCCCAAGTGTTGGAAGTCGACCCAGAACGGAATGTCCCGAATTCCTCTACCTACAAATTTTATCGACGTAACTGGGCTGATTTGGCAGGCCAGAGGGAGGAAATTCCTCTTCGGGCTCATCCCAAGCCCACCTTGACCCAGGTTCGCGATTAGGTCAACCATTTTGCACCAGCTTTGGGACTTCGGCGAGGTACTCGACGGTTACCCGCCAATATCCACTAACCACAAAAAGGGCCGACGTGGATGGCCGCCTCGTCAGCATAGCCACCTGGCGCCATATGCATTCACAAGCGGTTCGAGTGTACCCAAGCTGCAGGCAAGATGCGTCACACGTGATCGAAGATCAACAAGCTGGATGGCTGGATTTCTAGCCCACAGGAGGGGGCAACAAGACGCGCGACTCGCTAGTTCTCGAATTTGGATTTCGTTCCCCTCCAAGACTCCCGCACGACCCCCCTGACCAATGGAGAGTGGGCCTCCTCTCACAAACACATCCAACCTTGCATCCCCCTACCTAGTACAGTATATATTGAAGCTCAGATAGACTTCCACATCAACCTTAGCAAATCAATTTCCCCTGCACCTCAAGTCGCCTTCCGCAGCCGCCACTAACCACAATTAGACCTCCGGTCTAACATTCTTTAAGAAATGGCTGCTGTCGCCTCTTCCTCCCTCGCCGCTAAGGCCCCTGCCACCGCACTGGCACAGTCAGGGTTGACTGCGTCCTCAAGCTCCGCCCTTCCCTGCTTCTCCGGCCTCCGCGCTTCCGCCTCCGTCAAGGCCTCCAAGAAGACCAGCTGCGCTCACGGCTGCAAGTGCGCGCGCCATGCCGTCGTCGTGCGCGCCGCAGCTCAGTCCAACGAGGCGTCCGAGCAAGCTCTCTTCGCCAGCGTCAGCCAGTCCGTCGCCGCTCCCGCCGCTCCCGCCAACTCTGGCGTGCTCGTCCCGTCGATTCTCGGCGCTGGAATTGTAGGCGGCGCGGCCCTTGCTCTTCTCTCAAAGAGCTCCGCTCCCGCAGCTCCCGCTGCTCCCACCCCGGTGACCTTCGACGGTGGATACGTTCCCCGCGCGAAGCGCGCCGCAGCGCCCGCACTGGCAACGATGGCGGCGACGTTCCCGAACGCGATGCAGGAGGAGACGTTCATGCACGCCGTGGCGGAGGAGCTGCGCAACCTGGGCTTTAAGCGCGACAACTGCATCGCGCTGGTGAACACGTGCCGCGACGAGGTGTGCCGGCCGATCGTGAACCTGATCGACCGCGAGTTCGGCATGAGCTTCAACATCGCCGGGCTGGGCGGGCTCGTGAACTGCGGCAAGACGGGGTTCAAGGCTGCCATGAGCCACTCGCCTGAGTTCCCCTGCGACAAGAGCGGCAAGCCCAAGGAACGATGTAAGTACCTCGTCGGGTTCTCCGCGTCCAGCCGTGAAATTTGCAGAACGTTCTAAGAATATAACATAATGCAGGAAAATTATAACTATCTGTTGGATCATGTGAATTCTGACTCAATCCTTCCTCGTGTTCCCGCTGTCCCCTCTCAGACATCTTCTTCGGCTTCCCCCACGTGTCCATCGGCGAGACCGGCGAGGTCGGCTCGCTGCTCCGTCGCGGTCGCGGTAAGCCGGGTAACGCGTGTGGTGCGCTCATCGCCATCCGCGGCGACATTTGCAAGGGCGGTCCCATCGTTGAGGACCCCGATAACGCAGAATACGTGCTCCTTAAGAAGAAGGTGGCGGCCCGAATTACCACCGACGAGCCTAACTTGGTGCAGGTCACCCGCGCCGCGCTCCAAGCTATCACGGACGACCTCGAGTACCTTATCTCGCAGACCGTGGATCCCGCGACCGCGGATTACGCCGTGATTACCGGCGTGCAGATTCACTCCGGGAACAACCTCCCTGGCGAGCCATTCCAGACGGAGCGCCTCTGCGACTACATCGCGCCCAACGCCATGTACGCCGTGATTAACGGCGAGAAGCACATTCTCCACTGCGAGATCAACCAGATCAGCGCCATCAAATCGGTCCCTGCCTACAAGTTCTCTTAAGCTGACCTCAGTATGAGGGGAGAAAATCCAGATTGGATAAATTGCTTGTTGCTAGGCTGAATTCCCTCTTTTTCCACTCAGAATGAGTGGTTTGTGTAAATTTTATCGTTAATAAAAGTAGTTATCCCTATCAATCCTTATCTCACGCACCGTTTAGTCTGGCAGGAAGTTTAGTAGCTCAAGTTTACATAGTACCTGGCCGTAGCTTTTCCGTCCGTTAGTGATGTTTTTCCAATAAATTTCCAATCGCAGCACCTACCCTTTGCCTATCCAGCATCATAATCCTTCAATTCCCCACGAAACCCATATCCAACCATTCTCGACTTCACATTGGATGAGCGTATTTTCTCTCCTTTCGACATCTCCATGATTGTGTAAGGTTATCCTCTGCTCTGAAAGAGGTCGAAACGTTTTCTTCCATTCCCGAAAAGAAACATTTTCCTTTACCATTCCTTCGAGCATGTTCAGGCACGGACGTGCTACAAAGAGGTCTTACGATGTCACGTGAAGCTGACGTGACAACATTGCTGTCGTCACAGATAGGTATGGTTGTGCTAATCCACATTGAAGCATCTGCAAAAACGCTTCATAGTCAGAAATAATGCACCAAGTTCAGACACATTTCAGATTTGGAGAGATGCAGATTTTAGATTACGTTACCACATCGGTAGTCTAAGATACATGTTTCACTCAACTGCAAAGAAAATCTATGATATTGACCAGATTCACTGTTTAGCTGCTAATACTTACCTGTAAGTTGTATTGGGCTACCTGTTAGGCCTTGAGGTTTCCGGTTCTTCCCGAATAAGCTGATCCACGCTAGGGGGAACAGCTTAATTGGACTTACATTGGGAACCTGCTGAAATGCAGTAAGCACCTTATGAGCGTGCGCTATATGCTAGGTCGGGGATCGTCAGGTACCGCTTGTAAAAGCGCGTCTTTCTTGCCTCGTGTTAGCGATGAAATCAGGCATATGATGACCCAACTAAAGCTTCGTTGATCGCCGTGGTTCGTCATTCTCCAAGAACGCGTCCCCATCACCTGCATATAAAGCAAGTAATTCGTTTCCACGTAATGCTACATTGTAAATGCGTTTGGAGAAATGAAGAATATAATACAATTATGGTCTCGTGCTGGTTCGGAGAATAACAGCGGAAAACCACCGATCTGCAGGCATCATAGTATGACGAAATCGTCTTCTTGGAGAACAACCGCTGTTTACGTTGTCTTGGGAGAAGATAGTATTAGACAGGCGCATATACCAACTCCGCCAATTTCATCAGCACCTGTGAAATGGGGGGGGAAATTGGAAAGTAAAGCAATCGGCGATGTCCCTGCAGAAATTCTAGATTGAGATGGCCTTCCTGGGCTGTCCCAACTTCGAACTTGGGACAGCGAAAAAGTGCACTTCGCACGTGCAAGAGATTGGGCAGGTGATGAGGTGGAGGGAGAACGAATCTGGACGTCGCAATTGTTCAGAGGTCCCCAACGTGCGAACACCCCACATGATCGGACGGTTGGGCCTGACCAACTAGAGTTGAGATGCGATCACAGATCGTAGATGGAGTCGTGCAGGAAGTTTTGATCGCACACTGGAGAGTGGGTGAGAACGTGAAAGCAACGTGAAAACAACGTGAAAGCTGCCACGCTGGACCCAGATATTTTTACTTTTGGGGTCTGTCCCGTCCCAAGTTCGCAGGAAGGCGATCTGATGCGCTGAGATTTGGAAATTCCTCTGCGAGGTCCTTTTCGGTGTGAACTGGGCTGGTTTGGTTGGACAGAGCACCAGAATTCCTCTACGAGCTTATCGTAACCAGGTTTGACATTGGCTCGTAACGAAGGTTGGCGCCAGCTTCGGTACTCGGCCTCTTTCGCGCCAATGTCACCACACCTCAGATAATACTGACGTGGACATCACTTCGTCAGCACCTGCCAGATGGCCCGTCTGAAGCCACCAGCAGATCCACTCGTCCTTCACCCTGGCAAGTCGACCCAACAATCTTGAGATCACACCTCGAATCCCTGAAAGTTGGATTCCTGGCTGATGGGGGACGAACAAGCAGCGCGACTCGGTGAAAGCCTGACTGAACTGAACCCAAGGTGCGACTCCACAATTCTGTCGTAGCTTTCACTCACCTCTTGTGTTCCTCAACCTGCCCACTCCCACCAGTTATAAAACGAAACACAGAGGTCTTCACTCTCATCTACGTCCTTGCACTCTGCACCCACTTCTTACGATTCTCACTTCAGCAACCTTTTGCTGGTTACGACGCTGATCTAAATAATACACGAGCAAATGGCTGCTGTTACCACTTCCTCCGTCGCCGCTAAGACCCCTGTCGCCGCACTGGCGCAGTCGGGGTTGTCTGCCGCCTCCAGCTCCGCCATTCCCAGCTTCTCCGGGCTCCGGGCCTCTGCTCACGTCAAGGCCGCCAAGAAGACCAGCTGCGCGCGCGGCTGCAAGTGCGCGCGCCATGCCGTCGTCGTGCGCGCCGCGGCTCAGTCCAACGAGGCGTCCGAGCAAGCTCTCTTCGCCAGCGTCAGCCAGTCCGTCGCCGCACCCGCCGCTCCCGCCAACTCTGGCGTGCTCGTCCCGTCGATTCTCGGCGCTGGAATTGTAGGCGGCGCGGCCCTTGCTCTTCTCTCAAAGAGCTCCGCTCCCGCAGCTCCCGCTGCTCCCACCCCGGTGACCTTCGACGGTGGATACGTTCCCCGCGCGAAGCGCGCCGCAGCGCCCGCACTGGCAACGATGGCGGCGACGTTCCCGAACGCGATGCAGGAGGAGACGTTCATGCACGCCGTGGCGGAGGAGCTGCGCAACCTGGGCTTTAAGCGCGACAACTGCATCGCGCTGGTGAACACGTGCCGCGACGAGGTGTGCCGGCCGATCGTGAACCTGATCGACCGCGAGTTCGGCATGAGCTTCAACATCGCCGGGCTGGGCGGGCTCGTGAACTGCGGCAAGACGGGGTTCAAGGCTGCCATGAGCCACTCGCCTGAGTTCCCCTGCGACAAGAGCGGCAAGCCCAAGGAACGATGTAAGTACCTCGTCGGATTTTTTGCGTCCAAACGTGAATTTCAGAACGTAAGAAAGAAACGAAGTGAGAAACGACAAAAATCTGTTGGGTCATGCGACGTATCTTTCTGACTCTATCCTTCCTCGTGTTCCATGTCTTCCCCGTTCAGACATCTTCTTCGGCTTCCCCCACGTGTCCATCGGTGAGACCGGCGAGGTCGGCTCGCTGCTCCGTCGCGGCCGCGGTAAGCCGGGTAACGCGTGCGGTGCGCTCATCGCCATCCGCGGCGACATTTGCAAGGGCGGTCCCATCGTTGAGGACCCCGATAACGCCGAGTACGTGCTTCTTAAAAAGAAGGTGGCGGCCCGAATTTCCACCGACGAGCCTAACTTGGTTCAGGTCACCCGCGCCGCGCTCCAAGCTATCACGGACGACCTCGAGTACCTTATCTCGCAGACCGTGGATCCCGCTACCGCGGATTACGCCGTGATTACCGGCGTGCAGATTCACTCTGGCAACAACCTCCCTGGCGAGCCGTTCCAGACGGAGCGCCTTTGCGACTACATCGCGCCCAACGCCATGTATGCCGTGATTAACGGCGAGAAGCACATTCTCCACTGCGAGATCAACCAAATCAGCGCCATCAAATCGGTCCCTGCTTCCAAGTTCGCTTGAGCTGACCTCATCATGAGGGGAGAATCCCCTCTTTTTCCAGATTGGAATAGATTGCTTGTTGCTAGGCTGACTCCCCTCTATTTTTCCACTCAAAATGAGTGGTTGTGTAAATTATATCTCCAATTAAAGTAGTTAATTCTTGTCAAACCTTATCCCACTCACCCTCATTCCTCCCGAGTTCAGCCTACCGAGTTTCCTTCTGCTCTGGTGTGGCACCTTTCTTTTCCTTGCCCATAAAGCTTACTAAGGCAGGGTGGAGTCTTTCTTTGGCCAAAACATCCATTCTCAACCTCTGTTTGCAACACCTTGACTCTTTTTCTGGAAATTACCTTCACCTACTGTCAGTGAAACTGCTCCATGACAGACTTCACCCTCACACACACGTATCCTCTCGTCCCCTCTATGAATGTTTCCAGACCTGTTGAAAGCTCTTCATAACAGAAACTAGATTTCAACTAGTCTGGCAGGAATTCTTTAGTATAGTGACCCTCTGTTTTCTTTAGTTGAAGTGGCTACCGGTAGATGCACCTAATCTATCTGTCTATCCATCAACATTGAAGCTAGTGCGGCTTCTTTTGAAGCGTAGCGGAATAGAGAATAAGGCTCTACAAAGAGGCCGCACGTCTACAAGGTGGGAGTGGGAAATGGAAAGAGCACGAATTTCGAGAGACGCAAACCTTGGTGGTTTCTGCACTGTCGAGTAGGTGGGAAATGGAACAGCACTTGTGTTGCATCAATTTCATTGAACACAAGCGAGCGATCCCTAGCAGGATATGAGTTTGCCTGAGTGGGGTGTGAAAACGGGCGAGGAAACACGATCTCTCTCGTCCCCCATCAGGGAAGCACAAGCCATGGAGGAGCAGTTGCTTTATGACCGTTGATGAGAAATGTGTGTTTCTTTTTAGGATTGTGTAGTGTACCATTCGGATTGCAGTGTGGTACACAATAACAACGGTCAATTTCAGAAGCAGACTAATACGTAGTACCATTTCACAAGCCCACTCGAGGAACCCCAATCTAAAGAACATCCATGATGCGTTTTTGTGCCAGTTGAATAATCGAGTGGAGGAAGCTAATGTACTTGGCTGTACTATGCTTGCCATGCCACCTAAGTCTACATAATTTGCCAGTACTAATTTGAGTGCTAAGCCCATTCTGTCAGTGAAAGCCTAGAGAGAGAGCACACGTGTGGAAAAATCTTGCATTGCAGTGCAAGAGACTCGAGTTTAGAACCTCTCGCCGAACCGGACAAACCATGAGCCAGTGCCCATGTTGCAATCCCGAGCGTACTCCGCACGCACGGTGCCGAGCCTGACACCAGCACCCACCGAGGCGCCGAAGCCGGCTCGGCGGAAGAACTCGGTAGGGTTACCAGAAACCATACCGGAGCTGCCAAGGTCTGAGGCCATCTCAGCAAAGGCGTAGGCATGGGTGGTCTTGACCGGGACCCTGATCTCACCCGCAAGCTGAGAGGGAATGCATGGCAGCAGAGACGACAGGGAAGACAGGGATGAGGAAAACATTCAGGGTTAACGGGAGGCATAGGTGCGAAGCACTTGACACAGGCATTGCATGGACAAGATCAGGAAGTTGGGAGCGGGGACGAAAACCCCAAGCACTATCTCAGGCAGCACGTGAAACACATCAACACCACCATACACCAACCCAGCCACGCACCTCAAGGAAGCGCCTGGCAGCACCAATCTCGCCCATGTTGTACCCGCGGACTGAGTAGGGCCCGCCCAGTGCATACGCCTCGTACGACGGCAGGTCGCCCAGGCACCCCCCGTAGCGCGCGTGCAGCACCCCCACCATGGGCGGGCGGTCCGCATGGTCCACGTCCTCCTCACTGAGCTGCATGAAGCGCGTGTGCGTCAGCTGATGCCGGTTGAAGAATGGGAAGGCTGACCCGATGCCCAGGCCTTGGTCCACCTGTGGGTTGCAGGGGGGAAATAGGAGTTGATCATTGAACCGACACCAGCAGTGGCCAGTCAAGGCCGGTCCACGCGGTCCACGTCCTCCTCACTGAGCTGCATGAAGCGCGTGTGTGTGAGCTGATGGCGGTTGAAAAAGGGGAAGGCTGACCCGATTCCTCGGCTCTGGACCGGCTGTGGAGTGAAAGGAAGAGGGGAGGATTGGGAGTTGAAACACATCGAACCGACACCAGCAGCGGCGGTCCACTCGGTCCACGACCTCCTGGCTGAGTTGCATGAAGCGCGTGTGCGTGAGCTGATGGCGGTTCGATTCCCAGACCCTCACGCGTGTGCGTGAGCTGAATGGGAAGGCAGAGCCGATTCCCAGACCCTGATTCACCTGTGAGGTGAAAGGGGAAGGAAGAGGGGAGGATTGGGAGTTGAAACACATCGAACCGACACCAGCAGTGGCAGATAAGGCGGAGTCAAGAGCTACCTGGAATATGGTACGGTCCCCGACAGGCATCCCGACAGGCATCCCGTTTACGAAGGTGGGTGTTGTCACGCGTCAAATTGGCCTGCAGGAATGCCACGCGGTCAACACCGGTGCCGCTGAGCGTGGTGGGCGGGCCGTCGGAGGTGGGCAGGCCCGAGGACAGCATCTCATGACTGGTGTCTGTCTGTTGTCATGCATTCTCACCTGGAAGATGGTACGGTCGCCAACGGGTGTCCCGTTCACGAAGTTGGTGTTGTCGCGCGTCACGTTCGCCTGCAGGAATGCCACGCGGTCGACACCGGTGCCGCTGAGCGTGGTGGGCGGGCCGTCGGGGGTGGGCAGGCCCGAGGGCAGCATCTTGAAGCCGTGCGTGCAGATGCTCGTGTTCTCATCGCGTGTCGTCACCTCCTCTATCACCGCCCCGTACGTGATGCGGCTCTGACGGGTGAAGTTCTGTGAGTGAGGAAAGGGAGGGGGGAGAAAGGGGAAGGGACAGAGAGAGAGGGGAAGGGACGATGGGGATGGCGGGAAAGTTGAAAGGCAGAGGTTAGGCGATTTTTAAGGCGCTTGAAAGGGCGTCGCGGGTGGGTGGGCAGGCCGGAGGGCAGCATCTTGAAGCCGTGCGTGCAGATGCTCGTGTTCTCATCGCGCGTCGTCACCTCCTCTATCACCGCCCCGTACGTGATGCGGCTCTGACAGGTGAAGTTCTGTGGGGAGTGGGTCGCAATAGGAAGGGGGAAGGGGAGGTGGGGAAAGTGGGGAAGGTGAGGAAGGTGGGGAAGGTGAGGAACGAGAGGCGATGGATGGATCATTTCTCTAGAGCTACTGTCACGTCCACTATCAGCCCCCACTATGTGATGTGGCCCTGACGGGTGAAGTTCTGTAAGAGAGGAAAGGAAGACAAGAGGAAGGAACGAGAGAGGCACATCAAGGTGATGCATGCAGATGGTTAATCAGGTGTCATCAGGCGAACACACTGAAGCTGGTGGTGCTCCTTCCTTCTACTAAGTTGTCGTTTCACCAATATTTCACCACTCTTGACCGTTCGTTTGTCCTTCCACAGCTTCAGATCCCTTGGCACCGCTTTCCACCCAGTTTCACCAGCCCTTTTCCCCCTCCGCCCTCTCTCCCCTTGATGCACGCATGGTCCACCAAGACTGCCGACAGCACACCTCATCACAGCTTCTAATCCTGTCCCACCTTGCCTCCCCGCATCTCACCTCACTGACAGTGGCCTTGATGCCGGCACGGTCCACCCAGATGGCCGGCACCTCATCCAGTGACGGCCCGCCCGTGACGACGGCTGGCAACTTGCGGTGGTTGAAACACGTCACCCCTGCTTGCTTCCTCGCCTCATCCCCACCTCTTAGCACCGTTCTTTACCATTTTTTTGCCCCTCTTTCACCACTTTCCATCCCGTCTCACCCCTTTCCACGTTCTATTGCCCACCCTGCCTCCCCCCGGAATCTCACCTCACTAACAGTAGCCTTGATGCCGGCACGGTCCACCCAGATGGCTGGCACCTCGTCCAGCGACGGCCCGCCCGTGAAGACAGCCGACACCTTGCGGTCCTCACCTCTCATTGCCACCTCTGTGCACCGGTTTTCACCATTCTTTCACCCCTTTTCTCACCGCTTTCCACCCTGCCTCACCTCACTGACAGTAGCCTTGATGCCGGCACGGTCCACCCAAATGGCTGGCACCTCATCAAGAGACGGCCCGCCCGTGAAGACAGCCGACACCTTGCGGTGGTTGAAGCACGTCACTCGCCCCACTCGGTTGCGACCCGTGTCGTCCACCCCATCGATGTACGGATGCACGCACTCCAGCTTGAACACCAGATCGTCCTGTGGAGGCCGGGTTGCACAGGGCAAAGGAGGGGAGGGTTAGGTCGGGTGATGTGAGATGTGTCGTCCACCCCGTCGATGTACGGATGCACGTACTCCAGCTTGAACACCAGATCGTCCTGTGGCGAGGGGGGAAGAGGGGACGAAGGAGTGGGGGGGAGGTGGGCGGGTGGTGAGGGGGGGGGGGGGTGCGGCAATCTGAAGAAAGCAGTGCTTGACTGTTAGCACAAACACCTTTGTGCATGCATATGCATACATACGTGTCTGTTTATACATATACATGTATGATATACAGAATAAACTTCATTTATATACCTATGTATCTGCCTTCACGCATCACTAGTACAGTACCTGCGGCGAGAGCAGGTTGCCCGCGCTGACAGAACCGGTGACGGAGCGATTGAGGCCGTTGATGTTGCGGTGCTCGAATGAGACGCTGCCACCTGGCAGGATGGACACCTGGCATTGAAGCGGGTGGAGATGGATAGGAGGGACAGCAGTGTGTGTGAGGAGACAGGAGGAGAACAGGAAGGGAGAATCGCCAAGAGGAAATGAGGAACTGTCATCTCCACCATCGCAGTACCACAGACAACACTACACAGCCCCACGTGCCTGCGCCCCACAACTCACACACACCCCTGCGTTCCACTCACCGTGGGTTTCCCAGTGTCCCCAGGCTGGATGCTCCACTCGGTCTGCACCTCAGCAGAAGTCGGCTCCTGCTCGCGGACCTTCACCTCCATCACAATGCGAGCACACGCACACACAGGCCCCGCAACAACCACAGCACATCCCAGCACATGGCACTGCAAACCCCAAACCCTGCATTCCACTCACCGTGGGCTTGCCGGTATCCCCGGGTTGGATGCTCCACTCCGTCTGCACCTCAGCAGAGGTCGGCTCCTGCTCGCGGACCTTCACCTCCATCACAATGCCGCCCTCCAGCTGGTCGTCGGGGCGCGGGTTGACCTCCATGTTGGCGAACAGCTGCAGCGACGAGATGCTCTGCAGGGCCTTGCGCCCCGCCTCGATGTTGAACACGTTGCCCGGCTTGATCTGCAGTGTGGTAAGGGAGGGATTGGGGAAAGGGGGTGTCGGAACGGGTGGGAGAAAGGGTTGAGGATGCTTGATGCGAGTGGGAGAGGCTCTGCAGCCCCTTGCGCCCCGCCTCGATGTTGAACACGTTGCCCGGCTTGATCTGCGGTAACGGGAGAGGGGTGTGCGCGGGAACGGATGGGGGATGTTTGATGCGAGTGGGGGGTGGGAGATGCTCTGCAGCGCCTTGAGCCCCGCCTCGAGGTGACTTTTGAGTCGACTCAAAAGTCACTTTGTTTGATGTGAGTGGGGGGTGGGAGAGGCTCTGCAGCGCCTTGAGCCCCGCCTCTATGTTGAACACCCATTCGGTCGATTCGGTTGGTCCAGTTGCCCCTGATTCCCCCCCTCACCCTATCCGTCCTTTCCCAGTTCTTCCCCCCCACCCCACTTCCGCCCCTTCTCCCCCTTCCCCTCACCTCGATGGGCAGTTCTCTCATCACAACGCGCTCATCAGTGATGCCTTCGCAGCGCTGCCCCATCTTGTCGAGAAACTGCACCTCCACACCCGCCATGTCAACCCCCTCTCTCCCCTGTCCCCCTCCCCCATCTCCCCTCTCCCCCCCTCCCTTCACCCCAATAGGCAGCTCACCTCGATAGGCAGCTCTCGCATCACAACGCGCTCGTCGGTAATCCCTTCGCAGCGCTGCCCCATCTTGTCCAGAAACTGCACCTCCACGCCCGTCACATCGCCCTCCACCACCTCGCACACGATGTCCGGCGTGTTCAGATTGCCAAAGTTGATCACCTGTAGGCATGTGTGTGCGAGGGAAGAGGGTATTAGGGTATTACTTGAGAAACGCATTCTCTGATCTTCCCCAGCATGCTGCAATGTCACTCACCCACATACTGACCATCCACCCACCCACCCACCCACCCACCTATCACGCACATTCCCACACACAAGCGCCACTCACATTGGTACCACACCACTTGCGAATACGGTCTCTGATCTTCTGCAGCATGCTGCAGCGCCACCCACCCACCCACCCCCCCACGCTCTACCATCCATCCCCCACTCACCACACCACCACCCATACACAGGCCACACTCACATTGGCACAGGCATAGCCCTTGTCGTGGTACCACTTGAGAATGCGATCCCGGATCTTCTGCAGCATGCGGGCAGTGAGGCGCCCCTCGCGCTGCACCATGGCGCTCAGCTCGTTCTCCACCTTGCGCGGCAGCAGGCACTGCCGCGCCTGCCTCAGCCGCTCCGCGTACGCAGCCTCCTGCTTCGCCGCGTCCTCTGACGCCTCCTGCCCCGAGGCGTCCGGCTGCACGAGCCCCATGTTCACACACCGCACCGTCTTCGCCGCCTGCCACTGCGCTTCAAGAACCTTCACCTCCAGCTGCGGCCCGTGCATGCATATGTGGGGTTGTGGGCAGGGGGAAACGGGGGGAAGGGCGGGGGAGGAGGGGAGGGGATGGGGGAACGGGGTGGGGGAGGTGGCAGAACGTGTTAGGGAAGGCCGGGGTGAGCTGGTATTGCCATGGCCGCTCCACGCATGCTGCGTCCGGCTGCACGAGCCCCATCTTCACGCAGCGAACCGTCTTGGCTGCCTACCACTGCGCTTCAAGCACCTTCACCTCCAGCTGCGCGCCACACACGCAATGCAGGGTTGTGGGAGGGAGGCAACGGAGAGTGCTGGGTTGTGGGGGAAAACGGGGAGCGGATGATGGGGGGAACGGGCTGGGGGGAGGTGGCGGAAGGGGCGAGGGAGGACAGGTAGGGATCAATTCTGGAAGCAAGGGCGATGCTGCAGCCGCTCCACCATTCGTAACATGCCGCTGCACGCCACGCTCGCCAACTCCCCCTCTCAAGCTCCACCATCTGGAACATGCCGTTCGACGCCACGTTCGCCACCTCCGCCTCTCCACCTCCACCCCACCTCATCCCATCCCCGTTTTAAGCGAACCCCGCTTCTCTACAAGTACCTTAATGGACCCGTCAGGATTGGCGACGGTATCGGCCTCGACCATCTGGAACATGCCGCTGGACGCCATGTTGGCCACCTCGGCCTCTCGACCTTCCCACCCCCCCCATCCCCGCTATAACTGTTTCGTTACACGCACCTTGATGGAACCGTCCGGGTTGGCGACAGTATCGGCCTCGACCATCTGGAACATGCCGCTGGACGCCATGTTGGCCACCTCGGCCTCGAGCTGCGCGCGCGTGCACACGGTGCCCTTGCCCACCGACACCATCTCGTAGAACCCGTCCGCCTTGGGAATTACGCGGTCGCTGCGCTGGTCAACCAGGTCAACGTCCGCCACGCGGTACCGCTTCGTCGTGCTCAGCTTGTCCACCGCCACGCGCGTGCCCGCCTGGGGGGAGGGTGAGGGGGGGAGGGGGAGGGGAAGGGGGAGGGGCGAGAGAATGGGAGGGGCGAGAATATGAGGCAACAGAGGGCTTCATCTTGCTGACCTTGTCTACCGCCACGCGCGTGCCCGCGTGGGGGGGAGGTGGGGGGGGAGGGCGGAAGGAAGGAGGGCGAGAAGTAGGGAGGGAGGAAGGAAGATATTGAGGCAAAAGAAGAGCTTCGTCGTGCTCAGCTTGTCCTCCGCCACGCGCGTGCCCGCGTGGGGGGGATGGGGGGGAAACAACGGCGAGGAGAACATCGAGCACGATGAGCGGACGACGCTTTTTCTCGTCTTTGGTATGCGGTGCGGGGCGTGGGGAATGGAGCGTGGAGAGTGGAACGAGGAAAGAGGGGAGTGCAGAGTGAGGGGCGGCATTGCGCTAGGATTGAGGCGACATGACTAGTGAGTCGAGTCAATAGTCGCAATGCGGCGTGGGCACGGCACTGCAGTATGTTCACAAGCAAGAGAGCTTTCGATTGCCTTCAGGATTTTTTGAAGGTGTCATCTCCTCGCGCAACTTCTCCCGCTGACTTAAGACGAGGCGCGCTCCAGTCGATCCTCACACGCATGCTGTGTGCCGCCTCATTTGATTCTCACCCCCTAATGATAAGGATTGAACCCAATCTCACCCGCATGCTGTGAGGGTTCAATTGACTCTCACCCGCATGCCGTGAGGATCGAACTCCTCCGCTTTAACCGCCGCAGCCGCCGCTTTCTTTTCCTTCTCCTTCTTCGCCTTCTCCTCGGCCTCCTTCTTCCCCGCCGCCTCCTTCGCCTTCGCATCGCCCTCCTCCTCTTCCTCCTCCTCCTCCTCGTCCTCCTCTTCCTCATCCGACTCCTCCTCATCGTCGCTCTCCTCGTCCTCTGATTCCGACTCCTCGTCATCCTCCGCTGCTACAGCCGCGTCCCACTCCCACCAGTTCCGCTTTCCCCCGCCTCGCCCCTTCCCCCCTCCGCCACCCCCTCCTCCGCCTCCCCCGCCGCCGCTACCCCCCCCACCTCCTCCCCCTCCTAAAATACTGTTAATAATCTCAAGACCATCTTGACGCATTAAGACGCAGCCAATGCCGCTGCCGGCTGCTAGGCCGGCGCCGGTTAAAGCGGCTTTCCTGAGCCATCCGGAGTCTCCGGAGGAGACTGATCGGCTCCGGTTATGGCTGCTGTTGCTGCTGAGAGCGACGATCTGGATGGGTCGCCGTCTGGAGGAGGAGTGTGAGGCGGTGAGATGCGGCGGAGGAGCGTGGAGAGATGCTGGTTGAGAGTGAGCGTCGGATGTGGTCGCCGGGGATTGTGTTGCGACGAGCGATCTGATCGGGAGTGGAATGCGGAGTGAAATGCAAGGGGGAAGTATGAGATGAAGCTGAGAAACTCGACTATGTCAAGTGCCCGTTGATAGAATGTCGGCGATTATGTTGAATAGTACACTTATACGATGAAGGGAAAAAAAAAAAAAAAACCGTCTTAGATTGTTTGCGACTCTACCTAAAAGCGAACAGTTGAGCAAGACAGAACGAAGGTCGAACGTACCACACCACGAGATTTTTTAACTAAGGACGTACTTGATACTCGCATAACTAGCAGCGACGGTGCTAGCTGCTGTCGCCATTGTCTACTGACAAGGGTGATGGACAGGTTAAGAAATTCCGTATATTATGCAGTCAGATTAGAGAGAGCGAGAGGACAAAGATATTTGATCCAGGCTCTGCTGGATTAGGGTTCCACGCGCAAGAGATGCCGTGAAGTTAGCGACAATGGCGGCCAGACTACCTCTGATCCCCCGCTCGATCAGGCTTCTGACCAGAAAGGAAGGAAACCAGGGAGGGTGGGGAAGTGATGTCCAGCACCATTCGAAGGCAGAGAGGGAGGAGCAGACGAGATGCCATGCAACGGATAGGATCAAGGTACAAAGCGATTATGGGCGAACGTGGTAACCAGTTCGATGTCCCGGCTGTCTGATGGGGGGTGTGGTGCTGGCGAAATGTCCGCCTGGGTTTTGGGCGGGTTTGAGATTGACTCAAATTTTCGGAGCTTGTCGTGCTGCCACCTGGCCATAGTTGCCAACTGGAAACTCAATACACTGGCCACTTCAATAACATGTATGAACTTATGAAAAGTGTGTTGATGACATGTGATGAATCCTACCTCAGAAAACAAAGGGTGAATAAATTAACCACAATATCTTGTACAGTGCAAGTCGGTATATAGACCACAATAAATTACATCACTAGGAACCGAAACTAAAATACATGTCCCCACTGTAAAATCATATTTTCTGTCAAATCATGTATCATGTCAACCACTAATTTTAGCGAAGATCTTGTATTCTCTTTCGATGCAAGCGACGTTGCATTCGAGCGTGTGTATGCTGGCTAACAAAGAGCGAGTTTATTGGGGAAGACAGCAGGCTTCTCCCCTTCGATTCAAGGCAGTACTGCAGATCCATTCCCGATGACTGGTCACTCTCATCACCACTCTTCACTGCTTCATACCACTCATGCACCAGACAGCCTCCTGTCCCAGCCACCTCCCCATCTGAACCTCTTACTGGAGGACACTGTAACGAGTATGCTTCTGTAGTCATCGCATTCCTCTCCTGCAATGGACTGACAAGACGGGCTGTTGTCGCTTCCGTTGCCATTGCCTTCTTTGTCCCTTCCAGCACACTTTCTGCGACAGCCCTTACCCCTGCTCGTGCGGCTGCTGATGCTACAACTGGTGCGGCTGGTGCAGCCGGTGCAACAACTGGTGTCGCCGGTGCAACCACTGGTGTTGCCAGGGCAACTGGAGCAGCCATGCCCTGCCGACTAGCTTCTGCTTCACGCATGAATCTGGTGGAACCAGGCAGTGGCTTGTGCCCCCTGAAACCCCTGCTTCGACCCGGCTCTGAACTCGGTCTACGACCCTTGTGCATGCCAGCAAGAGCAACTCTCACTGCCCACTGGCTCATTGGTAGGGTGCCTCTGCCATCTCTCAGCCACACACCAGCATGGTCACCTTCTTTAGCCCCCACACCAGCATGACTGCCGCCTCCAGCCCCTCCTCCTGCGTGACTGCCGCCTTGGTCCATCCACGTGCCAACCTGGCTGTCAGACAGGCAGCTGCTGCTTCTGTGCTGCTGGCGGGGTAAGGGGTTTCTGGGAGGAGTGGGGGTGCGTGCTGCTTCGAGAGCTGCTGCTTGCTTTGAAGACGCTCGCAGCCACTCGTACATCGCCACCTGGCGCACCACCTCGTAGTCCGACTCCTCGTCCTCACTATTGAGTTCCCCGGCTTCACTACTATAGTCTGCCCCACCAAGCAGTGGGCGCTGGTGAATGTCGTCATAACAAGTCTGCCTCCCGGTACTCCACCTCCTCCTGCCATGCTCTGCTCGCTCTGCCCGTTCTGCCCACTCCGTATGCTCTGCACGCTCTGCAGTCAATTGTGTTGGAAGCTGGTGGTTTGTGCCGCACCTGTCGCTCCCCATCCATTCTCGCACATGCCGTCCACCTCCCGCCTGTTCCTGCATACATGTGTGAGTATGAGCCCTTAACACGTCCTCTTCCTCCATACAGTGTGGGTATGAGTCCTCCTCCTCCTCCTCCTTAGAGTGCACCAGCGGCAGATGGCTCCTTTCCTGCTCCTGCTGCTGCTGCTGCTGCTGCATCTGTCGTTGCTGGCCGCACTGCTGCTCATGCTGATTTTTCTGCTCCTGTCTCTGCCCCCTCTTGGGCTCGTGCCTCTGCCCCCACTGTTGCTGCTGCTCCCGCCGCCGTTCCCACTGCTTCTGCTGTTTCTGCTCCTGCTGATGCTGATGCTGCCATGCCACCTCCTCACCAGCAGAGCCAGAAGCATCAGAGGAAAGCAGCCACGGACTGGCCCATGAATGCCGGTCGCCGTCATCAGAGCCAGCAGAACCACAGGTGTGATCAGCACAGGATATAGAGTGGCAGCCACGCCCGCGCCCACAATGGTGGTTTGACCTGCAACAGCCACCCTTGTACGCGTTATTGTCACAGGTGCAGCATTCGTTACAGTCACACTTGAGGAGATGGTAGCTGGCATCACAGCTGCAGCCCCCTCCGCAGTCACACGAGCTGTTACAGTCACGGTTAAAGTGACGGGTTGGCCTACCACCATGCACCCTGGCATGTGCTTTAAACAGGCATCTGCTGCTGACGCGGCAGCCGTTGCTGACATGGCATCTGCTCCTGACATAGCATCTGCTGGTGATGCATCCGTCTTTGTGGGCATGACTAGTGCTGCTCCCATAGCAGCTGCATTGCCAGCTGTCCCTTCTACAAGAGGCCAAGGCATGTGCCACGTGTCCATATGGACTGACAGCTTCAACTCCACGTGTACAGGCCACGTCAGCGCCCCTGCAGCTTCTCCTGTGGAGCAAACAGTCTCGAGGTAGAGTGATGCGGTGAACTGAAGAGTTTGCTGGAAGGCTTGTTTTGATGCACGTTGCTCCTGCCGCCCTTGGCCCCCATGCCGCCCCTGCTTCCCTTGCCGCCCCTGCTGCCCTTGCCGCTCCTGCTCCACCTGCTGCTTCTACCGCTGTGGCTGCTTCAGGTGCAGGGTGGCAGGGGTGTGAGTGGCGCATGCCGTGAGTCCGTGTGCCCACCACACAGTGACCCTGCCGCTCCTGCCACCCCTGCCGCCCCTGCCGCCCCTGTTCACATACACGGTACTTCTGAGAATCCTTAACGCCACACTGGGAGTGCATGCAATGGCTCGGCTCACAGGCGCCCCCACAGGCGCCCCCACAGGCGCCCCCACAGGCTCTCCTGAGGAGCACGCCCACCCGCTCCAGCATGCCTCCCAACGCCGCTCCTCTTGCCTCATGCGCCCCGCTTCCCTCCTCGCCCCTGCCGCACAATGCGCCGCCATGAATGATCCGCTCTGCTTCTGCACCCGCTTCCGATTCCTCACACTTGTCTCCTTCCGTCAAACTCTTCCCTTCGCTCCACCCCTCTCCTTCGCTCCAATCCTCCCCTTCTGCCCTGCCATCTCCTTCTCTCCACTCCTCTTTGGTCCACCCTTCGTTTCCAGGGCACCATCGTTCAGTCGCAGGACTATCACTTTCCAAGTACCCCTCTTTATCTGTTATTTCTTCGCACTCTGTAAGCCCCTCAAAACCTCGCTCAATCCTTGCTTTATCAGCATTTCCCTCTCCTTCCTCTTTCCTGAAACTATCTCCATTACCAAACCCCTCGCTATCCGTATACTCCTCTTCCTCGGACAACGTTTTTCTTTCAATCCAGCCTCTTTCGGTCCTGAGCCAAACTCCCACCCAATGCGTCTCCCCGTCTGAACACCCCTCGCCCTCCATGCATCCCTCTCCTTCTGAAAGCCCCTCTCCTTTCCCAAAAGCATCCCCCTCTCCAAAACTCTCTCCACAACCATAATCCTTCTCTTCTCCACGCCCCTCACCGTCCCCACATCCCTCTCCTTCTGCATATCCCACTCCCTCTCCATACCCCTGTCCTTCTGCGTACCTCTCCGCTTCTGAACATTCCTCCCCTGCAGTCAACCCCACGTCTTCCCCAGCCCCTCCGATCCAGCTATCCGTGCCATCCAAGCCATTACTCCAACCGCACGTCTGGGCCAAACCATCACCGTCACACCCCACTCCACAGCCTTCCCCGCACCCATCACCATGCGTGCCCTGCACTTGCCCAAGCACAGGACGAGCAGCCGTGGACCCCTTGCCCGGTGAACAACATGCATGGCAAGTAGCCTTCTGTGAGCCGCTGAGCACCGCAGAGCTCCTGCCAGCTATTTTGCGCTCCTCCTCTCCCTCCTTCAGCTTGTGCAGCCGCAGCAGTGATCGCAGAGCCTTTGGTGTCCCCAATGCCCGCAGCTTTTGCAACTCCAGCGTTGACTGCGTTGACTGGGTTGACTGCGTTGCCTGCTTCGTTGGCACGCCCGCCATCTCCTTCAGTTCCCGCAGCTTTTGCAGAAGCTTCCGAACCCTCTCAGACATGACGTCATCCCCTGCCACAGCCTCACCAGCTGTAGCATGACCTGCCACAGCCTCAGCAGCTGTAGCGCAACTTGTCTCCGAGTGCCTATCCCGCGCCTCGCCCTCTTTCCCTACTTCCCGACTCCGCACCAGATTCGACACATCCCCTGCCACCTGCAGCAGCTCCTGCCTCTGTGTCAGCTGGGGCACCCCCTTGGCCGCCCCCACATGCAACAGCTCCCGAATCCTCGCCAAATTCGCCTGCATGCCAGCAGCAGCTGGCGCAGGCTGGCTGTTGAAAGGCACGCCAAACCTTTCCAGCCGTGCCTTAACCTTGTGCAGATGGGAATCTAAAGAGGCAGTATCTGGTGCACAAGGGATGGAAGTCAACACTTTCAATGATGATGATGACGTGTCCGAGCCATGCTCTGATGTGTCACTGGCATGCTCTGACGTGTCATAGGCGCTGCTGTCCAGGCTGCATCGCACCCTGCTGCTGCCACCGATGCTACAACCGGTAGAGTGCTTCCAGCTGTAGCGAGGGCAGGTGCTCTTGTGGTCTCTCCTGCTACAGCTGCTACTGCTACAGCCGCTACGGCTACTACAGCTGCTACAGCTACTCACAGTGTTGCATCGTAGCGTGTCAGTGCTACAACTGCTACAGCTGCTGGTGCAACTGCTGCCAGTGCTGCACTTTGATGCATTGTGCCCACTCAACTGACCATGCACGTAGCCTCCCACCCTGCTGCTGCGGCTACTGCTACTCTGAGTGCTACAGCTTAACATATCGATGCCGTGACCTTGCTGCTTCCACAGATGCCTCACTAACTCCTTGTTGCGCCTGCCCCTGCTGCGCCCCCCTGTGAGCCGCTTCCGCGAGTCTGAATCGTGCTGCTGCTCCTTCTGCTGCCTCGTTGTGAGAAGCTCGCTTACTGCTTCGTGCTGTTCCTTCTGCTCTCTCTCGTCCTGCCGCTGCTGCTGCCACCGCTGCTTTTGCTGCCACTGCTCCGTTGGCTGAATTTCCTCCACTTCCCACCCATTCCTTCCCTCCTCCCATCCATCACCTATTTCGCACTCCTCCCGCTCTCCTCCCCCTTTCCACCCATCCTCTCCCTCTCCCCATCTAACCTCTCCTTCCTCCCATTCATAATCTCGTTCCGTCTCCTCGTTAACTCCTCCTCTCCACTCATCCTTTCCCTCCTTCCACCCGCAACCTCTCTCGTGCTCTTCTCGCTCTTCTTCCCCTTCCCACCCATCCTCTCCATCTCCCCACCTAACCTCTCCTTCCTCCCATCCATCATCTCGTTCCGCCTCCTCGTCCTCTCCTTCTTCCCACCCATTATCCTCCCATCCACCACCTCTCCCTTGCTCATCTCGTTCTTCTTCCCCTTCGCACCCATCCTCTCCCTCTCTCCTCCTAGTCTCGCCCTCCTCCCATCCATCATCTCGTTCCTCCTCCTCGTCCTCTCCTTCTCTCAGCCCATCCTCTCCCTCCTCCCATCCACCTCCTTTCCCATGCTCTTCTCCCTCTTCTTCCTCGTTCCATCCCTCCTCCCCCCACCCATTCTCATCGCCCTCATTCTCCCCCCATCCATTCTCCTCAGCCTCCTTCTCTCGCACAAATTCCTCCCTCAGCTCCTGCTCTCGCTCCCACTCCCGCCGAGCCTCGTCCTCCTCCTCCATTCGCCTCCATTCTCCCTCTCCCTCTTCCTCTCCTTCTTTCCCCAACCCCCACCAGCACCACTCTTCCTTCGCCTCCCCATCCCGTTGTTGCTTCTCCAACTCCTCTACCTCCGCTCCCCATTCCTCCTCCTCCTCCGCGTCCACATGGTCTCTTCTTGGAGCCTCCTCACATCTTCGCCCTCCCTCGCCTTCCTCAATCACCTCCTCTTCCACCTCCGCTCTCCTTGCTCCTTCTTCCACACACTCCTCCCCACCCCGTTCTCCCTCCTCCTCCCCAATCCCTTCTCTATCCTCCATCTCATCCCCTTCTCCCATCTCCGCCCCACCTTCTTCTCCCTCCTCCCCACCAGCTATACCATACGACAGCACGTCACATGCTCGTGTGGCAGATCTCCCTGACCCAGATATACCTGCACGGTATGCGCCTCCCTCAAAACCTGCATCCAATGCACCATCCATTCCCCCTGTCCGCCCGCCTGCTTGAAAACCAGAAGTTTCGCCATTGCTTGTGCTGTTGCTGCTGCTGCTGCCACTGCACGGCACACGTGCGTTGATGCTCCCACATGGGCCTATCACCAGCCCCAGGCGGCCCATTTGCTCCTTTACTGCTCGCTGCATCGTCACTGCCCTTGCCACAGCAGCAGCACCAACACTGGCAGCATTCCCTGATTCGTTAACAGTGGCACTCTCAAGGGCATGTTCGAAGGCGCGCAGGAAGGCAGAGGCGGGCTGGTGGAGGAGAGGCGAGGCGAGGATGTCGGCTGCTGTGGGTCGCTCAGAGGGGGTCTGCATGGGGAAAAGTGATATGCGTTGGCGGAGGAACAAGGGGGGAGGAGAATGAGGCAAGAAATGCCGTAAGGCAGAGGAAGGATGATAAAGGAGACGGGACGACGTGTGGGGCGGTCAGAGGGCGTCTTGAGAAAGAGTGTATGGGGAGAAGGGATGGGATGAGAAGAAACGAAGGCATGGGGAGAGAATGAGGTATGGGGAAAGGAATGGGGGAAGATAGATGCGTGGAAAGGGGTTGTAAAGGGATGCAATGGGCTTGGTCAATGTCACTGTGATGTGCTTTCTGTAAGCGTGTGGGACCGGCCATAGGAGATTCACGCATGCAGACATGCTCCTAAAGGTGCATCGCGCACATGCATATGCACATGCATGCGTACGTGCACCCACACATGCACATGCCTATGCACCCACACATGCCATGCATATGCACCCACACATGCCATGCATATGCACCCACACATGCACATGCCTATGCACCCACACATGCACATGCATATGCACCCACAGATGCACATGCATATGCACCCACAGATGCACATGCCTATGCACCCACAGATGCACATGCCTATGCACCCACAGATGCACATGCCTATGCACCCACAGATGCACATGCCTATGCACCCACACATGCACATGCCTATGCACCCACACATGCACATGCCTATGCACCCACACATGCACATGCCTATGCACCCACACATGCACATGCCTATGCACCCAGAGCTGCACATGCACCTGCACAAGCACGAACATATTCACATGACCTGCAACCAGAGATCCAAGCGAGCGGCACACACCTAACGAGTTAAATCAATAGTAGCACCCGACACAGTTGGACCTACCCGCAAACGCTAAATTCACCTGAGAATAATAAGTCCACCTGAGTTGTTGAATTCACCTGGGAGAGCATGCGGCTGACAAGCGCACAGAGGTCAGGCGAGTAACTGCCAGATGGTGGAAGAGGGCCAAGGGGAAGAGGGGAAGTGGGCGGGAGTGGGAGGGGGGAGAAGAGTGGGGGAGTGGAGGAGAGTGGTAGAGTGGGGGAGAATGGGGGAGTGGGGGAGTGGAGGAGAGTGGTAGAGTGGGGGAGAATGGGGGAGTGGGGGAGTGGGGGAGAGTGGGGGAGTGGAATAGGCAAGCGAGCAGGGGAGTGGTAGTAGAGTGGAATAGGCAAGCGAGCAGGGGAGTGGTAGTAGAGTGGAATAGGCAAGCGAGCAGGGGAGTGGTAGTAGAGTGGAATAGGCAAGCGAGCAGGGGAGTGGTAGTAGAGTGGAATAGGCAAGCGAGCAGGGGAGTGGTAGTAGAGTGGAATAGGCAAGCGAGCAGGGGAGTGGTAGTAGAGTGGAATAGGCAAGCGAGCAGGGGAGTGGTAGTAGAGTGGAATAGGCAAGCGAGCAGGGGAGTGGTAGTAGAGTGGAATAGGCAAGCGAGCAGGGGAGTGGTAGTAGAGTGGAATAGGCAAGTGAGCAGGGGAGTGGTAGTAGAGTGGAATAGGCAAGCGAGCAGGGGAGTGGTAGTAGAGTGGAATAGGCAAGCGAGCAGGGGAGTGGTAGCAGAGTGGAATAGACAAGCGAGCAGGGGAGTGGTAGTAGAGTGGAATAGGCAAGCGAGCAGGGGAGTGGTAGCAGAGTGGAATAGGCAAGCGAGCAGGGGAGTGGTAGTAGAGTGGAATAGGCAAGCGAGCAGGGGAGTGGTAGTAGAGTGGAATAGGCAAGCGAGCAGGGGAGTGGTAGTAGAGTGGAATAGGCAAGCGAGCAGGGGAGTGGTAGCAGAGTGGAATAGGCAAGCGAGCAGGGGAGTGGTAGTAGAGTGGAATAGGCAAGCGAGCAGGGGAGTGGTAGTAGAGTGGAATAGGCAAGCGAGCAGGGGAGTGGTAGTAGAGTGGAATAGGCAAGCGAGCAGGGGAGTGGTAGCAGAGTGGAATAGGCAAGCGAGCAGGGGAGTGGTAGTAGAGTGGAATAGGCAAGCGAGCAGGGGAGTGGTAGCAGAGTGGAATAGGCAAGCGAGCAGGGGAGTGGTAGTAGAGTGGGATAGGCAAGCAAGCAGGGGAGTGGTAGTAGAGTGGAATAGGCAAGCGAGCAGGGGAGTGGTAGTAGAGTGGGATAGGCAAGCGAGCAGGGGAGTGGTAGTAGAGTGGAATAGGCAAGCGAGCAGGGGAGTGGTAGTAGAGTGGAATAGGCAAGCGAGCAGGGGAGTGGTAGTAGAGTGGAATAGGCAAGCGAGCAGGGGAGTGGTAGTAGAGTGGGATAGGCAAGCGAGCAGGGGAGTGGTAGTAGAGTGGGATAGGCAAGCGAGCAGGGAGAAGAGCGGGCAGCGCTAGAGGAAGTGGCAAAGTGGAGGAGGAGGGGGAAGGTGGGGGGGGTGGTGGAGACAGAGGAGGGGATGGATAGAGGGAGCGGGCTCCTGGGAAGGGTTGGACAAGCAACAGGGAAGGTTAGATTGTGAGTTTTGAGACGCCTCAAGACCTGGTTGATTTAAGAACGTTCAGGGACCTTTGAATCGACTCAAGAGCGTCTGGGGACCTGGTGAATGAGCAAGCTGGTCAAAGAGACGGGATGTTTCTATTACCGCACTGGACAGCCCAGCACCGCACAGAACAGCACAGCACAGCACAGCACAGCACAGCACCGCACAGCACCGCGCAGCGCATACCATCGGGGCATGGCGTCGTGGCAGCCCGACAGCACGAAGGAAACGAGCTCGTGGATGGACGACGGCGGAAGGCAAGGGTCGTTGACGGTCGTGGCGGGGAGAGATAGCTCGCTGACGGCCATGGCTGCGTGGAGCACGCATCCCAGCGCCGAGATGTCTGTGGGGGTGTGTGGGGAATGTGGTGAGGGTGTGTGGGGTGTGTGGGGAGTGTGGGGGGGGGGGAGGGGGGGGGAGGGGTGGGAGGGAGAAGAGGGGAGGGAAGGAGAGGGGAAGGAAAGTGGAAGGAGGCGACTTATGAGAAGAAGGGGGGTAGGAAGAGAGAACGAGCTCGTGGATGGACGATGGCGGAAGACAAGGGTCGTTGACGGACGTGGGGGGGAAACATGGCTCGCTGCCGGCCATGGCTGCGTGGAGCACGCACCCCAGCGCCGAGATGTCTGTGGAAGGTGAGGGTGTGTGGGGAGTGTGGAGGGGGGGAGGGGTGGGAGGGAGAGGAGGGAAAGGAAGGAGGGCGGAAGGAACGTGCAGGAGGCGACTTAAGAGGAGAAGGGGGATAGGAGAAGGAAACGAGCTCGTGGATGGACGGTGCTGGACGACATGGCTCACTGCCGGCCATGGCTGCGTGGAGCACGCAGCCCAGCGCCCAGATGTCTGAGGAGAGGTGAGAGTGTGGGGGGATAAGGGGACAGGGGGACGAGCAGTCTTGAAAAGGATAGAAGGAGAGGGAGACGGGCTTGGAATGAAAGTGAGCGGCGCCATGGCGGCATGGAACACGCAGCCCAGCGCCCAGATGTCTGTGCTACCAGTCAACCCTGTTGACTTTTGAGTCAAAGGTCAACCCAGCGCCCAGATGTCTGTGCTACCAGTCAACCCTGACCCATCTTTACCATTTTGTGCCAGAAGCAGCCTACAATTCATACCATGCACCATCATGTGCCAGTTCTTGCCAGCCGTGTCAACCATCTGTTACATCTTGCATGTAACCTCACCTGACTTGCAGTCGTACGGTTCCTGGCGTGTCATCTCAGCGGCCACGCCCATCCCCAGCCGCACATGTGCGGGGTTGCTGTCGCACGGGGTGTAAAGGAGAACGTTCTGTGCCTGCTGCCACGAAGGGGGGGGGGTGTGGCGAGGCGGGGAAGGGCAGGAGTTGGCGTTAAACGATGGGGAAGATTCTCAGCTGCTCGCACGGGGTGTAAAGGAGAACGTTCTCTGCCTGCTGCCACCAGGGAGGGGAAAGGACAGGAGGTGATGCTGATTGGAAATGAGCTTCATGCTCTCATGTGCTCTCACATGCTCTCACATGCTCTCACATGCTCTCACATGCTCTCACATGCTCTCATGTGCTCTCACATGCTCTCACATGTTCTCCATGCAATGATGCATGTGCTCTAGCGCCAAGACTAGGAGTAGCACGTGTGCTCGCTGTACGCGCTTTAGCCTTCTGCGGTATACCTCTATCTTTGAATACGCACCGTGAAACCTCGGTGTAGCAAGTTGTGGTGGTGCATGTGCTCTAGCGCCAAGACCACTTGTAGCAGCCAATCAACAATAGTCTGCTCGGGTATGCTGGGATGGGCATCAACAAGGAGAAGAAGCAAGGGAACCATTTTAGATCAAATTTCGCACTGTTCTTGTGCGGGTGCTTGGGCCGTGGGGGAGTTATGGAAAGGGGAGAGAGGATGGCCTTAGTAGCATTGTTGTGACGGCAGCGGAGACGAAACTAACAAGGCAACATTGTCGTGAGGGCAGCACAAACCCCTTTCACTCACAACGGCTTATTGCCTTCATGGCTTCTTATCAGCGACTTTTGAGTCGCCTCAAAAGTCAAACCCATTTCACTCACAGCGACTTGATGTCTTCATGTCTTCTTAACACCTCCGAAAGGGTGTCTTCTCCGCAGTGCTCCATCACTGTATCAAACGAAGCCATGCATGAATAAATGAGCTCGAAGTTTGCATTCCATCTCTGTATAGATAATAGAACACTCCTCATTATACGCATATCTCTAGCAACAAAGGCTCAGCACGTGAGGGATGTGCAACAGGGCTGGTCGAAACGCACCCATCATGCGCCATGCACGCACATCCAGTAACTCACCAGTACAGAGGCTCCGCGCGGCCTCGTGGACGAATACCGCCTGCACAGCGCATCCACTCGACACGGGGAAAACAGCATTAGATACGTCTCGGCTCGACACGGAAAAGACAGCATTAGATACATCTAGAAACGCGTCGCTGGATGCCAGTGCTTCGAGATGACGACGGCGAACAAGAAAAGAGTACGAGGGTGTATGCGGCTTCAAGTGCATTCCTGCTTTCTTTCGAAACCCTGTGAGAGAAGTAATTCGTGAAACCATCGAGACATGTCATCACGTAAGTGTGAACCAGGAATGGCAATTATGTCACATCCCCGCCTTCTGAGGCGCCTCAAAAGCCATGGCACTCACGCGGCCTATCCGCGCCTTCCCGTTTTGTTTAATGTGCCCACGAATGCCACTTGTCAAGCCCCCTCACACACACCGCACACGTCATAAGGAGCCTATAGAGACTAATTGAGCCACCCCACCCGCACCGTCTCACTCGCGCCCTCTCGCCCGCGTCCTCTCGCCCGCGGCCTCTCACCCGCCCCTTCTCACCCGCGCCGTCTCACCTTGCATTCAACCAGGCACGGATGGCGCAGCTGCATCATCCTCTCCGCCTGCCTCACACACGCCGCTCGCTGCGCCGCGTCTTCCGGCAGCGGAACCACCCGCAACACCCACGCGTCACCCGGAGCTACTCCGCTGCCCGACTCGCATGGTCCCTCCGCAACTAGCGCTGCGCCATGGCTGGCGAAGCTCGCAGCTCCACTTGCTCCAAGCGATCTATCGCTACAAGTTAAGCCGTTACTACTAGTACGCGTAGTACGCGAAGCGCCCTTTCCGCGGACTAGGTAAAACCTCCCATGCGCGCCACGGCTCAGCTCTGCTACGACCTCATAGCCGTTCATAATCGGGTGGCACATGTGCGGATCAGCCACCGCTGCTTCTAACCCGACGCGACTTGCGCTTCGACTCAAACGTCTCCCATCCGCATCTGCGCCATCATGGCGGCTCTGCTCTTCCGCGTCCTCCTCGTCGTCACGAGCGATTCGACGACTGACTACTCTACCCGCCACTGCCCCAAACCCGGGGCCCAAGCCAAGGCGCTCCCGTAGCGTATCAGATCTCGCTTCGGCAACCGTCTTAAGCCTATAGTCCACGTGTTTCGCGTTCTGATTCGTGTAAAAAATCGAAGCGGGTCCGTGGTCCCGGTGTTTCGTTATCTCGAAACCATCCATCATCCGCAAAAGTCGAGACACCGCTACCTCACTACATGCGCCTGGTTCCTATATTCGGGCCTAGTACTACTACTGGAAGGAAAGTTAGCCTTGTAAAATCGCGACTCGGCAAGCAACTACGTAACAGGGGATAATCTGACACACATGGCACGTTTCAAAAACCAAGAGAGAAGAAAATTGCAGTCTTCTACCACAGTCGAGAACCCGAATAGGCTGTTTCGCGCGAGGTCAAGAGACTTGTTCAATTCTACGTCCTGACGTTTCCTAGATCGATCCTACGTCCTGACGTTTCGAGTCTGACAACATTGTCGGCTACCTACTTTTCCGTCGCTCAGTGTCTGACTTCAAGTCGGCCGACGGCGCCTGGGATGTTACGCGTAGAAACACCCGAAACATTGGTTCTCACGATACTTGCGTGGCACGTTTTGCTTGCTATCAGCTTTGCTGAGTGCACGTTCCCGAACGGGTAAAGAGTAATGTCCGAAAGCGTCACAGCTGAGAGGTACGCAACGCAGTCACCCGAGATGCTTTGCGCCTTGTAAGTTTTGAAAGGAGCAGCATCCGTACTTTCCCGTGGCACGAAAGTGACGAGAGAAAGCAGCGCATAATCAGCAAAGCCCAAACGAAAGGACGCTTGAGTGGGCGATGCATTTGGCGAACACTGCTGTCTCAACAAATGAGCCGAGTTACCAACTTCGTATGTGTCGATTGCGAAAGACTCGGCCACCAAGCATGACGACGGTAAAGACCCTCAACAGGATGGGGAATTGCGATGTGTGATTGGACCTTCAGCCCCACGGCTTGCGCCAAGAATTAACTCGCGGCTCGAGGAATTTTCCCAGCCCTTGGCTTTCGTGCCTCACCTAGCAAGCGGACTGGCCAATCGATTCACACAGGCAAACAGTGCGCGACCCGGAAATGCCCAGCCAGACTTTTGGTACCGACCGAGCCGAGAGCTAGTACTGTAGTCACCTTTTTTCCCGGATCCCTTTTGAGAAGTGATGAGATGTCACGTCACGTCACTGCTTGCGTGGCGAATGTCTTCGTTAGAGAGGTCTGGTAAATGCGTGATACTACTGGGATGGTAGTGGAAAATATACTGGAGTCTGTAGCTAAGTACAGACTATTTCTCAGGAAAATGTCCTAATAAACTAAACCCCTACGGTAATTTGAAAGGCGAACATGAGGATAATAGTTGCAGAATATGTTGGTGATACACGTAATATGAACATCACATGCATCATTATTGCCTAACCGTTCCCACCCCTGCCTCCTCCCTCCACCAATTACACCTCTTCATGTTATTCTGCTACACCACATGGAACAGTTATCACGAAGATTATCCACGATACAGTATGAAGGGCTCAGTCTAGATGGTTTGGGCGAGCTGGCACTCGGTGGTGTTGGTCATGGAGTAGCTGTTGCCGTTGCCGAAGCGCAGCTCCTGCACGCAGGGCCGGAAGTCCCACAAGTACGCATACACAATGTTGACCGTCTCCCCGGGGAGCATCTGCAGAGTGCCGCTCGCACCGCGGTTCATGCGCATCTCACAGTACCCCGGCGTCGTCTGCACGAAGATTTCGCCTTGCTGGTACTGCGAGGGGTTGGGATCGGGGTTGTCGAGGATGCCCTCCCACACGTTGCCGAAGTTGAAGCACTGCCACACGCGCAGCGGGCTGGTGACGTTGTAGGCGCAGCCGTTGTAGAAGGTCATGTTGTAGATGTCGTTGTGCAGGTCGTACGGCCCCAGGTACTGCGAGCGGATCGTCACTGTTGTGCGCCCACATGCTGGGAGGAGGGAGGAGATGTGGAAGGGTGGAAAGAGGAAGGGAAGCATGTAATCAGAATCCAGATTGCCACCGCCATGCACCGTACACTAAGCACACAACAGAGGAGGAGGCAACGGGAGCAGAGGAATGAGAGGCGACGGGAGCAGGGGAATGAGAGGCAAAGGGAGCAGGGGAATGAGAGGCAAAGGGAGCAGAGAAATGAGAGACAAGGAGAGCAGAGACGGGTTGTGAGAAGAAGAAACAGCAGAGCGAAGGAACCAAGGAAGGGAAGAGAGGGAGAGGGGGGGAGCAGCGTTGCGTACAGGTGGCGAGGGCCTGGCGGCGGGGGATGTGGTCGAGGTAGCCGGGCAGAGGCTCGTGGTGAGCGAAGGTCTCAGCCGCCAGAATGCGCGCGCCCTTCCTCTGCTGCCCCGCAGCGCCAGCCACTCCGCCAGGCGCGGCGCCATCCGATGGGTCGAGGCCCCTGGCGACCTTCATGGCGTCCCGCGCTCCACTCACCGCCGCCGCCAGCAGCCCCACCGCCAGCGCTGCCAGCACCAGCACGCGCATCCCAGCCGTCGCCATGAGGGGAGGCGCAGAGATTACAGGAGAGAGGCGAGAAGCGTGAGAGGTTTGGTGAATACCTCAGTGGGAGGAGTAGTGGGAGCACTGGGCGAGCTGATGAATTGCTGACGGCCCATCACGGCTGTTTTATAGGAAGGGATAGACCGTGAAATGCGGTGCGTGGATGGTGCTAAGGGAGGGTTTCTCTCCTCTAGCCCGGAGGAGGAATCGCCCTTCCTGCTGCAGCTGCTGGTGTTGGTGCTGAGGAGCCACTGCTGCGGCAATGGAGGAGGCGAGCAGTCAGGACGGCACGGCAAGAGTCACTGTCGACTGCTATGCTGCCTACAGGAATCGATCCTCTCACATCGCCACTGCCAACCTGCTTCTTCTCTCCTTCCCACACCTGCTTGGAATTCCCACTCGGCATGTCCGCTTCGTGCGGCCGCTGCTGCACGTTGCGAGGTGCCGTGAGACACGGAGGGGCGACATACCAATGGTCGGTCGGCAGCGAGAGTTCCAGCGGATCTGCGAGGCTCCATATCTCGCCGACACGTGGTACACGTGGGACACGTGCGAAATGCCAATGGTCGCCAAGCCGTCATGCTAAGCGCTCCAGCGGCTGTGCCGCGAGGCTCAGATCTCGCCGACGGATGTGCAGTCGGGATGCTGAGAGAACGATCGGCGGCTCAATCCGAGTCGCAACAACCATGACTGAGTCGACAGCGACACGGCGGGCGTGGAATTCCGCGCGGCAGCGGCGCTGCTATGAATGGATCGCCTGACGGTTAAACAAAACGAACTCAAGCGATTTCTCGTATCAACATCAGCCACTCTCCCATGTCGTCGAAGCTCCTCTGGCAACCCAACCCTCCTTGGTGGACCTAGAGGGACGGTTAACCGACTGTCTCCGAGTCTAACGACATGCAGCAGCCGCATCGCGAGCGACATGAACGGCTGCCCTACTAATCAACAGCTTCCCCCAGTACCTCAGACGGTTAGGCTGCTCGGAGCTGTTAGCAGTCGCTTTGTCGCTTGATGGCTCTAAGGGCGACTAATCAGTAGGCAACCTAGAAAATACCTAAAGCTGGTTGTGTCGCAGGGTGGTGTCTGTTGGTGTGCCTCTTGCAAAAACGGTTATTGCAGCATCGGGTAGCGAGTTGTGGCGAAAGCTATATGGTTGCAACGACTGTTATGGAACTCGTCGTCAGCAGAACCTAGTTTCGCGATCCTGCGGAATCGGAACTCCTGTAATCAAGCTCACTCGACGATACTGTCACGACTCGCAATGGGAAACAAGCACTGAAAACACGCACAAGAGCTACAAATGCAGATATATTTCCTCACTATCAATGTTTGAACATCCAACAAGATCGACAAGCTTTTCAAGAAAGACATAATAAGAACTCCCGATCATCCACGCTGTTACATGTACTCTGGGTAGTGTCCCACGATCGTATTAAACAAGTCGCAACAATTTCCGCGATCATATCAACTTGCTTGATTCCACAATTGGTCAGCAAAGAGCTACTTCTGGCATGAGCTCAAACGACTAATCATTCAACTTAAACGAGTCGCAACCTGGTCGAACCGAGGAACATGGACAACTGAGGAAGAACACGGACAAAAGAATGTAGTCCACTCAGGCTTGAGAATAATCAGAGCAATCAAGAAGGGGGAGGGGGCAGAGGGACGGGGGGTGGGAAAGCACATGAATGTCCTCTTGTCACAATCGGGAACAACCCGAATGAAGAAGTCTAAATTACAACATCATGCCATGGAATTGTGCCAATCACCATCATAGAAAGGCATGAAGAGAGCAAGAACTCACCATCACCATAGGATGGCATGGAGAGAGCAAAGACCCACCAAAACCGTAGGATGGAAAGGGGAGTGGAGTTATTCTTCCTGGCAACGCTGGCAATGGTTAGCTGCTGTCACCTCCCTCAGCTTCGCTATGCAGTCACGCGGTGTACTCTAGTGGGGCGAGGGTGAGTGACGTTGCGGGGCAAGTGTGACTCTGCAACTACGCTACACCACCCAGACTCCCACCCAGCCCGCATACTATCAAGAATTTCTACCTACTGGGAATGGTGTATGCTGCTCGGGCAAACATACACCCCAAGACCTTGAATTGAAACACTCAACCAATGAGAGGAAAGTCAACAAGGTCAACACAGTCAACAACATGAACACGGTCAAGTCAACAGAGTCAATGAGCTACCTGCCGTCCCCATCGCCGTTTGCCGCCTTCATCTCCCGCCGCATGCGGTGCCGGCTTGCCGTCCGCTCCACTACCAGCAGCCACGTGGCGAGCTCTGATTGGCTGATGCGGCTGTCGCGAAGCGAGGTGTAGAGGAGAGGGAAGTGGAGGGTGAGGCGGTGGGAGAGGAGAGGTTCAAGTGGTCGTGCCTCAGATTGTCTGCAGAGAGGAAGGGGGTACGGTAGAAGTGTGGGGGAAGTATGGGGAAAGGGTGGGGGAAAATGTCGTTGGGGGTTGAGTGGAGAGCCAAAAGGGGAGAGGCGGCGGGAAAGGAGAGGCTCAAGTGGTCGTGCCTCAAGTCGCCTGCAGGGAGCAGGGGTTGGTGTCGGAAAGCGAGGGGGAAGAGAGGGTGTTGGGTGTTGCGTGGAGAACACGCAAGGGAGAGGCGGTGGGAGGGGTACAAGCGGTGCGTCAAGTCATATCGTGTCACCTTGAGTGAACACGTGGTGTTGCCCATCCAGCTCGCCCTCACATCTCATCATCCGCGCGCCCTCCTCTCTGTATCGCGCGCGCTCCTCCTCAAACCCCGCCAGCTCGCTCCCCTCTAGCGTCCCGTCGTCCGCCTCCTCGTCCCCCACGCCCACGCCTTCGCCGTGCAGGTGGCGCTTCCGCGGGTCGTCGGAGTGTACGCGGAACGGCTTCCGCGCGCCGTGCAGGCGCGCGTAGCCGCCGCTCACACGCGCGGTCGTCGTGCTGCTGCTCCACCTCTGCCAAGAGCGGATCGAACGCCACGTGGACGACGCGAGGGTTCTCCTCGCTCGTCGCATCGCCTACCGCGTCGAGGACCATGTCGTCGGCTGTCGCGCTGGCGACGCGTGACGCGACATCCTCGATACGAAACGAATCGCTTAAAACCAGGGTCATATGTACCGAGACTTCGATCAACTGCAAAACACTCGAAGGGCCTGGTTACCATGTTTCATTTTCGTGGGTTGGAAGGGTTGGGTTCAAACACAAAAACGCGGAGGGCGACACACAAACGCGTCGCATGGGTTTGACGCAGATGCTACAATGATCGCAACCCTAAACACACCACCCACACCCGACCATCTGCAAAACAAGCAATTTTTTACGTGAGACTTTTTCCGAAGTCAGTCAGGCAGGCAGACACGCACATAGAGTGAGGGCAGCAGGCAAGCAGGCAGCGTACGACGCTCCCCACACACACATCGCGCACCACGCACACCACGCTATAGGGGGTCGGACGTCACGCTATAGCGGAAGCGACAATCACCGCGCCGTCGAAAAAACGCCGTGCCAATCGAGTCTTCCACGGCGTGATGTACAGAAACGTGGCGAACAACAGGAACAATGTCGAAGTAGGCGATAGGGAAGTTGGCGGCAGGGCATGAGTTAGGGCGAAGTCATGGCGTAAAGAAATGCACAAGATGTTGTAAAGGCAGTGGCAGTTCGGGAGTCCGGGCGCTTAGGTAGAATGGAGGCAAGTCCCACACCGCGTCATGCACTGCGCCAATATTGGCACACGCTACGGAACCCCTGCACCAAGCTTCACCACGCAATGCGTGCGGAAAGACGACGCGACAGAGCTGTCGGGCGCACACATGCGACGCGACAATCCTGAATGCAGAGTCTTATGCGACCTGCTCGGCACATCAGCGATGGGTCACGTCTGGCGGCGAAGGGATGTCACGTCAGGCGGGGAAGGGGAGGTGCTGCCCAAGGGGGGAGGGAGGGGTAGGGCAGAGGGGGAAGTCAGGTGCAGTGAGAGGGGGAAGGGAGGTGCAGTGAGAGGGGGAAGGGAGGTGCAGTGAGGGGAGAAGGGAGATGCAGTGAGGGGGGGAAGGGAGGTGCAGTGAGGGGGGTAAGGGAGGTGCAGTGAGGGAGGTGTTGTGAGATGGGGAAGGGGGGTGAAGTCAAACGGACAAGGGAGGAGATGGAAGAGGGGGAAGGAAGGTTTGCGAGAAGGGGAAGGAGGGACACACAGAGGGGTAGTTGAGGTGCGGTGTCATTAGAAAGGAGGGTGCTGAAAGGGGGGGAAGGGAGGTGCTGCGGGAGGGGGAAGGGAAGTACTGTCAGAGGGGGAAGGGAGTACTCTGTTTCCCCCTTCCTCACTCTGTTTCCCCCTTGCTCACTCTGTTTCCCCCCCCTCACTCTGTTTCCCCCTCCTCACTCTGTTTCCCCCCCCTCACTCTGTTTCCCCCCCCTCACTCTGTTTCCCCCTCCTCACTCTGTTTCCCCCCCCTCACTCTGTTTCCCCCCCCTCACTCTGTTTCCCCCCCCTCACTCTGTTTCCCCCTCCTCACTCTGTTTCCCCCCCCTCACTCTGTTTCCCCCCCCTCACTCTGTTTCCCCCCCCTCACTCTGTTTCCCCCCCCTCACTCTGTTTCCCCCTTGCTCACAGCAGTTCAGGTGCACCTGGAACCCCCTGCTCGCTCCCCTCCCCCTGCTCGCTCCCCTCCCCCTGCTCGCTCCCCTCCCCCTGCTCGCTCCCCTCCCCATGCTCGCTCCCCTCCCCCTGCTCACTCCCCTCCCCCTGCTCGCTCCCCTCCCCCTGCTCGCTCCCTTCCCCCCTGCTCGCTCCCTTTCCCCTGCTCAAGTTCTTTCCCTCTGGTCACTGTCTCTCCTGCACTCTGTTTTTCCCTTCCCAATCTGTTTCCCCCTGCTCGCTCCCCTATTCAACCCCTTACAATGTTTTCCCCTACACTCACACCTGTTACCCCCCATGCAGTATATAGGTGCCCAGCACCAGGTGTAGGGAGGGAACCACAAGTCCTGCTATTTTGCTGCTGTATATGCAGAGCATGAAAAGACATTGCATAGCATAGTCTACCCTTGTTCTTCATTTACTAGATTGTTGCTACTTTGTATGTGGTCAACGGTCTCACAACTCCATGGATATTTAATAAGCATCCAACATTGGCATGTTGATTTGTCATACCTAGAGTACTATCAAACAACCAACATTCTAAACCAAATGCATGGGGGGGAGACCTGTACAAACTCGATTGTGAAAATCAGATGCTCGTGGCTGAAGCAGCCAGTAAGCATACAAAAGGGTGGGCGCTGACAAGCAAGCACCTGCGGAGAGGACGAAATAAAGAGACACTCAAGGGACGGATGAAAGGGGGGAGTGGATGAAGGGAGGGATGGATGAAGGGAGGGATGGATGAATGGAGGGATGGATGAATGGAGGGATGGATGAAGGGAGGGATGGATGAATGGAGGGATGGATGAATGGAGGGATGGATGAAGGGGGGGATGGATGAAGGGAGGGATGGATGAAGGGAGGGATGGATGAAGGGGGGGATGGATGAAGGGAGGGATGGATGAAGGGAGGGATGGATGAAAGGAGGGATGGATGAAGGGAGGGATGGATGAAGGGAGGGATGGATGAAAGGAGGGATGGATGAAGGGAGGGATGGATGAAGGGAGGGATGGATGAAAGGAGGGATGGATGAAGGGAGGGATGGAATGGGGTGAGGCGGAATGGGGTGAGGCGGAATGGGGTGAGGCGGAATGGGGTGAGGCGGAATGGGGTGAGGCGGAATGGGGTGAGGCGGAATGGGGTGAGGCGGAATGGGGTGAGGCGGAATGGGGTGAGGCGGAATGGGGTGAGGCGGAATGGGGTGAGGCGGAATGGGGTGAGGATGAATGGGGTGAGGCGGAATGGGGTGAGGCGGAATGGGGTGAGGCGGAATGGGGTGAGGCGGAATGGGGTGAGGCGGAATGGGGAGACAAGCCCGTGGATGCGGTTTTGCGGCAGGTCGCACGTTCACACTCCTCTGCCCCGCGTCCACCCCGTCCCTGGTGGCAGGGGATAGGTTGGGGTTGACGGGGGGGAGGCAGGGATGGTGACGCGGGGAGGGGGACACAGGGCGGGTTCCGCATCAGGGATGGGAGGTGAGGGATGGGGAAGGAAGGATCCGCTGGCCCCATCCCTGATCATTCTTACCGATCCTCTCCAGGCGTATGAGAGTGTAAGGCGCGGCTGGAGGAAGGGGAGGTGCAAGGCGCGGAAAGTCTCTGTTCTCGTTAGAGGGGAGGGAGCGTGGGCGACGGGAAGGGAGGGAGCGTGTGCGACGGGAAGGGAGGGAGCGTGGGCGACGGGAAGGGAGGGAACGTGGGCGACGGGAAGGGAGGAGCGTGGGCGACGGGAAGGGAGGGAGCGTGGGCGACGGGAAGGGAGGGAGCGTGGGCGACGGGAAGGGAGGGAGCGTGGGCGACGGGAAGGGAGGAGCGTGGGCGACGGGAAGGGAGGGAGCGTGGGCGACGGGAAGGGAGGGAGCGTGGGCGACGGGAAGGGAGGAGCGTGGGCGACGGGAAGGGAGGGAGCGTGGGCGACGGGAAGGGAGGGAGCGTGGGCGACGGGAAGGGAGGGAGCGTGGGCGGACGTGGAGTGGAAGCGTGGTGGGCATTCGTGAACGGCGTGGAGTGGTGTTGGTTTGTGTGAACGTTGGTCCCGTGGTCGCCGCGATCCTAATTCTTTTGGTCGTGCGGGCTGAAATTCTAGGCACTCCGCGGAAGTTTGAGACGAGCACAACTGAACTTCCGTTCGTGGGAGACCATGCCTCATTTCGCCAACGATGAAGACGAAATCATACCGACGCGCGGACGGGCGATCGGAACCATTAGCTAACTCGGAAATAGGAGGCAGTATGTGTGGCGCGTTCACCTTAGTCGTTCTGCCAGCGCTACACTTCGAAGCCGCCTCTGCCAAGTCCTGAGTCTAGATTAGGTCGAGGTGGTCATAGTAGGTGTTTTTGTGTACGGCGCAGCAGGCAGTGGTTCTGTGACTGTCTGGGTGAGTTGTGCTCGCCGTGTAATTTGCTGTGTGCGCGAATGGCTGGTCGCGTGTGTTGAACTTTACGACGGTCGCGAAGTTGGCTTGGTTGTGTTGCCGAAATGTGGCTAGTGCACGAAATTCGTCACCCCCCCACCCCAACCTTCAAGTTCGCCAACCAATCCGGTACGGGGGTTTGCCATCAACTGCAAAACACTCGGTTTACATGAGACCCTGGTTTTAACGAAATTCGCCGTCTGGTAAGCTCGAGGAGTTTGCGACCGTCAGGAGCACGGGAAGCGCGGGTGAGAATGAGAGTTATGACGAGAATCAATGCATGCACGTTACCAGTTTGCGACAGTCGCTGAGACTCGTACCTGCTAAAGTGTCGTTATAGTGGCTGCAAACCATCGTGGGTGTCGTAAGCGGAAGTGACGGGGTAGAAAGCTTACTAGGCTGACCCAGTTTCCTAGTGTTACCTGGTCACTCAGAGAAACTGAATCGGCTGGGACCGCGCGGGACAAGCTATGGTGACTGGCGAAGACTGGAGTGCGTGTGGCGAGGCGATGCGAAAGCCGCTTTCGCCCTTCTCGCCTTGTGAAGGTTGGAGGTTGGAGTTCTGTAATGAAGCGTACTTGCGAAAGTTGGATAGAGGCTATTTCGAATTCCGCGAGGCGAAGGTGTTATCACATCAACATTGAAAATAGGTTTCAGAAGGTGATTAGGATTGACGAAATTTCCATTAACAATTATCTTTTACATTATTACCTATCCCCCCCAACCTCCTCCCCCTACACCAACTCTCCACATCACATTTCTACTGCACCACAAGTCACATCCATCATGTGCATGTTATCACCCCCTCAACTTTTTGAGGGCGAACCACGTGAGTCACACGAAAGGTCTAAATGACAGCTGCAAGCTGGCACTCGGTGGTGTTGGTCATGGAGTAGCTGTTGCCGTTGCCGAAGCGCAGCTCCTGCACGCAGGGCCGGAAGTCCCACAAGTACGCATACACAATGTTGACCGTCTCCCCGGGGAGCATCTGCAGAGTGCCGCTCGCACCGCGGTTCATGCGCATCTCACAGTACCCCGGCTCGTCTGCACAAAGATTTCGCCTTGCTGGTACTGCGAGGGGTTGGGATCGGGGTTGTCGAGGATGCCCTCCCATACGTTGCCGAAGTTGAAGCACTGCCACACGCGCAGCGGGCTGGTGACGTTGTAGGCGCAGCCGTTGTAGAAGGTCATGTTGTAGATGTCGTTGTGCAAGTCGTACGGCCCCAGGTACTGCGAGCGGATCGTCACCGTCGTGCGCCCACATGCTGATGATAGGGGAAAGGGGGAGGGAGACAAGGGGCGGGAGTGGGCAGGGGTGAGTTCAGGTCGTACGGCCCCAGGTACTGCAAGCGGATCGTCACCGTCGTGCGCCCACACGCTGGAGAGTAGGGAGAAGGGGGAGACGGAGAAAAAGGGGAGGGATGGGGAAGGATTGAGTGCAGGTCGTACGGCCCCAGGTACTGCGAGCGGATCGTCACCGTCGTGCGCCCACATGCTGTGGGGGAGGAGAGGGCAGAAGGGAAAAGTGAAGGGGAAGAGGTGAGTAGGGGTGGGCTGTGCAGGTCACCGTTGTGGGAGACAAGGGGAGCAGATGAATGAGAGATAAGGAGCCGAATAATGAGCAGGGGAGCAGAGGAATGAGAGGCAAGGGGAGCAGAGGAAGGAATGAAAGGAAAGGTGAGCAGGGAACTGAGATAAGAGGGGAGCAGTGATGGCAGTGGGAGGTTGGGGAGCAGCAGCACACATGGATCAGCAGCGGGTAAAAGAAGAGAGTGGAAAGAATTTGTGCGTACAGGTGGCGAGGGCCTGGCGGCGGGGGATGTGGTCGAGGTAGCCGGGCAGAGGGGCGTCGTGAGCAAAGGTCTCAGCCGCCAGAATGCGCGCGCCCTTCCTCTGCTGCCCCGCCGCGCCAGCCACGCCGCCAGCCGCGGTACCCTCCTCTGGGACGAGGCCCCTGGCGACCTTCATGGCGTCCCGCGCTCCACTCACCGCCGCCGCCAGCAGCCCCACCGCCAGCGCCGCCAGCACCAGCACGCGCATGCCAGCCGTCGCCATGAGGAGAGGCGCGGAAGTAACCTGTGAGTCGGCTAAAAAATTGGCTCGAGCAGGAGCAGGAGCTGAGAGGCTGCTGCAAGCGGCTGTTTGAAGAGGAGATTGAAGGGAGAAGAGGCCGATTGAGGCGGAGTGGAGCTGATGAATCCATGGCTGCACAAGGCGTCGGCTTTATAGGCGGAGGAAGAGGCGTGCACAGCTGCAGGGGTTTGGAGAAGAGGTGGTTAAGGAGAGATCCGCGACTCGGCGTCGGATGTGTGGCGTGGAGGAAGAGCTACTAGCTCGAGGCGACGGGGTGAAGGAGGAGGCGAAGGGTCTGCGGGAAGCGAGGCGGCGGGTGATGCGATGGAAGGTGCATCGCAATCGTCGCTCGCACGTCGCGGCCGTTCCGAATGCCGCCGCTGTCGTCGCTGTGGCGAAGCCTTTGACTCGGAGTGATCGCCACGCAAGACTCTCTTTGTCTTCATGAGTCGTACTAGTCTTGGTGTAGAGCGGTTCATGCGGCTGGTGGGACAAGCCAAGAGTCGCTGAAGAGCATCAAGTCGGAGGTAAGACCGAGACAATCGGATATCTCATGAGCGGCTCGATCTGCCGACATTATGTAATCCATGCGGCGATCGCGTTTGCTGGTGGTTAACCGAAACGACAGCGCTACCTACCACCAGATCAGTGTCCCTTCCTTTGAACCGCCTGGTCTCTGACTCCTCATGTCTTTCCGAAGAGTCCTCGTTTCGCTACCAGACTTTCGCGCAGAAACAGAACTGCAGAGACGGTTAGAAAGCAATCCGCGTGTCTAACGACACGCATCATCCGCGTCGCGTCCAACATCAACGTTTGCAACCAGAGAGTTTGTCTACCCGAATAACGACAGGCGAGCACGACGGATCGCAGCAGACAAGCGCTTGTCAGTAAACCACTGTGTCGCAAGCAGGAAGAACAGAAATCGACGAGGGAAGGCAAATGCAGCAGCAGTGCTTGTCTCTTGAATCTGGCTCGATCGACCTTGGGATTTGGGAAGACTGTTGGATTCCTCGCAGAGACGGTTATCGCTGCACAACTGCGCATATGCGAAGAGCGCGAACGAAATATGCGTCGGTGACGATCGTGCGAGGCTGGAATAACTGTGCGAAACCAGTAGATTTTCCAATTTCGCCTGAGTTCACCAAGCAGGCGAAATTCCATGCTTACAAGATGTTCCACTTCCACATTCCTTACAAGATACTTACCATTACCACACATGGTACTCAAGAGATGCTTACCAGATGCTTGATATTCAAGTCAAATTATACAAGAGATGGTAAATCAAATTCCACACCATGGCTTCTCCCACAGCCCCCAGAAACCTCCCATCCGTTTCCTTATTCTTGCCTATTGCAGCTTCTACAAAGCAGGTGTGGTGCGGATCCTTTGGCCCGCACGTATCGTCGGGGCGAGGGGCTGCGATCAGCCAATCATTGAGAAGCTGCAGCCCGTACCGTCCCAAGTGCCGCGCAACAACTCCGTTCATGTGTGAAATGAGCGTGTTTGTTCCGTCGTAACAAAAGTCATTAAGCCGTTTTGGAGGGATGCTTCGGAACAGAAACCAAGGGCCTGCCCTGGGAGGCACCTTCTGTTGCTGTTGCTGTGGCTGCCGCTGCGCCTGCTTTGCCAGTTCCCTCTGAGAGTAAACCCACTGCAGGTAGTTGGGGAGGTAATATCCCAACGCGTTCTCCGGCTCGGCGCAGAAAGTGGTCATCCAGAAACCACCGTCTATAAGCGTCACATTGGCTGTCGTGGAAATGTTTGGAAACGTGAGCAGCTCAAATGCCGTGACGTTTTTATAGCTGCACGGTGATTACAGTCAAGGGAAGGGTGGCAGGAAGGACGGAAAGGCACGTGGAGTGTGTTATCTTCCCTTCTTCTGAGAGGATGGAGAATGGAGTGTGGTTATTCCACAAGGAATGGGCCTTGAACTCTCCGAGATCGAGCCACACGGGGGATGCAGGTGCAAGCAACGGCAGCAAATGCACTGCTACTCAATTGAGAACTGAACGCCACGAAATGAAGGGATGAAAACCAGGGAATATAATAGATTTTGTAAACAAATGCGAAGGAAAATGGAAAGAAAAAAGCGTTGCTGCCACACTGCACCTGCAGCCAAAAGGCCCGTCGATGTAAATCCCTCCGATCCAATAGAAGTTGAGCGTCAGAGGCTGCAAATCTGGGCTAGGGGGCGGCACAACCAACTGATGATATTCATGGAGCTTAACAGTGGACGCATTGGCCTTGCCGGTGAGGAGGAAAAAGAGGTGGTGGCAGAGGAAGCGCAGGTGAGAATCCCCGACAAAGTTGATCTCGAAAATACCCCGGGATTGGAGGGCGGAGAGCCACTGAGAGGCGGGGGGGAGGGGCTGCGCGCATGGGTAGAGTTGCCACTCGTAGGCCCGTTTCTTTGCGTTAATCAGCCACCGGCCGTGGATGGCATGGTCGCACGGCGAATCTGGACCGTACGTTGCATCGAGGGAAGATCTGTTGTTGGGTTGGGACTCTGCGGTAGGAGCTGGTTCTAGTTCAGTAGCTGGGTTGGTGGCTGTTCCGGTGGATGAGTTGGTAACTGCTTCAGTGTATGGGTTGGTAACTGATTCGGTGGATTGTTCGGTAGCTGGTTCGGTGGATGGTTTGAAAGCTGGACGGGCGGATGGTTTGGCGGGTGGGAGGACAGTGAGAACCCATTCGGCCATGACATGCGATTTTGTCTTACGGACCCGACGCAAGTAGTCTGACGCAAAGTCCAGCATGTCGCACTCTGATTGGACGCGGACACTGGTTGATTGGGGGATGGCGAGGAGGAAGGGGAGCAAAACGAAGGAAGGGCATGTGGGCTTATCAGTTGTGAGCATCCGACGGGTTGGACTGAAGTGGAGAGAGAGGGTTGGGGAGAGAACGGAATAAGGAGCAAGGACTACCCATTTCCTCCCTCCCCCTTTACCCCATCCGCTCCCTCCCCATTCCCCTCATCTCCTCACTCCCCCTATCCCCATTCTCCTATGATTCTTTACCCCCAGTCGCCTCCCTCACGTTCCCTGCCCCCTCCTTCCTTCCCCTCTCCTCCCCCCCTCCCCCTCCCCACCCCCCCCATTCCCCTCATCTCCTCACTCCCCCTATCCCCATTCTCCTATGATTCTTTACCCCCAGTCGCCTCCCTCACGTTCCCTGCCCCCTCCTTCCTTCCCCTCTCCTCCCCCCCCTCCCCCTCCCCACCCCCCCATTCCCCTCATCTCCTCACTCCCCCTATCCCCATTCTCCTATGATTCTTTACCCCCAGTCGCCTCCCTCACGTTCCCTGCCCCCTCCTTCCTTCCCCTCTCCTCCCCCCCTCCCCCTCCCCACCCCCCCAACCGCCTTCTCATTTTTCCCCTCGCTCATTCCCTCTCCTCGCCCCACCCTCCTTCCTCCGCCCACCCCCTCCTCCTCCCCCGCCCTCCCCCTCCTCCCCCTCCCCCTCCCCCTCCGCGCAAGCCTCACCTGTAGTCACCAGCGTCCCACACACGGTACGTGACTCGCCAGCGCGTGACGTCACCGTCCTCTGTAGTCACATCCGCTATAACCAAGGCAGGCCCCATCAGCCTCACCACCAGCGATTCGCGCAACCCACCCATACTTATCCGCGCGCTGTTGCTGCTGCTGCTGCCGCCGCCGCCACCTCTATAATTCTTCCACCACGCGATTTTGTCTTGTGCGATCGGGGTCAGCCGGCCGTTAGGGGGAGGGACCCATCTGGCGGGAGGTCTGACGGCGATTTCGAACGCGCAAAGCTCGCCCACCGTGCAACGGGAGCACCCCCCGCCGAAAATAAAAACTCCTCCCCTTTGTCGCTCCCGAATGGTCTCCTCCGCGTTCCCCGCCTGCATGCTATCATTCTGCTGCGTGTCGCCATGATTATTTTCTTTCACTCCATTGGTTCCCGACGAGTCGCCCCCGCTGTACCCGCCATGGTCCCCGGACCACCAGCAAATCGAATCGTATCCTACCGAATTTTCCGGAACTTGGCATTTCTCCTGGTTCGTGGCCACGTCAGCAGTTGAGTTACCCTGTTCTTTCGCGTTCAGTGACGCTTCGCCGGATTGGTTTGCCGCGGAAAGCGCGCCGTGCCAAAGGTGGACGCTTGGTGGGTCAGTGTACAGCGTATACGGGTCTATGAAGAAGCTGTAGAATAGTAACGGAACTACCGCTATCGCGAATAGCGCTAAAAAGACCACACATGGTAGTAGCCAAGACTGTTTCGAGTCATGAGCTGAGAAAGCTGCCATGGGGGGGCTTCGTCCGACGAAATACACTTGAGATAAATCATCTCGTGAGAGTCGATATAAATCTCACGATATCATATTTGAGATCGGACGGTCCTAGATTATAATCCATTTCGGCTCTCGATCAATTCTTTACTCTCTAGGGTGCTGCGACTTGAAGACTGCTAGCACAAGGTTGCTGAAGCAAATTTGCAGGGTTGATGGATACTTGCATTGCAAGCACGCACTATCCTGGAAAAGGCCGGCTGTGGCTAGGCAATATTCTGCAGAGCTCCCTTGCGGAGAAGGAGCAGCAGCAGCAGCAGCACCACCACCAGCAGAGTTGGATGTTTGATTTACTCGTTCACTCGTTTTCGGTCTGTGGAGACTTTTGGCACAAACAAATGCCCTTCCTTCCCACCGCTCCGTGCACGGTGCTCAGCGCAGGGACACATTGCAGAATGTTGCGGTCCCAAAAATGCCCCAGACCCAATAATTTCCCTCCGCCCCAAACTTGAAACGTTTTTAAATGCTGGCGAAAATTAGGGCGTGTAACGATTTTGCTTTTTGACGGTTACCCGCCCTAAAACTGTATCGAGAATAAGGCCTGAGCGAAACTAAACTACTGCGCGATGGGAGGGGATGCTGTGCTCGCCATGATACGGTATCGTGGGATCATAATCTAGGCCCGTACAAACTCGTGTCAATTATCTCGATTCTCACGAGATGATTGCTCTCAAGTTGACGACTATTTTGTCGGTCGAAGCCTCGCCATGGCAGCTTCCTTAGCTCATGATTCGAAACAATCTTGGATTGTACCTTGTGTGGTCTTGCTGGCGCTATTCGCGATAGCGGTAGTTCCGTTACTATTCTACAGCATCTTCATAGACCCGTATACACTGTACACTGACCCACCAAGCCCCCACCTCTGGCGCGGCGCGCTTTCCGCGGCAAACCAATCCAGCGAACCGTCACTGAACGCGAAAGAACGGGGTAACGCAACCGGCGCTGACGTGGCCACGAACCAGGAGACATGCCAAGTTCCGGAAAATCCAATAGGATACGATCCGATTTGCTGGTGGTCCGGGGACCATGGCGGGTACAGCGGGGCCGACTCGTCGGGAACCAATGGCGTGAAAGAGTCGAATCATGGCGAGACGCTGCAGAATGGTAGCATGCAAGCAGGAAACGCGGAGGAGACCATTCGGGCGCGACAAAGGGGAGGAATTTCGATTTTCGGCGGGGGTTGCTCCCGTTGCACGGTGGGCGAGCTTTGCGCGTTCGAAATCGCCGTCAGACCTCCCGCCAGATGGGTTCCTCATAAAGCCCGGCTGAGCCAGATTGCACAAGGCAAAAAGGCGTGGGCCATGAGACATACAGGCGGCGGCGGCGGCGGCAGCAGCAGCAGCGGCGCGCGGATAGGTATGGGTGGGATGCTCGAGTCGCTGGTGGTGAGGCTGATGGGGCCTGCCTTGGCTATAGCGGATGTGACTACAGAGGACGGTGACGTCTCGCGTTGGCGAGTCACTTATCGAGTGTGGGATGCTGGTGACTACAGGTGAGGCTTGCGCGGAGGGGGAGGGGGAGGGGGAGGGAAGGAGGGAAAGAGGGAGGGGGAAGGAAGGAGTGAGGGAGGAAATGGGGAAGTTGGGGAGGGGAAGAGTGGGGGAGGGGGAGGGGGAAGGAGGGAGGTGGCAGGGAACGTGGAAGGAGGGGACTGGGGGTAACGGGTAGCAGGTGAAGGGGGAGGAGAGTAGGTAATTCGTGCTTCTTATTCCGTTCCCTCCCCATTCCTTCCTCTCCACTTCAGTTCAGCCTTCACATGCTCACTATTGGTAATCTCATATGCCCTTCTTTCTTTTCTTCACCCCTCCACGCCATCCCCCAATCAACCAGTGTCCGCGTCCAATCAGAGTGCGACATGCTGGACTTTGCGTCAGACTACTTGCGTCGGGTCCGTAAGACAAAATCGCATGTCATGGCCGAATGGGTTCTCACTGTCCTCCCACCCACCAAACCATCCGCCGGACCAGTTTCCACACCCAGCGAACCAGCTACCGAACCAACCACCGAATCAGCCACCAACTCATCCACCGAATCGGTTACCAACTTATCCACCAAACCTGCTACCGAACCGGGACCAGCTCCTACCACAGAGTCCCAACCCAGCAACAGATCCTCCCTCGATTCAACATACGGTCCAGATTTGCCGTGCGACCATGCCATCCACGGCCGGTGGCTGTTCAACGCACAGAAGCGGGCCTACGAGTGGCAACTCTACCCATGCGCGCACCCCCTCCCTCCTGTCTCTCAGTGGCTCTCCGCCCTCCAATCCCGGGGTATTTCCGAGATTAACTTTGTCGGGGATTCTCACGTGCGCTTCCTCTACCATCACCTCTATTTCCTCCTTACTGGCAAGGCTAATGCGTCAACTGTACATTACTATGCAGACCTTCAGTTGGTCGTGCCGCCCCCTAGCCCAGATTTGCAGCCTCTGACGCTCAATTTCTATTGGATCGGAGGGATTTACATCGACGGGCCTTTTGGCTGCAGGTGCGGTGTGTGTGGGAGCAAAGCTCGTGGTAACTCGTTTCATATTTACTCTGTTCTACCCCATTATCCCTTTGTTTCATGGCTCTAATTCTACTTTGAATAGCAGTTTATCCATTCCTGTCCTTGTACCTTGTTCTGTGTGTCGCTCGATCGTTTTCGGAGGTTCCAAGGCTCTAAACACACTCCACGTGGCTTCCCATTTTTCCTGCCACTCTTCCCTTCACTGTAATTACCGTGCAGCTATAAGAACGTCACGAAATTCGATCTGCTCAAGTTTCCAAACGTTTCGACGACAGCCAATGTGACGCTTGTAGACGGTGGTTTCTGGATGACGATTTTCTGCGCCGAGCCGGAGAACGCTTTGGGCTATTATCTCCCCAACTACCTGCAGTGGGTTTACTCTCAGAGGGAACTGGCAAAGCAGGCGCAGCAGCAGCAGCAGCAGCAGCAGAAGAAGCAGCAGCAGGGAAATCAAACCTTGGCGCTACCTGCCAGGGCTGGCCCGTGGTTTCTGTTCCGAAGCATCCCTCCTAGGCGGCTCAATGACTTTTGTTACGACGGAACAAACACGCTCATTTCACACATGAACAGAGTTGTTGCCAGGCACGTGGGACGGTACGGGCTGCAGCTTCTCAATGACTGGCTCATCGCAGCCCCTCGCCCCGACGATACGTGCGGGCCAAAGGATCCGCACCACACCTGCTTTGCCGAAGCTGTGAACGGCAAGAATAATACGGAAACGGATGGGAGGTATGAGGGGGTTGTGGGAGAAGCCATGGTGTGGAATTTGGTTTACCATCTCTTGTACAACTTGACATGAGTATACTCAGGCTTCAACAATGCCTGCCTGAGTGCACCCTGCAAAGGTTTTTGCCAAGGGTCCTACGTGCTTCGGAACCCAATTGCAGGCAAACCTGACATGTCTTCATGGATTCCATCCATCGAATCAAAGTGGTCCACATTGCTCCTATACCGCTAGGTTCCACATACGCAGTTGGAACTTCATTACCGGTATGCATATGGTAAAAGACATTGTAAAACACTGGACCTAGACCGTACACCGGCAACAACCTGACAACCCGGCCACATTAAGAGTTTTGACACACTCATACTCCTACTACCAGTATTTCAACAAGGAAATCAAACCATGTGATGTGACACCTGCGAGTGTAACCAAGGCACGTCGTCAAGTGCTCAGAGTGACGATTGGCCACTTTTAGGACGCCTCAAAAGTGACACCTGTGAAACCAGGGCACTCGGAATGGCGAATGACATCCGAGAATGCAAAGTGCTCTGTGCCCCAGGACTGCCCCCCTGGCCTCCTTGTTGAACCTGCTGCACGAGGTATTGCCTGAAGCTGAAACCAGAGGTGGGCAGAGCAGAGCAGTGGGCGTCGCACAATCGGCTCGGGAGTTACTTGAAGCTGAAACCAGTGGGAGGAGCAGGGGGGTTTCTCCTAGACGTGGCACGCAAGGGGTTCCCCATCCCCCCTCCTGCATCCATTCTTGAGTCGACTCAAAAATAGACTCATCCCTTCGTACGGTAACCTACTTGAAGCTGAAGCCAGTGGGTGGGCCAGGGGGTGCTCTCCTAGACGTGGCACGCAGGGGGTTCCCCATCCCCCCTCCTGCATCCAACCCCCCTGCTAGGGTCTGCCGCAGCGGACTTGCACTCCTGGCAGTGCTTGCAGACGGGACCATTGGCGGCCCCCGAGCCATCACCGGACCTGGGACCATAGCTCCGGGAACCCCCGCGCCTAGCGGGTTGGGCACGGAGCCCATGGTCATGCCGCGGGTGATAGCTGGCGGCTGTTGATTGGCGGAGGATGAGCGAGTGGGCTGGAACGAAGAGGCATGTGAGATACCATAAGAGGGAGCCCCTGCTCCTGCTGCTGCTGCAGTTGAGGTCGGAGGGGTGGGAGATGCAGCAGCAGCACCGGCCGCTGCTGCTGCAGCGGCTGCTACGGCTGCCGAAGCTGAGGATTTGGAAGGTTTGGATGAGGAGGAGGATGATGATGAGGAGGAGGAGGATGGTGGTGGTGGGGGTGTTTTCCGAGAGGAAGGGGAGGGGAGAGGGCTGGAATCTGTTGAGGGTTCTTCTGAGATTGTGGGAGCGGCAGGGGCGGCCTTGTTGAAAGCTGTTCTCCACGCGTCCACTGTCTCCTTGGTGCCTGGTGGGACAGCAAGGTACAAGATGGCAGAGAGAGAGAGAGGCCGCAGATGCACAGAGATTGAGGTGACAGCAGGGGCTGCCTTGTTGCAAGCTGTTCTCCATGCGTCCACTGTCTCCTTGGTGCCTGGTGGGACAGCATGACACGACAGGGCATTGAAAAAGGGTTTGAAAGACATGGATAGGGGGCGGACATGACATAGAGAATGAGGCGGCGAAAGAGGCGGCCTTGTTGAATTGAAAGCTGTTCTCCATGCGTCCACTGTCTCCTTGGTGCCTGGTGGGACAAGGCACAAGATGGCACAGAGAGAGGGCGGGCACATAGATTGCAGGGGCAACAGGGGCGCCCTTAATAGAGGATTATTTAAGAAAGTGAGAGAGTGGGAGGGAGAGAGTGAGAAAGAGAATGAGTGAGTGAGACAAGAAAGAGGAGGAGGGAGAGAGTGTGTCTCGTGCCTCGTGAAGACTAAGTGTTCCTTCCAAACTAGACACTCACCTTCCCCTTCGTCCTCAGCAGATGCCCGTGCCTCATGCAAGCTGAGAGCCCGCTTGAGCTGAAGCATGGCATCACGCATGCGCTTGAACTTGTCGCGCTTGCCATAGAAAGAGAGAGAGACCTAAATCAGACACTCACCTTGCCCCTCATCCTCAGCAGTCGCCCGTGCCTCGTGCAGGCTGAGAGCCCTCTTGAGTTGCAGCATGGCATCGCGCATGCGCTTCAACTTGTCGCGCTTGTCATAGACAGATAGATAGATAGATAGGGAGAGAGTGGTTCCTTCCAAACCAGACACTCACCTTGCCCCTCATCCTCAGCAGTCGCCCGTGCCTCGTGAAGACTAAGCGCCCTCTTGAGCTGAAGCATGGCATTGCGCATGCGCTCGACCTTGTCGCCCTTGAGAGAGGGAGAGAGAGAGAGAGAGAGAGAGAGAGAGAGAGAGAGAGAGAGAGAGAGAGAGAGAGAGAGAGAGAGAGAGAGAGAGAGTGGCTTATCCTAAACACAAACACCCACCTTGCCCTTCATCCTCAGCAGATGCGCGTGCCTCATGCAGGCTAAGAGCCCGCTTGAGCTGAAGCATGGCATCACGCATGCGCTTGAACTTGTCGCGCTTGCCGGCGCTCTCCGCGTCCTCCTGCAGCATGGAATGCAGCCGGTCGTCCGACATGCCGCTCACTGTCTGGTACAGCTTCGTTAGCATTGAGTCTCGGGCTCGTTCCACCTGAGCCAGCACTATGGCCTGGTGGTTGGGAAGGGGGGAGGGAGGAGAAGGAGAGGGAGTGAGTTCAAGGCATGCCGGCGCTCTCAGCATCCTCCTGCAGCATTGAATGCAGCCGGTCGTCTGACATGCCGCTCACCGTCTGGTACAGCTTCGTGAGCATTGGATCCCTCGCCCTCTCCACCTGAGCTAGTTCTATGGCCTGGTGGTTGAGAAGGGGAGGAAGAGAGGGGAAGGAGAGGGTGGGAGTTCAAGGTTTGTCAGCGCTCCCCACATCCTCCTGCAGCCGGTCGTCTGACATGCCGCTCACCGTCTGGTACAGCTTCGTGAGCGTTGAATCCCGCGCTCGCTCCACCTGAGCTAACACTATGGCCTGACGTGTTTTTGTGTGTGGTGGTTGGGGGGCGTGGGGGAGAGGAGTTGGTTAAAACACACGCACACACACAGCAAAATACACAGGCACCACAGCGCACACGCACATGTGCACACACCCGGAGCCTCACCTTAGGAATGTTGTCAGCCAGGTGAACGAGCACCGCCTGCACGTATCGTCGCACCTCCGTCACCTGATACCTCAGCTCCTCCTCCGGATTCGCCACCCGCCCCGCCCCCGCTGCCCCTCCCCCTCCCTGCCCCAGCGCCCCAGGCACAATGCTCCCCCCTCCACCACCGCCACTACCAGCAGAATCCCCATCCCTGCTGCTGCCGTCGTCTCCTGATTGGTCGGTGTCGCCCCCGGTGGAGGAGGAAGGGGGAGGCGGGGGCGGGGCGTCCTTGAAGGCCTTGGTGTGGCTGCGAAGGCGCGCCACCCACTGCTGCTTCTCTGCCATGTTGTCTGCCCTCAGGATGAGTGACTGGTGGACTGGGACGGGACGAAGAAGGGGAGGGAGAGAGAAGGGGAAGGAAAGAGAAGGAGTGCATGCAGGCGTCGTTGACGAGAGAGGGAGAGAGCGCAAGCCGTGGCACCCACTGCTGTTTCTCCGCCATGTTGTCTGCCCGCAGGATGAGCGACTGGTGGACTGGAGAGGGGACGGGAGGGGGGTATTGGGGAAGGGAAGAGTGAGCCGCGCCACCCACTGCTGTTTCTCCGCCATGTTGTCTGCCCGCAGGATGAGCGACTGGTGGACTGGTGGAGAGAGAGGGGGACAGGGAAGAGAATGAAAGGAGAGATGGGAAGGCAGCGGGAGGCGAGAAAGCCGCGCCACCCACTGCTGCTTCTCCGCCATGTTGTCTGCCCTCAGGATGAGCGACTGGTGGACCGGTGGAGGAAGAGCGGGACAGGGAAGAGAGGGAAAGGAGACATAGAGGGAGAGGGAGAAGTAAAGGGAAAGCATTGGGGGTGAAGTTAAAGAATGATGAGGAAATGGAGACTCGAGAGGGAGTGAGAGAGACAGGGTGTAAATGCAGGAGGGAACGTTCAATTGGCTACGTTGGTGTGTTGCTGAACATGCTCGCGAGCATCGAGTAAACGCGCCCGCCAGGCCGTGCCTTTGATTACAGGCTTGTTGCATTTGACAAGCGGGGGCATACCTTTGAGTTGACCCACCGTTGACCAGTGTTGACCCACCTTTGACCACGGTTTTGTACGGCACTCTGTTGCCAATCTTGAAGGAGAGTGCTTGCGCCGAGGGGTTGGACCCTGCCTTGATGTCCGACGCTGATGGCACCTCCTCTTGACCCTCCTTTTACCAGCGTTGACCCACCTTTGATTAGCGTTGACCCACAGTTGACCAGCGTTGACCCACCTTTGACCACGGTTTTGTACGGCACTCTGTTGCCGATCTTGAAAGAGAGTGCCTGTGCCGAGGGGTTGGACCCCGCCTTGATGTCCGATGCTGATGGCACCTCCTCTGGAGGCACTATCTCGTCTATTATGCAGTCCTGTAACGAGTATTGCAAAAACGGGGACAAACGCGGGGTAAAGGGAGATTATTGTGGACTTTATCCTTTTATACCTCCTCTGGAAGCACTAATTCATTTACTATGCAGTCCAGGGACAATGTTTGCACAAACACAAGGGAAGCAGGAAGAAAGAGATAAATTGGGGAAAAAAATGTACACAAGTCACACCTACTGAGAAAAACTTAAATTTAACGGACAATTCTTTACACCCCCCATCCAAAAAAATACCGTAAGAACAATTGCCGGCGGCTTAAGAAAGCAGATCATCCCACACCGTTGCAAAGACAGAAACAGTTTGGTGCCTTACCTCGAGAGGAATGACTCCCCTAGGCGTCTTCTCATCGGGCTTCTTCACGTAGTAGAGCTGCGGGATGGAGCACGGAGGGCATGGCAGGGCATGGCAGACATGGCAGGGCATGGCAGACATGGCAGAAGAACAAACATGAATAAGAAAAATGCTGGTAATTGGCGGGGAAATGGATGGAGACAGGGTGGTGAGTGGAAGCGGAAGGAGGGAAAAGGGTGATGAGGGGTGGGTGAAGGGAGGGAGCTCCAAGAGTTTTCATCGAGCTTGTGCACATAGAAAAGAGGGGCAAGTGAAACGCTGTGTGTGCAGCATAGCATACCCGGGCGGTCTTGTCACTGAGTGCGAACCAGCGCTTGCTCCATCCCCCCTTGGAGCTCACTTTCCACAAGAAGCCTGCCACAATGACAGCAAGGGCAGCAAGGGCAGCAAGGGCAGCAAGGGCAGCAATGACAGCAAGGGCAGCAAGGGCAGCAAGGGCAGCAATGACAGCAACGGCAGCAATGACAGCAAGGGCAGCAATGACAGCAACGGCAGCAATGACAGCAACGGCAGCAATGACAGCAACGGCAGCAATGGAAGCAAGAACAAGAAGAGTACAATCTGTCTTAAAATAAGGCAAACGGTAAACAAGCACTTTGCACAACAACCCGAACAAAGGCGATGCCAGCGAGAATCAGGCACAAAAGGGATACACGCACTTTTGAGAAGAACCCTGACAGGGTGAGCATATGAACGACAGCAACAAGCAACACCAACGGCAAACACGGACGGTTCTGTGCCAGACTCAGACACGAACAGAACAACACATCCCAGCCTTTCCATCCCATCCCATCCCATCCCATCCCATCCCATCCCATCCCACCCATAAGAGCACTGTACAGCACCTGCAAGCTCTTTGACGGGACCCATGGGCTGAGAGACATCGGTGGGGGGCGGAGGTGGGGGAGGCTCCTTCTTGCGGCATCCCAACCCAACCCACCCCATCCCACCGCATCAAACCCCAAACCAACCCATCTCAACCCATCACAGAACAGCACAGCACCTGCAAGCTCCTTGACGGGACCCAGGGACTGAGAGGCATCACTGGGGGGCGGAGGTGGGGGAGGCTCCTTCTTGCGGCTGAATGAGGACATGGCAGAGGCAAAGCGACCGCCCCCACTGTCTCCTGTCGACTGGTGTGAAGAAGGTGGTGGGGAGGGCAGAAGAACGAGGAAAGGGTGAGGTTGAGCGGTAGTGAGTGGAGGTGAGTGGAGAGAGATCGAGAGGCTTTACTCACGAAGCGAACAATGGAGAGAGCAAGAGGACTCACTAAAGGAAACAGAGACATACATGATTCACAGAGCGGGAGCGAGGCAACGACTCACAGAGCGGGAGAGCACGCCTCGGTCCTGCAAGCCCTTGCGAGCCACTTCCAACTCCTTCCATAACTTCTCCTGCCTGCCGGGGGGAAGATGAACAAGAGAGGGCGGTCCAAGTTTGGAGTGAGGGCGGTCCAAGTTTGGAGTTAGGGCGAAGCACAACTCTAGTGCAAAGGCAGAAAAAACTTAGTGCAATGGAGGTACAAGTCAAGTGTGAAGGGGGCACGAGTCAAGTGTGAAGGGGGCACGAGTCAAGTGTGAAGGGGGCACGAGTCAAGTGTGAAGGGGGCACGAGTCAAGTGTGAAGGGGGCACGAGTCAAGTGTGAGGGTGGCACGAATCTAGTGTGTCAGCACGAGTCAAGTGCATCGGATTCGGCATGAATCTACGGCTGCACAAGTCAAGGGAGAGGGGGGCGGCTCGAATCAGGTGCGAGGGCGGCATGAACCACATGGTGGGGCGGCAGCTCACCGCTTATACTCCGCCTCAATGAAGTGCGACGGCGGCACGAAGCCCTTCTCCATGTCCACTATGGCCGTCACCATGCGCTTCGCCTCCGCGCGGTACTCGTCCAATGCTGCTGATGCTATGGCCACCAACTGAGAGGGAAAGGGAGGGAGCGAAGAAGAGAGAGGGAGAAGGGAGGGGCAGTGGGAGACGTGGCATACATGCGCCAGTCACCATGCGCTTCGCCTCTGCGCGGTACTCGTCCAGTGCTGCTGATGCTATGGCCACGAGCTGAGATGGAGGGAGGGAGAAGAGAGAAGGAGGCAATGTACCAAAAGCCACCATGCGTTTTGCCTCTGCCCGATACTCGTCCAATGCTGCCGATGCGATGGCCACCAGCTGAGAGGGGGGGGAGGGAATGGAGGGGAGGGAGAAGCAAGGGGCAGTGGAGAGGTGGCATGGCATACACCAGTCACCATGCACCAGTATGTGAAGGTACACTTCACCTCCACCAGATACTCGTCCAGTGCTGCTGATGCGATGGCCACAAGCTGAGAGGGGAGGGAGAGGGAGCGGAGGAGGGAGAAGGGGAAAAATCAAGTGAGTGTCCCTTTCATGCCCACGGGCTCTTCTCCATGACCACTGGCCGTCACATGCACTTGACCTCCACCCGATACTCGACCAGTGCTGCTGATGCTATGGCCACCAGCTGGTTGAAAGTGTGGGGGTGAGGAAGGAAGGGAGCGGGAAAAGGGGACAGGAAGACGGCGGAGCGCAGTGGCCGTGACGCTGTGTGCTTCATATAATGCTGACGAGGCTATATCTATGGGCTGGTTCCGGTACAAAGGGAGAGGGAGGGGAGGGGCAGAGGGCAGGGCGCTGTGGCCATGATGCCATGTGCTCAGAAATAATGCAGATGAGGCTATGGCCATGGGGTGGCTATGATAGGGAAAGAGGGACACGCGTGCTAAAGTTCCATGGTCCCATTTACCTTGAACTGAGCCATGTGGGGCCAGAAAGGAAGAGTGGGAGAAAGGGAGGGGGTATTGGGAGGGAGAAGGAGCGGGGGATGAGGAAAGTATTGGTGTTTGGAAAGGGGAGGAGAGAGGATAGAGGGGGCGGCTGCGGAGATGGTGTGCACTGGGAAGCTTATAGGCAGCCATTCACTGTACCTCTGTTTTCATGGGTGGGAAGCGGACGAGCGAAGGGGCTTGTGATGCGGCACCTGCTACGATGTCCACGAGAATCTTGTGCACCTGCATGGATGAATGGTTGTGGCATGACATGGTAGGAGTAAATCAAGGGGAGTCTTGATATGTAGAAAAGGACGGCATGTGGACGGCATGAGGAAGCGGATCAAGGAAGGAATGATGGCAGGCGGCAAAGCAGAACCCAGGGCACACATACACCAGACAACCCTTCCCCTCGTCCCTCCGACCCTGCGTCCCCCCCCTCCTCCCTCTCACGTCGTCCAAACAGTCAATGCCGGGTTGCTTGGCCAGCTCGAGACTCCTCTTGATGAGCAGACGAAGTCAATCCAGTCAATCAAAGTCAACAAGAGTCAACCACAGTAAACACGCTACTCTCGCCTCGTCCACACAGTCAATGCCAGGCTGCTTGGCCAGCTCCAGGCTCCTTTTGATGAGCAGACAAAGTCAATCAGAGTCAATGACAATCAATGGGAGGAAACAGCAGTCAGTCCCCTGCTCTCACCTCGTCCACACAGTCAATGCCAGCTGGAGGAGACTCCTCTTGATGAGAAGGCGAAGTCAATCAGAGTCAACTTAGTCAACAGCAGTCAGTCCCCTGCTCTCACCTCGTCCACACAGTCAATGCCAGGCTGCTTGGCCAGCTCCAGGCTCCTCTTGATGAGCAGACGCAGGCCCTTCTCTGGCGACAGCAGGTATGGCTGGTATCCGTCCGCCACCATCACCACCTGGTGGGGAAGCAGTGGGATTGACGGAAGGGAGGAGAGGGAGGAAATGGCAGGAGAGATAGCTGTAGTTACGTTGACTAGAAACACATAAAGACCCTTCTCTGGCGACAGCAGGCATGGCTGGTACCCATCTGCCACCATCACCACCTGGTGGGGCAACGGTAAGAATGGCCCACGGAGGGAGTGGTGGAGAAACAGACGATTTTACATTGACGTGTAGCAGGCTTGAAGGCCTTTCTCTGGCGACAGCAGGTATGGCTGGTAGGTACCCATCCGCCACCATCACCACCTGGTGGGGCAACAGTCAGTAAGAATGGCCGCAAGGGAGTGGCGGGAGGGAAAAACAGACGCTTTTACAATAGCGCGTAGCGGGCTTGGGCTTGAGGAGAGGACCCCTCTCAGGCGACAGCAGGTATGGCTGGTACCCATCCGCCACCATCACCACCTGGTGGGGTAACAGTCAGGACGAAGGAAGAGAAACTTTAGAGGCCATGTGGGCGTAGCTTGTTTAGGGTTTAGGGTTTAGGGGCAGAAGCAGGGGCAAGCAGGAATCAACGGCTCTCTCACCTTCTTCACGTTGTCAAGGCCGAAGCTGAACATGTCGTCCATGTGACTTTCGAGTCGACTCAAAAGCCACTTCTCAAGTCGACTAAACAGGACAGCATTGACAGGTCACTCGCCTTTTTCACGTTGTCAAAGCTGAACATGTCGTCCAGCGGGAGCCCTCTGAAGCGCAGAGACAATCCTTTTTCAGCCAACTATAGATTGAAGTCCCTCACTCACCTTCTTCACGTTGTCAAAGCTGAACATGTCGTCCAGCGGGAGCCCTCTGATCTGAACTGCAGTGCAGTGCAGCGCAGCAACCCGATCAAAGAATTGGTTCACTCACCTTCTTCACGTTGTCAAAGCTGAACATGTCGTCCAGCGGGAGCCCTCTGAAGCGCAGAGGCAGCGTGCCCACAAACTTCTCCACCATCTGCGACCCTCCGCCCTGCAGGTGGAGCAGTGGAGGCGAAGGGGTGCATGAAAGGAGCCAGAACAAGGTTTTGTTTAAACATGTTGCTAATAGGAGGGGCTCGAAGCGCAGAGGCAGCGTGCCCACGAACTTCTCCACCATTTGCGACCCTCCGCCCTGTGGGTGTGGAGTCGGGGTACATTGGTTTTGAGGTGCCTCAAAAATCGTCTCAGAACCAGTTCTGATCAAGCATGTTGCTGAATGGACTGCCTTTAATCACAGCGACTGTTGTCCTAAGATCAAAGTAGAGCATTGAAGAAACCCAGAGTATGGAAATTAGCACGCTTCGTTCTTCAAACAGGGTGTGTGCATACTTTCCCCTTCTGCCACACGTGCATCTCTCCATCCGGCCTTGCAACAGCCGATCCCATCGTACCTCCTCCCCAGCGCACGCACCTCACTGCCATCCAGGTGTTCGCAGAACTTGGTCTCAAACCCGCGGCACAGCTCCAGGGCGAGCGCACGCGAGCCGTGCAACCTGATCATAGACGGCCGCCCTTTTCCCCCACCAGCCCCCTCCATCCATACCACCTTGTAACACCCCACCCTATCGTGTGCACGCACCTCACTGCCGTCCAGGTTCTCGCAGAACTTGGTCTCAAACCCTCGGCACAGCTCCAGGGCCAGGGCACGCGAGCCGTTGAGGCTGGACACGAGTGAGTCGCCCAGCCTGAGTAGCTCCGCGTCCACTTCCTCAGAGCGACCCTCCAGGCTGAGAGAGGAGCAGGGAGGAGTGACAAAGGGGGGGGTCGGGAAAGGTCAAACCCTCGGCACAGCTCCAAGGCGAGGGCACGCGAGCCATTCAAACTGGACACGAGTGAGTCGCCCAGCCTGAGTAGCTCCGCGTCCACTTCCTCAGAGCGACCCTCCAGGCTGATGGGAACAGGGAGGGGGGAGGCCAGGAGACATGAGCTTTTCAAACTCTCGGCACAGCTCCAGGGCCAGGGCACAGGAGCCGTTGAGGCTGGAGACCAGTGAGTCGCCCAGCCTGAGTAGCTCCGCGTCCACTTCCTCAGAGCGACCCTCCAGGCTGATGGGAACAGGGAGGAGCGAAGGGGAGAGGGGAGGAAGGGATTGTTTGTTTCTAACCCCTCGGCAGAGCTCCAGGCTCCAGCGCGAGGGTACGCGAGCCGTTGAGGCTGGAAACCAGTGAGTCGCCCAGCCTGAGTAGCTCCGCGTCCACCTCCTCAGACCGACCCTCCAGGCTGATGGGGGGTTGAAGAGGCGGGAGAGGAGGTGGGGGTAAAGTAAGAATGTGTGGATTCCGGAGGCCATTGAGGCTGGAGACCAGTGAGTCGCCCAGCCTGAGTAGCTCCGCGTCCACTTCCTCAGACCGACCCTCCAGGCTGATGGGAACAGGTTGAAAGGGAGAAAGAAGGGGAAAAGGTGTGGGGGAGGAAGGGGGGAAGTGAGTGAGAGTGAGCTATTCTCTCATTTGAGAGTGAGAGTCGGCAAGCCAGCGGGAGTGAGCGAGTGAGAGTGAGAGTGAGTAGAGAGGGTGGGAGAGCCTTACGCGGACATAATGCGAGGAATCTTTTCCTTCATCTTGTGCCGCACGGTGCGAGCAATCAGCCGCAGCAACGCGTCGCGACCCATGGGCGTGTCCATGCCTTTGATTCCATTCGCCCACATCACCTGCCATGCAAGGCAAGCAAGGAAGGTATGCAAAGTGTCTAAGAGATCGTCACATCCGATCCATGGGCGTGTCCATGCCCTTCACTCCATTCGCCCGCATCACCTGCCATGTAAGGCATGCAATGGAATGCAACACAACAGAACACAAGGACGGATGACAAAAGGTGAGCTGTTCTCTCCTAATTCTTCATCGTGGGCTCGTTTGTGCCCTTGTGATAGAAGTTAAGTTTTGAGACGTCTCAAAACTACACTTCTATCATGCAAGGACGGAGGCTAAAGGTGAGCTGTTCTCTCCTGATCCTTCAGCATGGGCTCGCTCCTGCCCTTGTCCCCCAGACGCTGCCCAATCATAGTCACCAACGCACAGGTACGTTGCACACTGCAACAGCTTCCAGTTCCCATTCACACTCACCCAGAGCAGAGCTCTCTATATACTCCTGCCACAGCACCTTGAACTCCTCCTGCCACGCAGCATGCCAACAGTCACCACTCACAACACAACACAACACAACACAACACAACACGACACAACACAACACGACACGACACGACACAACACAACACAACACAACACAACACAACACAACACAACACGACACAACACGCACCTTTGACAAGACCTTGTACTCCTCCTGCCACGCAGCATGCCAACAGTCACCACTCACAACACAACACAACACAACACGACACAACACAACACGACACGACACGACACAACACAACACAACACAACACAACACAACACGACACAACATGCACCTTTGACAAGACCTTGTACTCCTCCTGCCAAGCGCCATCCATGGGCTCGTTCGTATCCTTGTCCTCCAAAGGCTGTCCAATCACCTCCACCCACGGTCTATGGGTACTTCACACACTGCAACAGCCCAGAGCTGAACTCTCAAGTCACCTGCGATAAGACCTTGTATTCCAAGGTGACTTTTGAGTCGACTCAAAAGTCATCTCAACGCACCTGCGATAAGACCTTGTATTCCTCCTGCCACGCGCCATCCATAGGCTCGTTCGTGTCCTTGTCCCCCAGCGGCTGACCAATCACTGCCACCCACGGGTAGTCCTGAGCCATGGCCGCCCCCTGCTTCTGCAGCAGGTCCACTGCCAGCTTCGCCGTGTCCCTGTCCTTCATCACTTGGTCGAATTTCGTGATAACTCCAATAGTTCTCACACCTGGGGTTGATTGTACAAGGAGGAGATTGATAAGGGTGTGCGTTAGGTTCAAACTGCCTCTGCAGCAAAGTCCACTGCCTGCCAGTTTCTCCGTGTCTCTGTCCTTCACGACTTGGTGAATTTCGTTATCACCCCGATGCTCCTCACACCTGGGCTGGTCAGTTGATTGATTGCAGAGGAAGGGGATCAAGGGGCGTGCATTTAAATCCACCCTGCCTCCGCAGCAGCTCCACCACAGCCAGCTTCGCTGTGCCACGCCCTAATGGCCTGTGCACTCCAATCCGCTCTTCTAACTTTGTCGAGACTCTTGCCATTGTATTATACCTTGTGCTTTTGGTAACAATGTGTCGATTTCGAAGTCACCTTTGCCCACTCACTCACCTTCTCTATCAATGTCGTGCACAATGCGGAGGATATTCAGGGAGTCCTTGACTGACGTGGCAGAGACCACCACCGCACCAGGATGAATGACTGCATTGATGAGGCGCCTAAGATGTAGGCCCTCCTAAGATGCAGACCATGGCAACACGAATTCATATTCATGCCCTCCACTCACCTTCTCTGTCAATGTCATGCGCGATGCGGAGGATCTTAAGAGAGTCCTTGACTGCCGTGGCAGAGATCACCACCAGGATGACTGCATCGTTGTTGGACACGTTGTCCTGGAACTGCATGCACGCACACGTGGAGTGCAATGCAAGAACACACAAAGTGTGGGAGTACAGGGCACGTTGTCGAAACCAGTCAATGCTGGTTTCATTTGAGACGCCTCACACCAGGATGACTGTATCGTTGTTGGACACGTTGTCCTGGAACTGTATGCATGCGAGGGGTACAACAAAATCAAAGTGCGTGGGAGTACAGGGCACGTTGTCAGAACCAGTATGTGATGCTGGATTCAAATAAGATGGATCACACCAGGATGACTGCATCGTTGTTGGACACATTGTCCTGGAACTGCATTCATGCACGCACACACGTGGAGTGCAAGGCACTGGATTAGAGGGAATGTTGTTGGTTAATGAAGACGCTGTCGAATCAGTCTATGATGCAGCTGGCGACATTGAAAACCGTTACACACCAGGATGACTGCATGCATTGTTGTTGAACATGCTGTCTGTCTGCCCTAGAGCCGATAAGCCGAATTGAGGATATTATTGAGTACGCATAAACGAGACAAGACACAACAACGTATACACTACAAGTGGCATGGCATGGCAGAGGGACCGCTTACTGCTCCGTCCATTTGGGATGCCTTCTCTATCCCAGGCAGGTCGATAATGCGCATCGGTGGGGCTGTGCACGGGGGCAAGGGACAGCAGGGGTTCATAAGGAGGCGCAGGGTGGAAGGAGGGGGATGGAAGAAGAACGGGAGACTTGATATTGAGAGAAACGAGATTTGAGGCGGCACTAGATGCGCATTGGTGGTTCTGTGCACAAGAACAAGGCACAGCACAAGAGCAAGAGTCGAAAAGGAGGCACGTGGCAACGGCACGATGAGTGAGGGAGTGAGGAACGAAAAGAGAAAAAGCCGTGTCCAGGAAAACACACACACCCACACACACACACACAACACACCACTGCATACCACACTCTGCTGCAGTACTTGGGGGTTCGGCCAGCCCAGAAAAAGGTTTTGACATTTGCAGCTGGGAATTGAAACACTCACGAGATGCGAGTGAGAAGCGGGAAGGAAAGAAAAAAAGCGGGAGACGGACGGACCAATGGGCGATCGGAGGATGAGCTGCGCCTCCTCTCTGTGCCTGGACGACCCCTTGGCCTTGCTCATGTCCGACTGCAGTGCCTGCCGAATCTCCGCTGCACCCAGCGGGAGGGAAACCAGAGGGAAGCAAAGAGAGGAACGGACCAGAGAGAGAAGCGGCAAGAAACGAGTCTCCTTCTGTTGACCACCACACAGCTTGCATGTTAACACTTCACTCTTCTGTACTTTCTCAGAATGTATACATTCGGGGTTGAGCCACCAAGATTGGCGCGCACAGCAAAAAAGGAAGTGTTTTGAGACGTCTCAAAACGTCTCAACACGTCTCAAAACACTTCTTTTATCACGTGGCCATCCCAGAGATTGGCTCTTACAAGGCCTGGGCATGTTGGTTCTGGCACCAAGATTGCCGCGCACAGCGCCGGCCGAGAGGTTCTGGTCGCGATGCAAGTCCACCAGCACTGGGAAGCGCGTGCACCCGCCCTCTCCTGTGGGCTGAGAGAAAAACAAAGCAAGGAGAAGTAGGTAGAGGAAGCGGTAGGTGGAGAAAGAAACACAACACAGGACAGAAAGCAGAGGAGTCAGAGATCAGAGAGCAGAGCACCGGTAGGTGGGTTCTTATTGCGGCGCAACGGCGTGCATGCATTAAATGCAGCAGGAAGAGATGCAGGTAAGCAAACGGATTGCGCGTGACAGTGAGATGCATCCAGGATGACAACAGTGAAAACATTTGAAAAGAAAAGCTGTCACACTCGTCCTATCAAAGTCACCAGTCACCAGCTAAAAAGCCCTTTAGTGAGTCAAGAGTTACCAGCGAGTGAAGAGATCAACTTACGAAATACCATTAAAATCGAGTACTTTTTAGCAGACACAGGAAAAACATGAATTGTTTAATCCACCGACATACCAAGACGGCATGGCCGATGAGCGTGTTGAGAACAGCCGACTTCCCCGAACCCTGCAGGTAATTAAGGGGAAAGCGAAACGACCAGACTTGAAGCTCATTAAGAACAATTTATCAACAGGGAAAAGAAAACGATGGAAGAAGCGTGTGAGAATGAAAGCTTAATACTTGCTATGGAGTGACTGACGCTTGTTAATACGGAGCCCTGGAGATTGTGACAACAGTCGGACACTGGAACGCCGTTCATGACAGAGAGTCGTACACTACGAGATCATGTCCGAACGTGTCGTACGCGAAGGTATCACAATAGCGTGTCGTACGTGTCGGACATGATGATCGAACGTGTCGTACGCTGAGGCATCACAATAGTGTGTCCGATGCGATGACACGCGATGCTTGAGCGTCGTACCGAAGCGCGGACGACGGACAGCAGGATGGGAGCAAAGCGGTGTCCTAGTGATGTGCTAAAAAGCGTCGTGCTTCCGTGTCGACTTCAGAGCGTGGTAACTCGAGTCCCGAAGGTCGTACGTCTGTGTCGACTCGACGCGAATCGAATGTGTCGACTCAGCAAGCAACATACGTCTGCGTGGACTCCAAAAGCATCGGACGTACGGCTGTGTTGACTGAACGACTATCGTACCGGCGCGCCGATGACCAAGAGCTGGATGACGGGAGCCGACCCCGAGCGAGGGTCTGCCTGAATGTCGTCTCCCACGAGGGCCGACGACGCCTGCTGTAACGTCTCGCCTAGCGATATTAGGTCGTCCATGGGAACCTACTGACTAATCGCAATGATCGCAACAGTCACAAGATTTGCGATAGTCACAGTGGTTGCCACTTTAATCGCGACGGACACAGCAACGGTTGGACGGAGTGAAAATGAGCGACACTAAGTAACCTGACGAACCACTGCCGCAGCGATAAGTGAACTGTAATCGTTCAACAAAGTGGTTAAAGAGAAGCAGCTGGATGCTTCGAAACACGCTTGTTTGGAGCGATCACAAGAGATGATCAGCCGGAGAGCACGCATGAGCTAACCAGCAGCTGAACGGCCATAGATAGACCATGGAGCTCATATCAGCAGCCAAGCGGAATTCCGCACACCAGAGACTGGGCTGCCTAGACGAGGGTGTACGTAACAGCAGAACACGCCATACGTTCCCGAGGCCGCAAGGTGAATTCTCATCTCACGTACAGATTCATGTCAGTTGTGTGTTCAGCCGACCCTCCGCGAGACGTTTTCGCAAATGACGAGATTGTTACTACAAGATCAGAGATCAAGACTGAACTGAACACTTGTCGGGCAGTGTACGAACGACTCATGCCGTGTGTTACGAGTGCAATTGAGTGAACGAGCGAGAATTGCACTATCGAAGCAAAAGTACAATGAGCGAAGGCATGAGCGAAGAATATATAGCGAAACTACAGTGGTAACGGTTATGCGTGGAAAATGGGGTGCGCGATGGGCCTGGCGCCGAGGTTGGGAATTGTCGAGGCGGAGGTCCGGAGCGCGGGTTACCAACCGAACCGTGAGGTTGGGTCGCGTCGTGAACAGTGGCGGGAATAGTGTCGAGGCGAGTGTCGCGAGTGGTAACGGATCACTGTTGGGTGCGGTTGGCGGGAACAGTGGTGTACGCGCTGAGCAGGGACGCGAAGTAAGGAAAAGGAATTTTCCTTACACTACCCCCCTCCCCAAGGAGGCCCCTCTTACGAGAGCGCGTGTACATCTCGGAAGTTTCGGCTTCGCAGGTACTCAGTGAGGAGAGGGTGATTCTCAATTCTATCCAGGGGGACCCAGTTGTCTTCGGTGGGCGTGCGGTCCTTCCACCGTATCAGGAAATCGATGCGGCGAGCTCCCTGTGGGTCACGTACTCGATGGCTTAGGATTTTCTCAGGCGTGATGATCGGTTCAGTCGGGGGTCTGGTCATGCTGGCGGGGCGGTTGCGGGGCAGTTGACTGGTGGATGGCACATATGGGCGGAGCAGGCTGACGTGGAATGACGGGCTGACGTACCAGTCAGCAGGGAGGAGGAGATGGGCAGTGACGGGTGTGATCATGTGGCTTATGCGAAACGGCCCGCAATATCAGGGGCGGAGTTTTGGGGTAATGGGCAGGCGGAGGTTTTGAGTGTCGAGTAGTACGAGGTCGTCTGGCTGGTAAGTGACTGGTCGGCGGTGACGGTCGGCGTTGCGTTTAGCGATGACGTTAGCTTTTTTAATTGCGTCTGCTGCCCTGGTCCGTGCTGCTTGCAAAATTTCGGCGAACTGTTGTGCGCGTGGAACTGGATTGTCGGGATTCGGGGTCATGGGTACCGTTGGGTCTTGTCCGTAGTTCAGGTAAAACGGTGACTGTTGGGTCGTGGCGGATGGGGAGTTGTTGTATGCGAACTCGATAAGTGGCAGTTGCTGTTCCCACGTGTTCGGGTCGTCGCACGTGGCCCGGATGAGCTGTTTTATGGTCTGATTTGTCCGTTCTGTCTGTCCGTCGGTTTCGGGGTGGTATGATGAACTGAACTGTAGTCGCGTGCCGAACTGCTGCCACAGGTTCCGCCAGAAGTTGCTGGTGAATTTCGTGTCCCTGTCGCTGATGATTGATGCTAGTATCCCGTGCAGGCGTACGACGGTAGAGATGAAGAGGCGGGCTGTTTCTTTGGCTGTGATCGATTTCTTACAAGCTGCGAAGTGTGCCATTTTCGTCAGTCGATCGACGACGACCAGGATCGCGTCATTCCCACTCGCTCCGGCCGGTAACCCCGTGACGAAGTCCATCGTCACCTGCTGCCAAGCACGCTCTGGGGGTGGTATCGGCTGCAACTGTCCCGCCGGCCGCTTCCGTGATGACTTCATGATCTGGCAAGTGGGACACGATGCCACGTGTCGTTGCACGTCGGTCAACATTTCGGGCCAGTAATAATACCGCTGCAGCTGCTGCCGTGTTTTCTCTACCCCGAAATGTCCCGAGGTAACTCCGTCGTGTGCCTCCTATAACAGTAATTCCCGTAGCAGTGTGTACCCTGGTACCCAGATGCGGTCGGTCCCGGCTTTTACGTAATAGACTCCCTTGGCTGCTGCAAACTGCTGCGAATTTCCTCCTGTGAAGAATGGGTCCGTTTGATACCCGTGGGTAAATAGTCCTGTTAGTAGCGGGCTGGTCTGGGCGAGTAGTATCGCGTGGATTTGGGCAGTGGGGCGGGTCAGTGCGTCAGCGATGTTGGATGCTCCTTTTTTGTAGGTGACCGTGTAGTGGAAATTCGACTCGAGGAAATCGAGCCAGCGGATCTGTCGTGGGTTGAGGTGGGGCTGTGCGCGGAGGTACTGTAGTGATCGGTGATCTGTCCGTACTGTCACGTCTGCGCCGGTCAAGTAACAGCGCCACACTTTGAACGCATGCACGATCGCGAGCATTTCGCGGTCGTGTATCGGGTAGTTTTTCTCGGGCGGATGCAGTTTCCGTGACTCGTATGCGATGGGCTGTAGGCCATTGCCGAAATCCTGTAGCAGTACGGCTCCAATGGCGATGTCGCTTGCGTCTGTAACAACTTCGAAGGGGCGGTGTGGGTCGGCGATGCGCAGGACGGGCGGTGAACAGAGAACATTTTTCAGGGCAGAGAAGGCAGCATGCTCTTTCTCCCCCCACGTAAACGCGACCCCCTTGCGCAGTAAATCCGTCAGCGGGGCAGTCAACTGTGCCATGTCGGGGACGAACCGACGGACATAATTAACGAACCCTAAAAAACTCTGCAGTTCCGTGATGTTCGTCGGGGGGTGCCACGCTTTGACCGTGTCCAGCTTCTTTGGGTCGATTTCAACCCCAGCCTCCGAAATGACGTGCCCCAAAAATTCTAACCTATCCTGGAAGAACTCGCACTTGGAACCCTTGGTCAGTAGGCGATGCTCGTCTAAAACCTTAAAAACCGCTTCCAGATCTGCTAAGTGCTGCTGCTTATCCCTGCTATAGACGAGGATGTCGTCGAGGTAAACTATCACGCATTTATCTAAGAGTGGCCTAAATGCTTCGTTCATGGTCATCTGAAATGTCGCCGGTGCGTTTGTCAGCCCAAATGGCATCACGGTGTATTCGAATGACCCGTACCTAGTCCTAAATGCTGTCTTGGCGCAGTCCGATGGTTCGACCCGAATCTGATGGTAACCCCCCCGTAAATCTATTTTCGAAAAAAACCCGTGCTGTTCGCAGTTGGTCGATCAGTTCGTCGGCGCGGGGAATGGAGTATCGCGATTTGACTGTTACCCTGTTCAGTGCTCGGTAATCGATGCACATGCGAAACCCTCCGTCCTTCTTCGGTGTGAACAGTATCGGTGCGGCGAACGGTGACGAGCTCGGTCGGATGAATTTCTTCTCTAACAGGTAGTCTAACTGCTTCCTCAGCTCATCGAGCTCGGGCTGTGTCAGTCTGAACTGTCGCTGTACGGTTGGCTGTGCCCCTGGTTCTAGCTCTATGCGGTGGTCGTGTGCTCGCTGAGGTGGCAGTCCCTCCGGTAAGTCGTCCGGGAAAATCCCCGGGTACCGTTTCAATAGTTCCTGTAGGTCGGGCGGTACTGCTGCCAACAGTTTCTGAAAATCGCTCGGCTGCTCTGCTGCTCCTACCAATGCTATATCCACTGCGTACACGTCAGCTCCAGCGGCGACAGCCCGTTTCATCGTGATGGCGTTGACGTGGACCGTTGAAGACTCGGGCGACTGCCAGCGAGGTAGCGCGACCCAGTTACCGCTATTTCGCACAGTGCAGCTACCCGTCGTCCAGTCGATTCGCGGGTTGTAGCGTCGCAGCCAATCACGCCCCAGTAAAATGTCGTGCCCATCCGATGTCGTCGCGAGCATTTCCTGTGTAAAGCCGAAGTTTCCCCCGCAGCGAACTTTTACTCTTTTCACCTTCTCCCGTATGGCCAGCGGCGTGCCATCTACTAAGCGTGCGTCGATCTCTGGTAAGCACCGACTAAGTGTCAGTTGCAGTTTCCGTGCAGTTGCGGTATTAACTAAACTGTGGCTTGCTCCTCCGTCGATAAAAATCTTCACTGCTGCTCCCTGTATTTTCCCGTGGATCAGTACTGGGCAATCCGTCGCTGTACCCTCCTTATTCATCCGAGCCCGATCGATGGCGTGAATCGGTACTGTGACTCGGTGAGGGTCGGTGTGGTTGGGCGAGCAGGCAGTCTCGTCAGTAGTTGGCCCGACTTCTACTGACTGCTGGCGTTTCCCTGCCTCTGAGACTCCCTCCCCTGCTCTGCTCCGCGGCGCCTCAGCTCCTCTGGGCATTCGCTCTTGCGATGGCGGCCTGTTGCAAGAAAAGCAGCGCCCCTTAAACAGCGCGGCAGCTGCATTCGTCGCAACAGCGTGTACAGTGGCGTGCTCGATCGGTCCCCGAGGACGATGTCCGTAGTAGGACCCCGGTCTCGGTCGGCGTAGGATGTCGATTTTCTCAGCGAGCGCGAGAATCTCGTCGAAGTTCGAGAGCCCGCGTAGCATGATCTCGTGCGAGATGTCCGGCTTCAGCCCTCCGACGTAACGGTCCACCCGCTCCGCTTCGTGCATGTAGCCGACTTGTTCGCAAAGTGCGAGAAAACCGCTCGTGTAATCTTGAACCGACCCGAGCTGCCGCCAAGTGCGCAATCTCTGACGCGCCGAAATAGAAGCCGCGATCGGCTCGAAACGCGCCCGAAGCCCTGCGCACCACGCATCACACGTGCTGTATTGGGCGGTCTCGCAGAACGAACTCCAGGTGACAGCTGGACCCGTGGGCCCTTCCTCTTGCGACGGTGGCTCGTAGGCGCGTGGCGACGTCACGATGACTCGCCACCAGTCCATGGCGGGGCCCCTTAGCAGCGAAACAGCATACCGAATCTTCGCTGCGTCCGACTCGACGTAATTCGCGTCGAAGAAGACGTTCATCGTGAAGACCCACGATTGAACCGTCGGACCTCCACGCTGGCTCGGGTCGAAACAGGGCGGGCGTTGCGGCTTGAGTGGCATTGGTGCCATAATGGCTTGTTCGCCACTTGTCGCCGCGAACTCCACGTGCCGACGGACTTCGCGAGGCTCCCGCGGGCTTGGCGCGACCCTGTTCCCTCCCATGCCAGGCATTGGTTGGGCGGCGCTATCACTGGCTGCACTTGAGCGCTGTCCCACGCTGTCGTGTTGTGTGGGTGTACCGGACGAGATGACGATTGGCTCGTCCGATTGTGCAGTGCGTGTGGTGCTGCTGGAGTGTTCACCGTTGATTGCTGACGCGCGGAGTCACGTTCCGCTGTGAGCGTCGCAATTTCGAGCGCCGAATCCTCGAGTTGGCGCACCAGACGGTCGAGCTGCTCCTGCGTCAATGTGGCGAGCGTGATTTCGGCCATGGCGGGGGTGTCGGGCGAGCTCAGCGAGAGCCTCAGTCGTGGCCGTGCGTGCTTACGAGAGAGCACTACGAGCGGCGGTGCTGTGTCGCTGAGAGACGTCTACCCCCCCCCAAAATTTTGAGATAGTGGGGAAGCGAAGGTGTGGGTGCGGTCCGAGAAGAGATCGTAGGCTCTGAATACCAAGTGTTACGAGTGCAATTGAGTGAACGAGCGAGAATTGCACTATCGAAGCAAAAGTACAATGAGCGAAGGCATGAGCGAAGAATATATAGCGAAACTACAGTGGTAACGGTTATGCGTGGAAAATGGATGCGCGACGGGCCTGGCGCCGAGGTTGGGAATTGTCGAGGCGGAGGTCCGGAGCGCGGGTTACCAACCGAACCGTGAGGTTGGGTCGCGTCGTGAACAGTGGCGGGAATAGTGTCGAGGCGAGTGTCGCGAGTGGTAACGGATCACTGTTGGGTGCGGTTGGCGGGAACAGTGGTGTACGCGCTGAGCAGGGACGCGAAGTAAGGAAAAGGAATTTTCCTTACACCGTGCCATGACGACTTTCGTTCAGCTATCTGTCGCTGAAAATCTGATCGAAACCCAGCTTATACAGTTGGTGTGGACAGCTGTTATAAGGGGATAAACTGTGCTAACATAAAATGTTTCATTAAAAACCTGATAAGCACTCAATGGGCCCTCAGTTTGACTGCCAAAAACTAGATCGAGCATTATTCGAGTGTTGAAGAACAAGAATTCCTCATCTCCGCAATAAACTCTCAAAACCTACAGTCATCTCCCATGTGGATGTCCTAGTGAAGCCTACTGCCCTCCTGCTCACGAACATCCCCAACACTGCAAACATTCCCTACAGCTATTCCCTACAGCTTGTGTGGTGCCATGGTTACAGTCAGCTGAGCTACGGAGACAGTGGAGTGCTAGATGGAATCCATAGTTTGTCAGACTTCCAATCTCCTAATCTCAGCAGCCATGCTCCAGCGCCTGGTTCTTGCCTAGGTAACACCCTCCCTGCAATGAGCAACCATCTGGTGAGCCCGTATAACAATCGCTGGTGAGTTTGAACCAGCTCACCGCCCTTGATTATCGAGCATACTCTTGAGCTCCTTCAACCGCTGCATGCCCTCGCTCATGTAGAACCGTATCTTGCTGATGTCGCTCTCCCCTGCATGCTTCTCTGCTTCCTCTCGAATCATCTTCTGCAGATCAGCTGCTTGGAGCCAAAGAACGGCCAAACAAACATAAGGGACGGATGCTCTTTTTGAGGAGAGAAAAGGTGAAATAACGTGGAGCAGGCAAGCACATAGTGCCTCTTATCTACCAGTAATTAAAGCATGCCGCGCCTGTCTGGAGCAAGGAGCATGGCTGTGTAGAGCATGGCTGTGTAGAGCATGGCTGTGTAGAGCAAGGAGTGTGTCTGGTGGAGCAAGGAACACGTCTGCCTAGAGCAAGCAGCATGGCTCTTTGGAACAACAATGCACCTCGGAATTTCCGAGGTGCGATTCTCGCCGTCTTGGGAGCATCTGGGGTAGAGCCTCTGAGGACATTCGCTTTCGCCTGGAAGCACGAACGCAAATCCAGAGGTATATGCTGCGAGCACTACGGCAGTGTCTGGAGCAACGCACCTCGCGATTCTGGCGGCGCGAGTCGTGCCGTCCTGAAAGCATCCCGGTAAAGGGCCCTCCCTTTCGCCTGAAGCACGAAATGCTGCAGCGAAAACACTGGTCGTGGCCTCATGCCTCCGTTACCGAAATCGTCGCCCCATGCGTTCGCTAACAGCACATTATCGCAAATCCAGGAGGCAAACTCGTGCCGGCTAAAGGAGGAATCACGACGCAAGACTGGGAGTAAGATGATGAAGCCGAGCTAGGCTTCAAGCTAGCCTTGTATCGCTTGGCGCGGTAACCGCGTTAGAGAGGGAATCTACTAAACTGTGTGGCGGTGAATGTCCGTTTGCTTCATCAACAGTATACGCGTTTGAAGATTGAGAGATTGAGATGCGATCTAGAACTCATCTGTCCCGTGAAACTCAACCATGTTTCTTAATTGTCAAACTCTGAAACACACACCCCTAAGTTAATTCTAATGCGCAAGCAACTTGCGCAGTGTAAGAGAGATTCTTTCTTGCCTAGGCACTTGCTTCCCCTCCCATTGCTGGTGCTCGTCATCTCTGATAATTCCATGAGTCCAACTATACCTAGCAGGGCCTGAAAGCAGCAGCAGATCCCCCGGAGCAAGGAGCACCGGGAGGGAAAAGCCAAGATCATAAGGGGGGTGTGAGTGAGGCAGGAAATTACGAGGTGGCGGGGGAGAAATACAAGGAGAAGGAGAATGGCTTGGTGAAGAATGATTACCGAGCCTTGCTCCTCCTTGGTTGTTTCTAGCAGCAGTTGATGGTGCAGCTGCAGCATCAGGAGAGCGCATATCTCCATAAGATGAGGGTGGTGGTTCAACAGGGAATTCATGAGGGGCAGAGGGAGGAGGGCTAGCATTGGTGGCGGCGGTGGCGGTAGGGGTGGCAATGGTGGTGCGGGTGGCACTGGTGGTGGTGGGGGGAGCGGGAGCAAGGGTCATAACGCAGGGCGAGAGGAGGGAGAGGATGGCGATGCCATCGTCAAACCGCAGCAAGTCCACATGCGGCTTGATACCCTGTGCCACGTCAGCAATGGGAGGGGTGAATGGGTGAATACATGCCACATCAGCAACATGTGGGTGGATGCATGGGTGCATGCCTAGATAGTGGAGGACATAGGGAAAGTGGACATGTGGATAAGGAGGACATACAAATAGGGACATGGGGATAGGTGAGGGCATGGCAGGGGAGGGCATGGGAGGGGAGGGCATGGGGATACGGAAGGATCTGTGGATAGAAGAGCAGCCATCAAGGCCAGTGTGATGAGACAATGGAAAGACAAAAGAGTAGACGGGCGGATCGGTGGATCGGTGAGTGGCTGGATAAGAGGATGGGAGGACGGGCGGGTGGAAGGATGCAAAGAGCAAAGCCTCACGTCATCTCCGCGGTACCAGTTGGCGATCATCTCGTCAAACAGGGACTCTCGCTGCAGCACACGCCGTGAATGGGTGGGTGGGTTGGTGGGGATATGGATGGATGGGCGGATGGGAGGCATGGTCGAGTCGAGAGCAAAGTCTCACCTCATCTCCGCTGTACCAGTTGGCAATCAACTGGTCGAACAGGGACTCTTGCTGCAGCACACGCCGTGAATGGGTGGGTGAGTGAATGGGTGAATGGGTGAATGGATGTATGGGAGCATGGGATGGGAGAGGCATGGTCAAATCAAGAGTAGAGACTCACCTGGTCTCCGCTGTACCAGTTGGCAATCATCTGGTCGAACAGGGGCTCTCGCTGCAGCACGCACCGAGTCAGCGGCTGCACCCGCAACTGCTCAGCTTCGTCAGCTTCAGGTCCACCCGCCTGCAATAGCTTATTTCCAGATTCCGCGTCAGTACCAGCCTTTTCAGGTTCGCCTCCAACAGCCTGAAAGAACTCATCATTCACGTCCTCCACACCAGTCACCTCCTGCACTCCTTTCCCCTCTTGCCCTTTCACACCTCTCCCATCTTCCCTTTTCGACTCATTCCCCAAGTCTCCCTGCTGCTTTCCTTTCTTCCGCCTTTTCCGACAACATCCACTCTTCCCGTGCTCTTCCCCATCCTCCCTTGCTCCCTCCTCTCGATCACCACTACGTTTTAAAACCAAATCGCTCTCACTCCCCTCGCCATCCCCTTTTCCTCCACTCCTCTTAAGCAGTCCCCTCCCACTCCCAGCAGCACCATCGCCCCAACCTCCGTCCCTCTCCTCGTTCATCACGTCACACGTACCATCCATTCCCCTAACAGCAACCACTCCATCCCCTTTAGTAGCATCTCCGTTACACCAGCGAGCATGAGCCAGATTACCCACTGCAGCAGCTCTGAAACCTGCTGCAACTGCATCAGCAGTGGTGGTGGTATGATCAGCCACTGCGGCAGTAGCAGCATGAGTTGTTCGACTCGAACCAGCAGCAGCATCGGCAGCAGCATCGGCAGCAGCGGGGACTAGAGCTCGCTCAGAAGCAGCAGCCCAGATAAGCTGGGTCAGGTGCATGGCAATAGGGGGAAGACTACCAAAACGCATGGCCTGAGGGAGGGATTGAAAGGCACAGTAAAGCGTTGAGGGGGTAAAGTTAGAAGTTATGACATTGAACGATGCTGTTTAATGAGAAGCGGAATCAAGACGGAGCGTGTTGTTTGGACAACGTGGAGAATAAGATAAATACGTGAAACCCATCAAATGTGCATGTCAAGATACAGGCATATGATATGATATGATAGACCTTGGCTTCACCTGATTCTTGACTGGTGGGTCAAACCATTTATCTGAAGGCATGGCGGAAAGGAGAGATATACAGAAAGAAGCGAGTCTGAGAAATAACAGAATGAACATATGTAACAAAAAGCTGATTGTTTGAAATGATCGACCTTATGAATGGTTCAACCCAAGGGAGTGAGTGACATGCTACCGTTGCACTGCTAAAACATCACATGGCAGTACAATTGTTGGAAAGAAACGAAAAGTAGCTCGAATAGAAGCTCCTTCGTTGTAAGAAACGCTTTGGTTTGTTTTTTTACCCCGTGCAATGGCATTCAAGACAACGGTTTGCTCCTTCGTTGTAAGAAACGCCCGGCAGAGCCACAGCCCCTCCACATTCTCAACACGCGTCCATTCCCGGCTGCCTTGTCCGCTGATACAGTCACACTCGCTACAGTCACGAAGAGCCACCTGAAAGCGGAACATGGAATGCGGGACAGTTGTAAGCCCGCGGGAGGCCTTAAAAAATGAAACTACGTGACGTGACAGGATAACCAAGGATGGTGGCGGGAGTGGCTACGAGGTTGGAGGAGCAAGTCTTACGAAGACGAGGAGAGCTGGAAAGCGGTGGAAAGCGGTGATGCGGGGTTACTGGGTCCAGTACGACGAATTTCAAGGGAATAGGGAGATTACGGGAGGGCTAGGAGGCGACGCAGGACAATCGGGTGGTGGCGACGGCGGTCCAAACACGTCATCAAGCAACGAATCTTCCATCGTATTCACGAATTCTGAGTTATAAGATTGTGACGACGGTTTAGTGAAATATGATGCAATAGCTGAGTTATAAGATTCTACTACTCGTCCTAATCACATCGTTTCCGCGCTTCCTCCTCGCCTTCGTTCCGTCATACCCATTAGGTGGCGTTTCTCGAGAGCGGCACAACGGACAAACACGAAAGATTCTAACCAGAAGACGTGAATCGCGGTAGGTTACTTCACACTGGGCGTGAGGAAGAGTAGGCACTGGGAACAGATTCAAGTACTCTCCCTCAACATCCAACATTGGATGGGAGAAGGGCTCCGTCAAACCAACCCCAAGTCCATTCCTTTTGTCTAAACGTGTCACAAACCCTACCCGACCGCTTTAATTTATTAAGAAACCGTTTGACTAGCAATTATCACCTCACTGAACCGCACTAAGGTAAAACGGTATGATGGCCTGAAAGTTGCTCCTGCAACCACGAGTGACATCCGTGTTACTGTAACGATCTGTACTGCTCGAGAACGTAAAGCACCACTCGGATTCTCTATGGTTTTCATCAGTGCAATATTTCCGATCAGCGCTTGAGTTTCGCCAAATGAAAGTTCATATATAAAAAGAGAAAACTAACCACAGAAATAATATTATTCTGCTGTGCGACTTAGGCAGCAGGGCCACGAGAGGTATGCCATACCCCATACCATTCGAAACTAAACAAAAAGGGAAAGTGGTGGAATGTACATGGAAAGACACAAGGAGGAACTCGATGTAAAAGTAACTCATCATGGCGACCCATGGCTCGAAATGAGCACTTGGGTCAGTGGAACAAGCCCTCTGCGTACGTCCAGGCGTTGTGCACCTTGGGATCCGCCATATGCTCCATCAGGTTTTCAACTGGTCCCTTCCCTGTCACGGCTGCCTGTGCTGCGAATCCCAAGATAGAGAACATGGCCAGACGCCCATTCTGAAGCTCCTTAGCCTTTAGCTTCGCCAGCTCAGTTGGATTACTGCTGTCTGCCAGGCCCAGCGGGTCGAAGAAACCTCCTGGATAAACAGAGCCGCTTGCGTCGCCTAGAGGCCCCCCTGCAACCCGAAACGCCTCGACCGCAGCCATGCCGAGGATCTGAATCGCGCCAATAGCGAGGATGGTCTTCGCGGTGCAAAAGTCACAAGACTCGATCAAACTTGTCGTGCTACCAAGGATCGAGCTTCTTATGGAGTCGATGTTGCTGCCGCCAGCGAGGTGCGAAGCTTGAAGTATCCGGAAAGCGGTCTCTGGGACGAGGCACGCGACGACGCCAAGCATAGCCCAACGCGCGTGAATCACCTGGAAGGAATCCAAGCAGCATCACCAAAAGACGACGAAGGTTTAGAAAGAAAAGTGAAAACGAAGGAACGGGAGCCTAACACGCTGAACTACAGACAGGAAACAGGAGGGCGGTCCAGGAGAGGTGGCGTAAATGGGATGGGTACCTCGAGTGCTGTAGTCTTGGCGAATGACTCAGGATCGACAGATAGTCCCGCCGAGCGCCATCTGCACTCTTCCGGATATTCGCCGACGAGGAAGGAAAACTGCAGTTCCCCTGGAGAACTGCGCCATCTGGACACAGCTTCTAGAAGTTCAGCTTCGCCCTTCCAAACGCTGACCGACGACGCAATCCGCGGTCCTACCCGCATGGTTAGTCGAGCTCCAGCAGCATCGGTTCCTCTGAGAAGCTCTATCCTTGATCCAAGGAACGAGGGTCTGATAGATGTCGTCATGGTGGCTGTAACAGCGGAAGACATCGTGCTGCTTCAGTGCAAATGAGCTGAAGGAGAAGAGCTGCTGCGTCGAAATCTTGCTAGGACCGATAAGAGGAATGGCAAAGAGCTGGTGCTGGTGCTGTGCGAAGCTGAGGAGCTGTGGTTGCAGCCTTCAAAAGAAAGTAGCTTCGTTTAGACTGAAGGAGCGTCGCTGCTTTCGATATTGCTGCTCAGTTTATATTCCCAACCAAAATGCTGGTTGATTCTCCTAGTCCAGGGCTTGGAGCGGGGTGTTCAGTTCAGCTTCAGCAAGGCCAGAAATTCCCGCAAGCAGCAGCCCGAGATGATGCAGCGAAAAGCGGCAACAAGTGGTGCAATGCGCTGTAGATGGTGACGGAGCAATTAGAAATATCTAGAATCATGGAATACTGAATGCTTGATGTTGATTGGTGGACGCATTTCACGATGTTCCCTACCTGCCCAGTTCCTCCTCTGGCGGCTCGGAAGATTGTTCACTTTGCTGCATCGATGGCGGAGCAAGAAATTTCCAGCACACGCAGTCCGATCATCTCAAGGCCACACCGGCTTGTGGTTGGTTAGCCTTGGTCTGTGATGATGGGGTGGTCCCAAATGCCAATTGAAGGACGAGCCGCCGAACGGAGGCGCGTTCGCAAAGCGTCGTGATGTGGCAGACTCTGATTCGAGGCGTCAAAGCCTTGACGAATGAAAGTGCAAAAAGCAAACAGCACAGCACAGAGTGAGATGTGAGAGGCTGGCCCTTGCAGCAGCTGGATTGCGCTGAGCTCAGACACTTCGGAAGATAAGCGGATATAGTACCCGTCGTGATGAACCGCGAACTGTAGATCAGAAATAAAACACTTGTCTGATAAAACAATGTTTTCATGTTGCAGGCGCTGCTAGATAGTCTGACAATTCCCTCACAAGAAAAGGCTTGTTAAATCTGCGGGCCTGTATGTCATCAACAAATTCGAGAAAAACAAAAACATAAGAAGAAGGAAAAAAAATATCGAAACAGAACAGACAAACTCTACAGTTCTCCAGAAACAATTTCCCTTACCTTTTCTACAAGCTGTTGTACAAAATGGCGTTTGTCCACAGGGAAGTCGGGCACCGAGAGAAGGGCAAAAAGCTGCAAGAATCCAATATGAAGGTGAGACCACATTAAACAATTTCCAACGACCACCATTCCAAGAACAGAACCATCATACCAGCACGGCCAAATGCCTTTGCCCCTCCAACCCATACACAACATTCACTCTCTAGCGCATTTCTCGCACCTGCTTCGTGTTATTCGGGCGTGCTGACCGCAGCACCCGGTAGATGGACAGCAGAAAGTCCACCACCTCCTCCTGATCCCTCTCGTTGCCAGCTGGCGTGCGCACAGTGCGCCAGCGAGGATTGCCCCTCCGCATTGCCAGCGCCACAACATCCTCCTGCTCCTCCACCCGCTCCTCCAGCCCCACATCCACCGTCCAATCCCGCGACTCCCCCTCAGCTATCACCCTCCGCCGCTTTGCCCCTCTTCCCCTGCCTTCCATTCCTCCTCTACCCTCCATTCCTCCTCTACCCTCCATTCCTCCTCTACCCTCCATTCCTCCTCTACCCTCTGTTGCTCCTCTAACCTCCCCTGTTCCTCTCCCCTCTGCTGCCACACGGAGGTCCCCAATCTCCACTGCTACCTCTGTTTCTCTACCCTCAGAGACTAATCTTGCCTCTTCCCCCTGTCCTGAACCTCTCTCCTCTCTTGTGGCCGCTTCTCTCGGCCATTGCATGGCCCCCTGTTGCCGCCTCTCCATCGCTTGCGCCGCCCGGTAACAGCTCTCTGGCATGAACAGCGGATGGCTGAGCTCACGTCGCTTGTCTTCGTCCGCCGTGGCTGGAGAAATGGCAGAGCCAACAGCAGCAGAGAGATCTGGTGGCGTAGCCACCACAGCAATAGAGGCAGCAACTGCAGCGGCAGAAGCGGCAGCAGCACCCCCTCCTGCCTCTACACGACATGCTGCTGCAGCTATAGTTGTAGCTGCTTCCATAACTGAACCTGTAGGTGCTGCTGTGGCTCCTGCTTTAGCTGGTTTTGCAGCGGTGGGAGCGGATGGAGCAGCTGCGGCAGATATTCCACCTGTTGCTGCTGCTGCTGCTGCTGCTCCTGCCGCTGCTGCAGTTGAACCAGGGCGAGAGCCAGAGGCACCAGCGACGGCGCCTGGTGCAGCAGCAGCAGCAGAAACAGCAGCAGCGGCAGCAGAAACAGCAGCAGCGGCAGCAGAAACAGCAGCAGCGGCAGCAGCAGGGGGCACTGTCGCTTCCAAACCGCTGCTGTGAGTAGCTGGCCGCGCAGCAGCAGCAGCAGCCGGCCTTGAACCTCGGTCAGCTTGAGGTGCGGCCGGAACTGATGCCGAGGCTTGGACAGGCACCGCACGGGGTGATGCGGAGGACAGTGGCGGACGGGGAGAGGGAGAGGATGAGGGAGTGTGAGAGGGAGGAGAGGGCGAGGGAGGAGGAGAGGGGTGAGGTGATATTGGGGGAGATGGTGATGGGGGTGCTGGGGATTCTGACCGCCGCCGCCTTTTCTGGGAGCGAGCAAGGGCAAGCACACTGGGAGAGGAAGCACCGCTGGCACCAGCAGCAGCAGACCCACCACCACCACCACCGCTGCCAGCAGCAGTACCACCGGCAGCACCGCCAGATAAGCCTGCTCCAGGCGAACCTGCACCAGATGAGCCTGCACCGGTGGGTGGGCCTGCCCCAGGTGCGCCTGGGCTCTGGTCGTCCAGGCGGAGGAATGCCTCGTTGGCTGTGGGCATGTCTGGCTTGTCCTGCCGGTACGGGTTACCAAAGGCCGTCCGTGCCGCCTTGATGCGATCCTGATCGTCGATCTGGTATGGGGAAGGGGGAAGCACGGACGGAGAGGGAGATGGATGGGATATGGGATGAGATCGTGGAATGAGCTAGCAGTGATGACTCAAGATTATCGAATTGACAAAAAAATTTATTGAATTGACTCAAAGGAGCGCCGCCTTGTTTCAGGCTACCTGATGCATGACTTGCTTGCGATGTGATGCGCACATAGCAACGATGCTGACAGTCTAACAGCAGCCTGAAGACCTAGCGGATGCATGACTCCACTTCACTTCAAGCTACACGACTAGCACACACTCTTAGGCTACTTTGTCATTGTGCATTCATAGAAGCTGCGGGTTACTGTGCATGCAAAGGGGCATGGAGCGTACATAGGGGCTGCGGGGTGGTTGCTGCCTCTGGAGCGCGTCGTTGAAGTCGCCCATCTGACACACAAAGGCGTGGAGGGCAAGGAGGGCAAGGAGGGAGAAGTTTGAAATTTAAAAAAAAAGAAACAAAAAAGGAAGGGCCTGAGTCTGGGTCTCCTCAAAAGCTGCTGAGGTAAAATGGGAGAAGACACAAATAACAACCGAGTTGTCCAGGGTCAAAAGGGGGGAAGGGTGGTTGGGGGTAGGCCAAGGGGGGAGGGGGGGGGGATTGTTAAATGATAAATGGGTTGGAGAAAATCGGACTGTAGTGAGTGTTGATTAAAATTGGAAAGGGAGAAAAAATAAATGGCATCGAGAAAAGGTGAGAGAACGTTGTTTCAATCGTTTCGAGTTATATGAGCCTTGAGTGAAAAAGGCACCTTTTCGATGCTGACGGTGTGCTTTGCCTCCTCCTCTGCCAGAAGCGCCCACTTCCCCACCGCACCAATCAGAGCACGCCACCTGTCAACGTCATATCCACCAGTGAACCACGGCGCTGCCACATTATCTGCAGCAGCAGCAACAGCACCAGCTGCTGTTCCCCCCTTTGGCCGACCCCTCCCCCCTCCCTGCAGCACTCTCTCCTCTTGAATTGGGTCCAGTGGTGATGCCATGGGTCGATATGCAGCAGATGGCTTTCCAGGTTCAAAGGCAGGGCTGCTGCTGCTGAGAATGGCGGCCAGGCGAAGTGGCAGCTGAAGCACTTGCCTGGAGGGTGGGAGGCGAGAGAAGAGAGGAAGAGGTGGGGAGGGGTGGGCCGACAACCATGATGCATCAAGCCGTCATTTTTTAAAAAGCGTGCTGTGCTTGATCTGCGGTTACTCGAAGTGGCACAAACGAGTTCTCACAACCCACAATTCTAAACCCGAGACCCTGACCCTGATAAAGCGGAGAATTTCTACCCTTGAAACAACCCAAGTGGAGAGATGAAACCCTGAACCCTGAAATCTGATGTAGAGTTGAACGATGAAGCCACATTGCACATATGATGGAAAGACGAGCCCCAAAACCCTGAAATCCTGATGAAGAAGTGAGACCCAAACCCTAAATCTCAACGAGCCGAGCCTACTTGAAAACCTGCGAACGGATTCAAGAAGGCGGTTACCAGTGCCACTCACCCGTTCCCTCTACCGCCCTCACCCCCACTATACTCCTTCTCCCTCCACACCCACCCTCGTTCTCTCTATTCTACTTTCCATCCCACACCCAACCCCACCCACACTCACCGCAAAGAATCCTCCCGAGAAACTTCACACGGGTTCGTGAAGATGGTTGCTTGTCGCCCTTGCCCTGCTGGTCGCCCTTGCCTTGCCCCCGGCGCCTCACCACCCCCTGAACCTGCCCCTGATCCCCCTGCAGGACCACCAGCACCACCAGCAGCACCAGTAGTACCAGCGCTATAAGCACCACCGTTGTAAGCAGCTCCGCTGTAAGCACCAGCCTCCCCAGCCTCCACAGCCCCAGAGAGGGAAGGAGGGACAGATGGCACGAGCGGATTGGTGGACGCAAGGGAGAGAGTGGGTTGAGAGGCGGAGGGCGGGGGAGGGATGGGGAAGACGGGGAAGGAGCGGGGAGGCGGTGGGGGAGGCAGCAGCTGCACTACTCTCTGCTGCTGCTGCTGCTGCTGATATTGTAGCTTCTGCTGCTGCTGCTGCTGCTGCTTCTGCTTCTGTTCATTTGGTTTGTCAGAGGGCGGTTGAACAGCACTGAGTGGGGCGATGGAGGGTAGAGCCAGAGGGACCTTGAAAGAGAGCGTGGGCAGGGGAGGTGGGCGGGCAGCGGCGGACTGAGCCATCTGATTGGCCGTCTGCAAACAGGCGGGCGGATCGAAGGGGTCGACAGAAGGGAGGTCAACATAGAAGCAAATACCACCAAGGAAAAGGGCATTCTGTTTTTTACTTCATACATACCAGCAGGCTAGTTTGCTTCATTCATATGTTATGATAACATAGAGAATTGTCAGTTCACAATAGGCAAGCAGGGACGGATTCGTCAGTCGCCTACCTTTGCAATCTCCTGCAACCGCTCTTCGATCTCCCCTTTTGCCTTCACCCGCCACCGCCGCAGCTGCGATGCTTTTGAGAATTCACAAAAGTGCATTCCGCGTACCTTTGCAATCTCCTGCAACCGCTCTTCGATCTCCCCTTTTGCCTTCACCCGCCACCGCCGAAGCTGCGACGCCACTGGACCTGCTGCCAGGCTGGCGTCCATCAGGTCCGGCACCGCCGCACCTGCGGCTGACACGCCGAGCCTGCGCATGGCGGCTCGGAGTGGGGCGGCGTAGTACGGAGGGACGCCGGTGCAGTAACGTTCGAAGTCGTGCCGCCAGCCGGCCGGCGGGGAGGCCCTTGTATGGGGCGGCATTCGTTGGAGCTGCTCTACCAAAGGGAACAGCACCTAAATGAAAGGAACGGAGGGGGGGGGGTTAGGGAGGGGGTGGAGGGAATAGGGACAACACACAGGAAGGAAGAGAGCGAGATCAATCAAGAACTCGATTCGAGTCCCTTCCTGGTGGGTGGGAAATGAGACATTGAAAGGTGCAAAGTGAGGGCGTGTTCAGAGCTCAAATGGTGCAATCAGGGTCGAAATGTCAACAGCAGGAGCTTTCTCGATGCATTGAGTAAGGAAGTCAGCACTCACAGGGTAGTTGTACGGCAGGACGTGGAGAGTGAGCGAGCTGCCTGGCCGGTTCACTCTGAGATACCTGCGGTTGTGGGGGCAAGGGTGCATGGCATGCAGGCATAAGGGCGTGCAGGCATAAGGGCATGCAGGCATGGATAGGATGTATGGGGACGTGGGGGCACAGCGTGCACGAGACACGCAAGGTCAAGTGGGCTCAATAATGATGTGTGAGTGAGCACAGAACATCGTTATATACAAGAGTCAAGGTGAAAACAAGCACACACAGGCGTGTGCGAGACAACCACAGTCTCAGGTCAGGTGAAGCAGCGACTCTGAAAAGGGGCTCACCCAAAGGGATCACCCAAGCCATTCCGCGGACCCTTGCTCCCTCGCATGAACACCTGCCGACACACATCCGTGCCACACAATAAATGCACGCATGCCCACATACACACACGCACGCACATGCACACACACATAGTTTGTTGAGGAGCTAGAGTATAACAAGAGAACTCTGTGTCTCAGCACCAGGCCTGTGGTCTCCCTCCCACAAACAGCTTCCAGAAAACACACATGCACATGGAGACGCGTGCACGCAAGACTGCATTGCATACATGCACGCCTTGCTTGCTGGCTGGCCGGCTGGCTGGCTGGCTGGCTGGCTGGCTGGCTGGCTGGCTGGCTGGCTGGCTGGCTGGCTGGCTGGCTGGCTGGCTGGCTGGCTGGCTGGCTGGCTGGCTGGCTGGCTGGCTGGTTGACTAAGGTGTGCGTACCATGCAATCAGGATCCTAATCACACCTGCCCTGATCTCACTCACCTGCCAGCACACGTTGGGGCCATTGCTGCGGAAGCCTACAATGGGGCACCCTTCAATCTCAAACTTGTCCACTGATCAGCATCCCACCTGCCCTGATCCCACTTGCACTGATCGGCATCCCACCTGCCCTAACCTCACCTGCCAGCACACGTTGGGGCCGGCCTTGCTGAGGAAGCCCAGGATGGGACACCCTTCAATCTCGTACTTGTCCACTGGTATCCCGGGCAGCACGCGCGCGTCTGTATCTACCGCCCGATAGGTTATCACCGGGTGGGGGTCGCGAGGAGGAAAGAGGGGAGGAACGGTAGGAGGGCTGGAGGAGACAAATGGAGCAGCAGCAGCAGCAGTAGCAGAACTGGGAGTGGTAAAATCCGGCCAGAATGCTTCAGGTATGGGCCAAACTACTGGAGGAGGCCCGGCGCCCGGCTGCGGTGGTGCCAAGCCTAGCTGTCCTGCCAAGCCTGCTGCGCCTGGAGCGCCCAACCCAGCTGCCGAGCCTGCAGGTCCGGCGGTGGGCAGGTTGCGAACGAATAATAGCTTTCGTTGGCATGCAGCGTGGACTTGGGGCGGCATGGGTACGCCGCCCGGTAGTGGCACATGGTCAAATGAGACGACGACAGCTGGCGAGAGGCGCGAGGCGACAATATCTAGGTGCTGAAAGAGCATCTTCCAGCTGGTTACCACACTGCACTTGCCACTGCACAGGTTGCATGCAACGGGATGGCAAACGTAATGCAAGTGGGGAACAGAATGGAAAAGGAGAACTGAATTCAGGTGTGGGAGGAGTGAGTGAGTGAAAGAGGAATAACTCACTCCATCCATTCGAAAGGCACGTTTTGAAAAAATGAGCAACGAATGAATACAACAGCTTGGAAAAAGGCGGAAACCCATCCTTTTTTACCTTGATTGACCAGCAGCACTATTCATTGATACAAGAGTGATGACAAAGTGGATGCATGCATGTGCCCACAGTCTCACCCAGTAGCTTCACACAGCGCCGACACACTCGTGTCCACAGCCACAGCAGCTGGCGACTCCGAAATGGGCCCCGCAGCAGGCAGAGGGCCGATCCTGTCCAGGTGCTCCGGCTTGGCGCTGGGGATGCGCAGGATGGTGGCGAGAACACGCTGCTCCCACCGGAACGGCTGTGACGCCAGCTCGCCGCCTAGTGGAGGGGAGTTGGTTGCTGGTAGCAGGCCCAGACTCGTCGACACTCCAAACCGCTGGAGATGGGGAAGGGGGTGTGGGGGTGGGTGGGTGGGTGGGGGCGGGGTTTCGGGGGACAGGAACCAGGGGGCAGGGAAACGGGGAAGAAGGTTGGTGAAGGAGGGCGGGCAGAGGGCGAGTCTTCTCAAGGTGATCCGGCTTGGCGCTGGGGATGCGCAGGATGGTGGCGAGAACAGCATGCTGCTCCCACCGGACCAGCATGGCTGCAAGGCCAGCTCGCTGCCTGGCGGGGCAGGCATGGCGGCTGGTAGCAGAGTCGGACTTGTTGACGCCCCAAACCGCTGGTGAGGAGGGGATGTGGGGTGTGAAGGTGGGAGGGTGGGAGGGACGGGCCGGATAGGTGGGATGGGGAAACAGGAGATGGGGATGAATGGGGAGAGAGGCAAATGGGGCAACAGAAAGTGGGGTTAAATCATATTTGTGTTCCCAATGAAATGAGGCGCGTACCATCGGTGAGAAGAAGCACGACAACATGTAAGTCGGCTCAAAAGTCACCTCAGCATATGATACATCCAATTCGTGCTACCCTTGTACTCCACTGGCTTCAGAAGATGCGCGTACCGATGTGAAGTGCGTGCCATCGGTGAGAAGCATGACAACCGTTGGATCCACGGCAGCAAGATTGCGACCCATGCCTGGAAGCGGGCAATTGGGGAGAGCATGATTGAGTGGCAGCAGCAGGGGGGGGGGGGGAGGGGAGCGGGAGGGGAAGGGAGAGGCAGATGAGGGAAGAGCCAGGAGAGGGGAGCCGGAGGGCTGGGAGTGGGAAGGGGACGGTTGGGGAACAGATTCATAGAGCTGGTGGCGAATGGGTGGCAGCGCGAGGGGTAAATCATGAACCAGAAAGCCATACTTGAATTGAATCAGGCATGAGCCACAGTGTGGCTGCCGCACTCACCCCATCGGTCAACGTCTGCCGCGAGGCGCTGGGTGTGCAACAGGTCAAACGTGGCGCGCAGCGATTGGCCGATGGAGGAGAGACCCCCCACCTTGACAGCCTTGAGAACCCGCAGGAAATTGGTGAAGGGAAAGCGGTCGACCACCTGGGGAGAGGGAAGGGTGAGAGAAGACGGGGAGTAAGGGTAAGGATGGGTGTGTACGGATGCAGAGGAATGGCTAACGGGAACAACCCGACCACCTGCAGCGACAGAGAGCGAAAGTCTCGTTTGTCTTTTTTAACATCCGCTTTGGTTTTTTTTTTTTTTTTTTTTTTTTTTTTTTTTTTTCAGGGTGTCTAATCTAAAGTTCTTCTTCAGCAAAGCTTTGAAGGCAAGGGACGCGGGAAAGACGGATTTGCCATGTGGAGGAGTGAAAATAAGCAGATAATGGTAGACACCAATTGTGTAAAGCTCATCACGTTTGTGCACTCTCTGCATATGCGTGCATTGGAGAGATTCGGATCAGGAAGAAGAGGACGGAGAGCAGATGCAGAGAGTCAAAGGAAGGGCGAGGAAGGGAAAGTGATAGAGGACAGCATTTTATCTCACCTTGATTGCTGATGCGCCCTCATCGCATGTCACCAGTATGTACCTGGAAGGAATGTGAAGGATGAACACGTCAAAGAGTCAATCACAATGAATTAACGTGATGAAAAAAAAGGTTATTAAAAGTTGTAAAACAAAGTAAAACAGCAAGAATTACCGATCCGCCCTGGCAGAGATGTCTCGCTGCCGAACCTGCAACACAAGGCAACAATGAGTACCATTCCGTGGCTAGATATAAGAATTCCTGAACGTTCTGCATGAACAGGGTTATATGTACACTCAAATACCCGCAGAAATACGTTTGGGCGGAGCTGGAGTTAAGGATGTTTTTGCGACCTACCTTATGGAAAAGTCCTACCGACCTTGTGAAAGTGTTCAACGCCGCTCTTAGCGCAGTCGAGCAGCGTGAGCCCGTTGGCGATCCGCTGGCCCATGGACGGACTCGTGTCCACCACGAACACCAGCAGCATGGCGACCAAACGATGGAGTAAGCGAAGATTGAATAAAAGGTGACCAAAACGGTTGCTTGTAAATTCCTTGCAGCACGGCCGCCGGACGATGGCTAGACAGGAGCTAGAAACGTTGGGGTACGGTGAAAGCGTGAGATTTGAAGCGCTGATGCGGTAAGAACTACACTCTGATCTTTTGGGAAGCGACGTCGATGTGCTGGTGAAAGGATGAAAGGATGATTCTGGACAGTTCAGGTGTAGATGTGCTAGAACTTTCTTGAAAGGTTTCTATGGATTCTACCGCAAAGACGTTGATAAGCTAGTAATGAACGGTAATGGGACGGTTCGGAGCAACATGGTCGACCTTGAGACTACCGCGGGAACTGAAGGCGAGGGAATGGCAATGTCCTGCGGCTGAATCTGCTCACGTCAGGAGAATTGAAGTGATTACAACGAGCGGAAACAAAGTCGTTTGGTTGCTGGCCAGCTCCGACAAATGATCCAATAACGATCGTCTTTGTAATGAGAGAATTCGATAAGGTCACGCCGAGAACCTGACTGACAGCCTCTGAGCTGATTTTAAAAAAGGTTCAATTATAGAATGCACTGCAGCAGCAATGCTACAGTCAATGGGAGGTCTTCAGTTGGTGGAGCGTATAAAGATATGATAACTTGCACGAATTGCAAGTCTTCAGCAATTCCTGAGCTTGCACTACGAGTGACACGCCACTAGCCTAGAACCAGCTGACGCTGGAGATGAGGGTTGAGAAGGACTGATGGAAGGGACGATGCAGAGTCATGCACTACTGATTGATTGTGTGTGAAGGAGCTTCTTCTGGTCTTGTCTTGTTCACCATTTTGCGTTCGATTTGGTCGCTCTGGTTGGGTTCGGCTGAATGCGGTGGATCGGGTTACGGGGTGCATCGATGATGGCGGCTGGAGGTGGCTGGTGGTGGCTGGCGGCATTCCAAAGGGAACGCTGGAGCAGAGTGAGGGAGAGAGAGCGAGCGAGGAGTCACGCGGGATGGGATGGGATGGGATAGGATCCGTTACGTTGCGGGCGTATTCCGTAACTTCGCGTCTAGCACGGAGTAGTAAGGAGCTCGACGGGTACAGTTTATAAGGGCGCGTGTCTTTTGCAAATCTGGCTGAAGTTCATGTCTTTTTTCGAATTTACAAATTCGAACTTTGGTCGACCTGTGGTCGACCATCTCGACTTTTCGTGGTCGAGGAGCAGCGTCAGCAATTCCGAGTCGCGCATGGAACAACAAAGTTCGAATATCAGAGTTCAACTTTAAACAGTAGATTACAAGTCGCGCTAGACTTCTGTAGGTTACCCGGTTGTGCGGTGCAGTTCGTGACCGGACCCGAAATTGGTAACCCGATACATTTTCCCTCGTCATTGTCGTGAACCTCGCAAAATTTCGGGCGTGCGTCAAAGAACACACGTTTGGAAAAAGGTAAAGGTTAAAATCCGAACGCTGGTCGACTTCAGTTTAGTGTCCAACTTCCTTCACACAGTTTGAACCAGGACACACGATTCCCTCGCGAATGTTTTGGGTTACCAACAAAAGTTCGACCCTATTTTCGAACGTCTACACCAAAAGAAACGCGCCCTAAATTGAAAGTCGAGGTTGTGTCAGGAGGAGAGCTATAGGCTGTCAGCCTCGTGACACGATTTGCAACAGGTGTCTCCCTCAGAAGTCCTTCCCTAGTGGCGGTTCCCTTAGAAGCAACGATAATTATGAACAGATACAGCTGCACGACAGTTCTTTGGCATTACCTGACTGAAAATAGAACCACATGCACGTACATAATTTTAAGATATACCACGTAGTTGGACGTCTGTAGTTATCATATCTTAATTCGATATGAATCCCAAAACGTGTTTTTTATCAAGGTGGCTGAATATAAATGGGCAGTACCAGCACCATCACATAGCTGTTATCAGAACTGTCACACGCGAGGGGTGAGGGAAGGCGGGCCACGAGCTTCCAAGGCGATCACAGAAAATGTCTCCATGTAGTATGGCGAGGACACTCTGCACAGCATTGCAAACAATAACACAAACACCCAAACACACACGTACACACCCGTACAACACCAGTATGCGAGTTACGTGTGAGGACAAAAAACTAAACATGCACAAGTGCACAATTCTGTGCCCCTCTCTTCTAGCACTCCATGTTGTACTGTTTATTCAGTATTGTTACTTACTTTCCAGCGATGGATGGAGGCATGCCTTGGGCTGGTAGCTCTGTGGTGTCAGCCGGATAGTCCTTAGCCGTGTCTAGCACAAGGTGCCTGCCATGCACCATATGGCATGAATCGGTGCCGTGCACCACATGCCATGCACCACATGCCATGCACCACATGCCATGCAGCACATGCCATGCACCACATGCCATGGGCCACGTGACATGCACCACATGCCATGCGTAACATGCCCACCCACACGCACATGCCAGTCACATACCCATGCCATGTGCGATATGCGGATACGACACATGCAAAAACGTCGAATGCACATATGTCACACATGCACATACATCACATGCCCAAGTGCCGCGTGCACACATGCACATATGTTGAAATGAGCAGTGAACAAAGGGTTGTGTCATGGGCATGAGCGGCCAACTGTCACAGCTTGACAGCATGGGTCATGAATCATGGTTTACGAAACATGGGTTACGGTTCATGGGTTGGTCATGGGTTATATCGTTCATGGTTCATGGGGCATAAGACATGGGTCACACTTTGATGTTCCAGTGATATGCGTCATGGTTCATCATAGCTTATGGGCCATGGGTCCATGAGAGTGATTTCCACCATACTACATCGTGCCAGCAGGAGGAGAAGGCAGCTCCAAAATCATCTCAATGGCATGTGCATTGAAGGCGAAGTAGAGATCGCCAACCGGCATGCTGGGTGTTCAGCTTTTCAGGTGCCTCAAAGCCACAAGTTACTGCGACCCTACTTACCACATCATGCCGACAGGCGGGGCAGGGAGTTCCACGACCATCTCATTCGCATGGGCGTTGAAGGCAAAGTAGAGATCCCCAACCGGCATGCTGGGTGTTACAGCCGGGGCGGCAGTGGGAACCGGCACTCCTGCCTCTTCCGCGGCCTCCTTGGCTGACGACTCGATGCCGGCACTGTGAACGGTGCAGGCTAAGAAGCAGCTGGAGGGGTGAGGGGAGGAAGGGGGAAGAGGAGAGGGTGAATGGCGTGTATATTTATAAGGCGCCAAGGATACATGCTCCTTAGCTGATGTCTCAATGCCGGCACTGTGAACGGTGCATGCTAGGAAGCAGCTGGAGGGGTGGGGGAAGAAAGGTTGAGGATGTGGGAGAGGAAGCATGGGGTGTGAATTCATGAGGCACCATGGAATGGAGATGTCTCCTTGGATGAGGGTTTAATGCGGGTACTATGAATGGTGACGGCTAGGATGCAACGGGAAGAGTGGGGGAGAAATAGAACAAGCAATGATTCATGAGGCACCACGGAGATTTCTCCTTGGATGATGGCTCAAAGCTGGTATTATAATTGGTGCAGGCTAGGAAGCAGCTGGAGGGGTTGGGGAGACAAAGCTCAGAGGATATGGAGAAGAGAGGATGAGAAAAGGAGCCGTGTTGTTCAGGTGTGCTGCAGCTGCTGCTGCTTCTGATGCTGCCAGTGAGAGTGGGTATGAAAGAAAGGGACGATTGCAAAGGAGCAAAAAGGGGAGCCAAGAGCGGTAGGCCAAGCAGGGAGTGAAGTAGGGATTTTTGGAAGTGAAAGAGGCTAGTGTGTGAAGAACGACTCTGACTGTGTAGTCCGTCTAACGAGTTTCGGACAGTATTGACAAGGTTCAGCTCATCGGTAAGGTTCGGAGCGTACCAGTTGGGGTTGTCCCATTCGGCCTGGTTTGGAAAAGCTCCATGCCACACAATGTCCTCCCCGAAATAAAAGTCCTTGCGCTGCCATGCGGGTGGGGATGAGAAGGGGATGGGGATTTTTGAGGCGCCTCAATCGCCTCATTCCGGCTGGTTGGGAATAGAAGTCCTTGCGCTGTCACGGGCATGGGCATGGGGATGGGATGGGGATGCGGATGGGGATGAGAAGAGGATGGGGATGGGATGGGGATGAAAAGGGGATGGGGATGGGATGGGGATGGCACACTCCAAAGATTGGCACACTTCAATTACCTTTCTCCCCTCATTTCTCCTCTCCTCTCCTCTCCTCTCCTTTCCTCGTCTCACCTGCAGCAGCAGTGTGCGGCGGCGGCGGAAGTTGGCAAGGGAGGCGATGAAGCGAGTGAGCTGCACTCCCAGGTCCGTGCGCAGGGCACTCCAGAGGAAGGGGGACTCGCTGGCAGGGAGGATAGACCGAGAGGGAAACAGGCAGGGAGGCAGGAAGGCAGCAGGCAAGCAAGAAAGAAGAGATTGCATTGACGTGAGGAGAGCTGCACTCCCAGGTCTGAGTCCAGGGCGCTCCAGAGGAAGGGGGACTCGCTGGTGGGGCACGGACAGAGAAGGCGGGAGGCAGGGCAGAAGGGAGGAAGGGAAGAAGGGAGGCAGGAAGCAAGCAAGAATGGAGGTGAGCAGAGCTGCACTCCCAGGTCCGTACGCAGGGCGCTCTTCTGGAGGACTCGCTGGGAGGGAGTCCCTCTCTCTCTGACTTCCTGCTCGTACGGAAGTCTGTACGGGGGACTCGCTGGGAGGGAGGAAGTCAGAGAGAGAGGGAGGAAGGGAGGCAGGAAGAAAGGGAGAGAGAAAGAGATAGCATTGAGGTGATGAGGCCGACAGGCAGGAAGGCAGGGAGGGTGGTGGGCGGGAGGGCAAACAGGAAGCAAGGGAGAGAGAGCAACGAGGGCAGAAGAGGCATGGCAGGAGAGGAGGAGAGAGCACTGACAAGGAATCGTAGAGAGAAAGGCAGGCAGACTAGTAGTTACAGACAGACAGGCGAGCAGGCAAGCAGGCGAGCAGACAGGCTGGCATGAGCGCGGGCGGGCGGGAGCGAAGGAGGAGGGGAGAAGAGGGAGGGGGGAGAGGGAGAAGGGCAGAAGAGGCAGCGCAGAAGAGGGAGAGAACACTGACGAGTAATCTGCTGCCAGCTGTCCATCCTTGGAGTGGCCGTACTCATCGCCAGCTGTCAGCACGGGCACCCCCAGTGAGAGGAAGAGCACCGCCAGGTGGTTGCGCACCTGAGGGGGAGGAGGAGAGGCAAAAGAGAAATGGGAAGCGTGAGTGGGCGAGAAGGACGGGAAACACACATGCGTGTGTGAGAGAAGAATGTTGACGCGTCTCGGAGCACATACAGCGGCGGCATCTAGAAGGTTGCGCACATGAGGACAGTCTATTCTTGAGGCGCCTCGAAAAATGGACGAAGAACATGCAGCGGCAGTAACACAGTAACACAGTAACACAGTAACACAGTAACACAGTAACACAGTAACACAGTAACACAGTAACACAGTAACACAGTAACACAGTAACACAGTAACACAGCGGCACCTAAAAGGTTGCGCACCTTCGTGTAGGGAAATGTGTCATCTTCGTGTGAGACAGACCAGTCCACCCCCACCTCTCCCCCCCACCTGACTCCCCCCCACCTAACTCCCCCCCACCTAACTCCCCTTCACTCTCTCCTCCCTACTCTCTACCCTTCATCCTCTTTCCCCACCCTCTGCCCCTCCCTCACTCAAACCTAGCTCTGTCTCGGTTCCACTTGTCTCAGCCGCACCTGTTTCAGCCGTGTCCTCATCACGCCCTCATCCGCGCTCACCCCCTCCACGCCACAGTTCCAGCTGCATGAGACAAGAGAGCAGGGCAGGGTGGGAAGGAATGAGTTTCGAGGCGCCTAGAAAACGTCCGACAGCACGTTGGGAGGGACCCAGAGAGCGCGTGCGCGTGCGAGTGCGAGCTTATGTGTGCATGCACACGTGCACATGAACATGTATGTTAGTTAGAGCAGAGCAGACAAGCCAGCCCCCACCTGGCTTCTGACTCCATGCTGTAGCTGACGAGGTCGGCCAGGGTGAGCCCCTGGAACGCCTGTTGATGTCCTAAAATATCACATGTTAGGGTGTCTGTGCGCGCAACAGCAGCCAAGCCAACCCCCACCTGGCTTCTGACTCCATGCTGTAGCTGACGAGGTCGGCCAGGGTGAGCCCTTGGAATGCTGTTCGAAACTACACGAACATGGCATGTGACGCAGTGTGTGTGTGTGTGTGTGTGTGTGTGTGTGTGTGTGTGTGTGTGTGTGTGTGTGTGTGTGTGTGTGTGTGTGTGTGTGTGTCTGTGTGTGTGTGTGTGTCTGTGTGTGTGTGTGTGTGTGTGTGTGTGTGTCTGTGTGTGTGTGTCTGTGTGTGTGTGTGTGTGTGTCTGTGTGTGTGTGTGTGTGTCTGTGTGTGTGTGTGTGTGTGTGTCTGTGTGTGTGTGTGTGTGTCTGTGTGTGTGTGTGTGTGTGTGTGTGTGTCTGTGTGTGTGTGTGTGTGTGTGTGTGTGTCTGTGTGTGTGTGTGTGTGTGTCTGTGTGTGACTGTGTGTGTGTCTGTGTGTGACTGTGTGTGTGTGGGTGGGTGGGCGTGTGTGTGAGGGTGGCAAGAGCGCACCTGGCCTCTGAGTCCATGCTGTAGCTGACGAGGTCGGCCAGAGTGAGCCCTTGGAACGCGGTGATGTAGTTGAACGCGAAGGCTGGGCCACGGCCCGAGGAGAAGAGATCGCCACTGGGGGGGAGAGGAAGGGGAACGGCGAAATGGGGAAAAAAGAGGAAAGGTGGGGGGGGAAAGGGGGGGGGAGAGAAGGAGCCAGAGTGAGCCCTTGGAACGCGGTGATGTAGTTGAACACGAAGGCTGGGCCTCGCCCTGAGGAGAAGAGGTCGCCAGTGGGGAAAAGGGTGAAGGTGAGCGGGAGCGGGGACAACGGGTCCAAGGCAAGGGAGAAACGGGGGCAGGTGAGCCCTTGGAAGGCGGTGATGTAATTGATGGCAAACGATGGGCCTCTAGCGGGAAGGGGAGACGAGGGAAGGGGAGAGGAGAGAAGGGGAAAAAGGGAGAGGGAAAAAGGAAGGAGGGCAAGTCCTTGAAATTCTGTGATGAGGAGGAAGGAGATAGGAGGGAAGGGGAGAGGGAGAGCCCTTGTAAAATATTTTAAGACGTCTCAAAACATCTCTGTTTACAAGGGCAGAGGGAGAGCCCTTGTAAAATATACATCCGGAAAACTTCAGTGGACAGACTGAAAAAACCGGGGCGGGGTGGGATTGGGTGGGGAGAGACGATTACTGCCCGTCAAACACTGCGTATTGAAAGCCATTCTTGAGCTATCTTGAAAGTGGGTTCGGTAGCAGCCACTATGAGAGCAGCCACTATGAGAGCAGCCACTATGAGAGCAGCCACTCGGAGGCACGCACCTGCCACACAGCCGCGTTGCCAGCCCGCTGATCTGCCCAGGCTGCCCGGAAACGAATCTGCGGATGTCGAAGCAGAAGGCACTGTTCATCTCCTGCCACCGCTTCCAGTGCGGGAATGCAAAGGCCTGCCCGGGTCCAAATGGGGAGAAAAAGAGGGGGGAGTACACAGGGTAGATATGATTGGTAGGAGAAGGATGAGCAAGAGACTGTGGGAGACAGGACGAGTGCTTACTGGGGTATGGGAGACAGACAGGGAAACAGGTGGTAGTGGCAGCAGGTGGTGAAGGCAGCAGGTGGTGAAGGCAGCAGGTGGTGAAGGCAGCAGGTGGTGACGGCAGCAGGTGGGATGGGTGGAAGAAGAGATCACCCAAAGATGGGGCTTCACAGATACTCGCCTTCGAGGACAGATATTCGGGATTCTATTTGTTTTTGTGACACACTCACCTTCTGAGCAGTCAGCAGCGGCATGGCAGCATCGGCCACGAGCTGATGGCAGCCAGCCAAAGGCGGGTTGAAGGCCAGAGCCTCCACGGGGGGGTGAGGGCGGACCATTCGTGGGGCATCACGACTCACCTTTTGTGCGGAGAGCAACGGCATGGCGGCATCGGCCACGAGCTTGACGACAGCCAGCAGCGGGTCGAAGGCGAGGGCCTCCACGAGGGGCGGGCGGAAGAGTGGCTGCATGTGTGGGAGTTGCTGGTGAGTTCGGCCAACCCACCTTCTGGGTGGAGAGCAGCGGCATGGTGGCATTGGCAAGGAGCTTGACTGCAGCCAGCAGCGGGTCCAAGGCCAGGGCCTCCACGAGGGGCGGGCGGGCCCGTGGCGAGCGGGTGGGTACGGGATGGGTGGTGGGAGGGAGTTGCTCACCTTCTGTGCGGAGAGCAGCGGCATGGCAGCGTCAGCCACGAGCTTGACGGCAGCCAGCAGCGGGTCGAAGGCGAGGGCCTCCACGAGGGGCGGGCGGGAGAGCGGCTGCGCATGCGGCCCCGTGGTGAGAGCTGATGCGTTGATGAAGGAGAAGCCATCCACGTGGTACTCCTCCACCCAGTGGTGCAGCGCGTCGACTATCTGAAAAGAATGGGCAGGAAGGGTATCCAGGGGGGGTGTGAGGGAGAAGTGTAAGGAGAGGAGAAGCCATCCACGTGGTACTCCTCCACCCAGTGGTGCAGCGCGTCGACTATCTCGTGGGGAACAAGGGGGGAGCGGGAGGGGGAAGGCAATGAGTTGCTAGTGGCTGCGCATGCGGGCCCGTGGTGAGAGCCGAGGCGTTGATGAAGGAGAAGCCGTCCACGTGGTACTCCTCCACCCAGTGGTGCAGCGCGTCGACGATCTGGTGGGGAACAAGGGGACGGGGGTGGGAGATCGAGTGGGTGTGCAGGCCTCTTGATGACGGAGAAGCCGTACTTGCGGTACTCTTCCACCCAGAGGTGCAGGGCGTCGGTTATCTGGTGTGTGCGGCTTGCAAGCAAACGAGTATGCAAGCCAGTAAGCCCTAAGCAGGCGGACAAGCGAGCAAGGGAACGAAGAATCAAGGGAACAAGTGAGCGAGCAAGCAAGGCACGTACGAGGTTGATTGCCACAGGGCTGTTGCAGTTGAAGGCGTTGGGAGATCCATACTCGGGCACCACCTGGTGGGGTTAGCCGCGGGAGGTGCAGGAGGGTAGGGGCGCACGGAGCACTGTGAGTGGGTGGAGGTGGGGCCGGGGACAGCAATCAATCGAAGGCGTTGGGAGATCCATACTCGGGCACCACCTGGTGGGGGTGGCACGATGGAAAGTGGGGGGCAGGGGGGGCAGGGAAGAGGGGGGCAGGGGGGCAGGGACCACTGTGAGTCAGTCCGGATGGTGGTGGGGGCGGCGGAAGCAATGCTAAGAATGCCTGTACGTACTTGCAACAGTCGAGTCAGTTGGGGTGCTCCTGTTTAGGGTTGAGCAAAAAAACGAGGCGAACCGAACAGGTATTTTTTTTTTGCTTAAAGTGTTCGCCGAACAGTGTTCGATGTTCGCCCGAACACGTTCGTGTTCGGGCCGCTGCTGCAATTTGCCCCGCGACGAACACGAAGGTGTTCGAGGTTCGCCCGAACACGCTTTCACAGGCGAACGGCGAACACCATTTTTTGCTCAAAGTGTTCGCCGAACCGAACAGTGTTCGGTTTGGCAAACGGCGGTGTTCGTGCAGGGTAGGGGCGAACACGAACACGTTCGTGTAGGGGCGAACACGAACACGTTCGTGTAGGGGCGAACACGAACACGTTCGTGTAGGGGCGAACACGAACACGTTCGTGTAGGGGCGAACACGAACACGTTCGTGTAGGGGCGAACACAAACACGTTCGTGTAGGGGCGAACACGAACACGTTCGTGTAGGGGCGAACACGAACACGTTCGTGTAGGGGCGAACACGAACACGTTCGTGTAGGGGCGAACACGAACACGTTCGTGTTCGCCCCTTGCTCATCCCTACTCCTGTTGCACAACTCGACGTGGAACAGGAGCACCCCAACAGGCGCCCACAATAAAGTAGGCACGGTTGCCAATGCCGCGGAAGAAGTTGGGCTTGAGACTCTCGTCGCTGCCTTCTTTTTGAGTCAAGGGGAGAATAAGATAACAATGATGCCTCCGTTTACTTTAAACTGGCTCTACCTGCTTGCCAAAGGCGTCATTGATGTAGTAGGTGCGGTTGTCAATGCCGCGGAAGGAGATGGGCTTCGGCATCTCATCGCTGCCCTCCGCCGTGTGGCTCACCACCACCTCCACGTGCACCTCGATGCCCCGCGCATGCAGCTCCCTCACTAGCAGCTTCAGGGACTCGTTCGGCCCATAGGAGGGCATGGGGGCGAAGAAACTGGTGGCATGGGTGGACGGGAGTGAGAGAAGAGGGAGGAAAGGGGCTCTCATCGCTGCCCTCCGCCGTGTGGCTCACCGCCACCTCCACATGCACCTCAATGCCCCTCGCATGCAGCTCCCTCACTAGCAGCTTCAGGGACTCGTTGGGTCCATAGGAGGGCATTGGGGAGAAGAAACTGGTGGGGGAGGGGGAAGGGGAAGGGGGCGGAAGGGGGAGAGGGTTGCCCCCAGCCGTGTGGCTCACCACCACCTCCATGTGCACCTTCATTCCCCGTGCGTGCAGCTCCCTCACTAGAAGCTTCAGGGACTCGTTCGGTCCGTACGATGGTATGGGGGAGAAGAAACTGGTGGCATTGGGGATGGGGATGGTTGGGTCGGGGAGGAGAGGGCGGGGTCATCCTTGTGCGGAACTGGCAGTACCATGGTCACTTCCGCCGCCCCAGTGTACAGCTCTTCTCGAGTGGCAGTGCCACCCACGGCACGTGCAAGTGGCAGTGCCACGGCGGCACCACGTGCACGGTGCACCTCCCTCCCACTGCCCCAGTGTGCAGCTCCGCTCATGCCTGGCTCTGAAGGACAAGGCAGCGGTGTGTCCAACCACCACCTCCACATGCACCTCCACATGCACCTCCACATGCACCTCCACTCCCCGTGCATGAAACTCACGCACCAGCAGCGTGGGAGATGGTGAGGAAGAGGGGAGACAGGAGGAGGAGGTGGTTGGGTTGGGGTGGGACAAAAGTGGAGCAGAGGAGAGGGTGGTTGGAAGGAATAGTAAAATGAGGAGATTTGACCACAGCTGCACATTTGTGCTCTGGATATACGATGGATACGCGATGCAATCTCTGGGGGTTGGGACAGGTTGGGATGGGTTGGGGTGGGTAGCGTGCTTACTTGATAGGGAAGTAGGGTCCTTGGGTTTCGTCAAACGCCGCGATTGGTTGAAGCAGCACCGCATTCACTCCTGTGGGAAGTAAGGCACGGGCATGTGGCGAATGGGAAGACGAGAGAGTACTGATGCGTGGGAAGAGAAGGGAGCATATGCAGCGAATGGGAAGAGCAGGAAGCACAAGGCACAGATAGAGGCCAAACGGCAGAGAGAAAGAACAAGGAGAGGAGAACGCACAAGCTGCCTGGGCACGCAAGCATGCAACATGCATTTCTGAAGCGCCTCGAGAGGGAGGGAGAATGCGCGAGCTACCTAAACTTCCCGCACTCACCCAGCGCCAGAAGGTGGTCGACCTTCTCCAGCACGCCCTGCAACGTGCCCCGCCCCGCCTGTTACCACACCCATTGCCCTAAACTTAACCCTGACCCTTCCTTACCCAGCGCCAGAAGGTGGCCGACCTTCTCCAGCACGCCCTGCAACGTGCCCCGCCCCGCCTCCATGGCCCTCAACCCCAGACCCTGTAAGCGCCCAGCCCTAGACCTGGAGGGTTTGAGCCCAGCTTCCAGACATCACTCACCCAGTGCCAGCAGGTGCTCCACCTTCTCTAACACGCCTTGGAACGTGCCTCGCCCCGCCTCGCTCACCCCGCTGCTCTCGTCCGCTGTGAAGGCCGCCACGTTGAGGCGGTACACCACCAGCTGCTCCGATGGGATGCTGGCGGGCGGAGAGGGGGAGGGGAACGGAGGCAGGCAGGCGAGCAGGCATGTGAAGAATTGGTTACACTAACGAGCCCATTGCCCACTCCCCCTGATCCTGTCGTCTGCCGTGAAGGCTGCCACGTTGAGGCGATACACCACCAGCTGCTCCGATGGGATGCTGGCGGGAGCGGGAGGGAAGATGGGATGGCGAGGGAGGCAAAGGGTAAGCTATTCGCGTACAAGCACATGCCCGTAGCTGCTGCTGCTGTAATCTGCTGTAAAGGCTGCCACGTTGAGGCGATACACCACCAGCTGCTCCGATGGGATGCTGGCGGGCGAGGGAGGGAGACAGGCAGACAGGCAGGAGAAGGGTTGGTTACACTAATGAGCACACGCCCACTGCCCACTCCCCTTGCTGCTCTCGTCCGCCGTGAAGGCTGTTGCGTTGAGACGGTACACCACCAGCTGCTCCGATGGGATGCTGGCGGGCGAGGTAAGGTGAGAGCAGCGGCACACGCTGGTCAAGAAGAGGTTATGCAGTGACAGGGGGGAGAGCGTCATCGAGCTGAAACGGAACCAAACGAGGTGAAGCAGCGCGTGAGGCGAAGCAGTGTGAGGGATAGCAGAGTGTGCCACAGTACTCACTTGAGAAGAAAAGGCGTTTTGCCCGTTTCAAACAAGAGGCAGGCGAGGCGGGCAGTGGGCTTACTTGGGGGGAAAGTCATCCTGCCAGTCGAAGGGCGGCTCTTGCATGGTGGGGATGACTGCCAGCGCTGCTGCTGGCGATGGCAGGTCCTCTGGTGGGACGGTGGGAGACAGGTTGCAGGGGCACAGGGGCACAGGGGGACAGGGGCACAGGTAGGTCAGAGGGGAGGGGACAAGGGGGGCTCTTGCATAGTCGTAATGACAGCCAACGCTGTTGCTGACGATGGCAGGTCCTCTGGTGGGATGGTGGGAGACAGGTTGCAGGGGCACGGGGGGGGTAGGGTAAGGAGAAGTGAACAGAGGGGCAAGAGGAGGGAGGGAAAAAGAGTGGAAGGAGGGGCAAGAGAGAATGAACACAGCTGATGCTGATGCAGGCATGTATATGTAGGAAAGGAAGTTCACATGGCAGTGTTAGCATGTCCAGAAGCTGCCACGTCAGCATGGCCATCTCCTTTCCCTGCCACACCTACGTCCAAAATTCACGTTCTGACCATACCTGAGCATACCTAGCCCTGCCACGTCTTGCCCTGCCACGTCAGCATAACTTGCCCTGCCACGACAGTTTACCTTGCCCTGCCAGGTCCGCATACCTTGGCCGGGCACGTGGGCGGCCATCTCCTTGGCGTAGGGGTCCATGAGCACGAGGCGAGAGTGGAAACGGTTGCCACCCTCCCAGTCAGGGTCGCCCTGAGAGAAACAGAGTGCAGGCAGCAGGAGGAGTTATCACGGCACAGGTCATGAAGGGCAGGCACGGAGTGCAGAGCGCATGGTGAGGGACAGGGCATGAAACAGGACGGGCAGACGTTGCACTCTGCTCAACTGATCACAGCGCAAGAAAGAAGAGGCGATTCCTGATGCGCCTCGTTGCCATGGTAGGTGTGCTATGGATGTGGTTGAAAGCACATCACCACCCCTGCCCGTATGCCCCACCCTTTCTTAATACATGCACAGTGTGCAACTGGCAGCCACGCCATGTCATTTCTCCACATCCACTCCTGCATACATACATTTCTGCAAATGGACATTGCATTGCCCTGCACACATGCAGACACACCCATGCATGTCAAACCATCCCAACCATGCCACCTCACTCACCTGCACCCGGTACCCGTAGCGCGTGAAGCTGCTGACGTCAGCAGCATCAATGCTGACGTGCCACACGTCCCCCGTGCGATGAATGGACGGCTCCAGATCGATCTCCAGCTGCTCAGGGCACGGTGGGGCGGGGCGATTCGTTTGGAGGGGAAAAGGGGGAAGGGTGTTGAGAAAAGATGCAGCAACATGAGTGGTGAATGGATGGACGGCTTCAGATTGATCTACAGCTGTACAACGCACGGCGGGTGTTTTGGGGAGAGGGACGGACATGGGCTTCACCAAAACTTTCACTCTTCAACCCAAACCATGCTCCCTACCGTGGGTTCGGCGTCGTCAGGCAGGTAGAGGCAGAGCACAACGCCCTCGGCGTATCGTGAGTAAAGGGCGAAGTTCACCGACCCGTCCGCATTGGGAGTGGCTCCCAGAGGGCTGGCGCTGCCGCGGCCCATGCCGATGGGCACACACAGATCCATCTGCCGGGAATTCCTGAGTTGGAAGGGAGAGGGGGGGAAGGGGGAAAGGGGGGGGCAGAAGAAGGGGAGGAGGGGAGTAAGCAAGGGAACAGCGTGCAGCAGGGTGGGCCCTGCCCCACCCCATGCCGATGGGCACACACAAGTCATTTCTTTCTCACCGATCAGTTGTCTCCGATGCCACCCCCACCCACTCCAGGCAGCGGCTGGAAGAGCACGAGGTTGAGGGAGAAGGGGGCGAGGCGAGACACTCACCCAAGTCACATGGCTACTTCAGCCCTCCCAGACCCAGCCCTTCACCGCTCACCTGAGCCAGAGCCCTTCGAGGGACTTGTTTCCGATGCCGCTGCCAGCAGCACCAGGCAGCGGCTGGAAGAGCACGAGGTTGAGGGAGAAGGGGGCGAGGCGAGAGACACACACACCACTAACCCTCACTCACCTGAGCCAGAGCCCTTCCAGCGACTTGTTTCCGATGGCCGTGCCAGGCAGCGGCTGGAAGAGCACGAAGTTGAGGGAGAAGGGGGCGAGCTCCGCGTCAAAGGAGAGCAGCAGCGAGCGGTGGCCGGGCGTGGGATCATCCTGCAGTACCGTGCGCATGGCATCAGTCCTTTAAGGGAGGGAGGAAGAGGGAGAGTGGAGCGGGGAGAGAGGGGAGCGGCGTTGGGAGAGCAGCAGCGAGCGGTGGCCAGGCGTAGAGTCCTCCTGCAGTACCGTGCGCATGGCGTCGGTCCTTCAAGGGAGGGAGGAGTTGGGAGGGCAGGAAGGGGGTATGGGGTTGGTGCTGATGTCACAGCGCATGAAGGGGGCGAGCTCCGCGTCAAAGGAGAGAACCAGCGAGCGGTGGCCCGGCGTGGGATCATCCTGCAGCACCGTGCGCATGGCGTCGGTCGTTTGGGAGTGGAGAGAGAGGGGTAGAGGGGGGGGAGAGGAACGGGGGAAGGAGGTTGTAAGAGCACCCGGGGGCAGCAGCCGAGCGTGGGGTCGTCCTGTGGCACCGTGCGCATGGCGTCGGTCGTTTGGGAGTGGTGGGGGGGAGAATGAGGGAAGTGGGGGTTGGGTTGAGTTCTAAGGCACTGTGGGGGGACGGGCGGGGAGATAGGGTTAACCGCGAGCGACTTGGGGAGCGGTTAGGGGTCTGGGGAAAAGGATAGGGCATGCGTATTGTTGGTAAAGTTTCTGATATATACACAAGGCAGAGCTCGTTCTGCTCCTGCAGCAGCAGCAGCAGCAGCAGCAGCAGCAGCAGCGGCGGCGGTGGCAGCAGCAGCAGCAGCAGCAGCAGCGGCGGCGGCGGCGGCAGCGGCGGCGGCGGCAGTTGCAGCGGCAGCCGCAGCGGCAGCGGCAGCCGCACAACTCACTTTCCTCTCAGGAACACGGTGCCTGGCGGCGTCTGGGAGTCGTTGAGGAGGAACCACGTGGAGCGATCCGAGCGGAATATGCCCTGGGGCAGGAAGAGGGGGGACGGAGGAGGGGTGAGGGATGTTTTCCAGAAATCTCAAAGACGGTGCCTGGCGGTGTATGGAGGGAGTCGTTCAGGAGGAACCACGTGGAGCGATCCGAGCAGAATATGCCCTGTGGTGGGGGAGGGAGGGAGAGGAGAGGAGGGGGAGAGGCGGGGCGGGGAATATGCAGAGTCAGAGAATCACAGCAGGGTAGAGTGGGAGATTGGAGAATATGAGAGGCAGGAGAGGAGGTGAGTGATGACAGGCATGGAATAATAACTGATGATGGTGTTACTTTTGAAATTTCTCAAAAAGTAAAACAGCATTTCGTCGAGAGATGCAACCAGGCGCTCAAGATGTCGGACCGACCCAGTGGAGAGAGAGGCAGAGCAACAACAGGTCGTGGTGGGGTGGGTGGTACATGTGGACATGTGGACAGCAGGCCAGCGGTCCAGCGGGCACGTCCTGCAGCACGTCAAGTCGAGGCACAATGAGCGGTCGGAGAGAGATGGACAGGCAGAGGTACGAACCCAGTGGATGCAGAGCGGCAGGTCGTGGCGGCAGTGCATGTGGGCAGCAGCCACGTCCAGCAGCACAACGAATGTGACAGGCACGGGATAGTGACTGATGGCATGTGACTCACCACCAGTGACAGATGACCCATGACTCGTGACTCATGACCACAAACATAACAATAAACAGCGGTACAGTACACACCCAGTGGATGCAGAGCGGCAGGTCGTGGCGGCACTGCATGTGGGCAGCAGCCACGTCCAGCAGCACGTCAAAGCACCCGTTGCGCTCCACCACATAGGCCGTCACCTGGGTGTGTGGGTGGGTGGGGGAGGAAGGGGTAGGTGGGTGTTAAGTCGGCTGAAGAATGAGAAACACCCGTTGCGCTCCACCACGTATGCCGTCACCTGGACGTGGGCATGGGGGGGGGGGGGGGGGTAGGAGGGTGGGGAAGGGGAAGGTGGGCGTTGAGTCGGCTGAAGAATCAGCAGCACCTGTTGCGCTCCACCACGTATGCCGTCAACTGCACGCGGGGAAGGGAGGAGCATGTGGGATGGTGGGGGAGGCCACACGGGAATGGGGGTTAGGTGGGAGCATGTGTTGAAAGGGCCACATGTGAGGGCGTTTTGTATCATTCAAAGACAAATCAGAGCCCAGAGCCAGCTCGGTTACTTGGTTCTTGAGAAATCTCAGAAGAAAACTGCTGGTCATTTTGAGACAAGTCACAGTCCATTAGCGCCATGCTTCCACAATCACTCTTCATTCTCTCCATTCGCTCTCTCCACTCGCTCCCTTCACTCGCTCTCTTCACTCCCTCCCACCACTCGCTCTCTACATTCGCTCTCTTCACTCGCCCTCTCCATTCGCTCTCTACACTCGCTCTCACCATACAATCAAGAGACAACTGATACCTCCCTATTTCCCCTATACATCAATCCTCCCTGTCAAATGCTGATCATCATTTTCACTCTCCTCTTCCTCTCACCTCCCCTCCACCCTCACCTGCCCTCCCCCTTCCACGTGGTACACGTATCGCCGACATCCCGACGGCTCTTGAGTCAACTAAGAAATCTCCTCCCCACTTCCATACCCCCGCTCACCTCCCCTTCTCACCTGTCCTCCCCCTTCCACGTGGTACACGTATCGCCGTCATTCCAACGACGCTTGAGTCGACTTCCCTTTTTCCCACTCACCTGCCCTCCCCCCTCCACGTGGTACACGTAGCGCCGACATCCCGGCGTCCGCTCGAACTCCGCTGCTTTCGCGCTCTTCCCCACCGCCAAATCCGCCGCGACTGCCGCTGCTGCGACGACCCCCCCGTCAGCGGCCTTCGCGGCAACCGGACCGCGAGACGCGGCAAGCCTACAGGGATTAAAGTTGTGAGATGAACTAAAGCTGGAGAGCAGTGCTGGCGTTAGGGATTCGCCGGTTAGGAAACGCGTCTCGGGTGTGCATGTTCGGAATGCCGGACCATTCCCCGCATTTCGCTGCTGGTGCGAAAGCGAGCGTCCGGCGCGCGAACGAATCGACTGACGATGCTTCCTGGTGCAGGAATCAGGAAGGCGAGAATGACGAGAATGGAGGCAAGGCGGAAATGACGTCTCGCGTGCAATGCGAGGAGGCAGCAATGCTTGATTAGGCGTGAGAGCCGCAGCAACTCCTGCCATTTCCACCAGTTCTTGTTTTCCAGAAAACTCGGAACTGATGGACTAAGAAGCTCGAGTGAAAATGGGGGGAATGTGGCAATGCTATCAACAACCCTCACTGCTCTCACTGAAGCTTTTGCATTCCGTTGACGGCAACCTCGAGGCCAATTGTTGAGGAGGGAAGACTTATAAGCGCAGCCTGAGTGTATTTATGGAGTCTATCAACTAAGGGATGAAAAGCAACAAAATACTGTTCAAATAGTGACCCCCCCCTTCTAGTTGGGTCCACTTCATGTCTCAACGCTTTGAAAAGTTGGAAGTGTTGTTCCTTTTTGTTCCCCCTCAGATGCGTTTGATACTGATAGAGCCTTCACAGATTCTTATCAAACAAACATCGTCGCAAGCATGTGCAAATGTGACGCAAGTTTGTGACGTGCATTTCCCATTCACATAGAGTGCCAATTACGTGCATTTCACGCACAGCAAACGCCCCAGACAAGAACAATGGCAGCATTTGCAGCATAGGCAAAACAAAAGGAGGGGAAAAGTATGGACTTTCAAGGTGGCGAGAGAAGAAAGAGATAAGGCGACGGAAATGAAGGCGCGAGGAGTAAGATGAGTGAAAACAACTCGTGAAAAGAGGTAGGGTGATGGTGTTGGGCTGAGAAAAAACCCTTAGGATCTTTGCAAGGCTAAACTCTGAGTAGAAATGTTGTAGTTGCGGAAGCGTTTTAATGATATGAAAGGGTGTAACTAATAACTGTTTCACTGTTGCTGTTGCGGTTCGATACAGTGACGACTCGGGCAACTGCTCAGTATCGAGTCAGTTGTTTGTCCTTGCTGTCGCGCTGTATTTGTCAAGTCAAAGGTCGCTGACCTTTGACCTTCGCGTAACCTCCAGCAGTTACTTCTCTTGTCAACCTCCGATGGTTGACTCGCCGTTGCTTCGTTGTAGTTCGCTTCGCTTGCAGTTCAATGTTTCGACACATCAGAAGCGCTTAAGTCACTTGTCTCCAACAGATGGGAGGGGCATTGGGAGGGTGATGTGAGGTGAAGCACACGGGCGACGATATGGGTGATGGGAGGGGAGGGAGGAAGAACACACAGAGGGCGTTTCAGAGCAAGGGCGAAGGCGACAAGGTTGATGACGGGGAGGGTGGATACGAAAGACGACTGGCAAGCATTTTGGGGCGAACGCTGTGGCGACGAGGTGGGTGATGGGAGGTGGGATACGAAGGGTGGCGGAAATGCGTTCCAGGGTGGGTGAGAGGGCGACGAGGTGGGCGATGGGAGTAGAAATTGGGTGGGGGGCGGAGGGCGTTTCGTGGCGAGCGCGAAGGCGATAGGGAGGGTGATGCGAGGTGAGTGAGGAAGGGCGACGACTGCATCGATGGTGATAGGAGGGGAGGGGAGAAAGCGAGAGTGACGGGAAGGGAGGGAAGAGAGCAAGAGCGACGGGAAGGGAGGGGTGCGGAGAGTCACTCCACAACGGTGGGAGCTGAATTACGGGTGAAGGCACCGGTGGTACGAGTGATCGTAGCTTTGCTTCTGTGTCTACTAGAGCAATCTCGCAAGAGCTTTACTAACAAAACGAGAATACAAAATGATAGCAAGTGCAATGGCAACAATGATTACATCAGAAGCAAGTTTGCCTAACATACAGGCAGGTCGGTCGCCAGCGCTGCAAAGTCGTCGACCTGCCAACGTAGCAATCCGGCGGCCCGCCAACGCAACTCATGGACGACTTGCCAACGTTGCACCAAAGTGGCTTGCCAAACGCTGCAGCAGCGTGGTCCGCAAGCGTTGCAACCGCAGCCAATTGTATGCGCATGTACGCGCACCTACTTCGCAGGTGTTTGTAGACGGTTGCGCACGAAGTGCACCGTCGCGCACATTGCGCAAGTGCCAAGTCGGCCAAATGCCGACGGTTGCGCATGACGAGCCAAGTCGATCACGTGCTGCCACGTTGGTCGACTTCGCCGCAGCAGCTCGACGACGTTCGCGCACCTCCGCAGATGCTCGTCAAACAGGTAACTTGGTCGACCGGGTAAAGTCTCCGACACCTATTAGGTCGACGACCTCCTTCGTCGGCCACCACCCAAGTGGGTGCCCACCCTAGTCGACGAACACCTTTGTCGGCCACCCAAGTCGGTGCCGACTTGGGCGGTAGGAGCACGCGAACTGATATACGTACTCGTCGACCACCCAGTTCGACGCCACACTCTGACTTCACCAATTCGGCGACCCCGCAGGTCGAAGACCTCCTTCGTCGACCACCCCAGTCGAATTCGGTTGCCGACCTCCCTCGTCGACAGCGTCACACTAGTCCCGCGCAGGTCGACCAACTTCGTCGACCTGCTCGCCCAAGACGGTGTTGCCTACTGCAGACGGTCGGCTGCACCTCCTCACACTCGACCACGGAGTCGGCTTTGCCCAAGCGAGGCCGGGGCCAACACTCCCCTGCCGCGCTCACGCTTGGGCACCCCATGCACCAGAGCCACCCAGAACCCAAAGGGAAGAATACACGGGGAAAATTGTCGGCGTGCATACAACACACAACACGCCGGTCATCGTACCAGCAGTGCAGAAGGGCACGGTGCTTATTGCGGCACGTCGTCGTCACCGTCACCGACGCGGCCAGACGCACTTGGTCGATTGCGTCGAAGCACCAGTCGAAGGCCGCAAAGTGCAGTGCCTTCATCAGGAGGTCGGTCGGCCGGTGGTCGAGTTGTACTTCTGGGCAATATTCCCGCGCTTCACCATCTGCTGCAGCCAGGCGTAGCGTCGCTCCATGTGCTTGAGGTTGCCCTTCGGCCCCAAGCCCTCGGCGACTGCGATGGCCCATTGGTTGTCCAATTGGAAGACGGTCGGCGTCCCAGCGTCTAGCAGCTGGATCTTGGCGAGGAGGAAGCGAAATCGGTGTGCCTCCTTGCCGGCTTCGGTGGCCGCAACATACTCCGACTCGGTCGACGAAAGCGTCGCACACTTGATGCGTTGACTCATCCAGGAGATGGCGGACCCACCAAAGACGAAGACGTAGCCACAGTGCTACTCCGGTTTTGCCTGTTGCAGGCGTCGTCGACATCTACGTAGCCGACCAAGCACATGAGCTCTTGTCCGCCGCCAAACTCCAGGGCGGCGTTAAGAGTGTCGGCGAGATGGGCGAGACAACAGTCGCGCCAATGCTCGCCGCTCCTCACCGTCAGGCCGCTCCCAAGACGGTGTGGCCCACTGCAGACAGTCGGCTGCACCTCATGCATCCCCGACCACGAATTCGTCTTCGCCTAAGCGAGGACGGGGCCAACCCCTCAATAAGGGAAGCGAGCGAGAGCGACGGGACTGGAGGGGAGAGAGCGAGAGCGACGGGAAGGGAGGGGAGAGGGTTAATGGAATTGATGGGAGAGAGCGAGAGCGACGGGAAGGGAGGGGAGAGAGCGACGACGACAATAGGGGAGGGAAGAGAGCGAGAGAGACGTTAAGGGAGGGGAGAGAGCGAGAGCGAAGGAAGAGAGTGTAAGCGACATGAAAGGAGGGGAGAAATCGAGAGCGGCCGGAAGGGAGGGGAGAGAGTGAGAGCGACACGAAGGCAAGGAAGAGAGTGAGAGCGACAGGAAGGGAGGGGAGAGATCGAGAGCGACGGGAACATCCCCACGTCTCCACTATCAGAGAGGTGACCTGCACGCCCCGATTGTGCACCACCTGTGGTGCGTAATCACCCGTCATCTGACGCCCCTACTCTCTCGCGACCACTCCTATGGAACACTCCCACTGCCCTACCAAAGAGGGAGAAAGCGAGAGCAGGTTTGCCACATTGATCTCTAGAGCGTGAGCCTCTTCATCCCTTGGTCGGTGCACTGCGAGGTTCACCGCTTCCCCGACAGCAATGTTTCATCATCCATTGTTAGCACTCCCCCTGGCGCTTAAAAATATTTGCTACCGCAAAAGTCACCTCGCCGTGCACCCGTTTTGACCATGCTGGTGCTTGCATGCAAACAGTTTTGGTCAATCAATATCAAAGCCTAGCACGGGTGGTTGGAATATTGCACACCCTTAGCGTTGAGTGTAGAGAGTGCGAATGAGGAGCATAAGCCAAGAGAAAACTGGGAAATGAAAAAGGAATCAGGTGTACAAAGCTCTTTGACTCGCTGGTTGAGGCTTTCAAGAATTCAGAGATTCAGTAACGACCATATCTTTAGTCAACACGCTGCAACTGCAGCACATCACAGTACATGCACCCATGAATTCTTGAAGGCTTTTCTGTACAACACCCACCGGAAATTGAAGTCTTGGACCGGAAATTGAAATATTGAAATCAATAGCCCTGAACGACCCAGCACCAGAGCTTCAGTAATTGAACGGACCGGATATGCAGGGCAGTACGAGTAAGAACTCGTGAAAAAACGCCCCCCTGGTTAGCATCAGGGAAAGCAAGAAGAGACAAGAGTGGTCCTTCCCTGCCCTGCTCTACGAGTAGCCTTTGCCAGCTTTTTCTGGAAGCACGTCAACAGCGCGACGCCAAACGTCATCATGACGGCCGCGTGCAGGCCCTGGTGCCAGAGGAAGAGGTGAGGTGTGTTGTCGAGTCGAGCCAAGTGACTGACGGAGCATAGGGGATAGAGTTACTGTACAGTACAGCCATTTACAGTGTGCACCTCCCCCCCCAGGCTAAACTCACCTCTAGCTTCAGTCTGCTTGTCGCACCGTAAAGTTTCGGAGTAGCATCTGCACTGCACTGTTCGCGCTGTAACCAAGTCGTTCACTGAACACAGACGCCATGTGAAAGTCTAAAAAGACGTAGCACACCTACGCATTGTGGTTCTAGAATATACCTGTGTAAGCTGTAAAGAGGGGTGGGAAGTTCCACAAGAAGCTGCAATGCAAACCCTAATTTATTTGAACTGCTCCCCGTGGCGAATAATCCTCTCTGCCGTGCTCGCGACGCCTTCCTTCCCCTCCCCTCCAACGCAGCTGCCGCCTGCCAGCCTGTGCCAATACGGTTTCGCGACGAGCATTCCGCATGTATCGCGTGGGCCTTACATGAAAGGGTAGTAAGAGGCTGCCGCTGCGCCTCTGATTATCCCTCGTCTTGGCACAGTGGTTAAGCGGGGCGTTAGGAGCGTTACTACCGCAAGCCAGCATTCCGCAACTGAGCGTTCCGCAAACCTGCATTTGCGCAAACGTGCGTCGCGCGAACTAGCGTTGCGAGTCCGCCGGTTCCGCAAAGGGTAGGCAGTTCTGCGACTGAAAGCATACAGTGTTTTGTGCGACAGAAAGTCGTCAAATGGCGAGCTTTCGCAGAAGAGATTATCCGAGTGACACGAGGGCAGTAACAGCGATACCTAGAAACGACTCGAGCGTTTCACAGCCGAATGAGAAAGACGGAGAGCAACGGCAGCTAATTGTCACAGCGCCGGTAGCGGGGTCGAGTCAGCGAGGGGGAGATGATAGCGCGTTATCAGATAAGCTAATGCATTTCGACCTAGATTCCTCCGAAGCGTCTTTTCCCACAGTTGAGTTCAGTGGCGACGCGGCGACTCGCAATGATGACCTGGTTATCGACATTGCTGACGTGTCCTGTTGCTGCTTCCCGAGAATCAAACGCTCGAGATATCAATCTAGTAGCCGCGACGGTTCTTCCGCCGTCGCAGCCTCCGCCTCCGCCTCCGCCGGGTGCTTCCCCGGCGCAGGGGGAAGGGGGACGCGGCAGCGCGGAAACACTGTCCAGTGGTCGCCGTTAGTGGCGGCGACAGGCGGAGGCGGCAGTGGCGGGGGCGGCTTCGGCAGCGGCAGCGGCAGCGGCGTAGTGGCGGAAGAGGAGGAAGACGGGGAAGGAGATCCGCGGAAGGGATTTTCGCGGTGGACTGTGCGCGCGGTGCGGTGCTTCGGCCTTGCGCCGGGATGGGCGCAACTCTGCTTGCGCATGTGCTGGTTGGCGCTGGGACTGGGGATTGCGGTGCTGGCGTTCTGGGGGAGCTATGTGGCGCAGCGGAACAGCGCGAAGGTATGGCGTTGGGAGGGAAATGGCGCAGCGGAACAGCGCAAAGGTACCTCTTTTCGGGAAAAAAAAGTATGTAATCTTCGAAGGTGATTTTTGGCGACGCGACTCTTTCAAACGCCGATGCGTCCTGCTTCAAGCGACTCAGGTATTTTACCGTTGGTGATCCTCACTCACTCACACACGCACCCCCACACCCACCACGCCCCCTCGCCACTCTCCCCCACCACGCCCCCTCGCCACTCTCCCCCACCACGCCCCCTCGCCACTCTCCCGCACCACGCCCCCTTCGCCCCGCCCCTTCGCCCCGCCCCTTCGCCCCACTCCTCACCTCGCCCCCACCACCCCCCCTCCTCCCCCCCGCAACGCCCCCGTGGCAGGAGGCCATAACGAATCAGTGCATCGACTGGGCGGCTCAGGTGGAGATTCAGCAGCGATACAAATACCCCCTCGCCCTCATCCCTCCCCACTCCCGTTCTCCCCCCTTCGCCCCCGTGGAAGGAGGCCATAACGAATCAGTGCATCGACTGGGCGGCTCAGGTGGAGATCACGTTCCAAAGAATTCCCAACAGTGATGCAAGCATCCCCCCTCCCCTTCCCCCTTCCCCCCCATGCACGCTCCCTCGACCCCTCCCCCTTCCCCCTTCCCGCGACGCCACGTGGCAGGAGGCAATAACGAATCAATGCATCGATTGGTCGGCTCAGGTGGAAATCACGTTCCAGATGGCCTCGCAGGAGGTCAGTGCTGTGTGTGCGGGCATGGGCGTGGGCGTGGGCGTGGGTGCGGGCGCGGGCGCGGGTGCGGGTGCGGGTGCGGGTGCGGGTGCGGGTGCGGGTGCGGGTGCGGGTGCGGGCGTAGCGGTGGGTGACTGGGCGGCTCAGGTGGAGATAACGTTCCGGATGGCCTCTCAAGAGGTCAGTGCTCTGTGTGTGCGGGCATGGGTGTGGGCGTGGGTGTGGGTGGGCGTGGGTGGGTGTGGGTGCGCGTGTGGGTGTGGGCTGGTTGGGTCAGTTGGGCGGCGCAGCTGCAGGTCACACCCACACGCGCACATGGCCTCACAAGAGGTCAGTGCGCATGCGCTCTGTGTGTGCGGGTGTGTGTGTGGGCGGGGGGCGTGGGGGGGGGGGGGGGGGGGGCGGGGGGCGTGGGGCGGGGTGGCGGTAAGATGTGTACTTGTCTGTGTGTGGCATCTTGGTTTTGCTCCTGTATATCCGCCTCTTTGTTCGCGCCCTCATCTTGACATCTCTTTTATTTTTTTACATCTTCTAAACACTGCACTGTGCGTGCACTGTGCGTGTGATGAGCTGTGCGCATGTGCGTGTGCATATACATGCGCGTGCATATTCGTGCGCATATACGTGCGCATGTGCTGTGCTGTGCTGTGCTGTGCTGTGCGTGTGCGTATGCTGTGTGATGTGTGGTGGAGTGCGGTGGGAGCAGGTTCAGCTGCTGTCGAGCCTGGTGACCGTCTTCTACTTTGGAAAGCAGGGAGACGCTGCTCTCGACGAGGTACTCACCACGCTCCTATGCTGCCGTGCTGCCGTGCTGCCGTGCTGCCGTGCTGCCGTGCTGCCGTGCTCCCTTGCTCCCATGCTGCCATGCTTCCTTGCTCCCTTGCTCCCTTTCTCCCTTGCTCCCATGCTGCCATGCTCCCTTGCTCCCTTGCTCCCTTTCTCCCTTGCTCCCTTTCTCCCTTGCTCCCATGCTCCCATGCTGCCTTGCTCCCTTGCTGCCAGGCTGGCAAATGGCAAGCGATGAACTTGAACGTTCTACACACGCTTGCCCACATACACGCGCATGCGCACGCACGCCCACACGCCCACATGCGCGCACACACATACGCCCCGACCTCCGTCCCATACCTCCTTTTCAACCCCCCCACTGCCCCCCCCATCCCCCAACAGCCCACGTTCCGAGACTGCATCAACCAGACGCACTTCTCGCGCCCCTTGGCCCGCCTTTGCATCACGTCAGCTTAGACTCGCTCCTGCATCCCTACCTACCCCCACCCTTTCCCGCCACCTGCCACCCGTGTTACCCCACCCGCCTCCCCACCAGCCCACGTTCCGCGACTACATCAACCAGACGCACTTCTCCCGCCCCTTCGCCTCCAACGTCGGCTTCGCTCCCTTTGTCACCACCTCGCAGCGGGCTGCGTTCGAGGCAGCCATGCAAAGAGTGCAGCAGCAGCAACAGAAGCAGGAGGGGGCAGCAAGCAGTTGCATACAGTGCGCACCCACACACTCTGCACACACACATGCGCGTGTGCTCTCACTCTGTCTCATTGTTGCCCTGCTCCTTTCCTCTGCTCCCCTCTCCTGCTCCCTCTCCTGCTCTCCCCTCCCTCCCCTCCCTCCCCTCCCTCCCCTCCCCTCCTCTCCCCTCTCCTCCCGCTCCCGTTGCCCCTCCTTTTGCTCTCGTTTCCCTCCCTCCTCTCGCTCGCCTCCTCTCTCGCTCCCTCCCCTCCCCTTCCCGGTGGCCCTCTCATCGCCCCCGAATCCTCTTGCAAGTCACATTCTCTCTCTACGCGCCTCTCCTCTGCTCTGACCAACCGTTATGTTGCTCTGCTCTGCACCTCCGCTTCTCCCAACGCTTCCCTCCACTTCCCTCCTCTCCCCCGCCGCCCGTATCCCTTCCCTTCCGTACGCCTCTCAGCGCCTCCAAATCCTCTTGCAAGCCACATTCTCTCTCACGCGCCTCTGCACTGATGAGGCGATTTTTGAGTCGACTCAAAAATCGCCTCTCAGCGCCCCCAAATCCTCTTGCAAGGCACATTCTCTCTCTACGCGCCTCTGCACTTCATCGATCGCTACGTTCCCATGCCCCACCATTCCTCTGCTCCTCCCTTCTTCTCCATACCCCTCCACACCCCTCCACACCCCTCCATACCCCTCCATACCCCTCCACACCCCTCCACACCCCTCCACACCCCTCCATACCCCTCCACACCCCTCCACACCCCTCCACACCCCTCCATACCCCTCCATACATTTCACCTCCCATCCCGTACCCCCCTCAGTGCCCCCAACGCCTCGTGCATGCCACAGCAGCCGCTCTACGCGCCTCTGCTCTTCACTGACCGCGCTGTAAACACGCCTCCACAGTCCTTTCTGGGGCTCGACATGCTCTCGCGTGAGTCCCCCTGTTAACACGTTACGCAACATTTGAGGCGCCTCAAAAGTCGCCTCTGCTCTTCACTGACCGCGCTGTAAACACGCCTGCCCAGTCCTTTCTGGGGCTCGACATGCTCTCGCGTGAGTCTCCCTGTTGTTGCACCTTCACCTGGTTTGTTTTTAAGCATTCCCAAGGTTCCCCTTCACTGACCGCGCTGTTACCATGCCTCCCACCGCGCTGTTACCACGCCTGCCCAGTCCTTGCTGTTACCACGCCTCCCACCGCGCTGTTACCACGCCTGCCCAGTCCTTGCTGTTACCATGCCTCCCACCGCGCTGTTACCACGCCTGGCCAGTCCTTGCTGTTACCACGCCTCCCACCGCGCTGTTACCATGCCTGCCCAGTCCTTGCTGTTACCACGCCTCCCACTGCGCTGTTACCACGCCTGCCCAGTCCTTGCTGTTACCACGCCTCCCACCGCGCTGTTACCACGCCTGCCCAGTCCTTGCTGTTACCACGCCTCCCACCGCGCTGTTACCACGCCTGCCCAGTCCTTGCTGTTACCACGCCTCCCACCGCGCTGTTACCACGCCTGCCCAGTCCTTGCTGTTACCACGCCTCCCACCGCGCTGTTACCATGCCTGCTCAGTCCTTGCTGTTACCACGCCTCCCACCGCGCTGTTACCACGCCTGCCCAGTCCTTGCTGTTACCACGCCTCCCACCGCGCTGTTACCACGCCTGCCCAGTCCTTGCTGTTACCACGCCTCCCACTGCGCTGTAAACACGCCTGCCCAGTCCTTTCTGGGGCTCGACATGCTCTCGCATGAGCCCCGGTGGACGCTTCACTCTGCCCTTGCTGGCACCTTGCACATGAGCGTTTCATTTGCCGGTTCATCCTTCTCCTTCCTCTTCGCCTCACGCTCTTTAGCTGACGGTCTAGATTCGCCTAGTATTTTCCCCCTCCTGCTTCTTCCTAGGGCCCTTCTCTGTGACCTCCCTGTTCCCCTTCTCCGCCTCGCACTCTACTTCCTTCTCCAAGGTGACTTTTGAGTCGACTCAAAAGTCACCTCGTTACAATGGCACACGGCAGTTTTGAGTCGACTCAAAAGTCACCTCGTTACAATGGCACACGACACTTTTGAGTCGGCTCAAAAGTCACCTCCCTGTTCCCCTTCTCCGCCTCGCACTCTACTTCCTTGTCCACCCACCCATCCTTCCTTCCTCGGTCTTACCCGTCGCTTCCTTCTCCTTCTCCTTCTCCTTCTCCTTCTCCTTCCCCCACTTCTGCCTTCCCCTTGCTTCTCTCCTTGCTCTCCACCTTTTGAGACGTCTCAAATCCTTATCCTCCCCCTTGCGTCTCCGTTGCTCTCCGCCATTGCAGCTTGCAATCCTTATCCGCCCTCCCAACTCCCCTCCCCTCCTGTCGTCCGCCCTCTCAACCCCCCTCTCCTCCAACCCCCTCCCCTCCCCTCCCCTCCCCTCCCGTCCCTCCGCAAAAAACCTTCTTTGCAGTTCCCCAGTTGAGGGAAGCTGCGAGGAGTGTTCCCCAAGCGGGCCCGTCGGGGCTGCTGGCAGCGCCACCGGAGGGGCAGTCCCGGGACGTGGAAATCAAAATCTTTCCCGTCTACCGCAACGCCTCCGCTGCTGCTGCCGCCGCCGCCGCCGCCGCTGCTGCTGAGGCTGCTGCTGCTGCTGGTGCTGGTTCCAGTGGGGCTGCTGCTGTGTTTGGTGCTGGTGCTGGTGCTGCTGCTGGAAGTGCAGGGGCGTCAGAGGGTGACCTAGGGGAGGGAATAGGAGGGCTCATAGTGGCGACATTCAACACAACCAGCATGTGGTCTCCCGTCTTCAAGGTATTCTGCTGCTGCTGCTGCTTTTGCGATGTCTCAAAAACGTCGTCTTCATTGTGTTCTGCCGCCGCCGCCGCTGCTGCTGTTATTGCCGCTGCTGCTGCCACTACTGCTGTCGCCGCTGGCACTGCCACGGCCACCGCCAGTGCCGCCGCCGCCGCCGCCGCCGCCGCTGCGGCTCCTGCTATAAGTGCAAGCAAATAGCGGGCTCACAGTTGTATGCGTACTTACTTCCTTGCCTTCCTGTAACTTCTCGCTTCTCCCTCCCTCTCTTCTCCTCCCTTGTCACTTTCTTCTTCTCCCTTGTCACTTTCTTCTCCTCCCTTGTCACTTTCTTCTTCTCCCTTGTCACTTTCTTCTCCTCCCTTGTCACTTTCTTCTTCTCCCTTGTCACTTTCTTCTTCTCCCTTGTCACTTTCTTCTTCTCCCTTGTCACTTTCTTCTTCTCCCTTGTCACTGACTGACATGGCTGGCACATGCTCGTTGCACTCTCACGCCATGTCCGCCCCTCCCTTTCGCCCCCCCCCCCCCTCTCCCCTAACCCCCCTCTCCTCCTCCCGCATGCATACATTGACCCAGACACACCACCCTCTGACCGGCGCCGTGGTGGGTCGAGTGTTTGACTCCTCACACTCCCCGCGGAGGCTGGTGTATGCGGGATGCAGGAAGGCGGGAGCCGAGGCATGCGGCGGCAGCAGCAGCAGCAGCAATGGCACGGCGGCGGGTGATGCGTTTCTTATGGAGAGCTGCCCGCTGGACCTCGGGAACTCCGCTTGTGCTTTTGAGCTGGAGTGCGCGTGAGTGCTCTGCTGTGCTGTGCCGTGCCGTACCGTGCCGTGCCGTGCCGTGCCGTGCCGTGCCGTGCCGTGCCGTGCCGTGCCGTGCCGTGCCGTGGTGTGCCGTGCCGTGCTGTGCCGTGCCATGCCGTGCCGTGCCGTGTCGTCCCGTGCTGTGCTGTGCTGTGCTGTGCTGTGCTGTGCTGTGCTGGCACGGCGGCGGGTGATGCGTTTCTTATGGAGAGCCGCCAGCTGGACCTCGCAAACTCCGTTTGTGCTTTCGAGCTGGAGTGCGCGTGAGTGCTATGCATGCTCTTCAACACTCCCTGCCCCGTTCCCCACTCCTGACCTGACCCCTGACCTGAACCCCTGAACTGGCCCCTTGCTCTCCCTCAATTTCCCCCCACCCTCTTCCCCAATGTGCCCCTGCCCTCTCCCTGCTCCCTTTCCCACTCCGCCCTCCTGCCCTTCCTCCACCCAGCTACGACGGGCACTCTTTGTGCTCGTCGTCAACTCGCTGCTGGCGGTGGCCGTGTGAGCGCTCTGCTGCCACCTCGTGCGTCTAGAACGAGGTGGCTTTTGAGTCGACTCAAAAGTCACATATGCTGCCACCTCGTGCGCCTGGAACGAGACTACCAGCGCATGCAGCGACTCATCTCCCTTACCCTTTTTCCCCATCCCTGAACTGGCCTTCTGACCTTCCCTCCCTCACTGTGCTCCCTTCCCCCCCGCCCTGCTCCAATTTCCCATCCCCACCCAGCCACGACAACCCTCCCGTCTCCTACCTGCGGCCGTCGCTGTGGGCGTTGTTCGTGCTCGTGGTCTACTCGCTGCTGGCGCTGGCCGTGTGGGCCATCTGCTGCCACCTCGTGCGTCTGGAGCGAGACTACCAGCGCATGCAGCGACTCAAACATTCCCCTCTTCCCTTGCCCCATCCCTGACCTGGCCCCTTGCCCTTCGTCCACCCAGCTACGACTCTCCCCCAGTGTCCTTCCTCTGGCCGTCTCTCTGGGCGCTCTTTGTGCTCGTGGTCTACTCATTGCTGGCGCTGGCCGTGTGGGCCATCTGCTGCCACCTCGTGCGTCTGGAGCGAGACTACCAGCGCATGCAGCGACTCAAAGACAGGATGAAGGCTGCGAAGCTGGTGGCAGAGCATGCCGCCAAGGCCAAGAGCAACTTCCTTGCCGTGATTAGCCATGAACTACGCACGCCGCTCAATGCAGTGATAGGTAAGCGGCTTTCTGTTTGAATGTGTTGTTAGTAGCTAGCAGTAGTGGTAGTGGTGGTGGTGGTGGTGGTGGTGTTGGTGGTGGTGGTGGTGTTGGTGGTGGTGGTGGTTGGAGTGAGAATACCAGCGCATGCAGCGACTCAAGCACATAACCGCCAAGGCCAAGAGCAACTTCCTTGCCGTGATGTCCCACGAGCTACGCACGCCACTGAATGCGGTTATAGGTAAGCACCTCTTTGCCGTCATGAGCCAGCTGGTGCGGCTCGAGACGAGGCTACCAGCGCATGCAGCGGCTCAGGAACGCATGAAGGCCGCCAAGCTGGTCGCAGAGCATGCTGCCAAGGCCAAGAGCAACTTCCTTGCCGTTATGTCCCACGAGCTACGCACGCCACCTCGTCGTGCGTCTCGAATGCGGCTTGCGCCTACCCTGGAGCGAGACTACCAGCGCATGCAGCGACTCAGGACCGCATGAAGGCTGCCAAGCTGGTTGCGGAACATGCCGCCAAGGCCAAGAGCAACTTCCTTGCTGTCATGTCGCAAGAACTGCGCACGCCGCTGAATGCAGTCATTGGTAAGTGCCTGTTGTGCCTCGTGATTGAATGTGTTGCTTGCCTGGTCGTGGACACAACACACCCCTGGATGGACTGAACGCCACTTAAACTCGCTTTTGAGTCGACCCAAAACTCTCACGTCTCAACACCCTCCCTCTCTGTCTCTTTGGCACCCGTGCTGCCAGGCATGATGAATCTGCTGGTGAACACGCCTCTGGACGCCACTCAGCTGAATTTATGCCGAGAGGCGGCGAGTCCGTGCGTGTCGTATTGTTGCGTGCACTCATGCCTGCACCCTCACTCTCTCCTGTCTCTGCTGCTCCCGTGCTGCCAGGCATGATGAATCTGCTGGTGGACACGCCGCTGGACGCCACCCAGCTGGATTATGCCGAGACGGCTCGCACGAGCGGGCGGGCGCTAGTCTCTCTCATCAACGACATCCTTGACCTCTCAAAGATCGAGGTGCGCTGCCCAATGTAAAGGTGTAATTTGCAGGGGTGGAGAGAGGTAAGCTAGGAGTGTGCACACTGAAGAGCGGACGCCAGCGGGCGGGCGCTCGTGTCGCTCATCAACGACATCCTTGACCTCTCCAAATCGAGGTATGCTTTCTTTACGGCAAGGCAGGTAGCTTGTCTCCTGCTTGAGTTGAGCTTTATGACAAGCCCCGCAGGGTAGCAAGTGCACCAGTGGGCGCGCGCTCGTCTCTCTCATCAACGATATCCTTGACCTCTCGAAATCGAGGTATGCTGCTGCATTGAGGTGGATTTTTAGGCGCCTAAAAAATGCTGCATTGGAAGAGTGGTTGGGAGGCATGAGCCACAACCCTTCAAAGATTTGCTCCTAAAGCATGGTCAGCACCTCATGACCTCATGACCTCATAACCGCATGACCTCATGACCTCATGATCTCATGACCTCATGACCTCATGACCTCATAACCGCATGACCTCATGACCTCATGACCTCATGACCTCGTCCACGTTCCTCAATAGAGCATAGCGTGACCGTGTGCGTGCGTGTGTGTTTTCCATGTATGTACCCCACAGGCCAACCGCATGGTACTGGAGAAAGCGCCTTTGGTCATCAGGAGGGACGTGGACGAGGTGGTGACCATGTTTGTGGAGCGATTCCTCATTCATGCATGTGTATGTATTTGTTCATCCATGCACTCACGCACCCCCTTCGCAGGCCAATCGCATGGTGCTGGAAAAGGCACCCCTCGATATTCGCAGGGATGTGGATGAGGTGTTGACCATGTTTGTGGAGCGATTCAGAGAGAAGCCGCAAGTGGAGGTGGCAGCTTACGTTGATCCCTCTGTTCCGCAGCTCGTACTGGGGGACTCTCTCAGGCTCCGACAGGTGCGGTGCAGTGCGCTATAGTGTGGTGTCATGTGGTACAGTGCAGTTTTGTGCAGTGCAGTGCGGTACAGTGCGGTGTAGTGGAGAGGTGCTGACCATGTTTGTGGAGCGATTCAGAGAGAAGCCCCAAGTGGAGATGGCGGCTTACGTCGACCCGTCTGTGCTGCAGCTTGTACTGGGAAGCTCCGACAGGTGCGGTGGAGTGCGGTGGAATGCGCCACAGTTTGGTAAAATGCAGTAGTTGCGGTGTAATGTGGTGCAGTGCGGTGGAGTGCGGTGGGATGCGATATAGTGGTGCAGCGCAGGTAGTGCGGTTTACTGCGTTGTAATCCAGTGCAGTGCGGTCAGTGTGCTTGTAAATGCATCCACTCCACATTCACTGAACCTGGTTGCATACAACTGCCATCCGCCCTTGTTTCCTTGTCACCACCAGGACTCATCAGTGTGTTGTCCAACGCGTGTAGGTTCACTGAACGTGGACGCGTCTTCATTACCATCTGCCCTTGGTCTCTCTCCCAATCCCCCTGCCGCCCCACCAGGTGCTGATCAACGTGCTGTCGAACGCATGCAAGTTCACTGAACGAGGACACATCCTCAATTCCATCCCCCCACCCCGCTGCCACCCCACCAGGTGCTGATAAACGTGCTGTCGAACGCGTGCAAGTTCACTGAATGTGGACACATCCCATTTCCATCCACCCCATCTCCTTTTCCACCCCGCCACCCCACCAGGTGCTGATAAACGTGCTGTCGAACGCGTGCAAGTTCACCGAACGGGGGCACATCCTGGTGTGTGTGCGCACGGCGCCCTTCACAGAGGACATCCGGCGAGTCATTGTGCTCAAAGGCGTTGCCAAGCGCATGCCCACACCCGCTCCCCCTGCTGCTGCTGCTGCCGCTGCTGCTGCCGGTAGTGGTGGTGCCGCTTCTGCAGCTGCTGCTTCTGGCGGTGCTGCTGCTTCTGACGCTGCTGCTGCTGCTGCTGCTGGTACCGGCGCTGCCGCTGCAGCAGCAGCGGCAGCAGCTGCAGGGGCAAGGGCAGCAGGAGCAGGCGGAAACATCTCTGATTCCAGGTCAGCAGGGCAGACGGAGCAGCAACGGTCCGCAGGGCAGGCGGAGCAGCAGAGGTCTACAGGGCAGGTAGTGCCTCTGCCCTCTCCCAGCCTCCAAACCACCAGCCCTACATTCAAACCCAGCGGCTCACCCAGCGGGAACTCCCCGGCCAATCAGAGCGCGACAGGTGGCAGGGCGGCGGGGAGGGAGGAGTGGTTGGGGTGTGCTGGGGGCGGTGGTGGGTGGCGGACGTCTATAGAATGGTCCCCTGTGATGGTGGGGAGCAGTAGGGTTGGCACGAGGGGCAGCGGAACGGATGGGGGGAAGAGGGAGCTGAGCCGAAGGGGGACTGGGAGTCTTTTGGAGATTAAGAGACTGGGGGACGAACGCAAAAGGAGCCCTTCCATGCGTGCTGCTGCTGCTGCTGGTGGTAGTGATGGTGGTGCTGGTGGTGCTGCTGGTGGTGGCGGTGGTGGTGGTTCTGTGGGTGCGATGGCTGCTGCTTCATCCGCATCTTCCCTTCCTGCCCTGGCTCGAACCACCACCCCCACCTCTGCTGCCCGTGCTGCCACCCCCACTGCAACATCACCAGCACCACCAGCAGCAGGAGCAGGAGGAGCAGCAGCAGGAGCAGCAGGAGGAGGAGGACGAACAGCAGCAGGAGGCATGTACCCATCGCTGGCAGCAAGCACAACACTGAGTGGGCTGGAAGCGGTGGACTCATGCAACAGTTGGGCCACCATCTGTGCCCTGCGCGCCCAGGCCAAAGCCGCCACCGCCCACCAGCGCGCGCGCCTCGCTCCCTCCGCTGCTGCTGCTGTTCCCTCCGCTGCTGCTGCTGTTCCCTCCGCTGCTGCTGCTGTTCCCTCCGCTGCTGCTGCTGCTGGTGCTGCCGGTACTGCCTCCGCTGTTGCTGGTGCTGCTGCCCGTGCTGCCCCTGCCGGTGCCGGTGCTACTGCCGGCCCTGGTGCCGCCGCTGGTAACCGCACCGCCGCCGTGGTAACCGTCCTGCAGAAGTCCGTGCGTCTAGTCATTTCAGTAGAGGACACAGGCGTGGGCATACCCTACGGGGTGCAGCGGCACATCTTCAAACCCTTCATTCAAGCAGACGCCTCAAATACGCGCACGCACGGCGGCACGGGAATTGGTCTCGCCATCTCCCGCCAGCTCGTGAAGCTCATGGGCGGCCAGCTGACCTTCTCCAGCCGCCCGGGGGTCGGCACAACGTTTTATTTCGATATTGTGGTGCCGTGCGCGAGTGCGGCGGAGGAGGCGGATGCGAATGCAGCGGTTACCACCCCGAATGGTCGTGATGGGATGGGCGCGTTTTCGGGCTATTGGGGTGCGGCTGGTGCTGCAGGTGCTGCTGGTGTGGGTGGTGGTGGTGCGGGTGGGTATGGGGGGGCGGGTGGCAGTATGGGGGTTGAGGGAAGTAGTAGAAGGGGGGGAGGGGCGTCTGCTGTGGAGCTTCAGATGGGGTTCGACCGGAATGCGTCAGCCAAGGATTTGCAAGCGTTGGCTGATCTGGCCAGGGAGTCGGGCAATGGGGCGGACTGGCACAGGCAGCTGAGACCCGGGTGCCGTGACGGGCAGTTTCGAAATGTTTCGGCGCGCGTTTTGGACGGGAATGCGGTGAGGAGAGAGATTGTAGAGAATTATTTGGAGCAGGTTGGGGTGAAGGTTGTGGGGGAGGGGGAGGAAGTGGGGGGTGATGGGGGGAGGGAAGGGGAGGGGAGGGGGAGGTGTAGAGTGGTGTTGGTGGAAGCTGATTGGCTGTGGCGCCAGCAGCAGCAGCAGCAGCAGCGTGACAGAGGTACAGGCAGAAGCGAAGCTGTAGCTGGTACTGTCCCCGCAACCAGCAGTGGCAGCAGCAGCGGCAGTAAGCACAGCAGCAGCGGTGGCAGTGGCAGTGGCAGTGGCAGTGGTGGTGTGGGTGGTAGTGTCACGGTGTCCCATGGGGTGGGTGGTGGGGTGATGGTATCCCGTGGTGTGTTCCGCAGGGGCCCTCAGTGGGACGCGGCGATTCTGGTGACACAGGAAAGGGTGGAGGAGGGGGAGGCGAGGAGGAGGGGCTTTGATGCGGTGCTGGTGAAACCCGTTAGGTATGCTGCGCTTATGGGGTGCCTGGCTCAGGTCATGGATCGTAGCGGGGGCGATGCTGCTGCTGCTGCTGCTGCTGATGGTGGTGGTCGTGGTGGTGCTGATGCTGGTAGTGGTGGTGTTGGTTTTGATGGTGGTGCTGCTGCTGCTGCTGGTGCTGCTGGTAGTGCTGCTGATGCTGCTGCAGCCAGTTACGCCCCTTGTTTCGATAGGATAGACCGGCACGGCTACCGGCATACACAGCAGCAAGTAGGCACCCATGCCCACACCAACACCCACACCAGCACCCACACCAACATCCACATCAGCAGCAGCGGCAGTAGCAGCGGGGGCGAGAGCAAGGGCAGCGGGAGCAGCAGGGGCAGACTCACGGACACCCTGTCAGCCGAAGCAACGGATATTGTCTTCCCGACCGCCTTCCCCCCATCAGCATCTGCCTCCAGTGCCTCTATCCGCTCCCTCTCCGGCCTTCCGAGGGCCGGCAACGGTGCAGCGGCGGGTCTGCACATGCCTGGCTCGGCCATGCCTGGCTCGGCCATGCCTGGCTCGGCCATTCCTGGCTCGGCCAGTGTTGGGGAAGAGGAGGAGAGTGAGATTGTGCCTTTCAGTGGCTGCATGGGCCTCGTGCGAGGGAACTCGGTGCAGGTGCATCCAACAGGCGTGGACCTCGCACGGGGTGACTCGGCACGTGCTGACTCAGCACGGGTAGGCTCCACCAGAGCTGACTCAGCCGGAGCTGACTCAGCACAAGGTGCCTCAGCATGGTTTGACTCGGCACGCTCTTACTCAGCACCATCAGGGGCGGTCAGCTCAGTGGCAGTGGCAGCAGCAGTGGCGGTGGCGACAGCGGGAAGAGATACAGCTGTGGCTGCAGCCACTGCTGTTGGTGGTAGTGGTGGTGGTGCAGCTTATGCTACCGCTGCTGCTTCTCCTCCTGCTACTGCTGCTGCTGCTGCTCCTGCTGCTGCTGCTGCTCCTGCTCCTGCTGCTGCTGCTGCCGCTGTTTCTGCTGCGCCTGCTGCTGTTGCTCCTGCTGCTGGCTCATTGCGGAGAGCCAAGAGCGGGCTGCCAGGCATGGGCACAGTGGACAGAGAGGAAGCAGAGACAGGCGGAGCGGTGCGGCCGATAGGCCGAGACAGCCGAACCACGTCTGCTTCCCGTGCTGCTCTTGCTGCTGCTGTGGGAGGAGCGGGAGCAGGAGGGGGAGCAGCGAGCAAGCAGCAGCAGCAGCAGCAGAAGCCCAAGTCAGCGAGTTTCCAGATGCTGCAAGAGGCGCTCCAGGGCATGTCACTGCTCGTGGTACGTTTGACCATGTCAAAGTTGATTTTGTTATGATGCGTCTCAGAAAAACTTAGCTCCAGATGCTGCAAGAGGCGTTGCAGGGCATGTCACTGCTGGGGGTTTTTTCTCCCTCCCAACCAACCCATCTGTTGAGGTTTTCTGAGTCGACTCAAAAGTCACCAAAGCCCAAGAGGCGCTCCAGGGCATGTCACTGCTGGTGGTGCGTGCAACCACGTAAAGATGAATTTGTTATGATGCGTCTCAAAAACACTTATCTCCAGATGCTGCAGGAGGCGCTGCAGGGCATGTCACTGCTGGTGGTACGTTCAGTGTTGTGCTTGCAACCTGTTTGGTGGGATCATTTTTGTGCCGCTCACTATGCTGCGCTGCTGGCAGCACTTGCACTGCTCGGTGCTCCTCCACACCGCATGCACCCCTTGGTGGATGACATGACAATTTGGACTGGAGGTCACTTTTTGAGAATTCTCAAAAACCAGGAGGTCACCCACATCCTGAAGTGGTGCTTTCCTTTCCCCTCGTGTCGTTCCCCCAACACTGCCCTCCAACCCCTCTCCTCTCCCCCCCATACCCATACTGCCAGGTGGACGACAATCTAGTGAACCGCAAGGTGATAGGGCGCATGCTGCAGCGGTACGGCGTGGATGAGTGCCCTAAACCCTAAGCTTGCCCTTTCTCCCTCGCCTCCATCTCTTCCCCGTGCACTGCCAGGTGGATGACAATCTAGTGAACCGCAAGGTGATAGGGCGCATGCTGCAGCGGTATGGCGTGGGGGTGGAGATGGTCGATGGCGGCCGGAAGGCCATTGAAAGGCTCGTCTCGGGCGGGTGGGACATCGACTGCATTCTCATGGATGTGCAGGTGGGTCTTACGAAGTGTTGAGATGTTAAGACGTCTGAACTGTTGACATGTTGAGATGTCCTAACTGGTGCGACGCTTCTCAAGGCTCGTCACGCGCGGGTGGGACATCGATTGTGTTCTCATGGATGTGCAGGTGGGTCTGATGAGACATGCGCGTGGGTCTGATGAAACGTCTTAATTTTTACTGAGCCGTCTTAATTCTCCGTTGTTTTTACTCTTTGAGTGAAGATACATCTTCACTCTTTGAGGCACCCTTTCAACAACTTTGTGACGCTTGAATGTTGTTGAGACGTGCTAATTTTGGGGCACTTTCCACGTTTCGAAACGCCTGCTGTATGTTGAGACGTGCTAATGCATCGTGTTGAATGCTGTTGATTCCGCAGATGCCAGAGATGGACGGGTGTGAAGCAGCGGCTGCCATCCGGAAGCTTGAAGGGGAGAGGCGGACGGAGAGAGAGGAGAGGGCACTGAGGGCGGAGAGGGCGGAACGGGCAGAAAGGGAGGAGAGAGCGGAGGGGGCGGAGAGTGATGGGGCGGAGAGGGAGGGAGTTCAGAGGGTGCAACTGAGGGCCGGCCTTCCCGTTTCAGCACGAGACACATCAGCAGCAGCACCAAAGACGGGATTACCAGGATCATTAGCAGCAGCGTCAGCCGCATCAGCAGCAGCGTCAGCCGCATCAGCAGCAGCATCAGCAGCGGTGGCAGCAGCTGAAAGCACCGGAGGAGTGCTACCTAAGCCACCGACCCCTGCCAGGTCTCCAACCGCTCTGCACCCCCCGAAATCGCCGATGCACGCCCCAACACACACTCGCTCGCCCTCGTTCCAAGGCCGCACCTCCGCCTCCCCGCTGCAGCTTCTCAGAAGCAACCGACACCGGCGGCATGTGAGCAGCGGGGATTTGGACGGCCTAGGGGCGGGGTTCTGTCCACCCTCGCAGGCTGGTGGGCAAGCTGTGGCAGGGCATAGGCACACCCCATCTCCTAAGGATGGGCACTTTGCGGTGAAGCACAACCCGACCGCACAGGCTCGGCAAACTACAGCAGCGAATAGCAATCTAGACCTCAAGGCCGAGCCATCAGCAGCAGCACACAGCCTGTCACAAGGCAGTGTAGCACGGCCTAAAGCAGTGGCTGTTAGTGCTAGCGAGGGGACCCAGGGGGAGGTGAGACCTGTGGTGGGTACTCCCAAGGGAGGAGTGTTTTCTAAGTGGGTAGAGTTGACTAGTCCCACGTGGGGTAGGCAGCAGGTTTTGGAGCAGCAGCCGCTGTTGGAAGAGGGGGGGAAGAAGGGAGGAGAGGGAGGGGTGATGAAGAAGGGAAGTCAGATTCAGCAGGCGAACGAGCAACACCAGCAAAGGCAGGGTCTGCAGGAGAGGCAGGTACAGAAGCAGCAGCAGCAGCAGCAGCATCAGCAGCAGAGGCGAGTTCGAGATATGGATAGGGTGTTGATATTTGCGTTGACTGCGGATATTGGTGCGGGGACAAGGGAGCGGTGTGCGCAGGTGGGCATGGATGGGTACATGACCAAGCCTGTGGAGGAGGAGCAGCTGTGCCGAGTCATGCTCGGTCCTCTCAGATTACGTAGGCAAATGAAAATGGGAGCAACATTGGAAGGAGAATAGCTGGCAGGTTCATGCCAACTTACATAAATGTACAAAATTGTTCATTGACTCTAGATGCACTGACTCATTTCTAACTTATGAATGTATTTTACTGACATTTCCGTGTAAACGCTCTTGGTCAATTTTGCGCGTTTCTATAGTTTTAGATATATGTAGTTATGTCTGGTTCTATCTTGTAAGCGAGGCATTGACTCGAGCATTTGTCAATTGGTGCTTGAAATTCCTCAAGTGAATCTCAGCGGACCTCAAACAGTCTCCGTCAGCATCCACTCTTCATTACGACAGTCAAACCCTGACAGGCTGAAATGGCGCGTGTTTCCCAAATTTGAGGACAGGCCCCTCTCGTAGCCAAGCTTGCCAGCAGGTGATCCCCTCAGTGCCTTTGAGTCGACGTGGCGTGACGTTTGTCTGTTTCCAGGTTCTTTGTGCGTGCGCGTCATCCACCCCCAGGAGTGCGGGATGCTGGAATTTGGATTGCTCTGTGTGTGTGTGAGTGGATCGGGCTGCTTTAGTTGACCCAGCGCTGTGCTGGCAATCCCATGAAATTCGCGTGAAGAGTCGATTTGCTTGGTCAGACTCCACACTTGGAAACTATCCAGCATAATCTTTTGTCAGCTGACGTGCAATATGAGGCCATCTCAATGCACGATGAGACGAGTGTGGTCCCCCCGCTGACGTGGTGACATCACAACACGTGGTAACGGTGTCGCTGGATGGTCCGTGGCCAAACCAACCATTTCATCGCGATTCGTTCCGAGCGCTCACGTCTGACTTGTACAGCGACCCTGGCTTCGTGTGATGTCGCAACGCCACAGCATCAGCTCTCCGACCAGCCAAGCCAATTCCCCGCCTGGCTACTGGAGCAACCCCCCAATGGTTCCCCTCCCCTCTCCACTCCTCCACAACCTTGAAATTCGTTCTGCGCATTTCCTCTCGGGCACCTGCTGGGGCGGCACTGCGCAGTCTTCCGCAGGAATCCCTTAGCGGAACGCTTGCGGACAGTCGCTCCGCGGGATGTGCTGGATTTGTGGATAAAGAGCCTGGCAAATGAGAGGAAGGGAAGCAGCCAGTCTGTTTTGAGCGCGTTTCAGAATCGCGAACCACGCAGCCAAGCTAGATACCTCCACTATTTGCGCCACACCACACCTTCCGAATCCACACCGCCACCACTCCACACCAGGCCTTCATTCCCTCTCCCCGCATCTCCTCTCCTCCTCCCCTCTCCAATTCCACTCTCCGCTCATCTACCCTTCCCCCCCTCCGTGCATTCTGCCACTGGTTGCAGCGCCGTAGGTTAGCCATGGCATGAGCGTTCCTCCGCCTACCCCAGAGCAGTGCGGAGAGCCGCAGAGCAGCAAAGCACCAACCAACGGAACCAACAGTAGAGTCGCCTCGTCGTGCCATTAGCGGATCCATAAAGGGGACAAGCAGCAGGCCTCAGAGAGTGAGTCCGTGCAGAGTGCGACGGCAGTAGCTTGGAGAGAAAACCTACCTCCCACCATTGGAGTAACGGTTACATATAGCGGTGAAGAAGCAGCAGTAGAGCCACGTAGAGACTGATCGAGGGTTGACTCCCACACGACTCGCCAGACCTCTCCTTTTACTATTTTTTGGAGGCTCTTAGCTTGAAATTCCTATCCAAATTAATGCTATCCTTAGGTTGAATACTCGGCTCATAACGCACCGTCATCCTTTATCTTCCACCAAAGCGAGTCTAAAGCATGTCGTTCGCCACGTTGTCCAGTTGGGATGTCCACCAAAGCGCGTCTTTCCCATTCGCCATGACCCGCTGCTCGCATATCCCTTCAGCCGAGCTTCCATCCGAACCCACTTACGCGTCGCTGAAGCTCCATCCGCTGCTCTCTCCGTCACAGGAGCATGTCGTCCGTCAGTTCTCAGCCCTCTCCATGCAATTACACGAGCAGCACCACCTCCCGCAGCATCAGCATCAGCACTGCCACCGTCATACTGCAAGCGAGCCACAGCCGCAGCCGCAGAAGGAGCGGGAGGCCATGCACCCTCTTCCCTTCCTAAAGCAGGATGCTTTTCGGAGAATTTCGTGCGTGGAAAGCGAGCAATTAATGACTCGTCTTAACGTAGAAGAATCGGCTAATGCGGCCAACGAGGCAATTCTTGAGGCACCTCAAAACTCGGCTGATGGGCGTAAGGAGGCGTCGCTTGCAGTATCTCCCGCGTCGCCTGGCGTCGAACCGTTGGAACAACTGGGACACGGTAACGTCCCATTTGATTTGGCGAGAATTTCCCCGCGCTTTTCAGGCTCGTCCCTTCCCATCGGCGGTAGCTCCCCGGGAACCGGGGAAAGCGCGCCTGTTTTCAGCAGCGGCATGCTTCCGTGGCTTCGGAATCCCAGCGAATTGGACCTGAACCTTCCTGCGTCACCGGCGGCCGACTCCGCAGCTACTCCCGCCCTTCCGCCGTCTTCTGCGGCCTTCCCTTCGTCGTTCCAAGTGCTCAATTCCAGCTTCTGGGACTCTAGCGCGAATTGCGGTTTAAATGGCGGCGCCGCGTCACCTCCTATTTCCGAGAATTCGTCGGAGTCGTCTTTGGTGGCGTGTGGCACTGAGAGCAGCAGTACGGACATGGATGACGAGGAGGATAATAACGAGGACGAGGATGAGGAGGGTGATGGAGAGGCAGACTCGGGATTCAAGCCGCTGAGCCTGAAGAAGAAAGTGTCGGCCATGGCCTCCCTTCCCTCACAGTAAGCGCGTTACTTCGTTTTTTTAGCCTCTCATTTCTCTCTTGCCGAGTGATTTGCGGTATGTAATTCAAGCAACTAACCAGGAATTGCGTCTCTCCTTCCCCTTGCTAACCTGCAGACGAAGCCTTTCGTCTCACTTCGGAGGCAAATCTCGCACCTTCTCGTCGCTCGCTGACGTGTCAGCCATCAAGACCATCCACGGCCTCGCGAAACCGCCGCCAGGCCTCTGCCTCCGCCGAATGCGCCGTCGTTCGCGCCTCTCCTCCGCATCTGCTCTCCGCCACAGCCCCTGCACCATCCCCATCGCTGCGGCGCACCGCAGCATAGGCAAGCACCGCCTGGGTGCTGGCGCTGGGGCTGGCGGTGGTATTCGTGGAAGCAGTTTCGGACGGCTGGCGGCTCAGCAGGTTCAGTTCTCGTTGGCGCTGGCTGTGTCCATGGGAGGTGTGGGTTGAAAGATGTCGCGGATTGGTTGAGAGATCGGGCATGAAGCAGCATCAGGGAGAGAAATGTGCAGAATGGCAACAAGATGGAGCAGTTTTGAAAGCACTACCACAGTTTTGTTTGGCTTTCCGAGAAGCAGCATGTGGTTGTAAGAGGGAGTTCTGTGGATGATGATTTGCGATTCCATGGCACTGCTGCTGGCTGGTTCTTTGCGCTATACTTTGGAGGCTTCAAGACAAGACTTGGATCGGATGTCCGTCCACACCAGCTGCTACACTTCACCGGCTCGTCAAGCATGAACTGAAGCACCTATTCTGCTTTCTGCTATTCCCGGCGAAGAGATTGAGTCGCGACATCATGAACACGGAAGGCAATTCATGCTGAACGTGAGCTTCGTGCCGGTATGTTCAGAGATGGCAGCTGATTGTAGGATCGTCTGGAGCCATGATTCTGCCAATAATGAGATCCAACAGCGGGCTTTTGTGTGCATTCACCGTAGATGCTGCTGCACCAAGATAGGCCAGGGATAGGTTGGCAAAATCTGGAGCAAGCTTGGGCCATGCCTCGTGTCCCTTGCTGGTATTGCCAGCCCCTCCTCTACTACTCATGCTATGTCTTCCTGCTAGCTAGTGCTGTATTTCTGCCTGCTGTTGGGTGTGCGTTTGACCAATAAGTGGTGGCCTTTTTTGGTACACCCTGATTTTGTGAATTCCAGATGGATTTTTATGGGAAATTATCATCTGTCCCTCAGACTAAGATATCCAGTTTATTATTTTTCAATCAATCTAGCAACAACATTAGCCATAATAGATTGTTACGCAATATCAGTCACAGAACAGCAGAACAGCAGAATCCGCTTACAACGGGGATTGTTCTGGTGACCAGCAAAATCTTCTTGAGTTTGTGTTGCGGCATGTTGCTATTGGGGGGACTTGGGGTGCGCACAGCGGTAAGGTGCGGTGCAATTTTGCTATGCCGGGGTGCGGTGGGTCACCTGGACAACGCCGTCACCACCACCAGGCTGTCATGTCCCGTCCGTCCCGTGATGTGATGCGTGTCCGCTCCTCCCAAAGCGGTGGTAAAGGTGGTGGCTGGCAGCCTGAAGTGGAAAGTGGGTGGCATAAGCCACTCTTGAGCGAAGGGATAACTTGGTAGGTACAGTTGTTGCGATTTCTATGGCTACCGGTATGTCGTTGATCCGATCTAGAAGAGAGACTCGCGAATTTTCATAGCCTACCACATGGACAGCATCGTCTCGTCACTGCGAAAAGTGGTTGGTTCTTCGTGCTCACTTCGTTCACCTCGCTAAGGTTACCGGGTTTCCAATTTGAAAATTCGCGAGAAGTACCCCCGCTACTACGCACGGCGGTGCCATCCCAAAGCGCATCGCAAGGGGTTGCTATCTCAATACGCATCGCAAGGGGGTGCTATCGACGGGATCTCAAGGGGGTGCTATTCCCAGCCTCCTCGTCTCGTCGATGTTAGGTGGGGGGCGAGCCGATGGCCGTTGGACTCGCGCAGTTCCCAAGTCTGTCTACATAAACGATGGCCTTGGCTAACTGTTTTTCATTCAAGAGCCGCCAACTCACGGCGTGGCACGCTGCAGCAACTTCTCGATCCAGTCTCCAGGCACCATCATGGGGCGCGCGGCGTCTCTCCTCTGCGTCCTGCTCTGTAAGCGCTAGCACTAATAGTCCTGCTCCCCACAATGATTGTCGGACTGGAGTTTTTGGGTTGTTTTTTTAAGCAGTGAGGTTCGATGTTACTACTACTGCTAGTACTCCTCATGCTTCGTGCTGGTCTGCTGCTTGCCTGCAGGTGCGGCGTTCTTCACTGCCGGCTGCGCGTCTTCCGCACCATTCCTCGGACGGCCACTCGGACCAAGCGGCCGCGCCTCTGCTGCTGCTGTGCTACCTTCAGCCGCTCAAGCCAGCCGGCGTGGTCTGAAGTGGAAAGGGAAGGTCAATGGTAAGTGTCCACATGCCTCCACTGCATACCTTGTGAGCGTTTTTTTTTTAATCTAAAAAATCGCTCAGAAGGTCCATCGAAGTGTCTACATGCCTTCAATGCATGCTGCTCGCTCCTTCGCTTCGCTATCAGTAGACGTTGCAAGCGGCAGTGCAAGCATGATGATAACCTTGCACCTACTAGAGTTTGCAGCTGCTCAAGAGTTGATGCGTGTAGCTGCTCAATATGTGAACAATTTATCGCCTGCATGATATTTGAAGCCGTCGTGATTGCCGCCATTGGAGTCCTCTTTAGCCCGATCAGCTAACCAGCATGGGCTCCATCCCTCCCCATCCCTTCTCATTTTTAGAGAAATATTTGGCCTTATTGACTCCTGGCGGGGATAATACTGGCGACCGTGGAGCATTCGGGGTAGTAGAGTACAAGGTTGTGAGGTATGAACTCTTTCCGCATTTCCAAATAGTGAGTTATCATTGAGGAATTGGTGCTGCACTTGCAGACTACAGAATTAAATTGGCTCCTTCGTTGGTGCTGACGTCATCTCCCAGCACATGTGGTGCTCTACCAGTACTAGTAATGCTCCCAATGTATCCTCTTGCTCGCAATTCAAGCTCTATAGGGAGCAAATTTCTCATGATCATTCCCACTATCTCTCCCCGTGTCCAATTCGCAGTTACTCTAAACATGAGTGGTACTTTGTGACGGAATTTTCGATCTTTCATATACATTCTGGAGGAGGAGAACCCATCCTTGCTTTCGGGACTTCCTGCGCACTCAAGGACCTTGTCCCTAGCCTCACATACTGGAAAAACATTACAAGCCACGACCCTGGTGCTCTTAAGCACAAGCGCTACAGCTTTCATCTGGAGAGCGCTACCGGCCCATTGCCCGAGGAATTCGCGGTACATATGAGAGCATTGCATTTTAAATACGGGAAGTATATAGTTGTAACTCATCCAGATCATGAGCCCGCACTCTGTGGGTTCCTTAAAAAGGTTGCGGCGAATCACGATAAGTGGTGTGGCGGCTATTGTTGAAACACAGCTATTGGTAGTGCACCTACGTGCTGTCCAGATATGACATCGTAGTGTTTTCTAGCTGGAAATACCAGTACACTAGGAACATTTGCGACTGGACCTGGCAGCTGGCTTCAAGTAGTCAGGCTGTGACCAGCTTCTTTTTCCATCGGGTTGTGCACAAGGACAAGAGTAGTATTCTGCGTGTGTCTGTGTGACTGGAGAGTGAGTTGTAGGTTTTGGGCATCGGTAGTCAGCCAAAAAAAATGTGGATGTTTTCAAAACAGATGCTTATTTCATAACCGATGTCGCATCGCAGACCTGTAGTAACAAGTACGGTAATGATCGTACAAAATAATCATAATCACACACACCGCGTAGGAGCAAATAGCTACGTGACTACACAAAGTGATGGGTGTGATGGAAGAAATGAGACGTGACATTTTAGTAAGAACCACAAGGGTAGCAAATTGAAAGCATATAAAAAGAGGCAAGGGTTCAATGCATGTGGAGCATCAGGCAGAGACGTGGGGGGGGGGGGGGGAGCGGTGGTACCTCTGGGTTGAGCTCAAAGAACTTTGGGGAGGGATTCCAGTAGACCTCACGCGGGAGGATAGAGCTGAGGGTTTCACCCGGCTTCACCACCCACACCCATCTGCGTGGCGTGGAAGGGAGGTACGCAAGAGAGTGCAGGAGATAGGAAGGCAGGAGAATTCAGGAGGGACAGGTGGGAGGATGGACACAGGGGAATATGTGTGGTAAAAATCGCCATGGAGTGGCGGGAAAGGCATGCAAGCAAGAGAGCGAGCTAACTAGGAAGGGAGGAAGGTGGTGTGGAGGGGAAGAAGCGAAGGCAGAGGGAAGGTAGGCACCTACAGGGGGAAGAAAGGATCGCTCGTAGGGGGTGGAATGCAAGGTCCGCAGGGGGAGGGGGAGGAAGGCACACCCGGAGAGGAAAAGGAAGGCTCGCAAGAGAGGGGGGGGGGGGGGGGGTTGAAAGGCACATACTGGGGGAAAACGGAAGGCTCGAAAGGGGGGGAGATGGAAGGGACTCTCAGAGGGGAAAGGGAAGGAGGGGGGGGGGGGGGGAGAGAGGGAGAGGGGGAAGGAAAGCACCCCGGTGGTGCCTGACGGTTGTTGACTGCAGGCAGGCCGTGACGACACCGCTCGTCACAGCGGCGTCGTCACTCAAAGCGGATCCCGTCGTGTTCGACTTACGCGCGATCTGGTAAACACGCCGCAAGGCGACTGGAGTATAACGGCACCAGTAGACATCCTCTTGAAAACGGACACTGAAATGCATGAGGATATGGGCGTCGTATGGCGAAGGATGCAGGTGGAGTGAGGTGTGGGATGTTCATGAAGTGAATTGAGGCGAGGGACGCGTGCAGAGTGAGGAGTGAGAGATGGAGATGGAGTGATGCGTGGGATTTGGGCGAAGGACATGTGCGTGCGGCTCGTTGTTCGGCGAGGTATACACTGAATAAGACATGAGCCGCGGGAAGAAGGAAATGGGATGAGGTGGGTTAGCAATGGGAAATGGGATTTTGCGATCTTGCAAACATGGTTGTGATTTTTGCTAGTTGCGTGTCGCGATGGAGAGTCGTCAACGCATATCCTAAGTTGGTCAGGATGAAAGAGAAGGTCATACAGGTGGGAGGATGGACTGCAGGGGAAGATTTATGGAGAAAATCGCCATAGTGGAGGGAAGGGCATGCAAGCAAGAGAGGGAGAGAACTAGCGAGAGATCAAAGAGGGAAGCAGGGAGGAAGGAAGGCGGTGTGGGGGGGAAGAAGCGAAGGTAGAGGGAAGGTAGGCACCTACAGGGGGAAAGAAGGATGGCTCGTACGGGGTTGAATGCAAGGTCCGTGGGAGGAGGGGAAGGAAGGCACACCGGAGGAAAAAAGGAAGGCACGCAAAGGGAGGGGATGGAAGGCACACACGGGGGAAAGGAGAAGGCTCGTAAGGAGGGGGTGGGATGGAAGGCATACACGGGGGGAAAAAGGAAGGTTCGCAGGAGAAGGGGAGAAGGGGGGGGGGGGGGGGGGTGGGGGACGGAGGGGGAAGGAAAGCACCGAAGGTTGACCAGGTGGTGCCTGATGGTCGTTGAATGCAGGCAGGCCGTGACCGCCCCACTCGTCACAGCTTGCGGCGTCATTGCTCAAAGCGGATCCCGTCATGTTCGTCTCACGCGCGACCTGGTGACATTTGAGGCGCCTCAAAAGCCGTGACGACCTCACTCGTCGCAGCTCGCGGCGTCGTCGCTGAAAGCGGATCCCCTCGTGCTCGTCTCACGCGCCATCTGGTGACTTTTGAGGCGCCTAAAATCTCGTGACGGCCCCACTCGTCGCAGCTTGCGGCGTCGTCACTCAAAGTGGATCCCTCCCGTCGTGTTCGTCGCACGCGCGATCTGGAGACTTTTTGAGGCTCAAATCCCGTGACGACCGCACTCGACACAGCTTCGCGGCGTCGTCACTCAAAGCGGATTCTATCATATTCGTCTCACGCGCGATCTGGAGAACACGCCGCAAGGCGACTGGAGTGTAACGGCAGCAGTAGGCATCCTCTACGAAGAAAATTCGGCACTGAAAACGCACGCGGATATGGGCTTCGTACTATGGCGTGGGATGCGGGCGGATTGAGGCGTGGAATGCGGACAGGGTGAGGCGAGAAATGCGGACGAGGGCGAGGGATGTTCATGAAGTGAAGCAAATGAAATGAGGCGAGGGAAGCGTGCGGAGTGAGGAGTGGGAAACGGAGATGGAGTGACGCGTGGGATTTGGGTGGCGTCCGGCGAAGGATATGTGCGTGCGGCTCGTCGTTTGGCAGGGTGTACACCGAATAAGGCGTGGGCCGCGGGAAGAAGGAAACGGGATGAGGTGGTGTATCGTAAGTTGCCTACCCTTCTACTCTTCTAGATCAATCAAGCAAGCAACCACACAGTTACGCGATTTTTAGACACAGAACAGCAGAACAGCAAAATCCCCTTACAACGGGCTCCTTCTGACCAGTGACTATGGGTGAGTCGTGGTACAGCTGGGTGACTATAGGCGAGATTTTGGAGGGGACTTCGGGTGCGCCCAGCGGTAAGGTGCGGTGCAATTTTGCTATGCCAAGGTGCGGTGGGTCCCTGCACAACCGCGGTCACAACCACCAGGCTGTCATGCCCTGTCCAGTAATATAATACCGTTCCCGTCAAAGCGGTGGTAAAGGCGGTGGCAAAGGTACCGTAGTCGGAAATTGGGTGGCATGAGCCATCCTGAGTGAAGGGATGTTGGAAGAAGTTCGTAGAAACGTAGTTGCGACTTCTATGGCTATGTCGTCGATCCGATCGAGAGGAGACACTCGCGAATTGTCGTAGCCCACCACAGGGACAGCGTAGTCACTGCGAAGCATGGTTGGTTCTTCGTGTTCATTTCGTTCATCTCGCTGAGGTTCATCGGGTTTCCATTCTGTGCAGAGGCACACGGAATAACAGATAGGCTCCTCCCACGCGTTCGACCAGAAAGTCAACTACCCCCGCTACTACGCACGGCGGTGCCATCCCAAAGTGCATCCCAAAGGGTTGCTATCTCGAGATGCATCACAAGGGGGTGCTATCGATGGCATCGCAAGGGGGTGCTATTCCCAGCCCCCTCGTCTCGTCAACGTTAGGTGGGAGGCGAGCTGATGGCCTTGGACTCGCGGAGTTCCCAAGCCTGTCTACGCTAACTTTTTTTAATTCAACGGCCTTCGCTAACTTTTTTTCATTCAAAGCCGCCAACTCACAGTGTGGGACGCTGCAGCAACTTCTCGATCTACTGTCCAGGCACCATCATGGGCCGTGCGGCGTCTCTCCTCTGCGTCCTGCTCTGTAAGCGCTGCTAACAGTCCTGCTTCCCACAATGAATGACTTACTGGCGTTTTAGGGTTTTCTGAAATCAGGCAGTCGATCGACGTTTCTACAAGTAGGTCCTCATGTTTCGTACGGTTCTGCTGCCTGCCTGCAGGTGCGGCGTTCTTCACTGCTGGCTGCGCCGCGTCTCGCGCACCATCCCTGGCGCGGCCACTCGGACCAAGCGACGGCGCCGCCGCCGCTGCTGCTGTACTACCGTCTGCCGCTCAAGCCAGCCGGCGTGGACTGAATTGGAAAGGGAAGGTCCATGGTAAGTGTCTACATGCCTTCACTGCATGCTGCTCGTTCCTTCGCTTCGCTATCAGTAGACGGTGCAAGCGGCAGTGCAAGCATGATGATAACCTTGCACCTACTAGAGTTTGCAGCTTCTCAAGAGCTGATGCGTGCAGCTGCTCAATATGTGAACAATTTAACGCCTGCATGATTTTGAAGCCGTCGTGATTGCCGCCATAAGAGTCCTCTTTAGCCCGATCAGCTAACCAGCATGGGCCCCATCCCTCCCTATCCGTTCTCATTTTTAGAGAAATATGCGGCCATCTTGATTTCTCCTCTTATCGGGGCTGGCGAGCGTGAATCACGCGGGAGAGTAGTCTACAAGGTGGTGAGGTAGGAACTCTTTCCACTTTTCCAAATAGTGAGTCATCGTTGAGGAATTGGTGCTGCACTCTCAGACTAGGGTCGAAATTGGCTCCTTCGTTGGGGCTGACGTGCTCCTTCGTTGGGGCTGACGTCATCTCCCAGCACATGTGCTCTACCAGTACTAGTAGTAATGCTCCCAATATTTCCTCTTGCTCGCAACCTCAAGCTTTAGAGTGAGCAAATTTCTCGTAATCATTCCCTCCCTTGACTGTCTCCCCCCATGTCCAACTCGCAGTTACTCTAAACATGAGTGGTACTTTGTGACGAGTGTAGAGATCCATCGTATAGAATCTGGAGGAGGAGAGCCCACCCTTGCTTACGGGACTTCCTGCGCACTCAAGGACGTTGTCCCTGGCATCGCAAGCTGGAAAAACACGTCGAGCCAAGACAAAGGTGCTCTTAACCGCAAGCGCTACAGCTTTAGTCTGGAAAGCGAGACTGGCCCAGTGAGCCAGGTCATCGCGGAACATCTGAGAGCATTTCAATTTAGATACGGAAAGTATATTGTTGTATCTCATCAAAATAGCAAGCTCGCACTCTGTGGGGTGCTAGTACATGTAGATCCGAATAGCTTCTGGTGATGCCTTGGGTGTTGTGCTCGTGCCAGTACCGTCATCTTGCAGATGAAAAAACAATGGCTGTTTATCTTATAAACATGTGTCTTCCTACCTATCCAATCTCTTGTACCATTGGCTGTTTATCTTATGGACGTGTTACGGGTGCAATGAATCGAAGTAGCGAGAGTTGCACTAAGGTGTCAAAACGAGTACAAAATGTGAGAGAAGGCGTGAGCGAACATTTATACGCGAAACATGCAAACGGTAACGCGGTGCGTGCGAGCTAGCTAGTGCTACGCTGGAAGCGAGGCTCGGGCTAGTCCCGAAGCGTAGGCCGACACGGCCAGGCCAGCAGTGCGAGGTTTGGTGAAACGGTGCGCGCGAAGTCGGCGAAGTCCCGTTAGCAGTAACGGGCGAACAACGGCTGTTGCTGTACGCGATGTAGTCGGGCTCCGTGAGGAATGCCGAGAAAATTCCTTACACTACCCCCCCCCTCAAGAAGCCCCCTCCGCTACACGAGTGCGTGTATATCGCGGAATCCCCGGCTCCTCAGGTATACTTGCAGGGCAGGGTGGTTTTCAATGTTGGCCAGGGGCACCCAGCTATCTTCAGTTGACGTGCGGTCCTTCCAGCGAACGAGGAATTCAATCCTCCTGATTCCCGTGGGGTGGCGAATCCGATGGCTCAGGATTTTTTCGGGCTCGATGATCGGCTCCGATGCAGGGCGAGTCATGGAATGCGGGCGGTGACGAGGCAGTTGGCTGGTGGTTGGGATGTATGGGCGAAGTAGGCTGACGTGGAACGATGGGCTGATGTACCAGTCGGTCGGTAACAGTAGGTGCGCGGTTACTGGCGTGATCATGTGGCTGATTTGGAATGGGCCACAGTAGCGCGGTCGAAGTTTCGGTACGTCGGGCAGTCGCAGATTTTGCGTGTCGAGCAGTACGTAATCCCCTGACTGGTATGTGACTGGGCGGCGGTGGCGGTCAGCGTTGCGCTTAGCGATGACGTTTGCTTTTTTAATTGCTTCTGCGGCTCTGGTGCGGGCAGCTTGCAGAATTTCGGCGAATTGCTGTGCACGTGGTGTTGGGTTGTCCGGACTCGGCGTCATGGGCACTGTAGGATTTTGCCCGTAGTTCAGGTAGAAGGGGGACTGCTGCGTCGTCGCTGACGTGGCGTTGTTGTACGCGAACTCGATCAGCGGCAACTGCTGCTCCCAAGTCGTGGGGTCGTCGCACGTGGCACGAATCAACTGCTCCATCGTCTGATTCGTCCGCTCCGTTTGACTGTCGGTCTCGGGGTGGTACGACGAACTGAACTGTAGCCTGGTCCCGAACTGCTCCCAGAGGTTCTTCCAGAAGTTGCTGGTGAACTTCGTGTCCCTGTCGCTGATAATCGCTGCTGGTATCCCGTGCAGGCGAACAACGGCTGCGATGAACAGGCGAGCGGTCTCCTCGGCTGAGATCGACTTTTTGCACGCAGCGAAGTGTGCCATCTTCGTCAACCTGTCAACGACGACCAACACCGCGTCGTTACCGCGTCGGCGATGTTGGATGCGCCTTTCTTGTACGTAACCGTGTAGTGGAAGTTGGACTCGAGGTAGTCCAACCAGCGAATCTGTCGCGGGTTGAGATATGGTTGGGCGCGTAGGTACTGTAGTGATCGGTGGTCTGTCCGTACTGTCACGTCGGCGCCAGTCAGGTAACACCGCCAAACCTTGAACGCGTGCACGATCGCCAACATTTCGCGGTCGTGTATCGGGTAGTTGCGTTCGGGCGGGTGCAGCTTGCGGGACTCGTACGCGATTGGCTGGAGGCCGTTCCCGAAATCCTGCAACAGTACGGCTCCCACAGCGATGTCACTTGCGTCAGTGACGAGCTCGAACAGACGGTGTGGATCTGCGATGTAAAGCACGGGCGGTGAGCACAAAATGTTTTTGACGGCCGAGAAGGCAGCTTGCTCTTTCTCCCCCCACGTGTACTCAACCCCCTTCCTCAGCAGGTCTGTCAGCGGGGCAGTCAGCTTCGCCATGTCGGGGACGAACCGGCGCACGTAGTTGACGAACCCCAAAAAACTCTGCAACTCGGTCAAGTTGGTCGGCGCGTGCCATGCTTGAATCGTCGCAATTTTCTTCGGGTCTATTTCCACTCCTGCAGCTGAAATAACGTGTCCCAAAAACTCCAGGCGGTCCTGTAAAAACTCACACTTAGACGCTTTTGTCAGTAGGCGGTTCTCATTCAGTATTTTAAAAACTGCTTCGATGTCCTGTAGGTGCTGTGCTCTGTCAGGGCTGTACATCAGTATGTCGTCCAGGTATACTATAACGCACTTATCTAAGAGCGGGCGGAAAGCTTCGTTCATGGTCATTTGAAAAGTGGCGGGGGCGTTGGTCAGTCCGAAGGGCATGACGGTGTATTCGAAGAATCCGTAGCGTGTGCGAAATGCGGTCTTAGGGCAGTCGGGCGGATTGACGCGAATCTGGTGGTAACCCCCTCGGAGGTCGATTTTCGAGAAAACCCGGGCTGTGCGCAGTTGGTCGATCAGTTCGTCGGCTCGCGGGGTGGAGTAACGGGATTTGATGGTAACCCTGTTCAGTGCTCTGTAATCTATGCACATGCGAAATCCCCCGTCTTTTTTCGGTGTGAACAGTATCGGTGCTGCGAAAGGCGACGAACTAGGGCGAATGAATTCCTTCTCGAGCAGGTAATCGAGCTGCTTCCTCAGTTCGTCCAGTTCGGGCTGGGTCAGTTGGAACTGTCGCTGTACTGTTGGCTGTGCCCCCGGTTCTAACTCTATCCTGTGGTCGTGCGGTCACTGAGGTGGCAGTCCCGTCGGTAAATCGTCCGGGAAAATGTCGCTGTACTGCTTCAACAGTGCTGCCAGATCACTCGGTACGTCGGCCAGCAGTTTCTGTAAATCCCCTCCTTTGTCTGCTGCCTCGGCTTCCCGAATGTCGACCGCGTACACGTCAGCTCCTGCCGCTACGGCGCGTTTCATCGTGATCGCGTTGACACGCACCGACGAAGACTCAGGCGAGCCCCAGCGAGGTAAGGCGATGTTGTTACCGTTCACTCGCACGGTGCAGTCACCCGTCGTCCAGTCGATTCGCGGGTTGTGTCGTCGCAGCCAATCACGCCCGAGTAAAATATCGGTTCCGTCGAGGGTCGTTGCGAGCATTTCCTGGCTAAACGTGAAGTTACCCCCACATCGAATACGAACCCGGTCTAGGCGTTCCCGTATCGCCAGCGGCGTGCCGTCTACCAGTCTTGCGTCGATCTCAGGTAAACATTTGTCCAGTGGCAGTCGCAGTTTTCGTGCTGTGGCAGTGTTGATGAGGCTGTGGCTGGCTCCCCCGTCTACGAAGATTTTTACTAAGTCCGTCCCAATTTTCCCACTAAGCAGTATGGGGCTATCTACCGTAGTCCCCTCCTTATTCGGCCGGGTGTGGTTGATTGCGTGAACCGGCACAATCATTCGGTGAGGGTCGGTTGGGTCGGGCGAGCGGCGTGACCTGTCAGTAGAGGGCCCGTCTGCTACTGACTCCCAGCGTTTCCCTGCTGCGTGGTGTTAGAATGAGAAGGATTGATTGAACTAGCAAGCAGCAGGATACAAATAGCAAACCCTAAGGGGTTGTACTCACTATTGAGTACCCCATTGCAGGCTACACAAACAACATATTCTGACACACCCCCATAGCCAAAGTGGGGTGAAATCAGCACAATGAGCAGGCATAGCAGAAGTTCACAATTATGAGCAAAGCTAGATGCAGTCACAGGAGGCCAGTGAGGAGGAGGAGTGACAGTGAGGGGAGTGTAGATTGGAGGCGACGGATGAAGCTGCAGACACACGGGCAACAGAAGCGGCTGGCACAGTGGCTACCGGAGCAAGGGCCCCGGACTACTGGAGTAACAGACTCCGCGGCTACGACGAGCGGCAGGAGTAACGGACCCACGGGCGACTGGCGCAGCAGGTTCGCTGGGCTACCGAGAGCAAGGGCTCCGGACTGCTGGCGCTGCTGGCGACACGACGGCGACCTCCGATCAACCTCCCCCAACTGCCCCACACCCCTGGCACACACCCCCTGCTTCACCCCTAGTTCCACTCCCACATCACCCCCCTAGTGCCGTAAACCCTCGGCTCCCACACACCCACCCCCCTCAGCGGCAGCTGCAGCAGTGGGAGACGGAGGAGGAGGAGGAGCGTCAGGTTACCCACACCAATCACCCCCATGCTCGCCACCCCACACCCCCACCACCGCGGAACGCACGGCGGAATGGGAGCAATGGGCAGCACGGGGGGGGGGGGGAGGGGGACGGGACGGGCTGCAGGGACGGGCCGCGGGCTGCTGCAGGTGCGGGCTGCTCCAGGGGCGGCTGCTGCAGGCACGGGCTGCTCCAGGGGCGGCTGCTGCAGGTGCGGGCTGCTCCAGGGGCGGCTCCAGGGGCGGCCGCTGCAGGTAAAGGTAGGAGGAAGGGGGGGGGGGGGGGGGGGGGGGGGAAGAGCGCGGCCCCCAGGGCGCCCCGACGGGCGACGAGAAAGGGAGCCGCGCGGCCCCCCAGGGCCGCCGCGACGGGCGACGGGAAGGGCGCCTCGCGGGCCCCCAGAGCCGCCGCGACGGGCGACGGGAAGGGCGCCGCGCGGGCCCCCCCGGAGCGCCACGACGGGCGACGGGAAGGGGAGGCCGCGCGGCCCCCGT